ATAAAACTTTATGGACAAAGAGCATATATTTGAATCTACATTTCACACTTGAAATCTTTATATCTCTCTAATCGGTCTTGAGAGACGACGCCGTTTCTGCTTGTGATTGGCTTCGCCAGAAACCTCCACTGTTAAATTTGTTCCACATCTCATTCTCTAACTCAATCACTGCCTCATCATCTTCTTCTTCTCCAATGAACGAGCCATCGAAATCGTCCTCGTCTTTGCTCTGTAATGGATGCACAGCGAATTGCGAACTCCCTGTTTTGCTCATCTTCCTCTCGCAGTCTCCATTTTCCGAATCCCCTTTCTTCGCTAGCCGTCTCCGTCTTAGACGCCGGCAGAGTCCGCGAGGGACCTTGTAGACGGCGAGGACGAGGAAACTCACGACACTACAAGGGCAGCAACATACCGCGGCGCAATCCGCCGTCGTACCACCGCAACACTCCGCCGCTGTGGATCCTCCGCCGCGCAGCGATGGCGATTCAGAAAAGGTCGACGGATTCATCATATTCAGCTTTGGTTCCGCCGATCGAGACAATACAGTCAAATCTGAGAAAGTTCGTTCTCCGATCGGGGGGAGTGATGCAGATAGATATCACAACCAGCTGCTTCCACACACAAATCTCTCGACTCGCCTTTGCTCAATGTGCATCACCAATTCAAAACAAAATCTACTTTTTTCCCGAGAAAACCGCCTAGGAAATGAGGCACTGAAGAGTCTCAGATTTCCCAAAGAAAAAAAAAGAGGAGGAAAAGATCCAGAAAGAAGAATCGCAGATGAAAATGGAAGAAATCAGGAGAGGAATGCAAACATACAGACGCTTTATCTCTCTTGCGTACCAAAATTTTCCCAGGAAAATATTTTCTCGAGAATCTGAAAGGTTTGTTTTGAAATGAAGAGAGTGACCGTACGGAAGATGATATTATTGGTGGGAAGATGGTTGTAGCTTTTTAGTCTTTCACTCTTCAGATTAAAAGCAAAAGCTTTAAAGGCAAAAATGATTATTTGGTTGCCGTTTCGGTTATGTATGTTGAAGACGACCATGAATCAACCAAATCATATGTATATGCCTATATACATATTATAGTTGCCTCAGTGGATGAAGTATTTATCCTTAAGCATTATTTAGTTACTTATCTACAAAAATCTACCCTCAAAGAGGTTATATTTAATGTTTAGTACTATCTTAGATTATATTTTATTATATTGTTATCTCCTATATATTAAAAGAGAAGCATTTTTAAAGAATAACTTTAATTTTGTAAAATATTACACTGGTGTTATTTTGCTGATGTATCATCACCATAATTATTTTCAGCAAAGTTATAAAAATAGACTTATGTTATTAGATTAATTACATGTTATACCACTCACATTAATTTGGTTATACATTAGTTTATATCAATTATATTGATGATGATTCATCAAAATATTCTCTTTTCCTATTTCTTACCAAAAATATATCATATTAATTATTTCTTTAAATACTATATTTTATCTCTTATTTTTATAGAAAAATAAATCATCACATCATTCATATAGTAAAATATATATATATATATATATATTTTTTTTCTGTGTTATAATTCGAATTTCATAAAAAAATATAAATTACTTAAATGATTAATAAATAAAAGTATGTTTTAAAAGACTAAAATTGAAAATAAAGATGTATAGATAGATGATTCATAAATCAATATAAAAATACATAAATAATAAAAAACAGAAAGCTTAATTTAATAGATATTATTATTTTTAATTTATACAACAAAATAACTTGGTAAAAAATTAAAATAATTTTGTAAGGATATTATATAATAATTTTATTAAACTTTTTGATATTAAAAATATTTTTATTAAATCAAAAAGTTAAGAATGGATAAGCATTGACTCAGTTATATACAATTTTAGATAATTTATTAAAAATAATAAAAAGATAATTTATTTTTATATAATCCTTATGTATATTTAGTATTTAAAATAAATTTTACAGTAATCTTCTTTTCTTAAAAGTTAATATTCTTATGATTATAATTTTTGCTGGTTAATCTAAATATGCATTTACATTCGTATTAGAAATATTAAAATCGATTATAAAATTTTAAAATCAAATTTTATTTTTACAATTTTAATACTCTCTATTTCAAAATATAAGTTATTTGTATTAAAGCACAAAGATTAAAAAGTAACTTTTTTTTTTAAAAAAATAATCATTTAGTATATAAATTATATATAATTCAACTAATTATGAAAAATTGAAAAATATAATCGGTCACATAGTATTCATTGGAAGTAGTAAAAAATATAAAAAATAACTATATTGTAAAACAAAACAAAACCTTAAAAAAAATTAATATTATGAAACAGAAGAAGTAGTAAATTTTTTATTAGATACTTAATAATTTAATCAAAATATACTCCCTCTATTTTTATTTTATTTTAAGATCATGTTATTAATCATAGGTTATAAAAAGTATAAAAGAGAACTTCTTATTTCTATACCGATTGTGAATATATATTTAATTTTTAAACTAATTTACATTAGAATTAAATTACCCTAAAATTCATAACATAAACAAAAAAATATTTTGTTAATATTACAGTATAATGTTATAAACAACTCATATAAAATTAATTGTATTTTTTATATAATTTTAAAATTATATTATATTAAATAAATAATAATTATTTCACCTCGCTCATGGTGCAGATTATTGCCTAGTATATTATTATTCCACTAATTTTACTTACCTTTTACTAGTTATTTAAATAACAACTACTGCATACTATTAAATAAAGAATATACACTCATTAACTTCTACAAATAGATGTCGTGCTAGAATAAAAAAAATTAACACCCTGTCTCTTTAGTAAAAAAATTAAAGAGGCATCCTGTCTTATTCAAAGTTATATAAGTAAATATCATTACAGTTAGATAACATTTCACGGGCATTCTTACTAGCAATAAAAACATTCCTATATAAATAATAAGCTAAAACGGTATTATGAAAAATTAGAAGGATCTATTTTTTTTATTAGTTGATTAATTATACTAATCATTTTACTAATATTTGTATTAGAATAATTTCAATTGTAATTTACTTAGAGAAATTTTTCATAAAATCACAACAATATACTACCAAAAAAATGTAAAAATGATTTGCAAATAGATTTGGAGCCCATTATATGTCTATTAAAATCAAATCAAATAAACTGATTTGCATTATGATTCCATCAAATTAAAGGCCCATTATATGTCCATTTAAAAACGGCCCAATAATCTCAAAACAAGAAACGGTGCCACGTGAATGAAATCCACGCTGTTCACACCTGTCCTATCTCTCGCCCTCTTAAAATTTTCCTTAGCGACGAAGGAAGAATGGGGAAAGTGAAAACCGAAGCCAATTAGCATAATCCGATACATTCTAGCATTTTCGGCAATCTCATCTCTCTCTCTCTTTTTTAATCTTTCGTTGAAGATAAGTTCACAAAAACATAAGCTTTGAGACTTCTGCGACGTTACAGAATCAAAGAGATCATAGATGGGCCTTCTCTCCAACAGGTTTCGTCTTCCCCTCTTGAGTAGTTTCCGATATTCCTTTTTGGTTTTTGTACTAGCGATCATCTGCGTTTTCTGACGAAATTTGTGTATCTGTTGCGTTTGAATAGAATCGATAGATCGAGTTTGAAACCTGGGGATCATATCTACTCGTGGAGGACTGCTTACATCTATGCCCATCACGGTATGTTCTACTTTTCGATTTCGCTTCTCCCAGTCGCGTTCTTGTCTATACTAACGAATTTTCGTTCATAGATACTGTTAAATCGATTTGAGATGATGTTCGATTTGAGAAAACTTTGTGTTTGTGAGAATTTTGCCGATGAATCAGGGCTAATGTTGAACTTCCAAAATGTTGATTAGATAATATTGTGGAAGTCTAAGAAAATGTTTCTGATTTGATTGCAGTTTTTAAGAGACATTTCGTTAGTTCTCAATCTAATACCTTTTTTAACGCAGGCGTCTATGTTGGAGATGACAGAGTCATCCATTTCACAAGACGAGGCCAAGAAGTTGGAACCGGGACTGTTCTGGATTTCATACTGGTGAGCTCAGGTCCATCCCGAAACCACACCCACTGTCCAACATGCGTTCCACCAAACGAAGGCCACGGCGTCGTTTCCTCGTGCCTAAACTGTTTCCTAGCCGGTGGTGTCCTGTACCGGTTTGAGTACTCTGTCAACGCCGCTCACTTCCTCGCCAAATCCCGAGGAGGAACCTGCACGCTCGCCGTCTCTGACCCTAACGACATAGTTGTCCACAGGGCCAAACACCTCCTTCAAAACGGGTTTGGTTGCTACGACGTTTTCAAGAACAACTGTGAGGACTTTGCGATATATTGCAAAACCGGATTGCTGGTTCTTGAAGGAAGGACGATGGGACAGAGCGGTCAAGCTGTGTCGATAATAGGTGGGCCGATTGCTGCGGTTTTGTCCACCCCGATGAGGTTTGTGACGACAAACGTTTATGGTATGGCGGCTACAGCGGTTGGTGTGTATTGTGCGAGCAGGTACGCCACTGACATCGGAATGAGAGCTGATGTGGCGAAAGTGGAAGTAGAGGACCTCACGAGAAGGCTGTCTGTAGGGCTGTTCCAAGTTATTGAGCCTTCTCCATTGGCAGCCATAGCTTTACCGACCACAAGTTGATAGAAGCTGCTTAAGCTTTTCAGTTGCTCCTTATCTCGCTTGTTGTATTCTGTGTTTCCTCTTCTTTCGCAGCTAAAAATGTTATAATAAGTGAAACTCATCTTATATACTTACATGTTTCTTACATTCACAATTGATCACTGTCTCATTCGGTTCGGATTTCTTAGTTGTGTTGGTTTTGTAGAAATGAGAACCAAATTAGGGGAGCCATGTTTGGTTTGATTGAATTTGATTACATTTACTTTTAGTTCTCTCACGTTGACGTTGAGTCACACATATCAAATTCGCAAGGCAAAACAACGGAAAAGAGGATCAAAATTGTATAAAAAGCAACAAATTTAATAGTTTGAATCCTTAGAAAGCTCTGAGAGCTGGTTAATGTGGAGAGAAGACAAACCACAACGATACATAATAAAGGCTTCAGATAAAACAAAAACGTCTTCAGGAGAAAACAAAAAAGAAAGTTAACGACCATGATTCTTGCCTTGTGCTTGTCTCTTTCCAGATCTCTCTCTTGCCCGAGACTTTGATTACACAAGCAAAACAGCGTTTATACATCCATCAAGCTCTGGATTGTTCGTCACTTGAGCGTATTTCCCTGAAGTCATAAAACAAAATTAGAGAGCTGAGGCACACTGCATGACATTTCAATTTTGCAAAAGCTTCTCTATATTTATCACTACTTACCCCAGACAACTTTTCCAGATGGTGTAACAAGACCAAGTTCACTAACATTGACCTGAAAATCAATTTAAACATATATGAGAATTTCAAGAGATATCTGCAGAGCTTTTTAACATAGATAACAAGTGAGAACCCAATACGTATTAGATCTTGGGACTAACCTCAATGATTGTTCCTCTGGTCATGACACCGAGTGATGTATACATTGGACCATTAGGATTCTTCTTAATTCCAATGATCTCAAGGCAGAAAGTGCATTTAAGTTCAGGGTGAGTGACGTGGGCCTTGGTGAAACGCAGACCAGACGGGCGGATGAAACGCTCATACTTTGGTGGCTTCCTAGTGAAACCAGGCCCAACAAATGTAGCCTTCGTAACCATCCTCTTCCATTGTTTTGCTGCATTGTCGATGCAAAAACAAAGGGAAAGCATTTAAATACTTGTTATACTCTACAACTCCTGAATAAAAAGTTTACGATCTCAAACTAAGTACTTACTTTTCCTCTTCCCAGATCGGATCACTCTGAACATTTCTTCTTCAGCCACGGGACGGACCTGGAAAAGAAAAGGAATATCAGCTGCCAAGAGGGATCATTTCAGTGAAGGAGGACGATAAAAGCATTCTTAGGTTATATAATAAAACCATGAAAGGAGTTGTTCACCTTTGGCAGAGGGACCTCCCATTTCCCAGCTTTCTCTTTCCTCTTTTGTTTAATGGTGTTGCTAAGAACCTACACCCAAAACCATTTGTCATGTGTTTGCTCTTTTCACCGATTTTCGGAATTATCGATATCAACTCCCAAGTATAAAAACCAACCTTGGCGCGAGAGGTTTTCTCACGATCAATGAGATAAGCGGGAAGAGCTCCCTCATCAACATTCTCATCAGCTTTACGCCTTGATAATGACTCCTCGTGCATTTTCAATCTGGAAAAAGTTCAATGAATGCAAAAATCTCAGAAGGTAGCAGAGGATTGATTATTTCACTCTACAAAACATATGACTGATTCAGTTTATAGATTGGTAGTATGCAATCCAAAATTTCCCATAGAAACTAAGATAATAACACAGAGCCACAACAAGAACTCGGCTAAAACGCAACTATACATAAAGCCACACTGATTTTATCAGAATTGCAAATTTATCACCATAGGAATAAAAGTGTCGTAAAAAAGGAGAAGACGAAATACGTACGTTCTCTTCATGAGAGCTTTCTCAGAATAGTTTTTCTTCGCAATCATCTTACCCTTGATACCTATAGACTGCAAATTCACCATATAAACAATGAGATGAATCAGCAAAAGGGAGGCACAATAGTTGTAAGAACAAAAACGAATGGAAGAGGAACAAGGACAAGAAATCAGAACCTTCTGAGCCATTTTGGAGTGCTTGTGAACATCACGCGCCTTCTTCTTGCGCTCGCGTTCATCGTGGTCGAACCGACGTCCATACTTCTTCTTGTGCTCATCCATGTAATCTCCCTGCGCCTGTTTTTCATCAAGCAAAAAAAAAGAAACCAAAGTAATAGTCAGAGATCGAAATCCTCAAGTCTCCATATATGATGAACGAAAGCTATAAGAACACGCCGGCAGCGTAGAACGAACCATGGTTACTTCAAAGCGATCAGACGGTGAGAGAAAGGAAGAGATGGAAGGGAGAGAGATGTTCAGAGAGTGCGTGTTAGGGTTTTATGAACGAGTTGGTTTTTTTGGGTCCTATAAATCTAACGGGCTTAGTTATCAAACAATAATGGGCTTCATCATTAAGCTAAGCCCATCACTGATTAACGATACGTTAAAAAAAGTAGGGTTTTTGATTTTTTAAACGTTTTTACAGTTCCAAAAGTTAAAAAGACTAACGTTTTAAAACTATGATAAAAGAAAAACACGACTGAAAAGCAAATCTTATTAATGATTGTGTTTATTAATAGTTATACAAATATATATACTAACATTATTTGTGATCAAATCTGTTTTTTTGTTAGAATTTGTATCTGATCTTTAGGCCAAGTTTGAAAATGTTATTGTTTTTTTGGTTTTCCAAAAATTAAGGTCAAAGAGCTCAAATATGCGGTTTAGTTCTGAGAAAATCAAATAAATCTTAACTAACTTTCCAATTAATCACAGTAGGTGAAGCCTTGATGAGGCTGAAATTGTCTTTCATCATAATTAACGGCTTTACCGAGATTTTTAAACGTTTTTTACAATTCCAACCGTTTTAAAACTAATGTATGATGATATTCTTTTTTTTTTTGTCACGTAAGTAATGTAAATCGGTTTCACAAAATGAAAGAAATATATATAAAAACTGCTGCTTTCCAAAGCAAGTAAATAGCAAATACATATATCTTCTTAGCATTCTTTGTAAGAAGACTAAAGAGAGTGAAATAATTTCATGTTACAGTTATGAAATAACTTCTCACTGCGTGTATTTAATATGTTGTAAACATAATTATGTGAGTAGGCTATTGGATGCAATCTTAAGTCGCTCTCCTGAAATTTTCATCATATGTTTTCCTTCTACAGTCAAGCTCCTGCTTCCCGAGGACTGCGCAGTTAAGAGGCAAACAACTCATCATTTGAGTCTATCATCACATGGTTTTGCAGTTTGTATAACTATAAAGAGACTAGAAATTGATGATACCTGCAACGAGACAACGTTGTGCAGAATCAAATCGATCTCTGACTTGGATGACAATATTATCTTCCTAACTTTGACATCGTTGTGCATCAGCAGGATCACAGAGACGATGCACTGTATCAAATTCAACGAGTTTCGACCGCTCTCCCTGTCTTGGACCGATCCCAGCGCTTTGGTGTTTTCACTAACCATCGATTGCATTCTTTTCAGAACCTCTTGTGTGAGTTTGGAGCTCCGGTCAAACAGGAAAAAACAAGGTACTAGATAGTAGTTACATGTTTGTATGTAAAGGTAAGAGTTCTCCTTATCTTCTGGTATGCTCTGCAACAAGAGCGCAGAGAGATGTGTGACAATCCCAAAAGATTAGAATCAAAAATTTTAGGACCCAAGAAAGTTTTTAAAAGGGTATATTAGGAAATAAGTGCTCACATTGACCATGTCGATCAGATATCTCGGTAAGAATTCACTTAGAGTGCTTATGCTGCTTTCAGAAAGCCTAGTAGGTTTAGAGTCCAACGCGCATATCATCCTGAGTATGCCACATCCATTGTCCAACGCAGGCTTCAGAATCTACACCAAGAAGAACATCTATTAAAGCATTTATACGAGGAGAATGTTACTACAGTATATGCCTTTAGATATGAGTGAACTTACTATTTGTTCGAGTAAAAGTTTCTCTAGAATATGGAGGACAAGAGAGCCATCACCCATTTCTGACAAACATGAGCACACAAGGGCTGTAAGTGCTTTTAATGTATCCTGCTCATTACACTCCGTAGCTAACTGGCCTTTCTCTGCATGAACATAAAACCTTAAGGTAAGATATCACCAAAAATAAATAACAAAGATCACTCCTAAAGAAGCACAAAACCGAGCTCTCGTGTCATTAGATTTCTACATTATTTTAAAAAGTAGAAAAAGTTTCATGACAGTACCTGAACCAACTTTGAAACGTGCAATTAAGGTGATGAGGAAGCTGAAATGATCAGTAATCTGGATATATCCAGCTTTATAGGCAGTGTGAAGAATTTCCACTATCCGATACAACACAGCTTGCTCGAGTTGTGGATCTGTGATATACATTGAGTTTGGTCAATTACCCTTTTTCATTCTATCACCAACAGAAGTCACTTTAAATTTTGAATAAAAGCAATCTATATTCACGAAGGAAACTTGATACTCACACAGACAGCATGAAACTATTGATTCCAGCATAGGAGAACTAAAATTGTCTATCGTAAAATAGTAAAGGAAAGAGAGAGCCAAGTCTTGGACTTCCCTAGGGAGACTTGCAAAAGGCCCACCAGACACATCACCTGTACAGTTAAAATGACAAAGCTCTGTTTCAGTTTGATGACACTATGAATCTCATAACGGAATTTTTTTTAATGGCAGCAAGAATCGCACCTTCTCCCTGACAAGGGTTGAAGAATTTTCTGATGTCTTCTTCAAATGTGGGGGAAGCATTTAAACACCCAACTCGCCCAAGGTCAAGCAAAAGTTGCAAAACAGCCTGAAGTAAAATACAAAATAAGTAACAAATTACAAAAGATAGATGGGAACTTGATCCTGGTTGATCAAAGGCGTCCATGTAACATGGACTTTCGCTTTGAATAATCTAAGATAACTGGATTGACAATAGATTGTTTGAGTCATGGGTTAGCACCTGCGTTGATAAGGGATGTTTATCACCTAACTGATTTAGCAGTGATGGAAGTTTGTCGACCCAAGCTCTTTGGTAGTTATTTACTGTTGGATCACTTGCACTGAGATAAAGTATATCTCCATTCTGACGATATTAAGATTTTAATGTGAGCGCAAACTGGGAATATAGAAACAGTCGGCCAATATCCAGACTGAACATATCAAATAAATTTGTACTTACAGGGATAATCAAGTCTCTAACGATTGAAATGCAGGCCAGTTTAAGTGCAGACTCTGGTTTGCAGTCGTTGAAGGTAATAGTAAATGCCTGAAAAATGTATATGTAATACAAACAATAAGGTTACTGCTGCTATCAATCAAAATAACTGAGAAAGTATATCCCCCTGTCTAGCTCATATTGCTCTAAGAATCTTAGACAAACCTGCAGAAGATTATCTCTCCAATTATGGTCCACCCTCAATATAAGTCTTGGAATAAAGGGCAACAGTGTAAGTGAAGTCTTTTCTTTAATAGGTTTACTAATCCTGGTGATCTGCAAAATAGATGTTCGCAAATCCCAGTGAGCATTTTATGTTTCTCGCAAGTAAATCGGATAAAATGCAGACAGGGAGAAAGACATCGAAAATATGCATAAAGAAATAATCATCTTGAATTATACATTAATGTAAAGTAACGAGAGTTTACCTTGCCTAGTAATGTATTCTCAATAAATTCCAGAAATCTATTGCAAAGATCAGGAGGAAGGCGGCTCCACTCACTTACTTCCAAAAATATTTCTGTCAATACACTATTGAGGATGAAGTACCTTTCAGCACTCTGTCAACAAACATCAACTAATGTTAGGCAGGTCTATAAAATGATGAACACTTGATGAACAACCACAAAAGCTCTACGGTACCAAATTATCACTAGTTAACATTGGCTATTGTTTATCTAGCCATGCGTACCTTTCCGGAAAGATTGTTTTCTGGATTAAGGGGGAAAGAACCAAGTAACTTTTTTGACAACATTGATGCAATGTCCTGATCCAATATCATCAGAGTAACTTCCTCAGATGCAGGTAGGCATATGGTCTGTCTTTGAATGTGCCTACGAATGGAAAACTTGATTGCAGAACCTATGCTGCAAAGTATATGGTGTATACAATCAAATGATTCTACACCGAATCCTCCCGGAGCATGAATCAATGGAATGAAATCTTGGAAACAGTTGATTATGACTCCAACAACCTCCTTCAATCTCCCGGAGACGTGGGCAAAACCTGTAAGAACCCATTGAAAAATGGTCAGAACACTGTCAACTTCAGCACATGCAAAATCATAGGAAAAGGAATCATTGTTACATATTGTCAATGTATATTTTGTGGCAAACTTTCTACATCCAAGACATAAGAATATAAGAATTGTGGGGAGAGACCCCAGAAGAAGAAAAAAATGAAGAGATATGCAACAGCTACTTGAAGACAATCTAGAGGTTGTACTAGAGAGGAAGAGGGCAAAGAAGAGTGGACTAGGAGTACAGTAGCAAAGTGCATAGATTCAAGAAAACATGACACAAGCCATATACCAATGACTTATTGATGAGAAAAGAAGGCAGATGGCACATACGAACGCATTCTTTTGCAGTATCTTGCTCATAGGCAAGTAGCGTTTCATTCTCCAGAGGTCCCTACAAAATGCAAAAGCAACTGTTAGATTAAGGAAAACGAAGCACATTCCCTGAGCGGTTAGAAGTGTATTAAAAATCAACGACATCCTAATATAGAGAAATGAATGTCGTTTTTGTCCATATGGTTCCCCCAAATCTAAAGACACCCCTACATTCCACATACTCATTCGCCTATAAAGCCAGAGACCAAAAGAAACAGAACCACATACATTGCAACGGCATGTGCGAACAAACAAGAACATTGGAGCTATTCAGAGTGAAAATGATCATCTACCTTCTTCTGTGATTCGGCGTCGCTCTCATCACATGGAAACAGCGACAGGCAATGCGCCAAACCAGAAAGAGCTACTTTTAGCTTGCTTTTATCTTGCACATAGAAATGATTTTTCTGAATAATATCCTTGTAGTTTTCGAGAATCTGCATGAGAGATAGCAGATGGAAGTTTCATGGAACGTCTTGCAAGAACAAAGGTAACACGACAGGTAAAACTTGGAAATGTAAGAGCCTGTGTCACAATCCTAGAAATCAAAGTAGAAACCTTTTCAGCATACAAGGAGAAGGTAGGCGGGTAGTAGTGCTCCACGACAAGGTGGAGAAATTTGAAAGCCATCAAACGAACATCAATAGCTGAATGAGCCATGGCGCTAAATATGTATGGCATCAAAAGTGACACCAGAGGGCCCTGGTTGTTGTCCTGCATAGATCCACGCACAGAATCGGCTGTTAGAGTACATACAAACATGATTGATTACATAACAAGTGGAAGAAGAAAAAAAGGAGAAGAACCGATACCTCTAAACAAGCAGGAAAGATGGTGGTCTGAAACAGTGAATAGAAACTTTCTCTGACTTTCGTCTCATCATCACTAATGCGTTCCCTGAGTTTCAGTAGGATCGCGTGTTTGAGTGTCTGCAGCTCTGCTGGATGGTGCCTGAGAAGGTCTTTGATGCCATGTAACGCATCTACACAGAGAGAAAGAAGAACCAATATTGATCCAATCTTTCTCCTCAACTAAGAAGACAATGTGATTGAAACATGAGGAGGAATCAAAAGTTACCGTTGCGAACTTTGGCATTGTGATGGGAAGTTTGTCGCAGAAGCTCCTGGAGGGTCAAGCCTTTCTTACTTGTAGCGAAGCCACTCTTTTCTGCTGCCAAACTTTGCTCAGGAAGTATAATCGCTGCGATACGAACAAAGCACTTTCAACCATAAGCAGAGAAGCTAAAAAGAAAAGGTTGGGAAAACAAAAGTTTGAATTTGCGAGAGAAAGCATATACCTTTGGATTTAATCTCTGTGTTAGTGGCATTCTTTGGTGGAGGCAATTTTCTCCCGAGCTTTCTCTTGATTTTCTGCCAAATTAAGAGAAGAAGAAAATCATCCGAACAAATTCATCAGCCACTCGATGATTCATTGAAACGAGGCAGTGTTCAAAAAAAAAACCCTTTTTAAAAAAAAAAGCACCTTAAAATCAATTCCTTTCTTCTGCTGCTTCTTTCCAGGAGCCTTGGAGCGAACCATTTTTCGTTTTCAGCTACGTAAAATCGCAAGTCACTGAAATTAGTTTGCTTCTCCTGAAGGCGGAAGATGACAATCACACACACAAATTAGTGTCACAAACACCTAATGACGAGACAGAGATGGTGGCGGAAGAGCGGCGAGGAGGAAAGAGGTTTGCAGATTTTAAGACTTTGACCGAGAAAGAAGAAAGGCCACCATAGGGTTTAAGATTATTTAAGATTTATTTTTACGACAAGATTTTTTCCCCAAATTAAGATGAATTTAGTAATTTACTTGATCTCAAGTAAAAAGGTAAATAGAAAATGAATTAACAAAAACGAAGTGGGCGGCTGTTAGGGTTTATTAGAAAGTTTTGAAATTTTAATGGTACAGTTAGAGCAAGTTTATAATCAAAGACCAACATAATCATTTTGTTTATAAATAAATCTTATTATACAAACACAAGTGGAAAATAAGAATGTGTATACATTAATGAACATGGCATAAAACTAGGAATTCAATGTCAAATTTTTGTAATATTGAAGAACACAATTTCCCTTGTTACAGTAGTCATTCGCATTTCATAAACACTCTTTTTTATTCTGCAATGTCTGAACATGAAGAGGTTCAAGCATTTTCTTTCATCTATGATGCAATTCAAGAAGAAATATATAAATAAGGAATAAATTGATTTCCTCCTAATCAGTATTCACTCGGTGCACACTCAAACAATCCTTAGATGAGTTGATGGAATCCTTGTCTTCCTCCACAAAATAAGGGTTGAATTGCTTTATGACATGCTCATAAACAGGTCTCTTGAAATACACAGCCTGACACGGAAATCATGAATGAATGATAAGGCCAACAGATTTCGAAACACACGCACACACGCAGAATAATACTCTTAAGCCAAGAAACTCACATGTTCAATCACTTGTTCCGGTAGCATCCAAGACCAAACCTTAAACTCCGGTTTAGCAGTACCATCTCCGAGGAGGTTTATCTCTTCCTCCTTGCCCGTGAACTTGAAGAGAAACCTGTATTATATAAGTCAATCACCAGGACAGTTACTTGCAGCTTTGAGATAGTTTTATAAAAACATATGAGAGAACTTATGCTTAGTTTACTTACCACTTCTGTGCTTGTCCTTTGTAACTTGTTCGCCATTTCCGGTTCAGTTTATCCTTCACTTGTCGTGGAAAATCATAGGTCAGCCAGTTTGGTATCTAAAAGAAAAAAAGTCAAATCTCAGTTTGGTGATACACAGAGCAATACCAAAACTCTATCCATAAAACTTCGAAAAAGAATCTTTGTTGAAATAGATTTTAACAATTTACTATGAGAGAGAGGTGTCAAAGAAAGAGCGTGCCTCCGCAACGAATTCCGCCGAGGTAACCCCGGTTTCTTCTCGCAGCTCTCTAAAGGCAGCGTGTCTTAGATCTTCGCCTTCATCAGCTCCACCCTGTGATAACAGAGTGATAAGATAAACAACCATACTGTACTTCTCAGTTTCTCCTATCTTTCTGATATCCTCACTCGGTTGTTACTAGTAGTACAATAAATCCTTGATCTCATTGCATTTGGTTCTTAGGTAATTTCAAATGATATGCCACCAAAATGGGCAATCCAGAACCTATTTAGCGATAAAGACAGCAACTTTCACAATGAACTACAAAGAGCTGTTGAATGGTGAGAACCTAAGCTATCCAAAGCAATCAAAGAAAAGCTTTTTTTTTTGTAATCACGAGGGAGCTATATATAGAGGATTCACCTGAGGCATTTGCCATGTATCCGGAACGTGAATCTTTGATGCAGTAAAAATCTGCAAATCAAAACCATCTCAATCCCAATTACTTGATTATCCAAATTAACAAGATATCCTCAACGGTCGGAGACAAAATCAGATAAGAGTGAAGAAAGGAGATTACTTTTCTACATGGACTAACGAGACAAATCCCAACATTTTTCCGGTAACCGGCAGGCGGAGACTCAACTGTTCTCGCTGGCGGCGATAAGGCCACGGACCGGACCACCAGAGGTTTTGAGGCAGAAAATGGACGTTTCAAGCGCGGGAATTTGACAGGAACCGACGAGAAATCTAGACGAACGTATATTGATGATTTCGCGATGAATCCAGACGCCGTAACGGCCATGGCGGCGGGAACTTTTTGGCTTCCTCTCCCTCTTCCGTTCAGAAATACACTCGGCGATAGATTTTTTCATTTTATCAGAAAGTGATAAAAAGAAATTCTATATATTACGACACTACCCTCCGACAGCAAACGTCGTCGTTTAAACTCTCCTGTTAAAACTCCAACAGCTTCTTATTTACTTACTTGTGAATAGCTTAATTTTACTTGAATATTTTAACAGAAGATTTTGTTTGAATTTTTTTAAATAACGATGACTCCAACAGGCTCTAAACCTCTTGTTTGGTTTGCTAAAGAAGTTCATCTGGTAAAGTGGTGATGGGTTATCTTTCAGGTCACTTCAAGGAAACAGGTTGACTAATATAGTATTAGTAAACATATTCGATGTTAACCAAATCAAATTAATGACGTTATTAGTATATAAGAATCTGTAAAATCACAAACTAAAACAATATTGTCTCGGATGCCAAAAGTTGTAGTGAAAACAATGGTTTTGGGTCCACAGCCGACCATTACAAAAAGATTATACGTAAAAAAGTTACAAAGGGGGTTTGAAAGAAGAAGAAAAGTGAATAAAATGTTATTAAAAGATAATAAATAATGTATAGTTTTCTTTTCTTTTTTTCTTGAAATGAATAGTGTACAATTTCCTTTTGTTATAAATGTAATGTACAACTCTAATTCCTTTTTTACAAAGATATATAACATTTCTATTTCTCTTATGAATTTATGATTTCCTCTTCTGGTTTAGCATTAATTTCCGTTTTTCTCTTGGTCTCATCAATATCCATTTCTTGTTGCACAATTATATGTATAAAACCCGCCATGAGTCTATCCCGTATCCCATCAAGACAACTTTGAAAGAAACGTTTCTTAAATTTTTCCATTCCACCAATAAGCGTCATCACCACGAGAGCTCTGACATGACCACCAAAGTCTGTGACCACCACAATGACTCATCCAGCCTCGGTAAAATAATCCCACGATCTATCAGATCAATAACCTGCATAACACTCTTCATTATCCTCGCCGTCTCTATAGCCCTCGCCTTATTTATATCCATACCCTTGGTAATCACTCATCCGTCGAAGCCACACTTCATCCTTCAAGACGTCACCGTCTCCTTCTTTAATGTCACCGGGAATCCACCGAGCTTCGTCAACTCCAGATTCCAAACCACTCTCTCTTCTAGAAACCCAAACGGCCGTAATGGTATCAACTACGACAGTCTCGACGTCTACGGTTCTTACCAGAATCAACGGATCACTCTTGCGACGAAGATTCCGTCGTCTTATCAAGGACACAAAGAAGTCAACGTCTGGACACCTCTCATCGTTGGACACTCCGACCCCGTCGCTACGTTCAACGCTACGTCTCTTGATCATGATCAGACATGTGACGCAAACAAGTTGATAGTCCACATCGACGGTCGAGTTCGCTGGAAAGTCTTCAGTTTTCACACCCTGACACATGACCTCCACGTTAGGTGTCCGACGGGAATCCTATCCGACGTTGACGCTACGCTCAACGCCATTTGCAATGGCGCCGACGGAAACGAGGTCGCAAAAAACGCCAAAAAGTATACGCTCAACACCGCTTGCAGTGTTAGTGTCTGAAAAGGCGTCGACTTCAAGTCTTCAATGGTGACTGATTTTCTTTATTATTAAGCCCTAATATATTTATAATAACTTCATAGCAATAATAAAAAAAATATTTATTTACAATCGGTTGCGTCATTGTTATGACGGAACTGCAAAGATTGGAAAAGGAACACAGTATAGTATTATGCCCTTTTTATTAAAAAAAAACACAGTAAAGTATTTTCTATTTATTTCAAAGGTGATGTTTATTTCAATTGGTGGCTATTGATGATCGATGATTAAACTGAATATATATTGTTGTTTCTCTATAATGATGATGCACCATCTCTTGTTTCATTGACTTTGATTTTGATGTGATCTGTGTGACGACAGATATTAGTTGTTAATTATAAAGTGAAACATTTAGTCGGAAATGTTTGTGGACGTTATGTTACGGTGATATTCTCTAATGTCCTAGACCTAAACCAATTGCTTAAAACTGTTTACCCGAAAAGAACGAAAGAAAGGTTGCCTCTTTTGCAAGGCGTAAATTCTATAGCTGAGATCCACACTTTCTCAAAAAGAAGAAATTTCCGAGAGCGAGGTCTAATTTTCGAAATAAAATAGTATACGCACATATTTGAAAGGTTATCTACGATTTCTTGAAAGGTTGTCTACGATTTCTTGACACACATACTAGGCTAAATCATACTACAACATTTGTATAAGCACATATTTAACGTACAATATTTAATATATTGAATTAAATTTTGCTAGATTTATTCTAAAGTAGTTTGATCACCCTGAAGAGAAGAAGCTTTACGCCCATCGGCTCATGAGTCCATAATTCCCGCTCCATTGATAAACAATCCTCGTTTGGGGTTAAACAAAGTAAACTGAACACTCTTACCCACAAAACTCTTACCCTTTCCCTTTTAAAATCATTATTTACATAATTATTTTTTTTATATATTAAGCGTATAAGTAAAAGACTTGAATGTACATACATAACAACAAAAATAGTTGTTGTTTTCTCATCAATAGAGAAATATACAGCTCAATTTTTGCTAGTTAAATTTTCTTCAAATCCCTTTCATGTGACACGGTTTCTCAAAGAATTTTTTAGAGGTACTTCAAAATCAAATAGATAGAGATTGTTTCCTCCAATTTCCAATCCCTAAATTAAAACAACCAAACAATCTCATACTCAAATTAAGCAACGTATGAGTAGCTCTCTTTTCAAAATAAAAAACAAGCTACAGGGAAATCAAGCAGAGCGAATCCATCGAAAACCTTGACAAAGCATTTTGTATCACGCTCCTTGTAATAATTATAAATCTAACAAGTTTGTTTCTTTAAAATTCATTTATTATTCACTAAAAGTACAATGGACTAAGACCATTTTAGATATTTTAGACCTGAAAATACCCTAATAAAAGACCTTATATACATATTTGTTTTTTTTTCAGAAGTCTACTAGTTGTATTCAAACTTAATATAGTTAAAGTGTGATCTAGTATTATTCTTTTATATTTTGAATTTTGCTTGAACTTTCTCATTTAAGAAAGATGTAACATTTGATAGCATGTCTTCACCTAATCTTTGTATACAATTACAGGTCACAACATCAATCTTCAACACCAAACCTCCCTTTTGTTTTCTAGCTTATAGCATTAAAACATTATTACAAATTTCACAAGTCCTCGCAATGTTCATTTTCTTTGAATCTGAGAAGTATTCCCACATTAAACATTTTCAGTAATCAAAACATATTTTTTCTGTAGAATTTTGCGACATTTGTTTTGAGAGCCTTTTTTTTTGTTGCTCATATCAATAAACCCTCACAGACATTATTTTATTTCTTTGAAAAGTACTATTATGTTTATTTAATATTCTGCGGTAGACCCACCTGTATACAGCATGGTATAGATCAAAGATATTTTATGTAAATGTTTTTAATAGTTTCGAAATTTCGGACCTGGACCGTTTTGTTTGTGACTGAAGACAATGGCTATCTAAGGAAGTTTCTTAGAAGGTAGTATTGCATTGTAATGACGTCTGTCCTTACAATTCCCAAACCAACTACCGCAGTACGTTAATCACCAAATTACCTGAGAATCAAGAATAAACCCACACAAGTGCTTTGCCGAACAATAAATAGTCAAATTAATTGAAGAGGGAAACAAAAAACCAAAACCCGTAAAGTAAAAAATATTTGAGAAAACAATCTTAAATGTTTATCAAACTCATATCCGAAAAATATTTAAGAACTGTGCCGCAACTTGCAAGTAACCTCTGATTAATTAACCAAACCATCTTACACATACTAAACGGCCGCGTCACCTTTGACTTTGAAAAAGAAGCCGCGTCAAATTAATCGTTTTATCTAACACACGTTATCTTCTACAGTGTATATATACCACATATACCTCATCTTCCTACACTATAATTCCATTTTCTACTTTCTCTTTTTTTTTCAAAAACATTATCACACAAACAGAAACTTTCTTCAGAGGCATTTCGTCGAACACATGGGGGACAGACAACCGCAACTGAACGGTGCGTATTACGGGCCGTCGATTCCTCCGCCGAAAAAAACCTCCCACAGTCACCGCAGAGGCGGCGGTGGATGCGGCTGTTTAGGTGACTGTCTTGGCTGCTGCGGCTGCTGCATCCTAAGCGTCATCTTCAACATCCTCATAACCATAGCCGTCGTCCTAGGCATAGCCGCCTTGATCATCTGGCTCATTTTCCGACCCAACGCCATCAAATTCCACGTCACCGATGCCAAGCTCACCCAGTTCACACACGGCACAGACAACAACCTCCGATACAATCTCGACCTCAATTTCACAATCCGAAACCCCAATCGACGGATCGGTGTCTACTATGACCAGATCGAGGTCAGAGGCTACTACGGCGACCAGCGATTCGGCTCCGGAAACGTCTCGCCTTTCTACCAGGGACACAAGAACACGACGGTGGTCGGAACTAGTCTCGCGGGACAGAGCCTGGTGGTGCTTACCGGCGGAGAGCGGCGGGATCTGGACGAGGATTTGAAGTCGGGGATCTACAGGATCGATGCGAAGCTGAGACTTAGGATTAGGTTTAAGTTTGGGTTGATCAAGTCGTGGAAGTTCAAGCCCAAGATCAGGTGCGACCTCAAGGTTCCTCTCGGTAACTCTAACACAACCTCCGGGTTTCAGTTCCAGCGGACCAAGTGCGACGTTGACTTTTAGTGCTAGTCAAAGTCAACGATCTTATCTCCGATTTCCATCATATTTTATTTTTTATATTTTGGGTTTAGATTGTTTGCTTGATTATTTTCTTTTATTGTATTGTATGGTTCCATGTAAATACATAAATAATTATATTTGAGATTTACATTTTGTCATTCTTTCAGAATACTACTTGTTTTATTCATAGTTTAACTTGGAATCAAGTTTAAATTTCGTCAACAGCAATACAGCATGAACTGCAACTAACGCAAAATCAACGACCATGGACGTTGACGACTAATGCCAAAAGATTACCGGCGTTAAACCAACATTATTAACATCATTGCATTTACGGCACATATTGTTAATGTTAATAACACTACTAAGCAATTAATTAACTTTAAGAATGTCTCTGAGTTAGTGAAGCATTGATCCATGTATCAAAAATCCGGAATCTTCTGCTTCCCCATTGATCCATTTTGTTTGTGTAGAATGAGAACAAGCAACATTGCACCAACGGAGGATCTCTTGGCAATTCCTCCATCTCGTCACCTCCCAACAGTATGTTCAGCTTCTTGACCAGAGCCTCTTCATCAGATGGGTCACACCCAAAAAACTTGTCCTGCCAAAGAAATTGCGGATACAAATATTGAAGGAATCCTCAGGAACATACACAGCGATTAGTAATTTTTTACCCCTTCATCAGCATATAGAGAAGCGCGGATTCTAGCGGTTGCATCTTCTAGTATCGCCAGCAATTTGAAATTTCCGTTGATATCGTGGAATTTTCCGACATCTCGGGGAAACACTTGTACGAACCGAACAACACACCTGAATTTAGCAGTCACCTGGATAAGCATAACCAAACGTCAGCTTCAGAAAGTCTTCATTAGTCTCGTTCTACAAATTAGAGTAAATGATAGCTTTTAGGGATTGAATACATTGCGACAGGTCAGGATGTCCATCAGAGTAACAAATGGAGCGTCCTCATGGGCAACCCCTGAAAATGAGTAAGCAGTATGTATATCACCAACTAATTTTTTTTTAACATTATGACAAATGTGGCCCAAAACTATAAAAAAAAACTGTTGAGTTTATTATATAACCTGTGATTCCTGAATGTGCAGGACTAATGCAGCGTGCGATGGGGCTCCATCTCGATGAGAACTTCTCTCTGCTCGTTCTGAATTTGTAAGAAGGCTGTTTTAAAAAGCTTATGAACAAATGGGATCAAATCACAGGAAAAGAAAAAATGTGTTAAGAGAAACCTTTGAGGTCTAGAGGCTAGCATCTCTCTGCTCATTGTGTACTGCATCTTTGTAGAGGGAGTAAAAGTGGCGTTCCATAATCCCTTATTTACTTGGAAGAAAAGGTTCAGAAACTTCACGTGTTGACCAGGTTGAAGACAGTGAATGGCCTGCTTCTCACCAACTTTCTCTACTATGATCCTCAAAACGGAACCAAAAGTAGGAAACTTGCGTAACACATGTGTAGGCAGCATCTCTGGTTCGACACATAGAGGAAGCCTTTCGGACCTGTTATGATGTCAAATTGCAAGACAAAACACTGAGCTCTCAAGAGCCAACACATTACGTCTGGAATATATGACCAGAAGCTAGGGGTACGATACAGAAAAATGGGATCTCAAAACCAAATTTCAAAAGAAAAGCTAGAGAGATGAATAGGGTGAGGCATAAAGACTTACTTTACCACGATATTGCACGGTGGCATCTCAGTTCCATCCCAAACAAAGATGTACCACCTATCTTTCTCGTCCTTGCAAATGTGAGCAATCTTCACGGGGCAACAAATAAAGAGAAAAACAATGTCAAAGACATATTAGACCCATAATCTCTACTCTGAACAGTTCCAGTTTCTTAAGTACAAATAAACCTGAAAGCTGATTCCAAAATAAACAGATCATTCTACCTGGCAAGATAGGTTCCAATATTCCCCTTCTGTGATATCTTTCAGGGATGTGAAACAGCATGACCCTATCAACGGAAGAAAACAAAGAAATATTCAACCTTAAACACGATTGCAACTTAACAAAGAAACAGAACCCATTTGAGTTGAAATATGAAGGAACCATTAGCAAATTGACATTTCAATGAACAATACTATACACTAACGATCCAGAGTTTTTAGGAAATGAAAACATTTTCGGACGAATCATGTGATCCAATCATAATTACCATCTTCGAAATCGTAAGTTATCATCCATTCTCTCAGATTTGATAAGAAGTTCTTATCCTGCTCTCTCATCTGAAACTTAGGTGACGACTGGTATGGTATAAAATCCTCGTCATGTTTTCCGTTGACTAGAGCAAACGATGAAGATGATTCATTGCAGAGAGCGGTGATTTTCCGGTTAACTAGCACAATCTGCGTTTCAAAACAAAACCCATAAGAAATTTGTTTCAAATTATCTGCAAGAGCCACAAAGGATGTATTATCCCAAAACATCATATCACAGGAATGGTGTATCGACCTTTACACGTGAAAGCAAAACTATATCCCCAATCGATTCAACCCGAGGAAGCCCCCGAATGGTACGAGCGATGAACTTAACGGGAAGGCCAGATCCTGAATGCCATGGATCGACGATTTTCAAAGTACATGAACAATCTGCGACAGAGCAAACCAAGCTATAAAACTGAATTCCTGAACCGAAGAGATGGATTTGCAAAGGGTTTTGGGAGATGGGTCACGCTACCAGAGGCAGTGGAAAAACCTAACTCGACGATGACTCCAATGAGGTTAACATGGAGGTGCAATGCCTTGAAAGCGTCTTCGATTCTCAGGAATTTGTAGTCATCCCTAATCTCCATGTCTGTGATCGTTGTAAGAGTTTCCGAAGGTTGAAGGAAACCGACAAAAGCGATGACTCGGCGCCACTCCGGTGAAACTCCCCGACTCGTTTTCGTAACTCAAACGGGTCTTAAAGCCCAATAAGAGTGAATGATGGGCCGCCACTCAAGTCAGATTAGTTTCCTTTGTTTCTTTTCACTATTTTTATTTTATTTGACTCGTAAGACCATTTCCCAATTGTTTCTTGCATAAATCAAATTGATGCCAAAATTCTCATGATTTTGCTTACAGCACCATCAAATATCCGGGTACAATGTTTTGAAGAAAAAAACACAATAAGAGGACAAATCTTAATAATGATTGTGTTACATATATAAATACTGACATTATTTGTAATCTATAATTCAACATAAGTTCAACAATTATAAATATCATAACTTTAGATACTTAGATTTATCATAAATTTTTGACTAGAAAACATTAAGTTTTTCAAGTAATAATGTCTTGATAAACTATAAAAATGAATAATCAACATAAATAGAAAAAAATTGACTAAAGAAGAGAGTAAGAACAAAAAAAAGAATAATTGTAGAAAAGAAAATTGAGCAAAAATAAAGTAAACTGTAAGCAAAATATAAGCACAAATGAAGCAGTTTGGAAAAAGATGAAACCATATTAAAAATGAAACAAAAGTTAAACATTATATTTATAACTAATAAAAAATGTTTTATTGAAGTAATCAGATATTAAACGGCCAAAAAAATACAAAAATTGTTATCATTCTTTATTCCTTATAAAAATATTGATAAAATATTTGCAAGTTCCAGAACCTCAAACGAAAGGAACAAACATTTTAAAGGATTTGATTATATCTATCCTTTACATCATTAGTAAAAAATATGAACCAAATCGAAACCAAATCAGATAACTAACAATATATTATTTCTAAATCTCTAAACTTCGATTAGAAAAGTAACCTCATTCCTCTTCGTGTGGTTGTCAAATCTACAACGTGTATATTAATATATCAAATGAGCAATTTGCATATATCTTACTTCTTTATCAATAAATTGTTTGATCACTTGGAAAGTGAATACTTACTATTTTCTATCGTATCATTATGGCTACTGTACACAAACGATGTTCTTCTAACTTATAGATTTTTGTTTTGTTTCATCCTAATTTAAAAAAATATCCATGCTTTCTGAATTTATAGAAAGTACTCCCTTTCGAGCTAATGATGAAATCATGAAATAGTTTCTACTATGTAAAAAATTTCAATGGTTATTATAATGTAATCGATGACAAAAAGATTAAGGATGTAATTGGTGATCAAATGAATGATGGAGAATAATGAATTCATCTTCACTTCTTAATTTTTTTACCATTTACTAGAAATATCATTCTTCATTATTCTCTATTTTAAAAGGAATTATAGAACAAAACTATTCCTTATTAAATTTGAGGAGGAACAAAATATATTTATTTGTTTCCTTTTTATTTTATTCTCATTTATTTCTATTATTTTGTTCATTTCATTATTTTCCTTTTCATTCCTGTTGTTCTTTTAATGGTCACCAATTAAAACCTAAATTTTATGGTTCAAAAGTTCGTATTTTTTTCTTTCTAAAGTTGAAAATGTATTCTAGTAATGGACATGTCAGGCTAATACATTCCTACAACGAAACAGAGGACCAGTCCACGACTAGCTTTGTAAACTATAGGTAGAGATGTAAAAACTTGGTTAGACCGATCCGATCTATAGCATAGCCCAACAGATGATATGTTTTTGGTGAGATAAGTCACATGACTAGTTATTTGCAATCTTAACGAAAGCCGTTTGAGAAAAATGAAATCTTTGTATAAAAATCTGATCAATGAATCTGCTTCTACATCGAACTAATCAGATACAAAATCTGAACAGATCTTCCAACCTGTGATAGATGATAGATCTAATCTAATCCTTTCTCAAAAATATGAATAAAATACATTTAGAGATTATATTCTTCTAAAACACGGCCGTATACAGACACAAAATGACTTTTCAAAGAAGTATATGAATAGAAAATGTGTTATAACACTACTTTAAAATCGCTGGATAAATAAGATATAAAAATATTTTAGCCGTGTTTAAGCGTTTTGGAATATTCAAACTACAAATTAAAAACGCTAGAAGAGAACACAAAACAAAATAAAATATAGAAACAAAAGATGAAAAACAATTAATAAAAGGGGAAGGGCATGGGAATCGCATTTGCATTTATATTCTCCTTCTTCTATTCTACATATATAAATACTAACACAATTCCAAAGTGTGGTCTCATTCATCATAATAATCATAAATTTAACTTTTAAGCTCTACAGAGAGAAAGAGAAAGAGAGAGAGAGAGAGAGAGAGAGAGACAGAGAGATGGAAGAGACAAAATCAAGATTCAAGAGGATCTGTGTCTTTTGTGGAAGCAGTTCCGGCAAAAAACCTTCTTACCAAGAAGCTGCCATTCAATTGGGTAACGAGTTGGTACGTTCTCTCTTCTCAAACCTATATATATTGTATACAGTTTTATACATAGGCATACACTTTCATATTCACAACTTAACACATACTATATTTTACACAGATAAACTTAACACATACAATATATATACTTCTTCCTTGTTGTGTCATTTGTAAGTAGAGAGCCGTTTAGAAGAAAGCAAAGTATAACTATTTCTTTGTGAATAGGCTGATTGATTCAACAGTTTATTGATAGTACTTATTATGAACTCAAAATGAAGATTTAGTTTGAAATCTGAACTCAGAATCTTCTCTGAAACATTGGTGTTATGGGTTTTGGTTGTGTGTTGCAACGAACAATCATGAATCTACCAAACGTGTGGATGCTGATTTTTTTTTATTTCTTTATTTTGTTGAAATCAAATTTGTGTTTAAGTTTTATTGTTATTTGGCATGAAAGAGAGATGAGAAAATAGTAACTTCTACTATTCTTAGCTGTAACCCGGCTGTCACTCGAGCAGCACTCTTGCATGATCTATTTTTATTTTCTTTTTATTTGCTATTTATTTTCAGTAATTTACAATATTACACTCGCACACATATATCTTGTTTTTCCATTACTCTGAGATTTCCTATGATTTTTTTTAAAACCTAAACTTACGCTTCCAAGTAACTTTGTTTACGGGAAAGATAAATAATATTGACAGTTTTTACTGCCTCGATCGAAGGGGAAAAAAAGACAAGAAATGTTCGTTGGAAGAATAATGACTCTATGCACAAAGCGTGTGGTGTGGGGTGTACTTCTTCAACAATACAATATATACAAGTGTAAAATAGTAGTAATAATTAGAACCCCTTCTAATAAATATTTGTGATTGATCTGTAGGTCATGATAATAGTATTAATAGGATGGTGACCTTTGAAATTAGGATTGATGATGATGAGCTATTTTTCTTTTTTTCTTAATTGAGATTTGATGTTTGATGTGGTTGCTTCTTTTAGGGGTCGATTGTGGGTTTGGGTTTGTGACACGTGTCTATTTTCATCATGAAAACTCAGTTATTGTAAATAAATGCATATAATGTTATTATTATAATCAGCAATAATAAATTAAAGAAACTGATGGTGGGAATGTGGTTGAAGGTGGAGAGAAGGATTGATTTGGTATACGGAGGTGGCAGCGTGGGGCTTATGGGTCTCGTCTCTCAGGCTGTTCATCATGGTGGTCGCCATGTTCTAGGGTTTGCTCTCTCTCTCCTATTCTCTTTCTCTCTCTATATGTATCTACATTCACACATCTCTATGCATGTACACTATCTATTCATATGATATGATGCATTTGCTAGTTCCAAGTACCACATTACTCATCATTGTGTTTTTAAACATTTGACTGTTGATGGTGACTATCTACATGATGCCTAGTACTTGCTTAATTTACCTATTATTTGTAACCTAGAATTTGATAGTTGATTAATTATTGGTTAGGAGAGGAGCATAGTTGAATCTAGTAAAAGGAGGTAACATAACAACGACAAAAAAGGATCTGTACATGTTTCCTTTGTCCAAAAGTGTCTCTTTGCTTTAAAAATTGTTTACTAAAAATAAGCCACAACTAGTCTTCTTATGTGTATGGTCTATTATGAGAGAATCCCGTTTCAATTTGTCTATAACCAAAATGGTCAACTTAATTTCATTTTTTCGTATTAGTTGTCGATTTAAATGTAAACAGGTTTGTAATTGATTCATTATTAACTGCTGTATTCTCTAATCTCTTGTAGGGTCATCCCAAAAACCTTGATGCCAAGAGAGGTACACACCAGATAAAGCTATACCGAATGAAATCCTTGTTTTTTTTGTTGGACTTTGTATTAAGTTACTATTATTGAGATAGAAATTGCCTTGCAATGATCTACATAAAATAGTGGTAGGACCAAAAGAGGAATGATTGAGACTCGGAGCGTTTTTTGGTTTCATTCAAGATAATCTCCTTGACCAACTATTATATTTATAATTTTTATAAAAACCACAATAAAAGACCATTAGTATATTAGATATTTTGCGGTGTTCACATTTTAGAGGCAATAACAAAGACAAGTATTTTTAAAAATGATGTTTAAAATTTGCAGATAACCGGTGAGACCATCGGCGAAGTGAAAGCCGTCGCTGATATGCATCAACGGAAAGCCGAAATGGCTCGTCAAGCCAACGCCTTCATTGCCCTTCCTGGTTTGTAATCCATTATTTATATGTTGAAACTCTATTCGACTTGAAAATATGTATAAAAGTAAGATCTAAAGTATTTCGAATATGGTAAATTGTTAGGTGGGTATGGTACGTTGGAAGAATTGCTGGAAGTCATTACATGGGCTCAACTCGGAATCCACCGTAAGCCGGTACGTAATCAGGGAAATTAAAATTCTCGTTAACTTATTAAAAATATATATATAGAGATCATATGAGCTTTGCATTATTGTTGAGTTACGACCGGAATATGCGTGTTGATTTTCTTTCTCTTATTTTAGTCCTTTGAGTGTTTTATTTATTTAATACTGGTTTGGTTTAATTTGACTGAATGAAGATACAAATGGTTGCATATGGTACGTCGTAATAATCACATGGAGCAAGATTCCTTTTGGGATACTTTATTCCTCCTTAACTTTTTCTGTACTATTCCATTTTAAATTTTGATTAAACTTGTAACGTTAATAAACGCATGAGAATATAAAAAACGATGTGTTGTCACGACGTACGACTACATAACCCTGATTGTGAGACCGGAAGCTTCCCATGTCGTAATCTTTTTACATATACTACTATTTATGATATTTGGTTTCTAACATTATTTTTGGGCAATAATTATTGACAGGTGGGTCTTCTTAACGTGGATGGTTACTACAACTCGCTGTTAACATTTATCGACAAGGCCGTGGATGAAGGGTTTATATCCCCAATGGCTCGTAGAATCATCGTTTCTGCCCCAAACGCCAAAGATTTGGTTCGACAACTCGAGGTATGATGAATGTCTAACGTTTTTCATAGAATGTAATATGTTTTTTTACATGATATTGATTTATTGATTTGACTCCATAATGCTGTTGTAGGAATATGAACCGGAGTTCGATGAGATAACATCGAAATTGGTTTGGGATGAAGTGGACCGGCTGAGTTATGTACCGGGTTCGGAGGTTGCTACGTGAGGAATTAATCCTACTGAATGGGGGAAGTTTTTTGGGTAAAAAACAGTGTACAGCGGTATTGAAGTTTTTAACATCAGAAGGAAAGGTCGGAAAATAGACAAAAAAAGTATTGGGGTCGTTTCGATAACATTATTTTGTTAAGGGGGTTATTGTGAAGTGGATAAACCACGTGGGTAAGTGCTAAACCGCGTATATACCAAACCCCCCATCATCCCCACTTGTCTTTTGTACATTTTGGTTAACGGTTAAGAAAAAAAGGATAGGGACCAATATCAAGAAATGACAAACCGATCCTTTTCTTTTGGACATTTTTTAATTTTTATATAATTATCTTCTATATTTTTATGGTAACCAAATACACTTATTTATTGAAAATTTTATTATACACATGATATTTGTTGAAGATCAAAAGTAGAGGAATATTCTGATTTCTGTCTTGAGTAAGCGTATACGTATATACAACACAAAAAAGCCAGTCCTGTAAAGATGTGGATAATCAGCATTTTAAGCACTTAAATTAAACTAATCAAGATTGAAAGTCATCTAAATCTACAAACCTGATCTCACATGCCTTTTCCTAAGGTCAAACACTCGCTTCTTTGCATTATTCGTAACTTACACAAGTGAAAACTTAATCAGAGGGGGAAGAAATATAGAAACTCCTTTAATTTTATTCAATTTTCAGCCGGAAGAAACGAGGACATTAAAAAAGATTTTCAAACAAATGTTCTCCGGAAAATTCAGCTCTCTCCAAGCAAAATAGAAATGATTAAGAACAAAAAGTATTAAATAGCAGAAAAGTACTCTTTGCTGAGTTTGGGGTCAGGTTTCATTGATTTCTCACCGGGCTTCCATCCCGCGGGGCAAACTTCATCCGGGTTTTCTTGAACATACTGTAATGCCTGCAATACATAATCCCAAGGAGCAGCAACTCATCATCATCACCCAAAACTTCAAAGCAATGCCTTATCTCTTTGTCTCAGTGATGTGTTTGGGTGAGTTTTGTTCTTTAACTTACCTGGAGGGTTCTCATTGTCTCGTCAACGCTTCGGCCAATACCGAGGTTGTTGATGGTGGAATGCTGGATGACTCCTTCCTTGTCGATTATGAAAAGCCCTCTCAGTGCAATGCCCTGCATTTGTTATAAATAAAGCAATACTTCAATATAAAAGTGGCTGAAATTTGTTAGTCTTTAAAGTTTGAAAGAAGACGAGTGCATTGGACTCGAACACCAGTATTTATGATGCAACTGTTTCAGACCTGGTCAGGGATGAGCACCCCAAAGGATCTTGAAATGGATTTAGTGATATCGGAGACAAGTGGGTAGTTCAGATCACCGAGCCCTCCTGACTTTCTATCTGTTTGCACCCACGCGAGATGCGAGAACTACATGAACCATGAAGCCAGACGTTATACATATTCTCAGAAATACTTGAATAAGGAAATGAAAAACCTCGTGTGTTCTTGTGAAAGCATTTTAAAAAGAAGGAGAAGTGACGAATCGATTATCAAACTGCCACTAGCCAAATTTCTGAGTACAGTAAAGCCATTTCAAACTTCACATTTATCATCAAATAACCATTTCTACAATGCTGCGGCCACAAGGTATTTTCATAGAGTGGAGAAAATAAAACTACGACTTACCACACTATCGACTGAGACACCTAATACTTCAGTGTTTAGCTTCTCAAATTCTTCATAACGATCACTGAAGGCAGTAATCTCTAGAATATGCAAAAAAAAAAAAAGGAAGAAATTGAAAGACCAGAGATCAGCAAGTCATGTTGAGAGAGTTTCAGTGTCTGACTGAGCAGAATACACTAACCTGTAGGGCAGACAAAAGTGAAGTCCAATGGGTAGAAAAATAGAATCACATACTTTTTCCCAATGTACTCAGAGAGCTTGACCTGAAAACCAGTATACGATAGTCTCGAGTAAAGTCCTCTACTGCATTTAGCTTAACTTATGAGATGATTTGACTAGAAGTAGCAGAAATAAAATATGGACTCAATCAAGTACCTTGATGAACTCTTGATCAAAAACTGCCTCTGCCTCAAAATCAGGCGCCTTGTTACCCACCAGTGGCAAATCATCCTGGTTCCCACAAGTTTAAACAAGAGCACTCTTTACGTTTTCATCACTTCGTTGTTAACTTGTGCCACACAAATATGCTCCTACTTTTACTAAGCAGGGCTCAAAAGACTTAATGTATCAGCCAAATGTGAATCAGTTTCACTAGAAACAGAGCATTCTAAATCATTTTCCATCTTTAACTAAAACCCGCAACGACTGTATAACAAAATGTGGCTCAATTCAAGACATTATTCCACACTCACAAAACTCTAAAATTGGTTTTTTTTTTTCTCCCGTCAATAAAAAAAAGTCCTAATAAGCTAACGAATTCCTTCTACAATCACACTGAATGAGAAGGCGGAGCAAATACGATGAAATTCACGGCATTGCGAAAGTCACTTACGGCCTGGGCTTTGACGACAAAGTTCCGGCGAGAGGCGGAGCGGTTAGAGGTGAGGGAACCGAGGCTGGAGAATTTAGAACAGAGCGAAGAGGATGATGCGGAGGTAGAGGGTAGAGTTCGGAGGAAAGAGACGGCGGGAGAGAAAAGAGAAGACTTGGAGGGAAGAACCCTAGAGGAAGAGATGAGGGTGGTGGAAGAAGATAATGACGCCATGGGCAGGAGGACTCTGTTCTCCCTCTCCGTCTGACACTACTCTACAATGGGGTTATTGATTTGAGTGTGAGGTGCAGAAATGTGAGAGAGACGACGAAGGAGATCGGAATTTCGATGAATCAGAACGACACCGTATCGAGTCTTTTCTTTTTGGGCCTATTGGTTTTACTACTTGGAGTCGATAGAACTTCTCAGACCATGTGGCCTAAACCACTTGCCCAAATATGTCTGTATATGTTGAAATTGCTTTGCGTTTTGAAATTTTAAATTCTTTAGGAAAATAATGATTCTTTTGGTTGGTTGGAATCCTAATCTCATCTAATCTTTCACATCCCCCACTTCTATAATGTATATATGTATATACATTTTATTTCTAAAATTTTGCAATTATTAGCTAAAACTATTTCTTCTTGCACACAGAAAAAAACTCAAAAGAAGAATAGAAATTCGTAAAAGAATAATACAGTAAACAATTCTTCTGTTTTTGTAATCTGTCTCTCTTCCAACCAAAATTATTCATAAAATACAAAATAAAGTAAACGACTCTAATATTAATTATTATACGAAAGATAGTGACAAATCTCCATATTATAGCGATCAATAATTGGACCTCTCATATTTTACTTACATACACACAAACCCCAATCAGCCACAAACCTTCACACACTAAACAACAAAACAAGAGAGGAAGACTATGGAGATTCCGCCGTCTACATCCCCGGCGACTTCGCTCCGCCGTAGAAACTCCATAGCCACGACGACGGCTGTGATTACCTCCGATATTCCTTTCGCGATCGATTCGTCCACGCCGTCGTCGTTCGATTTTGATCTCATCTCCTTGAAACCATCCTCCTTCGTCGCTTACACATCTCTCCGAGATATTCTCTCGTCTCCGAGTAGCTCCTCCGTTAACTTACCGACGATTAACGGTAGCAGCTCTCCCGTCGTATCCACCGTCGGCGATATCTCGATTCGCAACCCGCTCGTTAAGCAAGCCGCTTGGTCTTACCTCCAGCCAACGGCGCTCACTTCCTCGGAGGATTCGCCTGGGTCTCAATTCCTCCGCCGCATATGGCACCACTTCTCCGCCGGAATCCAGTTCCTGAGACGTATGTTTGACTGGATTCTCCACTCAATTTGTATTCCTCGGATTGTCAAATAGCTCTCGCAAAAGTTTTGATTTTGGGGATCAATTATCACTTATCAGAAAGAAATTGCAGAGTACTTGGATTTCAGGATTTGAACATAACTGTTTGTATACAATAAAGTGTAATGCGAATAAAAAAAAAGGAAAGGGATTCCGATTTTTGAATTCTTCAAAATCTCTTCTTTCTGCTATTCGTAACCGAGAAACATAAACGAAGTTCCTGTTCGAGCGGTCATATGTGGAATTTCCTGAAATGGGTGTGCGATTGAGTCTGTTTGTTTCATACCTTATCGATGCGATTCCGAATTGTTGTTGCAGAATCCTGAAGGTTTGTAGAGTCCTGTCCAGTGATAGCCTCTAATCTTTAATGGTAACTTAAGGTTTGTGACAAATCGAATGGTGATTTTTTTGATAAGATTGTTATGAATTAAGAGAATAAGATTCATATTCATTTAACAATTGGTAATTAAGCCTCTCAGCATCTTCGATCGTTGATCCTCGTCTCTCCACCTTTTTTTATCTTAATGAAAAAGAAAAACATTAACAATTTCACAATTCCTTCGCCACAAATCTGATTTGGGGAGAGAAAGGGCAATTTACTTGAACATAACAATACAAAATCAACAATTTTGAAAGAAAAGAGATTCCATTTCTAAATCCTTCAGAGCCTGTTTGCTTTATGATTTTCCTTCTATGTTAACATAGGCGGCCCCAGACGCTATGGTGGTGGTTAACTGTAGTCAACTAGAATTCTTGTATCTGACATCATTTGCAACTCCGGTCCGGTTTGCCTTCAGAAATTCCACTCCTGATGAATCTGCGGTTAAAACCGGTTATTGTGATTGTAGCGAGTGTGGTTACACCAGCTTGCACCTAAAAGTCCTGTGACTCCTGTCCTTGAGCTACACAACAGCCAGATAACGGAGGAACATAAACGAAGTTCCTGTTTGCTTTCCCTATCTTAACTTTGATCGGTCAGTTTTCTGTAGAACAACAAGTGAAGCTTCGGATTTTCATGAAATGGGAGATAGATTTACATCTGTTTCCAACACACACCTTATCGATAGCGAATTGTTGTTGCAGATGCTTGAAGATCTGTAGACTCCAGTGATAGCCACATTGTAACAATCGAAGAATCGCAGAACGTCCTCTAATCTTTAGAACCGAAATCCCCTGGTCGATGTCCAATTCATGCCTTGACATGTACGGACGTAGTAGCTTCTCGTACACATAGCTGATTCCCTGTCAGAAAACCAAAAGGAGAATTGTGATTTTGTGAGTGAATGTTTATGAGATTTGTCTTGCATTAATTGTAGTACCTGTGATTTTGGGCACCATAAATAGATGAGAAGAGCGATTTTGGTCTCACCATAGAGTGGTAACCTGCAAGATGTATCAGGCACGCCAATTCTGAATTTCTTTAGATGTAGATGTTAAAGTTATACTATTAGTTCATATACTCACCATGATACAGTGATATCTCCTATCCTTTCGATAACTGTAAGGAGACCCACCATGATCCTGCAAGTCGAATCGGATTTTTTTTTAATAAGATGGTGTTATGGGAATAAGATTCCTTATCCAAAAGATAGAAAGAATATTGTTTTAATTAACAATTAGTAAACTTTACCAATACTTGCACCAGTATCTAAGTTCTTGAATCTCAGGCTTCTTCTTTTCCACGCTTTTGTAGCATCCATATGCTGGGTACGCGTAACCAGCAAGCAATCTGTAAATTTCCACACACAAAAAAAACAAAAAAAACTAAGACAGAGGACGAAAATGCCAATCATTACCGGATTAAGTTAGAGATGGACTAGACATTATGATTCTTGTAATGAAATCTCCCAGCATCTTCGATCAGACAAGCAGACTTTAGGGCTAAAATCTTGAATCAAATTCTAAACCTGGATAAACCGGTTCGTTCGCAGCACAATCAACTGCAAATGAGAAGTAGAAAACCAAAGTAGGCTTCTGATGAGATTTAGCAAAACTGCGAATGAGAGAGAGGGAGAAAGAGAGAGAGGAGTTACAATGAAATAATTAAAGGAAAAGGGAGAAGGGAGGCGAAGGGAGGTTAAGCTTGCTTGAAAAAGACGATTCCTTTATCTTTATATTTAAAACGTTGCATTCCTTGGGATGCCGAATTCGTTTTTTCTCTGCCAAACCGTTTCTGATAAAATCAAATCATATATTTTCAATTGAGTTTTTTTACTAACTATTTCATTTCTGTTAAAAGTTGCGAGTAAATAAATAAAAATCAATGGTAATTTTAGTTATATTTATATTGGTTTGTCTTTAAAATTAACATCCTCCATGATAATAAATAAATTAATGCAGGAATTGATTCGGATATTTGGTTTTCGTAATTTTTGTATGCAATTGTCTGATAATTGTTAATTACCAATTGTTAAAAGAAAAAATAAAGGAAGAAGAGTCAACGTGAAGGAAAGAAGAGCAACAACGAAGAGGACACGTGATCCTCACACGTAGCAAGTGAAATACAGACAAAAATAAACTGGGCCACTAATAGAACTAGGCCCAACTAGAGGCAAGCCTGTATAAATTCATAAAGCTAAGATTTGAAATTGATATCTAAAACGGGTCTTAAGATGAAAGATTACGAAGATATTGGAGATTAGTTGGAAACTTGATGTAACTCACTATCACAAGATTAACATTACTTTTGAGAACATACACACACACACAAAAAAAACCAAAACTATGGAATAACTTCATAAATTCATTATGTATTAGAACAAGAAAAGTGTAAAACGACACCGATCTGCCGATTCACAAAACTCAATGGTCACGGCAGAAAGGCAAACGTGTAATGACTTTCATAACGTCCGGTACCTTAACGGCTTAACCTTCCCGTCGACGAAACAGTTAACTGAAATAGCTGAAGATAAAAAGTGGGAAAATTACTAACTGATTGATGAAGAGTATTGATAAATAAAAAACATATCTTACGCAGAAAAAAAAAAGGATTTGCAAAACGGAACACTTGGTACAAAGCGAAAATCATAACCAGTAAAGATAGCTTGCTACAACTACTGCAGTTGGTTTTAGATGCTGAACTTCATTAGCGAGAGCTATTATAACTGATTCTCGCGATGTTGCATTTCATCAACATCCTCCATGATAACATTCAGAAAATTTGTAGCAGACAACAAGAATTGGAGTAAATAATGCACAAATGAATTAATATCTAGTTACTAGCTAATTAATCGATTAACTTAGGCTTTTTTTTTATTAGAAGGCCAAACTTTTTGTGTAAATTTAAATTGTTAGTTACTAATCGACGAGCTTAAAACGATTTTGTATTATTTTTTCTTTTTTATTTGGTTATAATCTTTATCATAAGGTTATTGCAACGTGTGAGATTAATTAATTGCCTTCTAGAATCTGTATATTTATGTATTCATCATTTTATTTGTTTTTATGATTTATTAATACAATACAAGAAATTTAATAACAACAATTCAAGTTTAATTTTCTGACAGCATTTCTCCCCATATAAATTGATATGAAAACTAATTATGAAGCTTAAATGTGTACTGGACTCACAGTAAAGAATAGCATCATAAGATTTCAACCACTCAAGTTTAAATGCATTTATAGAAGCAATAACTAAATAACTAAGTTGAAGAAAAATATACATATATATAGAAATTCTATGACCCCTCTTTAAGGCTTGGTCAAATCTCGTTAGGGAGGATTTTGTGTGTGTGTGTGTGTGATGCTAGTGGCAAAGATGGTAAGGATCATCTTAAAGAACAGTATTTGAAAGCAATTAGGCATCGGGCAACATCCGGAAAACTCAATATAATAGTATACGTACGTACGTTAACATTCTGCATGTTTTGCCGCTAAATGTGAACACAAAATCCATGAATAGTATATGTTTTAATTTGTCGATAAGTGGATCCGGGTACTTAATTTGTATCAGATATACAACTGTGACTAGTCCTACTATATGAAACTCGTGGAGACCGAATTGTGTGGACTAAAACTTTGGCACGTGGACTTTGGTGGACTGAATTATGTGGAGTTACATATATATCTAAATAATACATAATGGTAACTAATTAGATTGGATTAGATAACTAGTTAAGCTCATTAGGGACATTTATCCTTCAAGAAAAATATTCACAAGACATGTTTGTCAAATTAAAAAGTAAGGATGGATTTCGCATGCTTTCTTTGTATTTGTGGACGTGCAATTGCATGCGAGAATAAGTACGTTTCTATTAGTTTTGCGTCGTGTACTTGTTGACCAAAAGACTCTCTTGGTCCTCAAATATCTTTGGTGGGCCTCTTATTACGAATGGGCCCACACCAAATCTACTATTCCACTCTGTCTTTCTCCCTCCAAACGCCAATCTATCTACTCGATCTTCTCGTCACTCACATGTCTCCTCGTCATCACGAAATTCACATACACACTTCTGTAGTATATCCGACGAATATGATGATTAGATGGCCTAGAAGTATATTTTATTTCATCTTAACAATAAACGAAACTACCTGAACAAAATAAAAAAAAATTGATAACAAAAAGTTACTTTTTTACTGGTGGGCCTACGGTTTTTTATTTCTTCTAATTTTAATGTAACCTCATGTCTAACAAGTAACAACTTTGTTTTTCTATTTGACCCATAGGTTTTTTTCAAACCGGAAACCATAACGGATTAATACTTTGACGAGTATTGTCTTCCCCAACGTCAGAGCTCTGTAATAACTCTCGTTAGAAATGTTACATGTAAAGAAACGAAGAAATCTCTACACTTTGGTTGATGTCAATTCCAATAACCTAAATGAAGTTAATACCATCTAACTAGTTTGGTTCTATGTGGGGTTGTAAATTATAAACCCTATGAAGGTAGAAATGTTAATCAAAGAATCGGCATAATTGAGAGAAAAGGAGAGGTAGGAAGCAGGAATTGAATAAGGGAACATGGAGCTTTGAAAGATGAGATTGCTAAAATTGGAAAGCGGCAACAGAAAGGTGGCATTTAGTTAATGATAAGAAGAGAAATGGAGTTCTTTTAAAGACATGGCAACTAGTGTAATGACGAAGAAAAAAAAAAAAAAAAAAAGAGAGAACAAAATAAAATTCGTATAGCATCATCATGATCATGATAATAATTAATATACTATTTCTTTCTTTCTTTCTTTCTCTCAAGAGGTGAGCGAGAGAAGAGAGCAATGAAGGTGGAATTAAATTCGTATTTATAATCTGACGTAACGCTCATTACAATTCTCAACTGTCTCAATTACTATTGCATTTATATTTTGGTTTTAATGATCTCTAAATCTTAACATTTTGAACAGCTGTTATCAAAAAATAAATATATAAACTGAAGCACCTTCCTCTGTTTTTTTTATTTATCTTTATTTAAATGCTCTGAACTACTTTCCTCTTCGATTTTAACCGGTTTTCATCGTTTCACTCATTTTCTGTACTTCTTCTCATCGTCGGCAGATTTTCCTTTTATAATAGTATATTTTACAATCTTACCATTTTTCTGTTTCATGTTTAGAAGCACCTAATCTAACTATGTTTAGTTATCACACAAATAAAAGTATTATAGATCTCTTTAGTCACCTTTTTCCCTCTGGTTCTTATTTTTTTTTTGCCATTTGCAAACTCATGTTCTAGATTTGTCTGCTTTTGTCTTTAATCAACCATGCAATTGCTCAGGACAAAATCTTGTTATGGATTCTTTTGCAGGAAAGAAAAATTCAGTTTTTAGGACCTATGATTAGGCTACAAAGTCTGAAGACTTTTTGGATGAACAGAGATCTATCTCGAGTTAACATAAAAAAAAAAAATGAAAAACAGGGGAATTTCGGGTTTGTGGGGTCAAAGTAACAATGTGGGACCAATAAGAAGTTCATGTCTGATCTCTAACCAATTTGATTTTACCATTCTTTCTCTCTCTCTCTTCCGAACTGCTTTTTCAACAAGTACAAGGAATCTATATAGTTTTCCCTTCAGCTTTTCTGGGGATCAGGATCAAGCTACATCTTTCACAAGTCAATTTTGATCTTCCTTTTCGTGATGTGTAAGCAATCTCTCTGATACGCTATGAATGTCTACTTTTGTTATAGTCTTACACACAAAACGTCTAATTCTCTTATACATCCAAGAAACAAATTATCAAAAAGAAAAACAGAGTTGCTTACTTTTTAGACATATCTTAGAAACAGAGCATCAGAAACAGAGCATCCCAAACAATTTTCAAATCTCAAAGTTAGGAATCGATTCCGTTATATGGTTTACCAGAAATTCGATGGATAAGATGATCTACACGAACTCGAAGGTAAAATATGAAGACAATGACACATTTTTTCACACATATATATAGAGAGACTAGAGAGAGAGAGAGAGAGAGCGAAATTCTTCTTCCATTAGAGAACTCAAATGGTAGGAAAATGTTGAGAAAGAAAACGGAAAATAAAAGTTAGTGCTATTCGCGCTCCACCCTTTTTGATTTGAAATTTTGTGAGTAGGAAACCCTAATTTCATCTCCTACCTTCTTCTCCGAGGATTTAAAAGTGGAGCGTGATTAGCACTACTCTCATAAACAAGAGCTACATTCGGAAAAAGCAACAAAAAAAAACAGAGAAAAATAAATAAATAAAACTTAACATGAAAAAGGACAGATTTTTGGAGAGTTTATGGGTGGTTTTACTGGTCTTTTAGTTCCTCCGAGTCTTACGACCAGAGGAAGCAGCGGCTGGAGCGTTTGCTTTGGCGTTTGAAGCGTTTTCATGGAGGAAATCAAGGAGAACGGTGCTTTTGCATTTAGGGCATTTAGGGTCGTCTTCTGAGAGCATAACGTACATGAGACAACGAGGACAGCCGACAAGGACCATCGAGGTTGTCTCTGGACTTGTCGAGTATCTCACAGACGGCTCGTCCTGGTTCATCTCCGACGAGACGCACGAGCTTGGCGGTGAGATCGGTGAAGTCGTCGCAGAGCGGCTTGGGGATCGACCCATCCTCCTCTGGCTTGACGTAGGCGGCGAAAGATTCAGCTTGAGCTCCAGCTTTGGACTTCTTCGACTCATCTTCTGTGTTGAATTGGACTAAAACTGGTTCAGACAAGAAGAGATTAAGTGAAAGTGAGTTTGGTCGTAGAAAAAAATACCTTGAAACCTGCGGATTGGGAAGGATTGTTTCTGTGAACTCAAAGACTTTTCGTACTTCAATCACAAAGAGTCTCTCTTTTAACTGGTGGTTGGATTGCTTCAGCTTAGGTCTTTATATACAGGAAAGAACACAGAGAGAAAATTAAAGGGTGAGAGATAGATTTTTCATTAAGGCTTAACTTAATTATGAGTGAGAGAGGAGTGAGGGAGAGAGAGTATCATAAAGATTGAATTGAAGTATACTAGTAGATGATATCAGATGCTTAATTGCTTTAATTTTGCCTCAAGAGTATCGAATTTTAATTACTTTTCAACTTCAAACCACTAATTTTATTTTTATAATAAATACACTAGAAAATCTGTAGATATTTGCAGGAACCCAATTCATTGCTTATTAAATAGAGGAGGAAAAGAACAAGAAATGTGTTTAATGGCTAATACACAGAAATCAAATTAAATACTCAACAGACTATCATTATTTATTTTATTTTCTTTATAGGAGTTAATATATGGAACCAAGAAATTAAATGGCAACCAACTTGAATTAGATGTTTATAATAATATTTGAAAAAATAAAATCATAATTTCCGAAGTAAAAAATGTACAGTCAAATAAATTTAATTGAAATTAAAGAAACGCAAACAAAATTAAATGGCAACACACCAGAATTGGTACAGAGAACCCAAATACAGGCAAATATATAAAGTGAACCACCTCCTGGCCTTAGTTTTATTAAAAGTTTTATGAGAGGGGGACAAAAGAATAAATTTTTCAATTCCAAAACTACCCATGACTACTTTATAAAATTTCAAATTTGCTCTTCTATTATATATTTTGGCTTGTTGAAATTTTGGGGACAAGGAAAAATTAAGGATGATATGAGAGTTGGAAGTAAGTAATAAACCCTATGATTCCATGAAGCATTTCAAGTGGGTCCAATGTTTGGTGGTCAAATTTCGTTATGTGGGTGGATCCTAAGCTCTCAATTATGTCTACTTGTTAGATATCAGTTATCAAATCATTTGATTTATTATAGGCGTTTCACTATTCAGCTAAACTATAAACCATTAGGTGTTTGAGAATTCTAATATCTTTTGAATGAATGTGTAAAGTGTGTTGTGCTACTGTTCTCAGTCTCTAGATGCTAGATGGTGACTGTCTTGGGCTGTTTGTAGTTTTATGCAGCATTTCATTTATATGTTTTTTTTTTTTTTTTTGGTAAGCTGTAGGAGACGAGGTCTCCTATTTTATTCATGAAAACAAAATGTTACACTCAACACGTCGAACACGAGACATTCCGTTTGCATCTTTCGACAATAACGGAGTAACACTGTCCGGAACAACATCAAACAAATGCAAACCTAAAGGTAAAGAAAAGGTATAGTTCGCCAACCTATCTGCTAGATAGTTAGCCTCTCTATGAATGTGTATAATTTTGACCAACTAGTCTTTTGATATGAAGCCGTAGCATAAGCGTACTAAGAATGACAAAGGATGAGAATTTCTAATCCCTATCTGCAGAAAACCAACCACCATCTCTGAGACAAAGGATGAGAATCTCTAATCCCTGTCTGCATTTCATTTATATGTTTAGAATCAAAAATACAGCAGAACACTAATAAATTTTTATATATTTTTCCTATTTTTTAAGTTTTCTAAGGAATTATGATTCTCATACATAACTTAATTTCAAAAAACTCAAAAAAATGTTTTCTTATAACAGTCAAAGTAACAAAATTCTTAGTTGACATACGTAATTTAAATGCATTACATTCTAAAATAAAAATTATACTCAAATAGTCTGATTTCCCACTAATAGGACAGCTACAAGTTTGTTTTCATTTTCACTTTTAAAAAATATAACTATTACTTTCATGGGAAACAAATGGAAATGTTTCTGTGAAGAGCTCATAAACTCAATGAAGGCGATTTTCCAATTAATTAGTATATCATAATTAAACGGTCCAGTAGTACTAGTGTATATATATACTTTCGGATCCACTATAAAAAAAAAAAATTACGTTAGAGGAATCTCGAGCGTGTGAGAAAGCAGGAGAATGAATCTGTGTTTAGGATTTGGGTGGGACCAATCCATTTTGTTAGTCTTAGCTTACTTTTTTCCTCGTAAATCTGCTTCGCTTTTCTCTTTGGTCCCATTTTCTTATCTTTCTATTTTGACCCGAAGTAATCTGACTTTAAGTAAATGAAAAGAAGCTTCGAATTCGTTTCTTCCTTATAATAATAACAACCCAAGTTGCTTACAACGATGTCACAACAGAAATATAGTTATAGATTACCAATATAATTGTGTAAACTAGTGAATGTTATGGGCTTATTTATTTTAAACAATTTTCAGTTTTTGGTTTTGCTATCGGCAACTTACACTTGTACAAACATACTCTAATTTTCTAAATCCATGTTTTTGACACAACAACAATTACTAGTACAAATCATTAAATTACTTAATCCACAAAAATACAAGTCATTGTCAGAATTTTTTTGCTTTTTGGTTAAATAGAAAAGAGTTTGCAAAGTGTAATTCAGAGAAAGTAAGCAAAGAGAGCATTAACAATCGGCTCCTCTCAATAAATCGGGTATCCTTAATTGCACCAATCAATGTACAACTTGATATCACATGCATCAAAGATCATACTATGAAAAAAAAAAACAATCTTCTTAACACATAGCTTTTCTGTAGCACCACACTAGATATCACACCTCTGACTAGTTAAATACTTAAATATGATATCATAACGTCTAAATATAATTTGTTGAAAGCTAAAAATAAATTAAAAGGCAAATTGAATAAGTTTACACCCGCTTTAATTTAGTGAAAGATTGACGAAAATATGTGCAGATATGTCGGCTCAAAAAGAACAAAATGAAAATTTCTGCATTGAAGTTCTGTTTGATTTTTCTATTCATTATTACTAATATTTTAATCTATGAAGATTATCGTAAGAATATTGAAATGTTGTTTACCTAATCGCCTCTCATCGCCCATCTTATTACATAATGAAATGATGAGATCTCGTTCATTAGAAATTGAATTAAAAAAGTTATGTAGTTGACTTGTAGAATTAATAGCATTCGTGTAAACGACGTGGGCATATAAACTTACAAACACTATTGCTGACTTTAAAAAAAAACGATAAATGGTTGCTATTGTTGACTTTAGAGTTTAGTTGTTTAGTTATTCATCACGTCACACAAGAAGAATAAAACCCAACGGGATCTCACCAAACAAATACAAGTATAATAGTTATAATTCGAACCGTACGCTGATTTGGTTGTGTAAATTTTTAAAAGAAAACATTGAATCCATAACCAGTTTCATTTCCATATGGTTCTAGGAACATATATAATTTGGAGTTAACGTTCATACATTTCCTTTTAAGTAACAAACTGTTCGAATTATAATTCTTTAGGCCATATTGTGATAATCAATGTATACTGGCGGGCAGATGGATTAAGTCCTCTAATTTTTTTTTTCTTTCTTTCTGTCATCGACACTATAACGCTCAAACGGGATTCTGAAACAACAACAATATAATTCGTTGACAAAAAAAATATTAGTATAAATTAACCACCAAATCTCGAATTCATATTTTCTTAAGCTTTGATATTTTTTTTCTTTTTCTTTCAAGAATATATAAAGCCAATAATTGATATATTTACTGCTCCTTCTTCTTTACATAAAAGACTTTTCTAATACAATTCTTAGCAAAAACAAAACAAAATTAAGGTATTCCACAATTTAATGCATACGGCAACAATAATTGTGAAAAAAGAAGAGTATAGACTCCAACTCCTTTTTCACCATTGAACTTTTGGGCACGTTTTATTTGCTCTACTCTTTTTCTTTTGGACACATTTGGCATGTTGGTAATAGGTAATAGAAGATTAATTTCATACCAAATGCATTCACTATTCAGGGATGGAAGGATTTGAACTTGTGCATATATAGCAGGATCAAAACGCTTTTATAAAAAAATCTTACTTAATTAATGCCGTTCTTTTAATTTATTTGAAAGCAAAAATACCAACACAAATAATATGTATTACACTAGTCAGGAAATCGTTGAAACTGAATATCGGTGTATTAGGAAAACCACAACTAAAAAGTTGTCATATGAATCTAAAGCTTTAAATTCCATGCTATTAACCGATTCATACTGGAAATATATATAATTATCCGCTATTATAATAGCCTAATTGTCATCTATACAACCTAAAACAAAATCAAGATATATTCAGTATTCAACGAAACGCGGGATGTTAAATAAATATAAATTGAACCATATCATGACAATTCATGCATATGGAAATGCATAAATAAACGATGCGTGGAAAATGGGTCAGCGAGGATCATAATAAAGATAGTCACGATAACAACGGATCTGTTTCATGTGGTGTAAAACACCAAACGTTAGTGCATCTTTAAACATAGGGCAGTAAATCTTAACATTAATATTTTGGAAAATATTTTTTACTAAATGAAATTATTACTGATGAAGACGAATACTATGTTATGTTCAGCCTTATATTTTAGGATTAGTGGGCCCAATAGGCCCAAAATGACTAGAAGCCGAAACACCACCATCTTCTTTCACTCTCACCGAGTGCTAGGGTTTTCTTCTTTTTCTGGTTTAAGTGCAAGGGTTCCCAATACATGTCAGAACTTACGGATGAAAGAATATACAAATATTCTTATTCTGATTCTCTTTCTGTTGAGGTTTCTTGGCGATATCTTAGGGATATCTAGTTTGAATTGTAACAGATAGTATATATAAACCTTGTAAATTGATTGATGAACTCAAGGGAAATATACAGATTTTCAACGGATTCTTTCATCACTCTCGCTCGCACTTAGGTTCGTCTCTCCTGCGTCAATCATTTTCGTTCATTCTCTTCTATAATTGTAGTTTTGTGTATGTTTTACTTGGTATCCTGATATAATGTTGGATTAGGTTGATCGTACGCGATGTGTTGGTAATACTTAGGCCTCGAAACCGTGTCTCTGAAACTTTTGCGTTTCCGAATTTTTGTTATGATGCAGAATAGTTTCTACCGAAGAAAAATGATTGATGCATGGAAATCAAAACGGTCTCGTTCCAAAGGGATGCTGAGTGGGAGATCGAAGAAATTAGATAGGATAAGCGATTTACCTGATCCTTTGATATCTAATATACTTTCTCGTATTCCCACAAAGGATGCTGTGCAGACGAGTGTTTTATCCACCAGATGGAGGAATCTCTGGATGTGGGTTCCTGATTTGGAGTTGGAATCCGCTGAATTCGCAGATTTCAATGCCTTTGTGGGTTTTGGTCACAGGTTCTTCGATCCCAACAGGGTTTCAAGCATGCGCGAACTCAAGATAACAATTGGTGAAGACGACGACGGTGCAGATGGTTTCTCTTGTCTCGCTTCATGGATTGTTGATGCAGTCAGGCGTAAGGTCCAACATCTACAAGTTGGTTGTCCTTTCGAGGGTTTGTATGAGATTCCCGGAGGGCTTTACACCTGCGAGCCGCTGGTGTCCTTAAAACTCTCTAAGGTAAATATGGCTAACGCAGAGCTCGTGTCCATGCCTTGTCTGAAGAGTATGCGATTAGAGAATCTCGATTTTCCCAATGAGGCCACTTTCGAGAGGCTTGTCTCGTGATGTCCGGTCTTGGAAGAGTTGGAGATGATCGTGGACGAGGGAGACGCAAAGCTCTATCGGGTGCAGTCTCGGTCGCTGAAGAGACTCGATTTCGAACGAAACTATTCTTGCGCTCCTGATTCTGTTCCGGGAGTTTTGATTGATGCTCCTCTACTACGCTCAATGAGCATCTTTGGTGATCGAACTCGCAGCTTTTTTTTTAGGGGTTTTAATGAAAAGAAGAGGAGTGGCATCCGGAGTTTTCTTCCCGGGGTTTCAAGGGTTACTGATATGACGATAGCTGTAACAACTATGGGGGTATATATATATATATATATATACATATGTCAATGCACATTTATGTTTCTCTCTGGTTCCAGTTTCTCTGACCCACTCTCTTGGTTTTACAGCTCATCTACAATTACTCAAGACTAGAACCCTTGCCTCAGTTTCGTTACATGTCCCGCTTATGCATTGCTATCCGTGCAAACCAATTGAAATGGCTCCCGACTTTTCTCGGAAGCTGCCCGAATCTGAGATCCTTGATCTTGGTGATGACTAGTTTCTATAAACCCTATATTATTTTGCTCTATCGTTTCTCTTTTTTTTTTTTCATTGTGTTTTACCTTCCTCTTCATTTTGTTCTTGGTCAGGCAGATATTATTGCGGTCACTACCACGGTTACCCAGGTTAGGGGGCGATTTGACTATTCATATGTGCCTCATTGTTTGGTATCCTCTCTCGAGTTTGTTGATTTCGAATCCCCGATCCTTGGATATAAGTTGGAGTTGGACTGCATAAAGTACTTCCTGGAGAATGCAGCCATCCTCAAGAAACTCACTATAGGTAGCTTGCAAGTGGATGCAAGTAAATATGTCGTCGCCGAGTCTCTCGTCCAAATCGCAAGAATGTCTACCAAATGTGAAGTCGCCGAGTATCTCGGCAAAATCACAAGAATCTCTACCAAATGTGAAGTCGCCATAGGCACTGATGCGTAAAAGACACGGACGAAACTTGTCGAGGGTTTGTTTGTGTAAAGACAAATGTGGACTTCTTAGGACACACGTTTCTGAATATATTTTCGTCAATTTAAATATTAAATTTTAAAAGATCCACTTTTGTGATTTGATTCTCGTATCCATACTGGACAAAAGTATCTTCAGTGCTAAAAACTCAACGCGAAACGCACTGATGGGCTAAATTTATTTCGGCCCAATAGAATCAGGAACAGTGGAACACCATCTTGAGTCTCTTCATTCTCTCTCAGGAGTAGAAATTTGCCAAATGATGCAATTTCGTGTCGTCTTGGAAGCGGAGAACGAACTGACTTGGAAACCAAGAAATCCTCTGAGAACAAAACTAAAAAGCAGAGCCCTAAAAGCTACTAACATTTATACGGACGTCGGGCTAGCAAGTTATTATGGACCAAAAATTAAGAAGCCCAATTCATAGAGAGATTAGTTGAATATTAAGAAGCCCAATTAATAAAGAAACTAGTATTAATGTAAAATTGCTTCTAGACTTCTAGTTCTGACCTCGATTAGCGGACAAAACAACAAGAAGCCAATAAATAACTTGAGAATCACATAAATAACCCATAACAACTTGAGAATCAAAACAGACTCGCATAAGAGACAAAAACAGAACAAAGCCACAAAGAGGAAAGGAAAGAATCTCGAGGCTGTGTTTTAACATTTGATACCATCACAAGACTAGGAGTATCCTCTCGACCTAAAATTTCATGAGTTGGCTCTCGTTTTGGTTTTTATGTCCTATTTTTGCAGACTCTGGTCTTCCCGTTATTGATTCAACCCATTAGTCCCACACTTTCAGTGTAATCATAAAAAGAAGAAACCAAATGAGAGAGAGAGAGAGAGAGAGAGTAGAATTACACCCAAGATTCCAATATCATTCATCTCAATGTCGTGCCTTAGCTATACATACTTGATGTACCTCTCTATAAGGACCACTCTTCTTTGATCTCTCTTTCAAAGTACATAATTTTCAAGTGCAGTGTGCTTAGAAAGAGGGTTATGGAACATGCGCTACAGTGTACATGTAACTGATGGGTCTAAACACCACTTAGAGGCAGCTGATCAAGCTCAGTTACTAGCTCCGTCAATTCAGCCTGATTTTCATTTCTGCATTGCCGCAACTGCCTCCTTAGATCTTGGACCAACTCATTAAGCTTCTGAATATTCTTTTCTTGAGAGAGAATTTTCTGCCACAAATACATAGTCATTAGATCATACTATGAAGTATATCCTTTTGGCAATCACATATGGGTTTAGTAAAGTTAACAAAGAGTTTGGGTTTCAGTTTAAGAACCCATCTCCTTCCTTCAGCTCAACATACACAACATCGATTTAGTCTCATTAACTGAATAAAAGACAAACCTTTTCTTGCACAGACTCTTTGCCCTGTGGTATATGTTGCTCTTTATCTGATAGAATCAGAGGACGGCTACTCTCAACCTCACTCTCTACTTCCTCCTTCCATTCGAACTGAGAAGTCAACACAATGAACATAAGAACAAACAAAAGCACCCATGTTCTCGTCATCTTGCAGCTACTTGATCTTTATTGTAGTCTTGACTTTAGCCTGCTGCATAACAAAAACCAAAAATCAACACTTTGAAATGATACGCTAAGAACTGCAGAGAAAGATCCAAACCACAGTAGTCTTTGATTCCTTCTATTTACAGGAACTGCATAAAAAGGTTTAAACTTTGTTTTGGTAAATAAAGAATTTGACCTTTCACATTCCAAAATCAACAAATCACCCCCCAGAAAATTTCTACTTCCATGATTCCGTATAAAAAAAAAATCCACTTTCAACAAGGAAGAAGAAGAAGAACAATCCACTGTTACAATTAAACATTAGAAACGATCTTAGCTTTTGGTTTTAATAAATTTTCTCAGGCAACAAAGTCAAAACAGACAGAACACCCGGAAAATTCATATCAGAACTTTTAGATTCGAGAGAGAAAATCAAAGAGCAAAGACGAAACTCAGGTTAAAAGGTAACAATATTAGACTCACCAGTCGAAATCCGAAAGCATGAGGGTATTTGTGCTCCTCGTCTTCGCTTTTTAGTATCTTCTTTTCTTCTTTGAGTTTTTCAACGAATACATCTCACACAACTCGCACACACACACACACGTTTTTAATAATACTTTCCCTGCTTCGAGATGGGTCTGTTCGGAATACTGAAAATAATGGGGTAAATTAAACAAATATATATTTTGAAGGGGTGAAATTGTAAATTTTATGAAGCAAAGATCGAACAAATAATAGAAGAACAGAGGCGAAACCTCTGCCGGAGAAGAGAGAGAGAGAGAGAGAGAGAAGAAAAAACCGGCGGAAATGGGAAATTCGAACTCGTCTTCCGTAAATCATCGCTTCACTTCTGCTTCCAGGTCTTCATCGGAACTAATCTCACCTCACTCTCTAATATCACTTTCTCAATTGGGAAATTGTATGTTATGAATTGAATTGCGTGTTTGTTTTTGTTGTTGTTGTTGTTGTTGTTGTTGCAGAGCTTTTACTCAGAAGAAGCTCGAAGATCTCAAATCTCTCTTCGCCTCCCTCGCTTCCCAATCTCAGAGCAATGACCAATACGTATCGTACCCCGTTTTCCAGGTTTGATGATTTCTTCTGAGTCCTTCTCATCTGGTTTCTTTCTATGGTCAATAATTTGAATTAGCCTCACGACCTGTGTTGGATTCGATTCACAGGCGTATTTTGGTCTGAGTGGCTCTTTAGGAGAAAGGATGTTTGATATGGTCACTCAACACAGGAAAGATGGTAAAATGACTTATGAAGATCTTGTCATTGCTAAGGTGCTTACTTTCTTCTCTTTGTTGTGTCAATGGTTGGTTTCAGAGCCATCAGCAAGCTACTATCTCAAAATCGTATTATCTAGAATCCAATTTGACTTTGATTTTCTGGGTTTCGATTCTGAATTTGAAGTCTCTGCTTTTCTTAACTCTTGTTGCTTTTCAGGCAACATACGAGAAAGGAACTGATGATGATATTGCTGAGTTTATTTACCAGACCTTGGATGTAAATGGCAATGGGGTCTTGACGAGGTATCGACCGAGGCTCTTAAACAGATTTTCTCGTGGATTCAAGTTGCTTTTTTGATCAATGTGATCAAGTTTCATTACCTGTCTGTTATATGTCCATGATTGAGTCTCTTGATCCTTCTGTATCTGACGTTCTAGTATCTCTTCAGGTCTGATTTAGAGTCGGTCCTGGTGGTGATCTTCAAGAGTGTGTTCTCCTCCGAAAGCTCTGTTGCGGAATCAAGTGATTACGAGGAGATGGTGGATGCGCTCCTCAATGCCGCTTCTTTCTCAAAATCCGATGAGGGTTCTAACGAAGGAATGTCTTTTGAGGATTTCAGAAGCTGGTGCTCACACGTTCCAGCTATCAGAAAGTTTCTAGGGAGCTTGCTTATGCCCCCGGGTCCAGGTTTTATATCATCTCCCGTCTTACACACACATGTTTCTTGTTAACAAAGATGGTAACAGTTGTTTGTTTTCTCGTATAGCGAGACCTGGATATCAAGTCCCGCATCTGCTCTGTGAGGATAGTGTGGATTCAAATATGCTACTGTTAAAGAAGGAATACGCTTGGCACATCGGAGGAGCTCTTCCTCACCACGAGCTTCAAGAGTGGAAACTGCTGTATCACAGTTCCTTACACGGACAAAGCTTTAACACATTCCTCGGACATACATCGTGAGTGGTTTTTCTCCACTGTAAACCATAACACACTCTTTGCTTTTGCGACTTTGGACTAAGAAGAATCAAGACAAAACTTACATTTGGATTCCTAAGTGTAGTTATCACTATCTTGCAGGCACACCGGCATGTCTGCGTCGGTGTTGATCATAAAAGACAGAGAAGGCTGTGTGTATGGAGGATACGCCTCGCAGCCTTGGGAGAGGTACAGTGAATTCTACGGAGACATGAAGTCTTTTCTATTCCAGCTAAACCCTAACGCATCCATTTTCCGACCAACTGGAGCAAACACCAACATTCAATGGGTAATAATGCCTCCACAGACACTATCTTTTACTGTTGTTATATGTGAGAATGTGATTGATTACATGCATATTCTAACCATAAGTTGAAAAACAAACCAAAAACATGCGCAGTGTGCTACGAATTTCACATCGGAGAACATTCCGAACGGCATAGGATTTGGAGGAAAGATCAATCACTTAGGTCTGTTTATATCAGCAAGCTTCGATCAAGGACACACGTTTTCCTGCACGACGTTTGGTAGCCCGAGTCTGTCAAAGACGAGCAGAATACAGCCAGAAGTGATAGAATGCTGGGGAATCGTCAAGGCCTCCAACGAACTAGACTCTCAAGAGAACGCCCCTAAAGGTACTGTTCTAGACAGGTTTAAGGAAGATCGCAACATGCTCCAACTACTCGGCATGGCAAGCAATTCGAATGAGTGACAAAAGTTAAAAGGATTTTGGTTCTGAGATGCTATCTTATACTATCTGTGTGTGCAATTACATTATTTGTATCATAATTAAAGAGTGTTGTATATTTCACACCAAGTCAGTTAATAAACCATATCAGAATCTGTTTTGCGACCAACGAATTCGGTTTGTATCAACATAAATTCCATCTAGATTCTCAAATGAAGCATAAATAAGAAACTCGACAATTGCAAAACACGATAGCAAAATTTAACCAGTGACTGACATTCAAGCTTATAGAAGCATTCAAGTTAACGATTCAGCCAAAAGAAAAGGAGGAACAAAAATTGCAGATAAAAAAAAAGCAGATTCTGAGAAGCCACGCTCACGCATCTGAGAGACGAGTATCAAATACTCACTCTAGAACCTCCTACCACGGCCGACATGCACCGGAGCTGCGGAGGCGGGTTCATGCTTGACGATACCTGCCATATTGGACATTCCCAAGGTGGCAAGCATGTCGAGCGTCTCCTTGTCGACCTCGATATGATCGGTTTTAATGGCGGACTCGTCGGGGACAAAGTCCATGCGGCGCTCACGCTCTTCCTCCTGGAGCTTGAGAGAGATTCCGCGGACAGGTCCCTTCTGGATCCTCTTCATGAGATGGGTTGAGAATCCGGCGATCTTGTTGCGGAGCCTCTTCGAAGGGATGATTGCGACCTCTTCCAGGATCTTCTTGTTGGTGTGGAAATCAAGCGTCATGCGCGAGTAGTACTTCTCGATCACCTGACGAGAGGATTTCTTCACCGTCTTCGTGCGGACGCGACCCATCTTTGCCTGTAGATTTAGGGTTACGAAACTCTTCGACTCGCTCTACTTCTGCTCCTGAAACCGGCCGAGAGTTTAGGGTTAGGGTTTTTTAATTTTGTGGATCAGAGTGTATGTAACTGTAGGGTAGTGGAAGGGCTCCAAAATCGCATCACACTGTAGAAACAGAAATCTGTAATGAAGCCCAATAATGTAGGAAGGACCCATTAAAAGTTTGAAGCTCTGGAAAAGGGCCCACTAAGTATTTGAAGAATCCGCCAAGGGCCCATTACATAAACCTTAATTATAATCGTTGTTAAACAAGTGCCAACAGTGAATCAATTTTAAAAGTATGTATAATCTTCTTCATTTATTTAATAGTTTACGGGAAATTTTGTTTTTACTAATTATTAAGTGATTAATATGATCTGTCTCGAAATATTGGAATTTGTTGCCATCTAAAGTTCACAAAACTAAAATATGAATTTGAAGGCTAAATATTGTTGGGTCTATATAAACTGTCGAAGTCTAAGAAATCGGCTGCATAAAACTATAGTGTGTGGAATAGTGATGAAGGTTAATTTAATATAGATTAGAAAAAGGAAAATGTGTGTGGTCCCTTTCCTCCTCCAGGCCAGTTTAGCTTAGAATTTAGAAAATACAGCAAGAGATCTTTTGTTCTTGCCATTTTGAATACATTTCTCGATATTTCTTAATATGGGCTGATTTAAGTTGAAATTTTTTTACCCAATTTATAATATTTGCCCAAAACAGAGATTTTCACTGCTTTTTAGGTTCTTATTAGTACGTGGGGTTGCTCCATAATGGAGCCTCCATTTAAGATGACTAGTTCGAGGATCACGGCAAGATGGATAACTCACACAACAGTAATCTAGAGATACATAATAATAAGTGACATTTTCGTTTGTAGTTAAGGCGTTTACCGTTACTATATCAAGATTAAACTATTCCAGTTACGAGTTACTACTGCATAGTGTATATCAATAATAATTTATGTGATGAGAGTTCAAAATCTCGGCACGATATATTGTGTATAGTATTATAATTCACTGAAGTCTCTTGAATAGTCCGTGCACAGTTACACACACACACTTAGTTGGATTTAAGCACAACTAAAGAGTCTACGAGAGACACCTTGCTTGCAAGTTGCAACCAACCAGTTTCTACTCATAGATATCGCTTACCAATGTATTTGAATCTCCCCTTAATATCTATCTCAAATTCGGTATGTTTTCTACTAAAAATAATCGTTACATCAAATATTTTAGCAATGCATGTTCCCATAGTTCCATCCTTATTCCATAATATCTTTATGTTCCAGCGCATCTACTATATGTTATTACCTTGAAACTATACCCGAAAGTCACACTTTTGAACTTCGTCAAAACCTAAGAAAATAGAATATTTTTATATTTGTTACATGTTAATATGTATATTATTAATTTACCTCGATTCCTGCCAACGTACCTATATAACATATTTGTATAATGTAAGATAAACACTATTGGTTTCAACTTGAATGAGGTCAGTTAACAAGTGAATCCCTTATTAATTGTATTATATGACTGAAAAGTACTCGGTCCTTATGAAAACACGAACAACGGAACAAGAAAAGGGGAACAATTTGATGGACAAAAAATATAAAGCGAGTACTGTACTGTGCTATTTTACTAGGGAATTGAGAAATTTGTCATAAGCAAGGAACATAAGAATAGAAAAATAGCAACTTACTCGAAGCTCAGTGAAGCTTCTCGCACCACTTTCCAAAAATAACAAAGGAAGGTTGTCGTTTAGGGACATTTAAATAAGGAAACTTGCAGATTATAGACACCATATGGTTCCATATCAGTCCAGCAATATCTATATACTGAATTTTCGCTAATTGAAATGTATACGGACCATTATCACAGTACATACGTATTCAGCTTTTATCACATAAATATTGCTTTATACCTTCTTCATTTAACTTTTGATTTTCATAGACCTTTCAGATTCAATATCTAGTTTTTTTAATGTATATTGTAACCACTGTAATCTTGTCCCTTCATTTCAAATTCAAGACCAAAAAAAATAATTTGTGAGAGGAATAAAAAAAATAATTTCATTTATCAAATTGTATAGGGTTAAAAGTTGAACAATAATAAGGACAAAATGTTAAATCATGCTCTATATATAAGACTTTAACCATAGAGCAAAAAAAAAGAAAAAAAAAGACAAATTCTTGCAAGATCCCAACAACCTCTACTATCATTGGAGAGGAAATAACACCATCATGTGCAATATTACTATTATGAAAATTTAAAGAATTTCTTACATAAATATTTTAAATTACTTATAGAAAAGGATAATATATATAAAATAGAAATAAAAATAATATAATCGATGCAGACGTACATGCAGAAAGGTGGTTCTGGAAATGATGCCGCCTTTGTCCATTACTCAATTTTTTCCGTTGGCAACACTAATTCGATCATTATTTGATGAAGAAGACATGTCTTAGCTATGAAACAAATTATAAGACTATGTTACAATCATAATTACAACCCCGTCGAATAAAGATACCAAAACGAGTGTCCGTACTTGATTTTGTTGGGAATTTCGATAAGAGCGGAATATCAGAATATTTTTTCTAAATTGGTTTGTATTTTAGTTAAAATTATTTCTATGTCGATTTATCCCCACAGGTAAACTCGTATTGCGGTCTTAGTTCAATGTTTTGTAATTATCCAAATTTTATATCTGCATATGTTCAATACAGTCTGTTAGCATATGTTCATTACAGTGAAGTTTATAAGTAAAAAAAAAAAATTCTACTTAAAAGTATATAAATTTAGGTATTATTCTTAGAACCCAAATGAACAATCAATGTACTTTATTGAAACAATTAGAGTGTGAGGAGAGGATTGAAACACGAAAATAGGAGGAAAAATATCCATTGGGACAAATCTTATCGCATATTTGTAGTTTTCTTCCTATAATTCCTTGAGAAAGATCCCAAAAGTTTCTAATTATATTTTACCTTTTGCTATTTTTATGAGTGTATACATAATCTATTCAGATGGTCCTCTTTACTTGTCAGCAATGAATTTTCACTTTTTGTTGTAAAAGGGGAAATAAATTTTCATTTCATTATTTATATCACGAAAGCTTGATAATAGGAGAATAGACGCATGAATGAGTATATATTTTTTGTTTGTTATTATAGTTATGTTTTTGTTAGAACTCCAAAGCCAAACGGATAAAATGTGAGTCATTAATTATAAGGATGGCTGTGCAAGACTGCAAGTAGGTTTTTTCTTGGAATCCATAGTTATATCTTTGTCGAAATTAATTAGAAAAAGATGAACGTCTAAACGCCAATAATGGTGTCCACCAAGCACGTGACAGATATTTTCATAATTTGTTTGACAAATTAAAATGATAAGATTCAATTTACTATGGATGAAAAACATTGGCGATTTCTGAAAAGAAAAGAAAAAAAAATTGGGGGAAAAAGTCGTCAAATAAAACCAGAATAAAACAGAAGAGGACCACGTAGGTGCCCATTTGCAAGTCTTTTGGAGTTTTCAGGTAGCCATCATGGTTAAGAGTTGGGTCCAAATCCAATATTTTAAAAACGATTAAAAGCAAGACAAATAAAAAAGACACGCGATTTTTTAAGTATAACTCCTCCACCTGTTTACAGTTTTTACATTTTACTGTGATCAAATCATTCATAGTGTGAGCTAACGACAGTTACAAAATGTCTTTAAAATATGAGAAAATAATTATTTCTTTTATGAAAATGATTATTAATATTATTATGTATAAATGGGTGCAAATAATATAGATTCAGTATGATTAATACCAAAGTATATACGAAAGTTCATGCTAGGGCATACCATGAATTTTCAGTTATTCATTTTGAAACTGTACCAATTTTTTTTACAAAATGTGACCATAATTAACATGAAATGTATTTAACGGATTCATTTTTTTGTTTCTCATAAAAAATAGAAATATAAGATTCCACTATAGGCAAAACATTCGCGTACTATGTATGTGACAATTTAAACATACAATCTTTTTTTTTTTAAAAGAGTAAAAGGATAAATCTAAAGTAGTCCAGTCTCCGGGGAGTAAAAAAGAAAATGTAAAAAAAAATATAACAAAAATTAAGAAGGAACTTTTTCAAAAAAAAAAAAATAATAAGAAGGAATGAGAGTAGAATTAATTGAAGATGATGCATGGAATGGTGTGTGGGAAAGGCAAAGGCACATGCTCCACAAAGTTGCGTGAGGGGTAAGTATCTCTTGTTGTGCCCTCTTTTACTCTTTTACTTTTTTTTTTTTTTTGTGTGGAAAACCATACACTCTCTCGGCCGTTGGATCTCTTTCTTCCTTCATCATGCTTCCGTCATCCTCTTTGGTCCCACGCCAATTTATATTTTAGTATTTTACTGATTTTCTTTTTCCGACTCTATTAAACTACTAAAACTAGTATTTATGAATTTTGCTTCCTAATCTTTTTTTTTTTAATGTTTATTTAACGAGTTGCATACAATTTATCTTTCCTTTGAATTTCCTTAAGTCTCTTAATAAAACTTTGAACCGTTTTCCAAGAAAAAACATTCAAAATTAAGTTATTCCAAGTTTTAAAATTCTAAGATTAACAGGTACCTCATTCTTTTATGTATGTCTGTATATATATATACAATTAGATTGGGCATATACCATATATCTGTGCACACGATTGATTTTTTTTTCTATCTTTTATAGAGATTGGTATTGTTTTCCTCCAAGACTATGTCAGGCAGAATATATATTAAACCAGTGTTGGAGTTGTATTTAATTTAATATATTGACCTATGCAGAGTGGTTAGGTTAGATTGATGGTATAAATATATGTCGAAACATTTAATATAAATAGATATATATATATATGCTGTACACAAATAAAAAATATATGAATATATATATAATTATTTAAAATACCGTTTTTTTTTCGTAAAAGAGCTCAATATCAAACATGCTCGTCCTAATTCAGTAGTTTTTATAATACTTTTCTGCATCTATACTGCTTCTTTTACTCCTACCTATTAGACCTCCCAATTGTTTCTAATTTTTATTTGCCTAAAATAGACCCAATAAACAAATATAGCATACGCAATGTTAAAAAAATAAATAAAAATAAACATAGTATATACATTTGGAAACAAAAAGAATAAGTATATTACCATCACCAAAATTTGTTAAAACTTGTTAGAAAAAGATCTTGTAGAACTTGAATCCACGACGTAGTCACGTGAACGTTTTTATACCTTTATTAGATTGTAAAGCTGAGTTGTTTAAATATCAATGTTACAAATTGAGTCCGCAAGTCTGTTTTGTAAATTGTAAAACCTAAAACCCAAAAAAAATTTCAATATGAAGACCCTTTGACAAAAAAACAAATTGAGTCCGCAAATACGAACGTAACGCCAGTGCCAATTACTTTAATTGTGTTCGTCAATGCCGGAAATAGATAGAACTTAGCTATAAAAAAAAGCCTTTTAAAAAACCTGAAACTAACACTGATGACTAATGCTAACGTTAGTGCATTGAGCAACTCGGCCAAAATATACGTATCAATGGCATTTATCACAATTGACTGTGAATTACGTCTAACTTTTGCTATTGAAATGCGTATTTATATGCTGTCTATTAATTGCGTCGAAATATCAAGGACCATATCTTTGTTTTCTTCTTTAGGTAGCATTTCGAGAAGCACGCAAAGAACATTATTTTTTCTTTTCTTTTCAGGATGTTGTAAATAAGTGACATCATAGAATTTTGATCATTTTAACTTTTTTTCCAATAATTGCATTTTTTTTCAAATGGTCAGATCCTCCTAACTCTAAATGGGTTGATTCTTTGGGTTTTCGTGTAGCCTAACTTTTACTTTTTTTTTTTAAAAAAAAAAAAGCCTTTTAGTTCTTCTCTCTTGTCTAGATACCCCTAATCACCAACCTCACCTGAAGATTACTTTTCATATCCTCTGAAAAATTCTACATAAGTAACAAATACGATACTCTATATATAAGTCGTGGAATCCGATGTGTTTAAGAAAAACTACCGAACGTAGAAAAACGTATACTATGTTATATTTAGATATTATGATATATAATGTGTACATATATAGACAGATAGAATAAAAAAAGAAATAGTAAATCCATAAAAAGAATACGGACTGCAAGAAGTAGAAAAAAAGTAATAATGATGGAAAAAGATAAAACATCACGCAAAACCTTAAAAGAAAGTCGTCTGGTTGTCGTGTGTTGCTCTCTCCTCAAATAGTTTGCCAAAGTTTTCACGTCAATTTTTAACCTTCAAAATCTCTCTCTCTCCTTCGTATCATACTATATTAGTACTACGAGTACCCACCTCTCTCTTTCACCTAACCTTCTCTGTATCCCTCTCTACTCTCTATAGCCATTCTCTACTCTCTCTCTCTCTTTCGCTTTCTATCTCCCAAGAAAAAATGTCAGTCAACCATTACTCCACAGACCACCACCACACTCTCTTGTGGCAGCACCGCCACGCCACCGACACATCGGATACAACCACCACCACAGCCACGTGGCTCAACGACGACCAGAAAGAGTCACTCTTCGAGAAATCTCTCACACCAAGCGACGTCGGCAAACTCAACCGCCTCGTCATACCAAAGCAGCACGCGGAGAAATACTTCCCTCTCAATGCGGTCCTCTCCTCTGGCGCTGACACGTCGACGGAGAAAGGGATGCTTCTTAGCTTCGAAGACGAGTCAGGCAAGTGCTGGAGGTTCAGATACTCTTACTGGAACAGCAGTCAAAGCTACGTGTTGACCAAAGGATGGAGCAGATTCGTCAAAGACAAACAGCTCGACCCAGGCGACGTCGTTTTCTTCCAACGACAACGTTCTGATTCCCGAAGGCTCTTCATTGGCTGGCGCAGACGCGGCCAAGGCTCCTCCTCCGCCGTGAATACGACCTCGTATTCTAATTCTACGGCAGCTCCTCCTTATCTCCAAATCCACCACACCTCCAGTAACAATTACTCTAATCCTCCTTCTCATTCAGAGTATTCCCACTATGGTATGTTACAGTTATATTATTCTCTTTTTTGGCTTTTTACCATATTATACTATTTTCTTGCCTTAATAATGAAACTTAGTTTCAAATGGTTTCTAATCTAAATCCTCATTTTTAATTTATCTACGAATTACTTTTGATTTCTTTAAAAGTGTTTAATGTTGTCAGGATGATTAAAACACTAAACACCAATCTCTATACGATAATTATTCTAGACGATAATTATTCTAGACGATATACTGCCTGTTACGTGCGTATTAACAACCTGAGATAAGTAACATTCTATTATACAGCTATGATTCGTTCCTTGTTTCTAATTTTTGAAAAGACCCCGACATTTTTCTACTAGTTATTATCTCCAAGTTGTTACCAGTATACACGCGCACATAAGAGCGCGTGAAAAAGACCGTCCAATCCCCTGGGACAAACGTGGTTTTCGTTCACTTGTGTACTTTTTTGTGTTTTTTCCTACGATAAATTAAAGAAGCGCACGTGTCGTGATTACAGGCGCCGCCGTAGCAACAGCTGCGGAGACTCACTCCATACCATCGTCTTCCGCCGCTGTAGGGAGCTCCAGGACGGTGAGGCTTTTCGGTGTGAATTTGGAGTGCCAAATGGATGAAGACGACGGAGAGGATTCCGTCGCCGCCACGGCCACCCCCGACGGTTACTACGGCCAAAACTTGTACTATTACTACACTCCTCATCCTCATAACATGGTAATTTGACTATTTTACCCTTTCAAAAGTGATATATTTAATTCAATTCGGGGTATATATTACATCATCAAAGACTATAGTATGATTGTAAGATACATAATTATTAAAAATACAGATGGGCGACGCTGTTTCTCGAGACGAGACAGTTGAAACTATAATTAAATAAACGAGATTGATTAGGAGTTTTTGTTGTGTGTGTTAATTATTAATATAATGAAGAGGAATCAGGAATCTGTTAAGAGCACATGGCCACTTTGTTAGTGACTTTACCCTGCTTTGATTGTTTTTTTTTTTGTATCTCTGAGCCCACTTTGATTTATTTAAGTATTGGATTATTAATTAATCTAGTTATATACTTATAAGGGATATAAATAATTAAATATATATGTTGTTGGTCCTCCTTAATCACTGTTTACTTTTTTTACTGGCGCCGCAATGTTATTCTAGCAATGCTAAGGAAATGTTAATGAAATAATATCTTTTCGTTGGGACTGATGTTTTGTATCCAGATTGAGTTTATTGTCATTACGAATGTGTTTTTTATTCAAAAAAAAAATTGAATTTGTTACATAATGATAATAATTTGGAGGAAAATAAATGAAACAGAATATAGCTTTCACGGGGGATACGATGAAGCAGCTTGGAGATGGACAAGGATGATGAGATCCAAAGAAGTGACAAGAATTTCGAAATTGACTTAAAGCTTCTAAATGGGCCCAGATTTTGCGCATTCTCTATAGCCACAGAGGCCAAATTTCTGGAAATTGTATGCAATTATCTCATTAGTCTTCCGTACTGTATATGTAACTAATTTGGGAAAAAGATAAAAGAAATCGCTGAATTTTAGGAAAAGTCTTTTTTTCTCTTCTCATGCTGATGAATGATGTTGATGATGATGATGTATTCACACACATGCATCATGATGTATAGTTGTACTTGTCTAATGATGATCGATCTTTTTTTTTCTTTTCTTTCTGGTGAAAAGATGAAATGGGAAACTGACGAGATTATTGTAGAAACACAAGTGGGGCCAACCGAATGATGTTTATTGTTGTGGAGAGTTTTTACTACAGTAATGATGCTTTATTGCGTTTACTTACTGGTTTCTTAAGGCGTGACACTTTTTCTTGGTTGAAAAATGACATTCCAAAACAAATGCAATTTTGGGAGATAAACCAAAAAATGCAAGACATGTATTAATTCAAACATGTTAACCAGAGATCAGATCAATCATGTCACTGTATTTTTTTTTTTTTATCTTTTAGCTGGAAGCAGTACATGAATATACACATACATATATAATGTATATATATATATTTTTTTTTTTTATCTCTGAGAGTCTATGCAATATTTTGACAAAAAGAGAAAAAACTTGGAGGGAGTCCTACAAGAAACTGTTCTTTTTCATGTACTAAGGTCAGATGAGCAGTGAATCATCTGTTGAAAGCGATTGTCTATTCATGTACTGCTTCTTTTAGTGCTCTTCAACATTTATCTCTCGTGTATATATATATTTGGAAAATAAAATCAATCATTGGATCAGTTATCCACCTCCATGTGCTTCCAAAAAGAGATTGTGGTATGATCCAGTGATATCTTTATCTAGAACATACTTTGTTTCATCATCATTTTATATCTCAATAAACCATTAAACATACAGCTCTCCTATATTACTGCAATAAGAGAAACCGTTTCTCAGAAACTATAGGTAGTGAGGTAGCTATAGCTTGGTTATGACTTGCGAGTAAGAGAAAATAAAATTGCCATCTCTACAATCATTTCAGTGGATGTTTTGTCAAAAAGAAACTCTCGAAACTATCTGCGTATGGCACCAAAGGAGTAAAGCTAAGTCTTGATTAGACAGAAAGTTTCCATAGCAGAGACTGAAACAATACACCCTTATCATGACCACTCACTAACTACAATTGCTCGGGTTGTATGTAAGCGCACATGTTCCAACTTTGAGTGCAGTAACAAGTGCTAATCTTTAAGGCAGACACACATTTGTTGACTTGACAGCATGGGTTGATATTCAACAGGTAAGGCAATATATATATGTTTCAAGCGGTCTTACTTAGCCACAGGTGATTCTCTAAGGGGCCATGAAAGATACTTACTTGTTGACTTGAAGGCTAACTGATCTCCGCCCAATGGTTTAGTGGCTCTGCAAGTGGGAGAGGGACCCTCAGCCATGTGCCATTAGCACTAGTCTTTGAAGCTTTTGGGCTATAGTTAAGATGCACAATGGCCTCCTCCTGCATTAAGGGTTTGTCCTGCAGATAAAGTTTTGATCATAACAACACTTAAAAGTACACTTCTGAATCGACTGCTCAACTTTTCCCCTGAAATCTATCTGATATCTATGCTTTTTAACAACTTCTAAGGGCCAGGCAGTATTTTCTACAACAGCATTATGGAAGACTGTTACAGAATAGCATGGATTTAATTCCACAAACAATGCATTGGTTAAGGTCAACAATGCTTTTAACATTGGAAGAAACTTTTGTTTTCTTACCCTTACTAACAGTTGCTTACTGTTGTTGTGTTTCAAACAATCACCTGAGTCCCTCACAGATAAAACGTATCCCTGCAATGTGCTGAGCAAAAGTCCTCGAGAAATGAAATCTGAATAAGCTGTAAAGGTAATCGAACCATGACAAGTTCATCACTAACATGTCCCCTTTGGAGCAGTCTCACAAAGAAGAAGCTGCGGAAACTGGAACTTGGATCGATAAAGAACATTTTTAAGCAAAATATATTAGTTTTCTAAGGGTTGCTTTACAAATAGGCTACATTGTGCGTGAAAAACTAGGCCATCGATAGAAATCTTTGACTTGTAGTGGTACAATCAAAGAACCCAAGATCTAGCAAAGTACATACTCGCGTCCACATAATGAATCTAAAAAGTCAGGTAGTCTTTTTAGATTTGTCAGGTTCATCTGCAGGGACTTGAGACTCTTCTTTACTCTGCATAACTTGTTGGACACCCTCATGGTAACCTTTTATAAAGCTTGAAAGAGCATCTTTATAATTAGAAGCCCGTGTCATGTACACACGATGTAAAGCAGGCCTTAAAGTCTCCATGCCACCTCTTGCAGCTACCGCTGTATACAAGAGTAACGTAAAAGAAATGAACATTAAACAAAAGAATGAGGCAGTAAGGAAAAGGCTCTTCTTAATATCAAATAGCACTCTTGTGACACCAAAGGAGAAGTATTCCACTTGTCAATACTTGTACTATGCATTACTAATAGTTATAATAAGATACAATTTGGAACGACCGCCATTACCAACTATGATAATTTGATTTGTAATATAAGTTAGGTACAATTGAAGTAGGCAATAATAGCATAAGACCAGCTCTTACCAAGATCTTCCAAAACAGAGGGCTCTTTCTCAGTCTCTTTGGCTTGTTTTTTAGGCTCAGCATCACCCTGCTTCTTGTAATCATTTGGACGAAGCTCAGGACCTATGTCCCGCACCCAGCTTGCAGCATAAAGCCTTGAAGCTTCCTTCAACACCTAATTTACAAACAATAAAGATTTCATCCAGTGGTTAGCATTAAAATAAGTTCATCTAAAGGAGAAGCACTAATTACTCTGAAAATGGTGAGAAGTGAGTTATAGACCTCTTCTATTCATGTTACGCACAATAATCAAACAATCTTGTATCAGAAAAAGGATGAACCTTTTTGCTCAAACAATAGAAATCTCACATTTTGTTTTTCACCACATTATACATACTGAAATCACATGCTTCCAGATTGTATATCATCTAAAATATGATACAATGATGATTAAAGACGTAGCTGAAGGATTCATTAACTACAAATCGGACAGAATAAAACCAAACAGAGTTCCACAATGACATTAAGCACGACAAAATATGCGAACTTGTTTATCCTTGTAAGAAAATTTTGAACACCCAGACCTGGATATAGAAGACTACAGGAAATTTCAAAGGGAAATAGGAAAGAGAGTGAAGGAAGCTCACGAGAAATCGCTCGTGCCAGGTCAATTTGCGGCGTTTTACGACGTGAGGAGGATCAGGAAGTGAAGAAGGTAAGACGATTTCTTTGAGATCGTAACGGATGTAATCGGAGACTTTACGATACACAACCCTAAGCTTCATCTTCACTTTCTAACCGGAGAGGAGAAGCCGTTTGCAGTCGCCGATCGCAGTTTAGTTCTGAGCCACTTGAGTTTACCGTCGCCGGTTCACTCTATTTGAGATTTGGCTTAAATGTTTGGTTTATGTTTCGGTTCAGCCAGATACTGATTTAATTTTTCGGTTAAGCCGATGCATATTAAATTTCTTCCATTCTTCGGTTTAGTCGTGGGACCATTTATGATTATAGACTACAACGACCACTAGTTTAAAATAAGATGTATCTTCTGCAAATCATTGTCTTTACCAAATAAGTGAGTACCAAACCAATAGTATATTTGTAGGCCATTTTGATTCTAAAATGAAATGTAATACATAACACACGCTTAATTAGAACAAAACAAAAGGGTGTCGCAGCTTGATGACACGTTCGACAAACAAAGCGATTTTACAAAAAAAAATGAAAAGGACAGCGATAGGTCATAGCGATAGCCACATACACACAACTTGAGGGTTGTAATTATTCAAGCAACAATATGGGTTATCTCTAAATTATATATATGCTGTTTTACATTGCCAAAAGACCACTTTCAAAATATACCAAAATATTACATTATAGTAACTTACATGCGTTTAAATGTAATCAATTTAAATTTGAGACGTATAAGTTTGGTTAAATATCGGTGGGCCAAATATACAAATATAAGTTTTTTTTTGTTTTAGAAAGTCCTTCTACTCTGGTCAACTTAAACAACCCTTCATAAAAACATTACCATCTCTGATAGTTTAAATTTTTATTACACAAAATTAGATCCGACGTCGTCGCTAATTACAATCTGGAGATATGTAAAGACGAACGTGGGGCCAAGGAAGCGCCCACCATGATGTAATAGACTACTAATCATATAAATATTCGCATTAGTTTGACGTCTCTCTGGTTTACAGAAAAAGAAGACTTGTTCAAAGAGAGAAAGAAGAGATCATCACAACATGGATCATCATCAACAACTCTTCTCTCTCTGGTCATGTCCGTACGTTTTCAAGATCAAGAAACATTTCTTCGCTAGCCTCTCTTTACTTGGCCTCCTCATATTCTCCAGCGTCGTCATCGTCAATCTCCTCGGCTCTTCCTCCTTCGAGCCCCTTTTTCGTTTCGGATTGTTGCCGCCATCATCGCGAAACATAAATAAAGACTGCGATTACTCCAACGGAAGATGGGTTCGTCGAACATCACCGTCTCTTGGATTATTATACGGAGAAGAGTGTCGCTTTCTTGATTCCGGTTTTCGTTGTCGTAAGAACGGAAGAAATGATTCTGGCTATCTCCATTGGCGATGGCAACCACACGGCTGCGATCTTCCACGGTAAACATTGTGCCGCGTCATCAGTCTACGCTTCTTTTTTAAATTCTTCATAAAAGAGAATATGTATTTCTTGCTTACACTTTAAGTTATATTGATTCCATTGCAAAGGTTTAGTTAATTTAGGGCTACAAATTGTTCAACGCTAGATATTAGGGTATGATTCACATTCCTCTAACAAAAGAAAGATGTGCTCTCGTGTACCACAATCCACAATCAATTTTTCCTTTTCCTTGCAGTAGGGTCAAAGATTCATATAAGAAACTACTTGAAACCTAGCTACTGTAGTTTTAGTATCTGTGACCAAGTAAATGATCTGTTTTTTGTGTGTGCGGCTATTCTATTGGCTGATTAGATTTAATGCAAGTGATTTTCTGGAGAGGAGTCGGAACGGGAGGATAGTGTTCGTGGGAGATTCCATCGGAAGAAACCAGTGGGAATCTCTAATGTGCATGCTCTCACAAGCAATACCTAACAAATCTGAAATCTATGAAGTAAACGGGAACCCAATAACTAAACACAAGGGCTTTCTCTCGGTGCGATTCCCTCAGCAGAACCTCACAGTTGAGTATCATCGAACACCATTTCTCGTCGTGATTGGCCGGCCACCGGAAAACTCCACTGAAGAGATTAAAACCACTGTGAGAGTCGACGAATTCAACTGGCAATCGAAAAGATGGGTCGGATCGGATGTTCTTGTCTTCAACACAGGGCACTGGTGGAACGAAGACAAAACCGTGTTAACGTATGCTAAACCCCACTCAGCTTCTACTATAATCCGACACTCTAGCTCTTCTTTTTTTATAACTGGGTTTGCTTTTTATTTTTCGCAGAGGATGCTATTTTGAGGAGGGAAGGAAAGTGAACAAGACAATGGGAGTAATGGAAGCATTTGGGAAGTCTTTGAAGACATGGAAGTCATGGGTTTTAAAGAGACTCGATCCTGACAAGAGTCATGTCTTCTTCAGAAGCTACTCTCCAGTGCATTACAGGTCAGAAAGAAAATAAAGTTGTTATAGGGCACTTTTGAGAGACCACGGATTTAAAATAAAGAATCCTTTGTACTGTTGCAGAAACGGGACATGGAATTTGGGTGGTCTATGTGATGCAGAGATGGAGCCTGAGACTGATAAAAGGAAGATGGAACCTGATGCAACTCACAACAGATACATCTATGATGTAATTGAAGATATGAGATATCAACATAGTAAGGTTAAGTTTCTCAACATTACATATCTGACAGAGTTTAGGAAAGATGGTCATCCTTCTCGGTATCGAGAGCAAGGTACTCCTGTTGATGCTCCTCAAGACTGCAGCCACTGGTGCCTACCGGGCGTACCTGACACATGGAATGCGATCCTCTATGCGCAACTCTTGTCAATGAATTATAGAACAAAGTGAAGTCTTGAGGTATAAACTGATTTTGTATCTTGATCTAAGTCATGATTCTGTTTCTTCAATGCCTTCCTCGGGCTCCGTTTCATTTTGCATTTGCTTGACCTTCTCGAGCTGTCTTAATAGGTTCAACCTTTCGGGTCCGTAGGTCGAAGGTATCTGAACAAAGACGGGTGTTTATCAAATTAATCCAAGAGAGGGAAAGAAATACAGAAGAGGAAAGCAAGTACAGAAGAAAGCATTACCAAGCCTGGCACATATCTTTGAATTGCAGCAAGCATAGCCGCATGACCAACTGCTGTGACCTGTTTGACATAAGCGTACACATTGGATTAATTCATTAGCTCACACATACTGCCAATGGTAATATGGTAAATGTAACGATGCAGTGATTGGTGTAACAGGATTTTGTACAAAGATACCATCAATAGATTAGTATAGAAGTTGTGAAACAGAAATTTTATCAGTATGAATAACCAATGCAAATGAAAATATGATATTTGTGAATTTGATAGGGTTACTGTTTACTCACAGGAAGAAGCATAAGAACACCAATTGGAACAACTGATGCTAAGTCAGTCATGGTTCTGCGCAGAGCTTTCTTTTCTTTCTCCGTCAATTCATCTCCTATTAGAGACCTCCGAAGCAGCTCCATAGCAGCAGCTGAATCAAACGCAAGAAGCTGAGTACCTTGCCACACGTCCTATTAAAATATCACAGTAACGTAAAAGTGTAAGTCAAATAGCGAAGGAACAAAGCTGATCAGAAAAAGGCTGATTTGTTCAATGAAAACGAAGCTGCAGGTGCCATGCGGCTTGGAATGATATTCATACCGTGGTTGTTTCTTTAAGTTGGTCGATAGTTTTCTCAATGACGTTTTCTTTCTTGGAGCTCTGAACCAACTGCACACCTTTCATAGATTTAGGAGGATCCTCAGAGGTTCTTCCCTGCAGAATGTGCCAAATTGATTGACAAGGAACAACGAGATGAGAGCTTGTACTCGCGGAACAGACACAAATAACAATATTTAATTAATTAACTAAGAGAGGGAGTTAATCATCTTAAAAACTTGAACCATGAAAGAAAAACAGAGAATAATACGCATGTACAGTAAACGCATCGTTCTCTTTTTTTGGTTTGGTTATATGTACTTGTTTTAAAACCTACTAAATACGTGCATTACTGCAACTTACGCTTTTGAATATTTACTAATTGTGTAGAAACAACACCTTGCAGCAAAGTCTGGATACTACTTACTAACCTCTACATTTACCGACTCATCCGTACTTCCTTGAACCCGCTTCTCCAGCTCTATCAGTTCATTCCTTAGAAGTTCGAACCGATAGATCTCATTGGGTTCGGAATTTCCGCTATCTTCGTTTTCACTGCCTCTCTCAATATATCCATCTGCCTGCATAGTATAAAAATCGTGTAACCTTTTAGCACAGTATCCTCTAACTGGGTGAAAACCAAATAAGAAATACCAAGTAATTGACTGAATAAGCGCCAAAAAATATCAAGTCTGAGATATCCTTCACAATTCAACATAAGACAAGTAACTGAAGAATACCAATAACTTGGGGCCAGGCTTCCTCTTTGGAGGGCGTTCAAAGAAACCCCAGAAGCCACGATTCCTACTAATGTAGATGCAGAACAATAAATAAGTTTCTGCAACCAGAAGCGAACAAAGACGAACCTACATTTCTAACTTAAACACACAAGATATTATTAACTAACAGAACATGCAACATACCTTGTGCCTTGATCTACAGAGTTGAATGAATTATTTGTCTCATTTCCTTTCAGATTCTGCTTTTGTTCCTCGGAGGACTCCTGAGAGTCGCTGTCACCATCTCCCTGAGTGAAGCAAATGATATTTTAGTCTTCCACACACGTTTAAGAAAACCAAGTGCACTCTTCTATTCTTTATTTTCATATTATAAGCACCAACTTAGACTGATGCCGCATTTCGTAAACAGAGCTAAGATAGGTGTATGCTTCGGTCAGTCTAGCAAACTTAAGCGTTCAGCACTTAAATATCAATCCTAACTGCACCAGAAGAAAGGTCTGCAATAAGATACAAACACCTCTTGCAGGGAAGCTGCTTTGGCTCTGAAAGACGCCTCTAAAAATTCAGCCTCTTTCTTAAGTTTCCTTATTTTCTCTAGGTCAGAGCAAGCGGCTTTTATTTGTTCCTTTCCAGAGGATGAGCTTGATGCATGCAACTGCTGTAGCAAGCTTTCCAGTCTCACGAGAGCTTCATCTACACTCTCTAGAGCCTAAGAAATAAGTTCTGTTAGTATGTATGTTACATTTGATAGTCACCGGAGTTCTAAACAAAAAAAAATTGGATTCAAACAGTGTACGGAAAAGTAAAGGTATTTTTCAAGACTAATACATAGAATACTAACCTTGTCAAATGAGCTAGACTCTTTATCAGTTGAGAACGCATTCATGTCAATAAACCCTGCTTCCGTTACTGCCAAACTGCATCACACATTTTCCAATTGTACACGGTCAAATTACTTAATGATAAAGACATGCTACATAACAAGGATGCAAAAAATGCAAAGTGCACATAGTTGGATATGTGAAGCGTTATAAAGATAGATACACAACACGTCTTTCTACACAATTTATTGCTCTTCCTTAGCTTACCTTGATATCCCCAGTTCTTCCTTGCACTGAATTAACTTGTTGTGCCTAAAAATCGAGAAGGAAAATCAAAATGATCGCCCACTAATTCTTTTACTATTCAAATTCTGATAACCAACAAGTAAGATACCCCTTGGATAAGAATTTTGCTGCCTTGACATTAGAAGGATTCTCTGGCCATTTGCTGTACTTGATAAAGCTCTGTAGCCAATAAGAGCAAATATTCAATATTTGAGGAAGAGCATCATAATTAGGTGGCCCTTGTGGTTTGCTTCTATGCCCATGTGCTTGTTCGGCTGGCTGGGAATCCTTTTTATTCGGATAGAAAGGAAGCCACTCTAATTCTTCACAGACAACCTACACTACGATTATACATGATAAGATTTCAAAATGGTTATAGGAAAAATCCACCAATAATGGTATGATCTATGCCTACCTCTACATACAACTGATATGAACTGATGGCAGAAAGTTGAGGATATTGCAGGAGACTGCCCCCGATGAAGTGCCTGAATAAAGAAGATAGCGAGTTTAAGCGGTATGGTGGATCGAAGAGTATGGCAAGCAAACAAAAGAAAAACAACGAGTCACCTGACAAGGTCTTCCACGGGATTCTCCAGCGAATTAAAACCATTTGCAGCTAAAAAAGACTGCGTGCTCCTGCCTAAGGCAATGAAGAAGCCAAAAATAGCTAAATCTCTTTCCAAAACCTGCAAGGCATCAGCAACAGATCCTGATAAACTCCCCAGATATTCACATTCAAGTATTCAACCATATGTTTTTACTGCAAACTTTAACAATCTAAACGCACTATGAGTCGTTATACACCACAAAAATCGGATTTATGTTTCAATAAGTGCCACTATATGAAGACCCCAGATAGTATATACACTTTAATTTGCGAACTATTTCTGCCACATTCTTACATTCTAAACAGCAATTTCAAGAGCAGGTACAGTAAATGGTACATCCAACAAACTCAACATGGTGAATCCAGAGAAGCAATTACGTTCCCTATACTTGGACACAATTCTTGAATATTTCAAGTATTAAAATGAGCTCACATGTACCCTGCACAGAGGTTCCTCTGTAAGTCACTATTCATTACCTCGATACTTTCAGACGTTGTTAATCTTGACCATATCTTCTCCCGATCAATAGCCCGCAGCAGTTGGTTTTGTATTAGATCGACCCAGAAGACAACCTCATCTGTAGAGCAGTCACTTTTGACTCTGCATGCCGCTGCCCGGGGACCAAAATGAACAAGAAACTCTCGGCGTAGACCTAGGCTTTTTATTGAATGATAGGCCTGAGGGAGTGGAACAAAGTCAACAAATTTGTCCATCAATCTTCCTGTTGTATCTGGAATCACAGAAAAGAAGGGCGGGCACGAAAGTTTGGTCGGGCCAAGTTTTGTGACTGCGGCGATGCAATTCAGCACAAGCATGAGAAGTGACACCTCAATCTCGTTGCTTGCAGCTGAGGACTTGCCTTTGGCATAACTGGAATGAACCATCAAGCATCGTTACTTAACAGTCAAACGTGTGTTTCACAGAACTTATATTACGAGAGTCAAAAGAAATCACATACGCAGAAGTAGCAGCAACAAATCGTTGGTCCCCCTCAAAGCAATTCACAAAAGATGTCACCACAGAAGGAACTTGGTCAGACCAAAACCACTCATTGGCTTCAGGGTGACTGGAGGATAGTTTATCCCGCATCATACTATCAAGAGGACCAGCTTGGCGAGATAAACTGCATGATGATGAGATTATTTAAAATCATAAGCTGCTAGTTGGAAACATATCAACGCTTTGAAAAGAAACTCTTTGAAAGACTATGTGGGACATAAATATCAAACCAACACCACATAAATCTCAAACTAATACTTTGTTGCATATCTTTCAAAGGCAAGAACCAAAAAAAAACTAATTTTACTGTTTAAGATAAGCAGCCATCTGGAGACTGAGCTAAGTTGGAAAGCCAACAACGCCATTTCATTGCTAAACTTTTCTGAGAAAGTTGCCTACCAGCTAAAGTTCAAGACGTGCATTTCTATTAATAAAGCTGTGCAGTACATAAAAACGAACTGTTGACAATTTCCAGTAACAATGAATGCCATAGTTCTTAGTCATGGAGGAAGTGGCGCAGTACCTCCTTTGTACAAAGACATTAAGATCCTTGTCTCTGTTGTTTCCTCTAGACGAAACCTCATTTGCAGCTTGTAGTAAGGAATACACGGCAGCCTGAGAATGATGAACAACAGGAGATGAATTTAGCTAGTATAGCTAAAAATATGACAAGAAATACTTCGTGGAAGCTAAATGCGCAGTGGGAAGAGAACTTTTTGTTCTTCACCAAAAATATAACCACTCGGATGCATTGATTTTAAAACGGTACATACCTGATAAGAAAACGTCTTGACCCACGCATTTCTATCCACTCCCAGCCAGGCTGCTGAAAACCATGGTAATTTGGAAGAGGAAATCTTCTTTTTAAGCGCCAGTTCAAAAGTTCTGGCAGCATCATGCAAAGACTGGATGAGTTCATCACAGTTGTACTCATCTTGTAGTGATCCAGTGAGTTTGGCCCTCATGTCTTCAACATCCTCGCTAGCTCTTGACTGGGGGCTCCCATTAACAGCCACTCCATCGTCAGCAGATGCAAGGAGAAAACGCTGCATCGTCCTCCGTGATTTAGACCAGCTTATCTTCTTGTTTCCCAGAAATTTTCTATGAAGAAAGTAGTTCCTACTCTCCAGAACATCAAACAACCTGCTCCTCGAATTTCCCCAGCGGTTTGATATATAATTCAACTCTACCACCCTTCTGCAGGAAATAGAGGTTCGAGTGGACATCCGCGAAAGACAAGGGTTTGAAGAGCTACAAATGCAACGATTAAATGAATAAGGAAAGCAAAAAATCAAAAGAGTGGTATACAGATTACCACTGTAGAGATAAATATCTATTTTCTTCCACTTTGTTGTTTATACCGATAAGCGACCAAATCTCTACCCATTAACAACGAGAGCTAAACTACACTGTTAAGGATAGATTACCGAAAAATAAAATTAAATTCATTTTCAAAAATTTCAGCTCCTTCATGCTCTTCTTCAAGCTGCTCTAATACTACAAAATTAATTTTAACATTCTTTAAAAGTTTCGTCTTTTTCGCTTGATTTCTCAATAAACCAAACTTATAAGTGTAAGATGGGCAAAGTTCAACCCAAAAAGGATCGCGAGGAAAAGGTACTTTGTACTGTACGTTTACAATCGGCAGGAAATTGTAACTTCTTGCTAAGGAAATCAGCGAAAGGACCATAAAATCGAAAAACTTCCCGAAACAAACAGAGAGGGAGATATCACTGTAAGCTTGGTTTACCTTAACGATACAGGACCCGGCCGCTGTAGCTTAACTGCCATCTACATGAAAGCTTACAAAAATCAGCCGCTCGAATTTTGGTTGGAGAAGATTTTTTTTTAAAAAAGGAGAAAAACACGAAACAATTGAGCTGGGCTCGAATTGATGATGCTCAAGTTTGGGGGCGAGAGGGGAGAAAAGAGACGATGACGTGGCAGGACGAGGATCTTTATCCGTAGACGTGGAGGTCCGATGATTCACTAAAACCGAAGGGACTTCTCCTTTGCAATTGGTGCAAATCATGCCACGTACAGAATTCGGTTAGTTTCCGTATCGGTTATTGTAATAGTTTGGTTTTTAACTCGGTTATCTTTGTTTCGGCTTCGAACCGATACATTTGATGAATTTGACACTCTTCTGTAATACTTCTTCTCTTTTTTGATGTGATAATTGCATCTGCTACAATTCCATCTAATGAAAGACCATCCCAGTTATCATAAAGAAGCAAAGAGCAAGTAGAAAGCTAATACTGAAGCTTGCTCATGTCTCTACACATAAACTAAGAGCAAACCAACCACCAACAACACTTCTGAAAGTGCTTTCAGATTAACAAATCTACCGGAGCTTTCTCTGCTTTCTGGCTACATATTTTCATTTCGGTTCGTCACTTTTCAATGTTTCAGATGTCGTGTCAGCTACTACCACTGGCTCAGGTGGTCCTCTAGCTATTGGTAAGCCACCGCCGCCACCAAAATTTGGCTTCGCCTTTGCGTAGTCCACAAATATTACACGGCCGTTTAATTGCTGAAAAGAATCGGTTAGTGTTACCAATACCAAGAGAAACAGTTTTTAACAAGTGAAATCGTCAAGACAAATACATCATACCTGTCCGTTAAACTCCATCAAAGCCTTGCGAGCTTCATCATCGGAAGCAAATGTCACAAAACCGAAACCTTTGGATCTGTCAGAGACTCTATCCATGACTATTTGAGCTGAGAGGAGGAGGAATAAAACAACTCAAAAAAACTCTCAGATACGAAGAGCGTATAACATGTGGAATCGATGTACCTTTGATGCGAACAAAAATAATGTATACTGGATATTATACCTTCAACAACTTGGCCACATTGTGAAAATGCCTCAGACAATCCTTGCTCGGTAGTGTAAAACGATAATCCTGAGAGGAACAAAAAACAGGATTGATTGGGAAATGAGCATTATTGGAGATTGTAAATTCACAGTCAACAGCAAACAGAAAAAACAGATAGTTTCTCTTGGGATAAAGACATCAGGTATTTGCTAATCCCATGAGGCTCAAAACCAGATTGCGAACAGATTAAAGGCCACACTTGGCAAGAATAACAGTCATAGCTTATACAGAGCATAATCTCTTCTCTGAGAGACTCTCTCATATGAAAGAGGTAAACTTATCGCATTTTACTGCATCACAGTCAAAAAAATTGCATTCACTGCCAACGATGGTTTGAAATTCCATCCACAAAAACCGTAGAGACGATGCCAGTACTGAGTCTACGACTAAATGACTTCCAATTTCTAGCTAAGAATATCATTCAATTCAATCAACCGACAAATCATCTCTCCAGATATAATATTGGATTATATTGATCAAACCGGCAAGGAAGTAGAGAGTACCACCAACAAAGAGTTTGGAGGCAACGCCACGGCGTTGATTGAAGAAATATGAGGAGGGTAAGTTTATCAGGCCGGTGGATTTCAGATGCCGGCCGCCGATCCTTGCGAATGCCGCCATTGAAGTGATGTCGCGAGAGGATCAAGTGCAAAGATTCCGATTGAGAGACTAAGGAGGAATATGCATGTGTATCTAGCAACCCGGGCCTTGGCCCAATACGAAGCCCACATATGCCGCATATGTTATAGTCAGGCCCACTTCAACCTGAATATTTTCGGAGTCGTATTAAGTGCTACTAATCGTAAAATTAAGTTTACACAGCTTAACTAACAAAATTTTGAAATTCATTATCTAATAAGATTTAAACAAGAAGAAGAGTAATTTCCATTAAAATTCCGTATTTCCAAATATTTATACAACGGCTAAAAAGCACAGGTGATCATCTGTCAGCCGCAGCGATTATAAAACCCACAAAAGCCCTCTCTCATCCGTAGATACACACACACAATCAAAGCCGGGCCCGATCTAAACCCTAACCTAGCGAGAAAGTCTCAAAATCTCTCCGTCGAATCGAACCATGGGCGAATCCGAGATCGAATACAGCTTCCTCTCCGGTAAGATCTCTCTCCATCCCTTACCCGAAATTGTTTGTTACATTTCATCTGATCGATCATAGATTCATGTAATCGATCCGTCATCTAACTTATTGTATCTTATGATATCATTGTGGTGAAGAAGTTAAGTGGTTTGGTGTTTTTAGAATGTTGTATTTTGTCTTTGTGGTTGTAATATATATTCTCGTGTCTTTCTTCTGCTGATGTTTGTTTTTTTAGTTAGTTGCAGTTTTGGTGAGATGAGTTTTCACAACATGTAAGTAAATTACGATCTTGAAATCTTGATCAATTCAATGCTCTTGTATTCTTCTTCTTGTTTGTTTCAATTAACACGCTTTTTAAAATGGACTTGGAGACTCAAAATTGACCCACATACACGTGTGAGTTATATATGCATTCGTCAGTCAACGTGTATTACTAGGGAGCACAGTATACAATTATTAGTATGTATATTTTGCGAATCATAGAAAACCATATGTTATCAATGTGTTATCACTTATTACGATGTCCGGCAGAAAACACAAATCAGCATATTTTTTGAAGCCCCGTAACTCTCCTAATTTGTATTTAAAAACTCTAATCCATTGTAATTATTGAATTTCAAATTATGTTTTGGATTTAATAATGAGTTGGTCTCAAAAAGTTTTCTCCATCCAACGCATTACCAAAGCGGTTACAAATCATGACCGTTTGCGGCTTTTTAAGTTGGAGTGCTGGCAAGAGCAAAGACTCGAGTTGGACCAGAAGCTTTGCTAAATTACGAGTAGTTTACAAAAATTAATTTATACGGCAAATTTGTTAAATCATGTTTGCAACCGACTAAATTTGTTAAGTAAATTGACATTTTAGGGTTTTCCTTAAAAAGAAAAGGAATGCGCAGATCGGACGGCTGAAAACATGCCGCAGATCTAACACCGTAATGTTTTCTTTGAGATCCAACGGCTGAAAACATGCCAGGCACAGCTGCAGCGAGTATAAAAGCCACAAAGGCTGTCTCTCATCCGTGGACACACAGAGGCCGATCTAACCCTAATAGCGAGAAAGCCTCAAATTCTCTCCGTCGAATCGAACAATGGTCGAATCCAAGATCGAATACCGCTTTCTCTCCAGTAAGATCTCTCTCCATCTCTTACTCGAAATTGTTTGCTAGATTTCATCTGATCTATCATAGATTCCATCTAATCGATCCGTCATCTAACGTATTGTGTCTTTATATCGTAATATGTTTATGCCTTGTGAAGAGGATGAGACAATCGTCTTCTGGAACATGGACGACTACCCAATCCCTTATAGTGCCGATCTTCGTTCTATTCGTCTTAATATTGAAGATGCTCTTGATCGAATGGGATTTCATGGGCGTAAGGAATTCCAGTCGTATGGTGACCCACTGTACCAAGGCCAATCAGAGAAGGCCGGAATCGTCTCCACTTATTATTAGTAGTATTTTATATATAAATGAGATTTTTTTTTGTTGATACAGGGGGTGACGGTTGGGAAATGCCTGAGGATTTTCTTTGTTGCGCAGGGTCCCGCGCACCTGAACCAATAGTGTTTTTGGTAATCGCAAAACTTAGCCCAGGGAGCGAGTTGCACAGGGTTCTTCACTGTTTGAAATCGAGAAAACACACTGTTCTCGTAGTTGATAACACCACCGCAAAAGAAAGCCTATTTGATACTGTAGAATCGGTAGTTGGTTGTACCCAAGTTTTGGGCGGAGGAAAGCCTGTAAGCAAAATGCCACAGCAGGACGAGGATGAATATTATGAGGACCAATTCTCAGAATCCTCTGAGGAGGATGGTAGCTCCCAATTCGATATGTCCAAGATGGACGATTTCTCCGGTAAGACCTCTCTCCATCTCCTCTTACGCGAATTTGTTTGTTTAGATTTGATTGTAGCTGGATCTAACTTCTAATATGTGTATGCCTTGTCAAGAGATCAAGTCAACCGTCTCGACAAGCGTCTTCTCCTGGAACCTGGAGGACATCGCAACCCCTTGTACTGTCATCTTCTGGAACATGGAGGACTACCCAATCCCTTGCGGTGCCGATCTTATTCATATTCGTCGTAGTATCGAGGCTGCCCTTGTTCGAAAGGGCTTTCATGGGCATACGATGATGTGGGCGTATGGTGACCCTGACCCACTGTACGAAGGCCCATTGGAGGATGCCAAAATCACCCTCTTACGTAAGTTCCTAAACATAACACTCTTTGTCGTTTCCACTTTTTTATTACATAGTATATGTCTTTAATCGAGGATCTTTGTTGATATATAGGTTCAAGGGGTGACAACTCGGAACCGCCTCTGCATTTTCTTCGTTGCGCAGCAGCGACGGCTCCTGTACCAACAACTTTTTATTTAATCGCAAAAATAAGCCTAGAATTGCACAGGGTTCTTGAGTGGTTGGAATCAAGAAAACACAATGTTCTCGTAGCTAATCACGACGCAATACAAGTTCCTTATGAAGGGAAGCCTATAAGCAAAAGTCCACCAAGTCCTGATTCTGCTTTGGAAGATGGTCGGAACAAATCTGATTCTGATAATGCTAGCTCCAAATCCAAGATGGAAGATTTCTCCGAGCCCATCACGCCCGTCAAAGGGGATAAGACGGCCGTGTTCTGGGACGTCGTGGCTTGCCCATTCCCTCTCTGTTCCGATCCGGATGAGATCTATGGCAGAATCGTATCAGCTCTTGGTGAAAGGGGTTGTGGAGGTGAGATGACAATCTGGGCTTATGTAGATGAGAATGACGGGTCGTCTTGGAGTGGTGAGTATCTGCGTCACAAGACGTGGGATTCCAGAATCTACTTTCTTCCCGGAGGTGAGAATTCGCGCTCCAAACACTCTTTTCGTCTCTTATATGTGTAGTATGTATGTAATCTGTATATCTCACTTCTTCCATTATACTATTTTTGCAGGGGATAAAGCCTCGAGACTTCAGAGAATGTTACATGACACTCTTTTATGGAAATTGGACTCTCCTCGGGAATATCCTTATCGAGCAGATGTGGTCGTAGTCTCAGATCAAGTCGGAGATGACACGATGTTCTTCCGTACGCTTCGATATATGACTGTGAGATGTTTCAATGTTTTCTTAGTCACTCCGACTCAGCACGTCAACCAACCACAAAGCGTTGACTGGCCAGGATTGCTACTAGATCATGCACCCTTTTTGGGTTCCCGAAGCGAAAGCCCAGAACCGGAGAACCAGGATGCGGCCGAAGAAACACCCGAGGAGGGAATGCCCATGATTTGATATTAGATGAAGTCTGGATTCTTGATCATGTGGACTTTCTTGAGCCAAAGAAGTTACTGTTACATGATGCTTTTGCTGTGAGTATTGTGAAGAATTACTGGTGGGGTGGGGGTTTATAGGGGCTTAGGTTACGGTGAAAGAATATGATTTAAGGTGTACAGATAAATTTGGTTTGGGCCGGTTTCAGTTTCTTCGACTTACAATCAATATAATCATCAAAAGTAGAGTCTCAGTTTGATCTTTACCTTTTCGATTTACTTTTTAGATACAGTTAAGAAGAAGAAATATTACATAATTAAGATTTGATGAAACTGATAACTATCAAGCTGTTGGATTCGAAGAAAGACAGTTACATCATCTCCTGAAGCCAAAAGAAAATGAAGGATGCTAGGATCTCTACCATTCTCTGTTAACACTAGTGGACTTTGTTAGTAGTAAATTAATAAAGTAGAGAAAGGGTAGTTGTTTTCCAAAAGATGTGGAGTTTGCAACAAAGTTACACAAGTAATAATAATAAAAAAAAAATCAGTAGGTCATTCATATCAAAAGTCAAAACCAAACAAGTAACAAAACCAAAACGCTACTACTACTAGTTCAACCAATGAGCTAAGTGTATATGACCTTGAGTTATGATTCCATTTTGAAAATTTCCCAGACCGAAAACCATAGTTTTACACCCATATTGTTTCATCGTTCGATTTTCCATCCACGCTCAGCCAGACCTTGGATCACGCGCTTTGCAGCTTCTGCAGTATCGTTAAGAGGAGAGTAACTCCACTTCTCAAACATCTTGAGATACATGAAAAGTACAAGTTTACGTCAGTATTCGCAAAAAAAAAGTGAAACAGAGAAAGATTGTAGCGGATTATAGCTATCATGTAGAAACGAAGAAAAAAAATTAAAGAATTACATCTTCTTTGCCGGTTAAAGGTCGAACAGCTCCTCTTTCATGGAGGGTCTTCTGAAAGTCAGAGAATTTCCACGTACACCGTTCAGCACCCACAACATAAACAGGTTTCCTGCATCGACAAATGAGATTTCAACATCCATCTCAAGAATGAGAAAAAGGAAAAAAAAAGGTTGTTTGATCTCTTAAACACACCCAGTAGTACATGCCTCGCTCAACATGCTTATAGAGTCAGCAGTTATGATGAAAGCATCGGCTAAAGCGAGATGCCCCAAATGCGGATTAGGTTCTGCGAAAGAGAAATTATCAAGCTTTGACACGGACAATTGGGGATTAACAAAGTCTCTTCACCTTTTCCGTCCCAAATGTAGACTTTAGAGTTAGAGCTCATTTCTCCGGTTATGACTTCTGCAACCTGTAAGAAAGATTGAGAATATATGAAAGACCATCTGCTCCGCAACGATGGTGATGTATATACAGAGACTTTTACTTACTTTCTTCGGTGTTCTTCTCGAGAAAGATATTCTTAGGCTTCCACAGCTCCAGAGGATACTCTGTAGCATACCACACAATTGCTTAGCAAGATCAACACCATACAAACAGTTCCCTACACAAAATTAATTAAAAAAAGCAAGTTTAGTCGCAGTTATCAATACAATTCAGTAGACAAAAGAGGCACAACGTGTTTACTTGTAGGTCCTCCAATGTTTACTACAACCAAAGGTTTTGACAGAGACGCAAACTCGTTCTTCCATTCCAAAGTAGCAGTTCTCAGAGTAGAAGCGTCCACGTTATGAAGCGCGCCAGTGGTGAGAAACTGGATTTCAGAATTCAAGCTTGTTACCATCAACAAGATGACAACTACTTGCCATCAAATCCTTTTAATCAACATTTCAAAAAGACACATACCACATTTCTACCTGGAGGTTCACGTGGAGTTACCCACGGCCTAAGAAAGAAAGGAATTTGCCTCTTCCCCTCAGGTGTTAAAGGATAATAATCATGACGAGGAGTGATTACGAGATCAAATCTCTCGAGACGTGACCTTGGATGTTGCACCTGGAAAAGCAATGGACAACTAGCAACGTTTAGTAATGCAACCACACAAAAATATCAAAGCTAAAACAACGAGAGAAAGAAAAAATAATGACTACAAGACCAAGATTTGGCATTTGCAGCTATCAGTCACATGGAAAGATCTGCTACAACCATCATACAAACCAGGAAAGGCCATAGAAATGGGGTTTCCCAAGGAAGAGACTTAACCTGAACCACAAAGACATTTTCCATAGCTAGTCGTCTTATGGAGCTTGCGACGGAAATAGTATCACGACCAGATGCCACCACTAACAATGGGCCATTCCTAACATAAGGCAGACGAAAGAAGAAACATCAATGTTCCACCAAACACACTGAAGTAGACAACCACTGAGCCGGCTCAAGATCGCCTCAATAAACTTGTTTTCGAGCAGCCGAAGGAAGATTACAATGTATTTCTAAAGAGAAAAAAAATCAGTACTTGGCAAACGTACTACGAGCCAAAGCAGCAATCTGCTTAGCATCAGCTACCTCAAACACATCCGTAATTCCTGCAACCATTTACAGGAAACAAATCACTACCTTGTTGGGTCTTAGTTTCACTCAAATCAAAGCAATTTTCCAAAGTGTGAATCGCAATAAAAGTTGAAGTTGTACCAGATCTTCCGCCAATAGAGAAAACGGGCATCCTCGCTTTAATGGAGAATCCGGCACAAATGCTGCAGATGAAATGGTCTAGTCTTTTGAAGAAAGAGATAGAAAGCCACTGAAGCCACCTATTGATTCCTCCTCCCCTTGGCCTAGCGACACTCTGAACAGTATAAACAAACTCGGAAACAATGAAAATGGATACAGAGACACTTCACTTCTCCGATAAAATAAAAAAAAAGCGAATACTGATTTGAATGGAGATTACATAATAGAGGTGGCTATCGACAAGGCCTAAGGAGCGAACAAGGCCGATGCACTGATTCTCCGCGCCGGCGCAGCCGTTCCCGATCACAACAGCTCGTTTCACCGCGCGGAAAACACCGCGCGGGATATCCTCCGATAAACCGGTGACGGCAACTTCCGGTGACTGTGTTGGTCGCATTACAACAGAAGGTTGAGTGACGGAGAGGATTCAGAGACTCTTCTCTGGAAAATTCGGTCAAGAAGAAGTGGACCGATTTTGTCATTGTCAAGTCAACTAAACCGAATCGAAATAGAATTTGAAACTAATTTGAAATCGAATTTAGCCGAAAACCTTTCTGGTTTGCTGAACCGAACGAGTTATCCTTTTTCTAGGTTTATTAAAATCCTCTCTTTTTTTCTAGAGGAGAATCTGTTTCAGTTGGAAGAAGGATAATAAAATCTGTTTCACATTTCAAGTGTGATTTTTTTTTCCTAACAAAAAAGTATACGTTGGTTAAATTTTTAGGGTGAATAGAGTTTGCTTGGCACAAAAGTGACAACAATACCAATTTTTTTGTTTCAAGTTTCAACCAAAATGAAACGAGACTAGTACTGGACAAAATGTTTGCCTGATGATTAATTAATGGTTTAGAAAGAGAGGCTGAATCATATTTCTCCAACCTCTCTTCTTACGTACGTTTCAAACTTGGTTAGAGAAACATTTATAATGGATGTAGAGAAACTTTCAATCATTCGATAGAGGAAACCATACAAGAAAAGTGTTTTTTTGCACAGAGATCAACATAATAGAGGTAGCGATCAAAGAGACCTAAAGATGAAACAAGGCCAAAGATGGAACATGGCCGATGCGCTGGTTCCTAAAAATGCACAAACAGAATTGAAATTGGGCGCAATTGCTGTTCTTGCTCTAGGGGTTTTAAAAATGTTTAGAGCTGGCCTTGAGAAAACATGATATAGAGATACAAAAACTAAGGGAGAACGGTTAAAGCCACCACGCCACTGATTGCCGCTGCAATAGCTCCGACCACAAATCCCGGTAGGTTTCCTCCTCCAAACAAGGCATCGAACGGTCCACCTCCGAGTGACACCACCATTTGTGGTATCACGATTGCCAAATTTAAAACTCCTAGAGAAAGCCCTGCAACATTATAAAAAAAACGCACATCCGTTTTAGTTTAATGTTTTAATATTTAGGTTATGGACATATTTCATACGTTATGTAGCGCACACACAAAAAAAGGTTACGGAAATATTACTGATTTAATTAAGGCAATCTAGATCATGATAATATATATGCTTTGGATAAATTTATCGATATAATCCGATATGGTAGGACATATGTTTGAAATACCTTGGCCGGCGCCGGAGTTGCTTGAGATTATGGAAGCTAGTGCGAACGGAATACTGAATGTAACCTATAATAATACAAACAAAAAGAAGAATTAGTTAGAGTGATAATATAATTAAGCAATTGATAATAAGAGTACCAAGAATTGGAAAAGATGGGATTTACCGCAAGAGGAATTCCAAGAAGAGCAAAGAGAGTCAATGCTCCAGCTCTAACGCCTTCGGTCGGACCGGCATACGCACCGACTGATTTCCGGTGAGCCTCCGCCAACTTTGTAACCAAAACCGTCATGGCCAAACACACGGCGAGGATGAAATTCACAACTCCCCAAAGCCGTTTAGCTCCTCCCATCATCCGACTAATCCATTCAACACCAAGCGACATGAATCCAAGAACGATTGCGTTTATCATCAACCCCAACGCACCAACGTGTACTCCTTGGTTGTAAAGCTTCTTCAGCTTATCGTCTCCTGCCGAGTCTCCACCGTACACTTCACGACCCATCCAATCGGTATCGAATAAGAGGAAAGGAAACCACGCGATCCAGTTCAAGGCCGTGACGATTAGCAACATCCACATCGGACGTTCCATCACCTTGAACGCTCCAAAGACCTCTTTCAAGAATGGAGTTTTCACGTCGGCGTCTCCTCTCTCCGGCGACCATTGTTTGTCTTTGACGTAACAGAGTGATATCACGGTGAGGGCGAGGAGGAGGATGATGGAGATGAAGAAACAGCTCTTGAGGTTCGCGCAATAGATGTCGCAAGCTTTAGTCATTGTGAAAGGGAACATCTTGTGGAGGTTTGTGTAGGATCCCGCCGCGTACCCCAAAACGTTTCCGACCGCCATGAAGAAAGAGAAAAACGCGTTTGCGGTCCGCGTTTTCTTTGCGTCTCCCGCGGCTAAGTCGGCGAGGAAAGCGCGGCAAGGTCCTTGGAGGGTGTTGTTGGCTACGTCGAGGATCCAGAATCCGAGAGCGAAGAACCATATGGCGCGTGTCTTGGGTGTCTGGTCGAGTTTGTCTCCCGCCATCTGGCCGAGATCGGCGGCGTATCCGATTAGGATACCAGCGACGGCGACGAGTACGGCTCCCACGGCGATGAAAGGACGGCGACGACCAAATCTTGAGGTGCATCGGTCGCTGTAGTAACCGACGGTTGGCTGAACGAGCATGCCGGAGATGGGACCACAGAGCCAGATGAGTGATGACCACTTGTGTGGGATTCCGAGTAGCTGCACGTACGGAGTTAGAAGAGATAGCTGTAGGGCCCAGCCGAACTGTACACCAGCGGCGATTGAAGCCACCGATATCATTTTTCTCAGTGGCGATGGCTCATTAATATGCGCCGGTGACGCCACATCTTTAGCGGCTGTTTCCACTTGGCCGGGACCCATATATATCGATATTCAAAATTTGTATGTTTTTTGGTTCTATTGTATATCGTGTGTTGATGATGGAGGAGATGAGAGAGCGGTGTTGTAATATATAAGCAAAGGTGAAGAGGAAGAAGATGATGTTTGGAATAATGCTTATCTTTATAACTGATTACTCGCTTGATATTTGATATTTGCATATAAGCTGTTTTGGAAAGTAAGTATTGTATTCGCATGCTGTAACGCATGTATTCTTATTGGATTGTTTTAATAATGGCAAGTCGAACGTAATTCGGTAAAGTTAACAAAAATTCGGTTTAATCCATACAGAAAATTACATATGAGGGGCTTTAATTATATGACAAGTTTCGGTTGTTAGACTGTTTATGCTTGGAGGGTACTCATATCCATTCAGACAATGGTTGGATATTAACTTTTTTAAAATATTTTAATAACTGAAATATTCATTAGTTTTGGAAAGTAAATCTCGTATACTACTATATCCTTGTTCGATTGTTTTCGTTTTGCTAGTTACTATTTGTTTTTCCATTTCTTCGTATTGTTTCCGAGGCCCGATATACTTTCTGGCACTAATTATTATATGGGCCTAACAGACGATGGGCCGTAAGCTCAATAATCAAAAGAAGTGATGATTAGGGTAAAACAAGTCTCCCCATATATATTGCATCCTCGCTGTTGTTCCACACACTTCGAAGAATTCATTCGCAGCAAATTAGTTCTTATCTGTATATGTTTCAATATTTAGTTTGCATCCTCGTTTTTGTTCATCTTTAGTTTTTATTTCGCGCAACCCTTAAGATCGCCTTCCACAAATGCTCAATGGGAGCGTGTCGAGTCATAGTTGCGCAAAATCGAAAATTTTATTAGGGTTTTTTTCATTAGGGTTCTCCTAAGATCAAACCCACCATTTCCTTCCTGATTTTTTATTAGCCCGAGTTGTTTTCAGAATTAGAATTTGGAGTTACGGTCCCTATTTGCCGATTCTTCAGATATAAGTGGTTTTACTTTTTATCTGCAAGACATCTTAGCGTTTGGGGATTTTTAGATTCTAATTCGAGCTTCAAGCATCTCGTGCTTCAATCTGGTCGGATACATATATTAGCTTGTAAAATGTTTTTTGTATGGATTTGTTTTTTTTTTTCGAAATTCAAACGGCATGAATGATGATTCAATTAGATGTGCGAATTCGGGTAATTCCCTCGTTATGAGCTTAAAACCTTTTGAGGCATATTCATATTACTGACAACGCCGTTTTTTTTATATAGAAATCTGTAGTTTAGTATGTTTTAATTGTTACAATGGTGGAAAATGAGGAACAAATAAAGTGTGAAGCAGGACGTAATGTTTTGTAACCATGTGCCACAATTTTGCTTATTGATATTCTGATTCCACCATCGAAACAAATTATCAACTCATTGTTGTTTGGTTTTGTTTTGCTTAATGAACATATATTCCTGTGTTATCTTTTTGCGATGAATTTTATTTGAATTAACATGGTGTTTTGTGTTGTTTGAATGGACATGCTATTGTTACTGTGATTTGGACTAAGTGATTAAGATTGTGGATTTAATTAGTTTAACTAATTTTTATTTAAATTGACATTGTGTATTGTTTTGCTAGATGAATTTCTTATTTTTATTCGTATGACAATTGTGGAGCACATGGATTTCTCTTGCAAACTGGTGTTCTTCAGATAGCCAACGTTAAACAGGACTATGACGTCGTCATATTGGAGAATTGTAGATACTTGTAGACTTGCCAAATTCAAATTAATATTTATTGATGTTTCGGTCAGTTTGTGTAAAATTTATCAATTCGTTTGTAAATTGATATATTAATAAGACGATGACGACAAAAAAAAATAAGACGATGTATGATTACATTCAAATATCATTAATCTTCCTAAATTAAGCAAATCAAGTCTCCACATTAACGTCCACTTCTTGGTGATCATTGTTCCAAAGGCAACTGCTATAATTCCTATTATTGGGTCACTACGATCATCCATTAACTCGTGATCGTTGACTAAATTTTGATTAAACATGTGATCTCAAAATTCGAGTTCGCTGGATTCCAAACTCAATCCTTTTGTTCAATGTATCAATTTTATTTCCAGCAACATATCTTAGTAAGCCCATATTAGTTGAAAAGGGCCACCAATGGGCCCATGATGATAATATACCGTAAGCCTAAGATATAAACCCAATTTTATTTTTTGAGGATTGTTGTGTGCCGTCAGGTCTTATAAAAAAACATTGACCGGCGGGACTTGGATTGAGAAAGAAAGAGATTGGATTTGGGGATTTAGGGTTCAGTTTAGTCTCAGTAAAAAGAAGAAGAAGAAGAAAAGTTCCCGAAGCAGAAGAGCGTAGAAGATAGGGAAGATGTCATCAACTCTCCTCGAGCAAACTCGATCCAATCACGAGGAGATCGAGAGATTGGAGCGATTGATTGTGCAAGATTTACAGACCGAGCCGCCGTCGAGCAGGGATAGATTGGTGCAGGGCCACCGTGTCCGCCACATCATTGAGTCTATCAGGCGTAACACCGAGAAACTTGTACGTTGTTCTTCTTCTTCTTCTTCTTCTCCTCAGTTTATTTTGCTTAGCCTTTTTCGATTAGAACGTGTATTGTCTTTCTCTTCTGAATGCGTAAGTTTGCCTAAGCTTTTCTTGCTACCACGTGGAAATTTAGGTTAGTTTTTGAATCTCTCTCTTTTCTTTTTTATCAGGTTTTGCATCTTCTGAATGTGTGTTAAATTGGAGAATAATCTTCACAGGTTGGTGCCGAATCTAGATTATCATTGGGTTCCTGAGTGTGTATGTATGTAGGCATCCTAAGTTTTAAGCTAATCATGCTTCAGTTGAAAAAAACGGATATTTTACCTCTTTTGCATTCTGGAGCAACGCTTGGTTTCTATAAATCTTCCACATGTTTGAGCAAATTGTGTTGAGATATGTACATGATGATGAATAGCCTTAGATTAATGCTGACCTTGGTTCTTGTTGACTGTAAGGTTGAAACCTACGAGGATAAGGATGGGGCGAGGGAAGATGAGATAGCAGCGCTTGGTGGCCAGACCGCGACGGGGACAAATGTGTATAATGCATTCTATGATCGTTTGAAAGAGGTTTGCTTGTTATGCTTTTGCATCTTCCTTGGTCTTTTATTTTATCACTAATTGCCAGTGCTTCTCTGTAGCAAGAAATTGGTTTTACTTTAATTCCTCTGGGTAGTTTTCTCAAAGAAAGAACAGCTAACTTTACAATCAGGAATGAGATATGTAGCTAATTAAAATTTTTATTGGTTGTTTTAAAATCACTGGTGTTGGAGAGTTCAGAATCTTTGCCCTAAAACTCAGTGAAGGTGTGTTAGTTCTGTTCCATTAACAAACTGGTTGGCTTTATAGAATAGTATCAAACGGGAAATTTCGCAGGTAGATAGGGATTCATATCTTTGTGAAGTTTAGTCCCCTGAACAATATTCATAATTGCTAGTTTTGTTGTTTCGTGGTTGTCTTCATGAATAGGGTGTTTAGTATTCCTATTCTTTATTCTACCACTGATGAAATTATCCGATATGAATCTAATTATCTTGTTTTATATATCTGTAGATACGTGAGTATCATAGAAAGCATCCTTCTGGACGTCTTGTTGATGCTAGTGAGGACTATGAAGCACTCTTGAAGGAGGAGCCAGTTATTGCCTTCAGTGGAGAGGTAAGCTTCCGTGTGACTTTTTATTGTTGCCGGACGAGAATTTTCATATTTGAGAACGTTTCGTTGACACATCTTCACAGAGTATTATCATTCTGTTTGTTCAACAACACTGGCTTCAAGTTAGTACATAGAGTTTCTTCAATTGTTACATCTTCTTGTGTGTTGTGCAGGAAGGCGTTGGTCGGTACTTGGACTTGCATGATATTTATAACCAGTATATCAACTCTAAATTTGGGGAGAGGGTTGAATATTCTGCTTACCTTGATGTATTTTCTCAACCAGAGAAAATACCACGTAAACTAAAGCTATCGAGGTTAATATTTCATAGAATTTTCTTCTTCTTATAAAGCCTCCATCTTTGTTTCTACCTGCAGCTGAATGTCTTTCCTTTATGTCTTGCTATCTGCCCTTTTAGGCAATACAGGCAGTATATGGAAGCTCTGCTAGAGTACTTGGTCTACTTTTACCAGCGAACCGAGCCGTTGCAAGATCTTGACAAAATACTTTCTAAGGTTTAAGCTCCTTTCTTTCTTTATCGTTTTATTGTGTTCACCGTGTTGCTTTATGGAATCTTTTGGGTGCTTTGAACAAATGTGTTGATACGTAACCGGTATGTTCTGCGTTGAAGTTGGGATTTTCCTAGCTCTAGCAATTTGTTACTTCATGAATGTTCCGTCACCCTGAATACATGTTTTGAATGTAAATGGCCATAACTAGATGATGTTTGTATTGGAAGTTTAATGGCCATATCTAGGAATTTTATATCGTCGATTATATTGACATTCTGGTAGTTCTTGTTTTGTCGATGCTGTGTATATGTTTGATCTCGTGCAATAATTATGTTGGTTTGTTGCAGGTTGAGACTGATTTTGAAGAGCAATATGCAGATGGAAAAGTAGAAGGCTGGGAGAACCATGGCCAGGAAAACGAACCATCTCAGCATACTGTCATAGATCTTGATTACTACACCACAGTTGAGGAACTGATAGACGTGGGACCTGAAAAGCTGAAAGAGGTAATAACCATGCTTCATATTCAATTATTCTATATGATCCATTAAACATTATTCCTCTAATTATGTCTTTTATGTCATTCAGGCGCTGGGAGCATTAGGACTGAAAGTTGGTGGTACTCTGCAGCAGCGTGCCGAGAGACTTTTCCTGACTAAGGTTCGTACACTTACTAAGATCTCCTAGAAACGCATTTTGTTTTTCAGTTTGTCTTATGATAGTGTGTATTTTCTACTTCTTATTAAGACTGTTTGAAGCTTGTGTTACCTTGACGCTATCTTATGCCCATAATTGTTTCGATTTCTGTTCAGCATACGCCTTTGGAGAAGCTGGATAAGAAACATTTTGCCAAACCTCCACACAACGGGAATCAAAACGGAGATGCCAAAGCAACGCAGGAGTCTGAAACAGCTAAAGAAATTGCACTAACAGAGGCTAAAGTGAAAAAACTCTGCAATTTACTTGATGAGGTTAGTTTGTTGAAGAGCATAAGTTACATTTTTTTGGGTTCCTTCCCCATATATTTGGTGTTGTTTTTAACTTTCTTCTTGTTGTCTGCTTTTTTATAGACAATCGAAAGGACAAAACAAAACATCGTAAAGAAACAGGCCTTGACTTATGAAGAGATGGAGGAAGAACGTGAGGGTGAGGAAGCTCGTGCAGAATCAGAAAGTGATGATGAGGACGACCAGATTTACAACCCGCTGAAGCTGCCAATGGGTTGGGACGGGAAGCCTATACCATACTGGCTCTACAAACTTCATGGGCTTGGCCAGGTATGTAGTAAGTTTATCAGACCATTGTTGTTATTAGGAACAGATTCACATTGAATTGTCTTGTTTCTCGTGCAGGAGTTTAAATGCGAGATATGCGGGAACTATAGCTATTGGGGAAGAAGGGCTTTCGAGAGACACTTCAAAGAATTTCGTCACCAACACGGAATGCGTTGCCTAGGAATCCCGAACACAAAGAACTTCAACGAAATCACTTCGATTGAGGTATAGTTTTATCAAAGACTGTTGTTGTAGCTTAAATCAATAGTTTTGGTAATTTGATCTGTGAGGGTTTGGTGTTATGTTTTATTTCAGGAAGCGAAAGAATTGTGGAAGAGGATACAGGAGAGGCAAGGAGTGAACAAATGGAGGCCGGAGCTTGAAGAAGAATATGAAGATCGCGAAGGAAACATTTACAACAAGAAGACTTACTCTGACCTTCAACGTCAAGGTCTCATCTGATTAATCACATTCTGGGGGTTTTTTTTAGAGGCGACTCCTCTTGATGACATCTTCTCCCCCTTTCTATAGCACTTTAAAATCTACCGTTGCTTCTTTGTAAAATCAAACCATTCGTCACCTTTTTGTGAAGTATCGTCTCCTTTTTCATCTTTCTTCCCCTTAAACAGTAGTTAATTTGAGGACAAGCTCGAATTTGGCGTTCTTATATTTTAATCAACCATGGGAGTCGTGGACAACTTGTTTTCGTTTGGACAAATTTTAATAACGGAAAGTCGGGCATATGTACCTCTCCTGTATAATATGTACCACTTCGATAACAAAATGAAATAGATAAATAAATCAAGTATTTTCTACTCACAATATTTGAAAGTAAAACTTGGGTTTTGTATTTTCAATATTATATATTTTTTCTAATTGTTGTTATTCAGCTCTTAACATTCGTTGGTCTTCTTATAAAGAAATAAATTCTAACTTGTTTCCACATAACGTTTATCTTAATGTTTTAATTATTTTATTCTATACTAAAACTGATACCAACCTCATACGACTTGTCAAATTTTTGTTTTACTTTTATATAAGCATATCAACATTTTTCCTTTGATTTTTTTTTAGTTTATGCTTGATATTGATATATTTTTTAGCATATACGGAATACGATTTGTTTGAAAAAAGACCTGAACATACATATCTCATTTTGGAAAAGTCAAATGAAATATACCTTTCTTGGCCTTTCTAGCTAAGATTAAGTGTATCATATAGAAATTATATTACAATATTTTTAATTCACAAAAGGGAAAAATATTTTGCAAATCGGCTTACCTTTTTTCACAGATTTTGGAGAGACGATCCGATGACTAGTAAATCTCCGGTGCCAGCGCATTCCAACTTCGTAGATTGCCTATCCACCGTTAGATCTTAAACCTAATCATCCAACGGCCCAAAAAGGAAGCCCTAAAAATATGACCGTTGGAATTGAACCGTTGCCCCATCTTCATAAGGAGCGCTCTCTTGCTTTCTTCATCATAATCTCAATTTTCACAGCCTCTTCACGAAGAGAAAGAACAAAAAGTGTAAGAATCAGTAGGAGAGTGATAATGGCGACGAGAGCAAACATGCCTGAGCAAGTCAGAGGTTTGTTCTTCACGTCTTTTATTTGGGGTTTTGTCAATAATTCCCTTCTATGATTCGATTTGATTCATACAATACTGGGTGGTGTTTGATCTGATATGATTTGCGTTTGAAATCATTTTTTTCTGTATTCTTCGATTTTAAATCTGGGTTTAGTTTGATTAGATTCATTTTATTTGTCTATAATTCCCTTTTATGGTTTGATCTGATTCATTTTATTCGGTCCCAATTTGAGTTTTCTTATGGTAACTCGTCGGCGATACAGATCTGATTTGAGTTGTAATTCCTCGTTACGGAGTTTATCTGAGAATCGATTTTGGAAATTCGTAGAATTGAATTGTGAAAAGAGTATAATTTGGGTTGTGTAGCGAATTAAAGATCAGACCTTGATGGGTTTCTTTTGGATTCTGTGAAACAGGTGTTGCCGTCGCTGATGGTGTAAAGATTCAGAACAAAAATGGTGCTGTGAAGAGTCGTCGTGCGCTTGGCGACATCGGGAATTTAGTTTCTGTTCCCGTAGTTCAAGGAGGAAAGGCTCAACCTCCGATCAACCGACCCATAACCCGAAGTTTCCGTGCTCAGCTATTAGCGAATGCGCAAGTTGAGAAAAAGCCGATCATCAATGGTGACAACAAAGCTCCCGTTCCTGACCCAAAGAAACGACAGCCTCTTGCTCCAAGAAACAAGGAAGCTCAAAAGGCGATTCCCAAGAAGAACCTAGTGATTAAGCAACAGACCAAATCAGGTGAAGTGACTGAGCCAAAGGAGGAGGAGAAGCAGCGAAAGGACATTGCAGCAGCTTCACCTAAGAAAAAGAGCGTGACATACTCGTCGGTTCTGAGTGCTCGGAGCAAAGCTGCGTGTGGTATAACCAACAAGCCAAAGATTCTCGATATCGATGAGTCTGACAAAGATAACCATTTGGCTGCCGTGGAGTATGTTGATGACATGTACGCTTTCTACAAAGAGGTTGAGAAGGAGAGCCAGCCTCAAATGTACATGCATATTCAGACCGATATGAATGAGAAGATGAGAGCCATCTTGATAGATTGGTTGCTGGAAGTTCACATCAAGTTTGAGCTTAACCCTGAAACTCTCTACCTCACTGTCAACATCATTGATCGATTCCTCTCTGTGAAAGCTGTTCCGAAAAGAGAATTGCAACTAGTGGGAATTAGCGCCTTGCTCATTGCTTCCAAATATGAAGAAATCTGGCCACCTCAGGTACAAATATACTTAAACAATTTGCTTGTGTTTTTGTATTACCGTGATCCGGTGATGATAATATAGCAACTTGATTGGTGTTTTGTATGTTATTGTGGTCTGATGATGAGTATGATTGTGTAGGTAAATGATTTGGTCTATGTGACAGACAATGCTTACAACAACAAGCAGATTTTAGTGATGGAGAAAACCATCCTTGGAAACCTGGAATGGTATTTGACAGTCCCAACTCAATATGTCTTCCTTGTCCGCTTCATCAAAGCTTCATTCTCTGACCCAGAAGTGAGTAGATTTCTGCTTAAAGTTTTGATTTTTCTTACAATTTTAGATTGGAAAGAGACTGATTATCTTGGTTTTGTTGCTGTCTCTAGATGGAGAATATGGTTCACTTTCTTGCTGAATTGGGGATGATGCACTATGACACCTTGATGTTCTGTCCTTCCATGCTTGCTGCTTCGGCTGTTTACACAGCGAGATGCTCACTGAACAAGACCCCTGCTTGGACTGATACCTTGAAGTTCCACACTGGCTACTCCGAATCTGAGATTATGTAAGAAGAGAAAAAGACTTTCAATCATCATCATCATCTGTTTTGTTTATTTCGTCTCTTAATTGCAGAAACTGACTTGTATGTTTTAACTTTGATGTGTTACAGGGATTGTTCAAAGCTTCTAGCTTTTCATCACTCCAAATGCGGAGAGAGCAGGTTACGTGCTGTGTACAAGAAGTACTCTAAGGTCGAGAAGGGAGGTGTTGCTTTGGTGTCACCAGCCAAGTCTCTCTTGAGTCCTGCTGATTTGAAGAAGCCTCTCTCTGCTTAGTGACTTTTTGATGGGAGAAAGCCTGAGAAATTGTGTTTTTCCATCAGATATCTCTCTGATTCAATTCCAGATTCGACTTGTTAAAAAAAACTCTTTCTTTTGAGTTCAAAAGTATTGAAAACTTTTCTGTATTGGTTTTCAACTTTTCTATGATCATAAAATCTTTCTCATATTTTGATTGTCTGTGTTGCATTGCTACCTTCCAACGAATGTGTGTTTTGCTTGCGACTAATTTTTATTGAAATCTATTGCCGTAATTTTATACTTACATGTTATTTGTTATTTATCGGTCACGATAATATTTAAGATGTACTATATTATTTAGGCTTTAACAAATTTTCAATTCCATCAAATCTTATATTATTGTTGAGCATATCAAAAATATTGATCGTGGAGTAAAATTCGGGTTTAAGCTAAAATCTGATGACCTCTCTGTTGAACGCTTTCTTGCTTCTGCACCGAAAGTTCAACAACACACACAAACACGTGAAATTTTGACAAGAATTACAAACCTGCCACTGGGACAATTTTGACTAAACCGGTTTTCGATCTCACGGGTCGTTTCATGGAGAACACGGAGCAGCCGAGGAGCATTTCGGGATCGATGCAGAGCCCTAGATCTCCTCCGTCTTCGCAGCCGTATTTGTCAGTCTCCGTCTCTGATCCTGTCAAATTAGGCAATGGCGTTCAATCCTACATCTCTTACAGAGTCATCACTAAGGTAGATCCTTCTTCCCTCTTCTTCTTCAACTCTGATTCGTAGCTAGGGTTTCTATGTCAAAATCGATTTTTTTTGTTGCGAGCTATCTGATTGTTTGATAAGCAGCTCGAATTTGGGGATAATTATAATCATGGGTTTTCTGGAGATTTTGTTCTCGACGGATTAATTTCTGACGGTTTTTTTTTTTTTTTTTTTATCCGGCAGACCAACTTCCCGGAGTATCAAGGACCCGAGAAGATTGTTATTAGACGGTACAGTGATTTCGTCTGGTTGCGTGATCGGCTCTCTGAGAAATACAAGGGCATTTTCATTCCTCCTCTCCCAGAGAAGAGTGCTGTAGGTAAATCAGCTAGACTCATTATCCAATCGAGTAGAAAAATATGCTTTTTTGCTATCTCTAAAGTTGAATGATGGATTTTTAGAGATTATTGTATGTGAAATTTGTTATCCGGGTACACTTGTTCAATTAGCTTAGGTCAATTTTCAGTTTAGAGATTTCTGACTATCATCATAAATGTAGGTTTTTTTCTCTTGGCACTCAAATTTTCAGAAGTATTCTGTTAGATCTTCAGTACAGTAGGATGAGTCACTATATTGGGAATATGTTTTATTAATACTCTTTTTTTTTGGCAGAAAAATTCCGGTTTAGTGCCGAATTTATTGAAATGAGGCGAGCAGCATTGGATATATTTGTTAATCGGATAGCATTACACCCTGAGCTTCAGCAGAGTGAGGATCTTAGGACCTTTTTGCAAGCAGATGAAGAGGTAGGATATTTGTTAATCGACTTTTTTGGTTATTTCACTTTCCTCCATAAATTGCATTTACTGCCTCCTTGAGGGACTGCGCTTTGCATTCTCGGAGGTTTTCGTCTTTGTTTGACAGTTTACTTTTCTCTTCAGACAATGGAAAGATTCAGGTTTCAGGAAACTGGTATATTCATGAAGAAGCCTGCAGATCTAATGCAAATGTTTAGGGTAAGCATGCCTTTTCCAACATCATACAAGATCCAGTAAAGGATACATGTTGGGATGTTGCTGGGAAGTTTATATGAATTTTAGCTTGTGGCTCCAATGCTGCACATAATATCTCTGGCAGTGATTCAAATTGTACCTAACAAGGTGTAACTTGGCATTCCCTTCACTCTTTGCTCGATTATCTTACTGCCATATTTGCGCGATTTACAGGATGTGCAATCAAAAGTTAGTGATGCTGTCCTTGGAAAAGAAAAACCTGTCGAAGAAACTACTCCTGAATATGAGAAGCTTAAACACTACGTTTTTGAGCTCGAGAACCACTTATCTGAGGCTCAGAAGCATGCATATCGCCTGGTCAAGAGGCATAGAGGTAATAACAACATATCTAAAGTCTGAATTTAATCTATAAAAACTCTCTCATATATTTCAGTCCTGATCTCATGGATGGAACTTCCAAATTTGAAAACTTGGTGGCAGAGTTGGGTCAGTCACTGTTGGATTTTGGCAAGGCGGTAAAACTTCTTGGGGCTTGTGAAGGTGAACCTACAGGAAAAGCATTTTCCGATCTTGGAACTAAATCCGAACTATTATCAATTAAGCTCCAAAAAGAGGTACTTATTCTGCTAAACTAAACTCTTTGCTAGGCATAAGGCATCTCCTTTCATCTCTTTTCAGTATAGTAGGATGATTTAAGTACATTGCAACATTTGCATATATGCTTTTATTCTATTACTGTTAGATGTTTGTATTGATCTATTCTACCGTACATTATATGCAGGCTCAGCAAGTCCTGATGAACTTCGAGGAACCCTTGAAGGACTATGTTCGTTATGTGCAATCGATTAAGGTGAGTCTTTTAGCTTTATTGTTTGGGATTGGATTCTCTTGCCCGGCTGCCTTTTGCGCACATTAGAGTCTACCTTATTGTTTACATTTTGTGTTAATCCAGGCGACAATAGCAGAACGAGGCACTGCTTTCAAGCAACATTGTGAATTGGCAGAAACAACAAAGTTAAAGGAAATAAACCTGTATGATGGCTTCTCTCACCTTCTAACTGTCAATCAGATTTGCCTTGGAACAATGAATAAATTACTCTCTGTTATTGCAGTGACAAACTCATGCTTACGCGTTCCGACAAAGTAGGAGAGGCTGAGATCGAATACAGAGAGGTAACAATCACTCCGACCCAATCTTTGTAGTAACGAGCATGGATTTGGTGTTGGTGCTTAAACACTTGACAACAATGCAGATAAAAGCAGAGAGTGAGGAAGCTACGCGAAGGTTTGAGAGGATAGTGAAGAGAATGAACGAGGAGATAGTGAGGTTCCAAGAACAGAAGACAGAGGAGATGGGAGTGGCGTTCCATCAGTTTGCCAAAGGACAGGCTCGCTTAGCTAACGGTATTGCAGATGCCTGGAGAGCTCTTCTTCCCAAACTTGAAGCTTCTTCTTCTGTTTAAATCAAAACTTGTGTGTGTGTTTCTGGTGTTTTTATTAACTTTAGTTAACTTGGCTGTTTAATTCCACTTGTAAAGATCTACATACAGTTTGCATTTTTCACTTTTAATTTTAGATTATAATTTTATACATCTCTCAGTCCAAGTGCTGACCAAGATTTCGTGGATGAACTGAAGACTCGATTACAAAAGCTCACATGTTATGTTTAATACTCTTGGATGCATTTAGAGAAGTTAGAGAAGTTTTATACAGCTTGGTATTAAAATTAACATAAATGGTGAGTAATAAAATTTGTATATTTTGTTATTAAAACTAAAAAGCAAAATCAGAGTAGCTTTTGTTGGGTTTGGGATCAGTAAAGTGGCGTAGCTTTGAATTATCCAAAGACGATTCCGAGAAGATGACGTGCTTCTCTTCTGCAATTCCCCATCGCCATCATCTTCTTCTTCCTCCCTCGAATTTCAAATCCCTACTCGTATTCCCCTCATCACATCTCAAACCTAGCCCCCGTATTCTCTTACATGGCTCATCTCGTTCTCTCCTCTCCTGTTGTTCAGCCAGCAGCAACAACGCACCTCCTCCCGCCGGTGACGCTGTTCCGAAGCAAGTCACCTCTGATTCCTCTTTTTGTTTTCTCTCATCTAGTTTCGTTCAAATCGCAGTCTATTGTTTTCGAATTCGAGGTTTCCTCTTGCGAATTTCAGATGAGACAGCTAGTTAGGGATGATACTGGGATTTAGAAATGCTATCAGAAAGTGGGAAGCCTTTTAGTTATGTGTAGCGTCTACCACTTTCCCGTTTCGATTCTAAATGATTTTCCTTTTTGGTGATGATGATGCTTCAGCAACTTCTGTATCATCGAGGGATCAGAGACAGTGCAGGATTTCGTGCAGATGCAGCTTCAGGAAATCCAAGATAACATAAGGAGTAGACGCAATAAGATCTTTCTCCTCATGGAGGAAGTGAGGAGGCTGCGAGTTCAGCAACGGATTAAGAGTGTTAAAGGCATCAATGAGTACAGTGAGCTCGAGGCAACAGAGATGCCCGAGATCCCTTCTTCCATTCCTTTTCTCCCTAACGTGGTCAGTTACTTAGTCAAGACACTTCCTTGTTGCGATAATGTTCTCTTGTTCAGTTTCGATATGTCCTACTTCTTAACTCTTTTGTCTTTTGAAATAGACACCAAAGACTTTGAAGCAACTCTATTTGACCAGTGTCGCATTGATATCGGGAATAATTTTCTTTGGTGGCCTGATTGCACCTAAGGTAAGTACAATAGAGTCTTGTTTTCCTTCCTTATGGCAAAAGCTCTGCATTTGTTTCCTCGACTCTTGTTAAAGTCACTGCTTTTCACATTGCCATCTCATTTTACCAATAATCTTACAGTTATTTGAGTTTCTCAAGTTAGATGCAACTAGTTTCCCGGGTATTCTCCAGGATCTATGCGGTAGTTAGTGAAAGAACCATTGGAAAATCAATATGAAAATACATGCTTTTTGTTGATAGTAATACAGATTTGTGGAGATTGTTGATGCACTCTCATATGAAATAAAACTAGAGTTATGCCTAAACATGCGTGTATTAGTCATCTCGGTTTTTATTATTCTTGAATGAAGAATTGATGATTTTAAAATGGCAGCTGGAGCTCAAGGTAGGCCTAGGAGGAACCTCGTACGAAGACTTTATAAGGAGCTTGCATCTACCCCTGCAGTTAAGGTACTGCTACTCGTTAAACTCCTTGAGGATCAGTCTGAACCTGTATGATTGGAAATATAACTAAACAAGTCAACTTTGGTGGTCCTGAATCTGAAACAGCTACACCTAAATTGATGATTTTTTGTTCTGTTGTAATCCAGCCAAGTAGACCCCATTGTGGCATCTTTTTCTGGCGGAGCGGTGGGTGTCATATCGACCTTGATGCTTATCGAGGTTAACAATGTTAAACAACAAGAGAAGAAGAGGTGCAAGTACTGCCTTGGGACTGGTAATTTATATGTCAATCTCATGGATTATAATGAAATTTTCTCGGTAAACAACTTTCTTAAAGGTCTGTGTTTGCTTGATCACCTCCTATAGGATACTTGCCATGCGCTCGATGTTCAGCAAGTGGTGTGTGCTTAAGCACTGATCCCATAAAACGATCTAGAGCTTCAAACCGGCTTCTGCAAGCCCCGACAACAGTAAGGTGTCTAAATTGTTCCGGCGCAGGAAAGGTAAAGATGTCTCAACAACATTTCATACAATTCTGATCTGAGTGCTTATACTTAAGTCTTGTTCTTGTGATGCCAAATTGTGTATTTGTGTATGAATCAGGTGATGTGTCCGACATGTCTCTGCACCGGGATGGTCACTGCTAGTGAGCACGACCCACGATTTGACCCTTTCGACTAGAAAGTGACACCTCGCCTTCAAAATTAGAGTTTTTTTATAATGTACATTTGCCCTTTAAAAGGCTAAGCCAATAACCTGAACTGAGGAGAGCCAACCTCCTCATATAAATGTTTTACATAGTCAAGAAAAGTAGAATTTGTAAGCATAATAAATAAACTTAAGAACTTTAAATCGGAAGAGATTTACCAAGACAGATAACGATGAATTGCTTTTGCAGAGAGAAGTTAGAAGAATTCCTTAAAGCTCTCTTCTATTATCGATCGTGTGTGTTTATAGCATGTACAGTCAAAGTGAAAGCATAACAAAAAATAAAAAAATTATACAAATCATTGAATAACTAGAAATGTATAGATAACAACAACAAGACAGTTTGGCCGAGTGGTCTAAGGCGCCAGATTTAGGCTCTGGTCCGAAAGGGCGTGGGTTCAAATCCCCACAGCTGTCAAATGTTTTTAACGTTTTTGTTTTCTATACACCCGGGGGTCTTTTACGTCAATTACTATGGTCTTCACATCAAAACCCTAATTTTATAAAGAAGTTCGTCGCCTGCGATATCCTCTTCCGTTTCCTCTTTGTCAGCAGTACTCAGCGAAGAAGAAGATCTCAAAACCCTTACAGTCTCCTCTTCTCATCCGTCTGTAGCCATGGTAACTACGTTCTCTCCATCTCTATTCTAATCCATAAAGCTTTTTTTAGATCTCTCAGTTTCAGACTGTTGCTAGATTCTGATTCTCCAACAAAGTTTGTTTGTTCTACTAATTCTATCTCAAATCGGGCAATTTCGCTAAACTTTCTGAAATTCAGTCTTCAGTAGATATTCTGATCCATAGGGTTTAGATAGATTTCTCTTTTATATCATCCGTATGATTGTAGATACTAACTAGTATTAGTCGTTGTTGTGCTATTCTCTCTTAATGTAGTCGAGGAGAAAGACGAGAGAACCCAAGGAGGAAAATGTTACTCTGGGACCAGCAGTCCGTGAGGGTGAGCAAGTTTTTGGAGTTGTTCATATCTTTGCATCCTTCAATGACACTTTCATTGTAAGTGTCTCATCATTTTGTTTCTGTTTTCGTGGCGAGCTCCATTAAATATACACATGTGTGCATATCATACGATACAACTCTTAATCCTTTTTATTTTTGCAGCATGTGACTGATCTGTCTGGAAGGGAAACTCTCGTTCGTATCACTGGTAAGTCCCAATCCTTATCTGTTTTTGGGCAATTGCATCTCGGACATCCTTTGCTACTATGTCATAGTGGAATTCAATCTCTTGCGATACGATTCAGGAGATGGACTTGTAATTAGATGATGAAGGTTGAAGTTGTATTGAATCCTTGATGTGTAAAAACTGTAGGTGGGATGAAGGTGAAGGCTGATCGTGATGAGTCCTCTCCTTATGCTGCCATGCTTGCAGCTCAAGATGTTGCTCAAAGATGCAAGGTCTAACATTTGAGCTTCACTTTTTAGGCATTTCTTTTTGCTGACTTTTCGAGCTTCGGGTTTCAGTTGCAATTTACTAATATGTATATTATGTATCAGGAGCTTGGCGTCACAGCCATTCACGTGAAGCTCCGTGCCACTGGAGGAAACAAGACCAAGACTCCAGGTCCTGGTGCTCAGTCTGCCCTTCGTGCCCTTGCTCGTTCAGGGATGAAGATTGGTCGCATAGGTAACTTCTGTCTCTTGTTGTAAATTCTCACTGTGATTTTCATTAGCCTCTGGAATTTGGATCATACACGACCATTAACAAAACTTTGCCAATGTATTGCAGAGGATGTGACTCCAATTCCAACTGATAGTACCCGTAGAAAGGGTGGTAGAAGGGGAAGGCGTCTCTGAATTTTCTCACCATTGTCCACATTTGTCTCTCTTGGTGGTCTCTTTCCGGTTTTGTACTTCTTCTACATTCGCCAAATTTTCTTGCAGCTTGCTTTCAGACTTTGCTTTTCTTCTGTGTAACTTTTAGCTGATGATGATAATCAACACCTTTGAAAATGTTGTTTTTTAATTTTCCTTTACTATAGTTGCCTTGCCTCACCCTCTCTATTCTTCTGTGGTTTCTTCGGTTAGAGGGTGCTGACGAAACTGTCATGGTTTCAAGTCCTTAGTGAATCAGTTAAAGTTTAGGTTTGCATTAAAAGAATGTGATAGTCCCAAGTAACTATCCGATATAGTCACGTACCAAATAGTAATGCATCAAAGGAACATAACGCGAGAGGGGAATTCTTATTACAATGCATACGAGAAATTAAAGCTACGGACAAAAATGTGTTTTGCTTCAAAGTACGAACACCACTATTTTGTAATAAAAATAGCAATTGTTATAAGCTATGGTTATGGATTCTTGTTACGTGCAACAAATAATCATTGGGGTTGTTGAAAGAATACTTTACGGTTGCAGCTTAGATATGTATACTTTATTAGACGTCTTTGGTTTCTATATCAACTACTCTTCAATAATAAATTCCAATTATTGAGCTAACCTACAACACATGTTCTGCCTTCTAGGTCACATTAGGTCGCTGCGAACATCATTTCCTCGCCAAATACATCATGTTCATCGTCTTTGTCCTTTTTCTTCCTTTTTAATTGCTGCTAGTATGATGTTAAAAGATAAGATTAGTGATAGTGGTGTTTACTTTAACCAAAACTGAATATAATTGACCAAGCCTTTTTGTTAAGCAAGTGAACGTTGTTATTATAATCAAAGCAAGAACATAAACAATCGAAGGAACATCACAATGGACGTACGGAATTTACTTTATTACAACAACATCAAAGAAAGTAAAAATTTAAACCACAACCACTTAGAATTTCAAGCCCGAACCTTGTAGTTTTTCTCGCACAATGTTGTCGATTCTGCTCTCCATTTCGGGAGTGAGATAATTTTTCGAGTCCCCAACTTCTCCTTTTCGGAAAAAGAACTTGTAGTCCACACCGTTAGAAGTTTTACCGGTCTTGTTGATCTCTAAGTCGCTCAAGCGACGCAGAGAGCAGAGTTCCAAGATCTTGTCCACAGATCCGCTCTCTTCTTCTTCGTCAGTAAAAGGACAACCTAAGAACTCTGCAAGTCTCTTGAGCTGAGCATTAGGCTCTTCTTTCATTTCCTCGTACCTCATGAAAAGGACACGATTGGGATCTTCCAAGCTGCCTCTCCAATAGCTCAAGACTTGGTCCCAGAAGGGACCGTAAAAGCTGATTCCGCTGCAAAACGACTCAAACATAGCCTCAAGAACGTGTCTCTCCACTTCTCTCTTCAGATAGCTGCACCTGAAATACCAACGAGACACTAATGCATCCTTCACATCCCTACACAAGTAGACGATCTTGCAAGGGGAGCCGTTGAGTGTTTCTTGCAGCGTAAGGAACGGCATGTGAGTAGAGAAGAGCCTCGGCGACGGGGATGATAACAACTTGGTCATCAAGTCCGGTGTTTGGGTAGTAAGATAGAGATTAGCCTCGAGGGACGGTACTAGCGCATGGGGATTATGAGACAGCAAAGGATGATGATCATCAGAAGAAGGGTGCTTCGACCGCTCGAGGAGGGAAACTGTGAGCGCCTTGAGCCAAGTTGCGCCTGATTTGGGGAAAGAAGTGATGATGATATCGGAGTCTTGAGGCTTGAAATTTCTCTGGAAATTGAGGACACCTTGGAGAGTGGCAGAGTAGTACCAACATCCTTGGTAGTTGTAGAGCTTGTTACCTTGCGTATCTATCTCGGATGGAAGTGAAGAGATGAGAGTCCTTGTTTCTTCGCTTAGGTTGTCGTCTCTCAAGTTCTTTGGAATCTCCTTTTGATCCATATAACCTTGGGTTAAGTTTTTAGATAAATACGGTTTTGTTGAAATGTAGAGACATCACTAGTTATAGATATAGCTTTTGACAGCCATCACTATTTTGATTCACTATTTTGATATAGTTTTTTCCCCCATCAAGTTGTATTTGTATTTAATTTGATTGCAGATCTATCTTTGTTTACACATATTTGTTGTCACTTGCCACCTTTTAGTATATTTATTTGGTAGGTGATGCATCATATCTGAAACAACGATCAAGCCAAGAAGGAATAATTTAGATGAATGAACAAAAAAACAAAGCCCGTTTTGGAACAGAAAGATAAGAAAACTATACAAAAGGGATATATATATATATATATGCTTATCTGCTCACTTATATGCTTTTCAGTATGTTGTTGCTGTATAACAACAATAATAAGTCGAATATATAGCTAAGTACATCATCCGGGTGTTTGGTCTAGTGGTATGATTCTCGCTTCGGGTGCGAGAGGTCCCGAGTTCGATTCTCGGAACACCCCTCTCCTCAACTATTTTTATTAACATGAGTTGATCTTGCCTTCTGACTCCGTGGTGTAATAAACTGTTTGAAAGCCGTCTATGTATTATGCATATATTACTGACGGGAAAGACACATATAAACAAGAACTTGACAGCTTTTTTGGTTAATTATCTTAGTTATTAGCTTGAATATACGTATTTATCAATCGAGCAGAAAAGTATGAGTTTCAGTGATAGCATTGTGATTTTGTATCACAATTAGATTCTGAATATCATTTGGTTCGAAATGGGGAATTACATGCATGGTCGTTTGTCAATATCGAAAATTCTCTGGTACGGTGATAATTATGCAAATATGTAGACCACAAGTCGTATGTGATTTTTCTCATATGTTCTCTGTTCGCATTTCGTTTGGTGCTTCTTCTAAATTTGCCAAATCCTATTGCAATTGCTTTTAAGACTTTGTTCAATTTTAATCAACGACGGAATGGATAGAGAGGATGGTGATCTTTAGCAACCTTGGAACTGAAGCTAGCTTTTCTATTTTATATTGCTGATATATAATAAGTTAATAACGGTGAAGATGTCCTTTAAATATGTACAACAACTTGAGCATCCTTTCTACAAAGCTAGCTTCAGTTCCAAGGTTTATAAAATCTTAAAAAACCCTAGTAACGAATATCAGTCATTGGGATTTCAAAGTAAGGTCCAAATTTAAAATCCAACTTAACATTTGAAATGATTTGGGATGATTTGAATTTTAGTAAAATTTTATATATTTTTGGTTAATTATGGAAATTGTTATGATTTGTTATTATTTTTTTTTTTATCAAATTCCATTTAAAACATTGAAATTTGGATTTTTATATTTTTAACTAAAAAACTCTATCAATACACTATATTAAGACAAAAGAAAAAAGACTAACCTGAAAATAAATGCAACGCCAATAGCGAAATTAATCCAAACAAAATAAACAAAGCAAAACAAATAAAAATCAAATTTACTCCTGAAAGACCTTTGAAGTTGAAATCTCCTATAACGTTTCCCGCTTCCTTCTTGCAAAATTCACATATTCTGTAATTAAAAAGAAAGAAAGAACACTCAATTTACTTTTAAATAAAAGACATATTTGTAAATGATATATATATATATATATTATTTTTAAAAAATTATTCAAATACTTACTTACTTGTTTTGCTTGCTTGTAAACCATTTAATTACGCATTGTTCGTGAGCAAGATTTAATTTACCCTCGCAAGAACATCCCAAATGAGTTAGTTCCCCATCTTCCTCCAGACACATCCTACATAGTGGTGGACTCTGAATCTCTGCCACAGTTTCTTCAGAATCAGTAGAATCGACTATTTCTTCAATGAAATCTATAGCAGTTTTTTTATTTATTAAAAAATTGTGTTAGAAAACATGATATCAGCGGTTATGTATATTGAAAAATAGCTAGATCTATTTAATATTCTAAAAATTTAGTATATATTTCAAAGATCCACCAAATCATTCAAAACAAGTATGTAAATGCATATACTCACAGATCAATTTCAAAAGAAGTTTTTCGTTCCATTTAGCTTGGGCCTGTGTCTTATTATACTATTTGGGTTAAATTACCCATTGGATTGGACCTACGTTATTATGATATGATTATGGCCTTATTCTAGATTACTCTTAACACACAGTAAGCTTTCCCCGGCGAGATCGACTTAACTGGTTCAAGCCAGTCACAAACAATAACCCTAAGATACACTTCCAACCCACAAACAAATGCGGAGAAGGCCTAAAATATTAAAACGACAACGGAAACATTAAATTGGGCTAAAACGACAACGGAAATATCAATTTGTGACCTTAAATTTGATAACCTAATTATTAATTATTCAACCGTCGTATTTAGGTTAGACCGTTAGAGGATCTTTGGTGAAGAGAATGAAATCTTCTTTTATTTCTATCATGAAATCTATGATCTAAAATGCTAACCTTCTTGATCCATGCTTGATTAGGTTTAGTAGTCAAATGGTCTTCTCTTCTTTTTCCCGATGGATGAAGGATCAAAATCTTTTATATTTCTCTCTCTCTCTTACACTTGTTTCTTTTCTTTTCTTTTCTCAGAAAAATGTAATCGTCTCAATCACAAATAATGAAATAAAAAACCATTTACAAACCACATTAAAAGGCACATAACTTCTTAAAGGTACGCGTCCATTACAAACATTTATATAAATTGGTAGCTATTCTGAGCATTCCATGGTGTATGTCACACACATTATTGATGGTGTATACTGTCATTTCTAAACCGTTAAGAAACCTCTTTCAATGCGTCTTTACGCATTTGTTAAAAGCTATGATTTTTTACCTCATATATTTCGTTAAGTTACGTCTCTCTCTCTCTATGACTGTGATCATACGAGATGAGGGCAAAAAGAGGAATTGGGGAACTTTTGAAAGAATAATCTTATAAAGAATTGTGGTAAAAAGGAAATATACATAACAGACCAGCTAAAACTGAGTGATGGTACAGCTCTACCACCCTTATTCTTCGCTGGCGCTTTCAACTACTAACCAATACTCCATTTCTTTTGATTTTCAAGAAAATAGTTTAAAAGTTTACTATAACTTTAATTTAATCTTAGGTGTGGGACAAAGTCATGTCATTTAGAATAGAATAACGACGTCATTTTGATTTTTGATAAAAAAAAACTTGATGTTCATTTATATGAATACTTACTATCTTACCCTGTTAATAAAATATTTCTTGGTATGTTACTACGTTAAACATATCATATATTGTTAGCAAATTATCATTCTGTATAACCTGTTTTTAAAATAAGAGCAAAACTAACTTTTTTTTATTAACTGATATATAAAAACATTAGTTTATAATTTCAAAAATGATATTTTCATATATTATTTGATACAATAATTAGTTTGACACGATAATGTAAACTTATCACATTTTAGTTAAAATGATAATGAAATAATTATTTGCTAAAATTACATACTATATAATGCTATCCGATAAATAGTGAGATGCATAATATAGTCAAAAGGAGTGATGAACAGTATCCGGTAAATCTATTTTTTTCAGTCAACTATTAAATATTAAGTAAATTTACTTTTCTTATTTTTGGTGAATAAAATTATTTCCTGGACAAAAAAAAATCTAGAAAAATTAAAATGAATATAAATAAGATAGGATTTATAGTATAAAATCCAATTAAAAATACAAATAATTTAGAATGCTTTCATATAAAATGACAAATTAAAAAGTCACTTTAACCACCACCACTTCAACAATATTCTCTAGAAATAGAATATTTTCATAAAAGTTTTTTAATTTTTACATAATATGATTTATGTTTAGATTTTTAGTTTGGCATTGTATTATATAAATAAGAACCATGTATCTTTTAGATATGTCATATTCAACAAAATAAGCCATATCGATTAATCAAAATAATGAATTATCTTTCACACTTTTTGTTTATCATGACATTGTGTATTGGTTCAGCTAGCGCAAAACTGTGGGCTAAAAATCTCATACAGTTTAAAAGTTCTCTTGATCTGCAAAATAATGTTGAAATTTTTTGTACACTCAATATGAAACCATTAATCCATATTTTTTTGTCCCCCAAAGAAACATATGATTATAGATTTCATGGTAAATTTGTTTGGAGAAACAAAGTGGAGTGTGTTTTAACCAAAAAATTTGGGAAGGACAAGATGGCATCGATAAAAGCTTATGAAGGTGGAAGTATTGAATTTGAACATGGTAAAAAGAATTTTTGGGATATTAGAGAAGATGGGATTTACTTCACACATGGTAAAAAAATGCCTCAATTAGAGTATAAATGGTTTACTCCATAAAATAAAATAAAAAGAGTTAAAAAGTATCGATAGACCTAAGATATTTTTAATAGTCGACATAAAACTCTTTCGTTATGAAGTGTAATAAATTTTATTTTTGTTTTAAATGTTATTTTCATTTATTGTGTTCTTGGAAATTTGGAATGGATAGCTATTAAATAAAAAGATTAAACATTAATAATTTTAGTGCGTAAAGTAATTTTAATACATAAACAATTAAAATTTAAGTTTCTATTTTTTGACATTTTATTTGACCTTATTGAAAAATCAAATTGGGGAGATGCGTATTAACGAAGGAAAAGAGGCTTTGGCTTGTTAATTCAAAGGAGCCAAGCTAAGCTATATTGATGAAGGGTTCATGACTTCATTCCATTGAAATGTAGCTCGGTTTAAGAAACCAGCCCACCTTAAAATTAAATTGATGCTCCGTTAAAATGTAGCAGAAACTCTTGGATTTCACAAAAATCCAGCCCACCAAAACTATATAGCAAAAAAAAACAAAACACCCGACCAAGCCCATCAAAACAAACACTTCATTTTCTTTCAAGACTGTAAGCATCCATGAACAAATACAAAGAATATGTGACCTAATTGCTCCCAATATTTGCCAAAAGGAAACCCTAAGTTTCAATGCTTTACATAAAATTTGTTCTAGAGCAGAGAGAGAGAGAGAGAGAGAGAGAGAGAGAGAGAGAGCGCCAACATTTTTGGTAGGAAACAAAATATATCCGAATACTGAGAGAAGAGAAAACTGTACAGTACCCACAATAGCACAATCTAGAGAGTAATTTTTTTTTCTTCCATTTTCTCAACTCCTGAAGATATCTTTTGTTTTTTTAATGTAAGTGGGAACTTCTGGTTCACTGTGTCATGTGGGTCTTTCTGATGAGACCCCTAAAGTAGTAGACCGTGGCTCAGGGACTGTGCTTGGCGATTCTATTTAACGCGGAACTCATGTCTGAAAATGGTCAAGTTCTGACTGAACTTGTCTCTGTTCTTTGAATCTAATCCCCGCGAGATGTCTGTCATAAGGTTGTCAAAGCAGGCAGAGAGTCGCTGGTGCTGATCCACTGGCTGCACCATTAAAAAGAAAGGCTCAAGTTTTCGTACACAAAAAGCAACACTCAGGTAAATTGGTAAAGAAAAGACAATCTCGGATGGATCATCACCTGTGACGAGAGGATCTTAGCTTTCAGATCAGAGAAAATCTGGCGAAAGCAATTGGAACAAGTTAGATGAATGAACCAAAAACAAAGCCCATTTTGGAACAGAATGCACAAGAGTGATTGATAGATATACATACCTGTTCACTTATAAGAATCAAGCTTAGCATCGGCCTGCTGAGACTCCACTGATTACCACAGTCCTCGAACAAAACTATTTCAAACAGCGTCTTCAATATCTGCTTGTCAGAGCAAATCCGTTAAAAAAAGGTATTAAATCTCATTTTTGTGTTGCATCTGCCAAGGAGAGATCGAGGAGCGTAATAATGAGTGAGTTACCTCGGGGAACAAACTAGGGCAGTCTGCAATGTGCTGTGCAAAACGTATAGCAGCAGGAGAAGAAGGTGCCTCACCCATTGTGATGTTATTGAAATAATATGAAGCAAGATTGTCTACAGCTATTGCACACTGAAACGATAAATATACAAATATCAGCGAGCTTCAAAAAAATTTCTTGGATAAACTGGTCTTTAACATTTTTGACACAATTCTCACCTGTGATGAAATACTTGTGTCCAACCCCTTGAGTCCAGATTCAAGGGAACCTACCAGATGCATAAAAGTCGCAGTATCCAATTTCAATATGAAGGTAATATGACTGGCACACAAAACCTCGACGAATCCAAAGTATGCCTTTGTAAGCTGAAAGATGAAAGAAAGACGATAAAGTTTTGAGATAAAGAGCGCACATCAGTGAGTTGAGGTAATGCAAACAATACCAAAAGAGTGAAAGCCATAATTTTCTATGCGTTTATTATAAATCAAAGACAGGTCGAATGATTCACTAAATGAAATTATTGAATAAAAACGCAGTGCCACACATACCTTGCGATATGCTAGTATATCTGCCAAGGGTATTGCTAGGGTCATCTTTAACGCGATATCAAGTGCATCCGCAAGAGCGCGATCGCCATAGAGTTCAAACACACCGAAGTTGCAATAATTTCCCGAAAGCGCTGCCCATTAGATATGATTATTAAGTATCATAAGAAAATATTAAACTAAACAAGAAACAATCGAATGATTAGCTCCCATTGGTTATATGACGTAAAAATCATGTTCAAACCTCTCGACAGAATTGACAGTGAAACCCAGATCCCCTTGTATTTGAAGGCATATATATCCGCAACATTTGGAAGGGATAAAATCCTTGAACCATAAGCCACAATCAATTTACTGACTTCTCGGAACAGCAGGATGCCATTGGGAGAAGAAGAATCAAAAGTAAGGCGCTGGGTTTTGTTCTGCACAAACTCAGCCATGAACTTCAACAACGGAGTCGTAACCTACATCAACAAACAAGGCAGAGAGCGTAAATTCACGGCCAGTGGAAACCACTTAAGGAAATTACAAATTATCAATCAATACTAAGTTATCCAGACATTATATAGGTCAGATCTTTCACAGCGGACTCAGGTTATTCCTAGGTGAGTGACCATTCATACAATCCAATGGACCAGAATGCATAACTAAATACCTCTGGTGTGTCGAACCAATGTGAGATTCCTCTCACAAGAAGTGGCATGTGTGCGGGATAGAGCCAGTCAAACAAAAGACCATAACTTCTCCGACTGAAAGCAAAAGAGAAAGCTTGAATAAACCATAAGAATGTAAAATGTCTATGGCTGTCAAAGTAACTAGCTGAAGTCAAGACCTGCTAGTAGCCATTGATATGCCTCTTAGATCCCTCATCAATCCAATCACAGCAAACTTCACGGCATCAGTGCGAAACATCGAATCTGGTGTTGATTCCAGGGTGCGAAAAACCTAGCATGATTGATTAAAAAAAGTGGTTTATTGGCTAAACCCATGCATTGTATTTGTATCTATCCATACAAGATTCCAATTCACCATTATAATTAGAATAATGGAACTATGCATACAACAGAAAATACACGACCACTACGTGAATATGCCTACAAGATATTGTAAAATATTGGGATATTGAACAATCCCTGTAATCCCTGAATATAGGATATCAAACTACGCCCTTTGACCCAAAAAAAAAAAGGATATCAAACTACGCCCACAACTGTAAATAGGGCGATGATTCTGCATTTTTTAGTGCAAATATTCACCATGGACATGTCTCCCTATGCTTCACCTGGGATAATCCGTTAAAACAAACACAAATTATGCAAACCCTATCATCATAATCAGAGAACAGTATGCAGTGCAGATACAGACAGAATCACTTTATGAAAGCCGCAAAGATAAGGTGCTAAAAGAAGTGGTGTATAACCTGCAGGAGTGGTTCCATAGAAGTCTTAAACTTTATCGAGCTATCCTCCATGAAAATCAACCAGCCAATAGTGTAGTAAAACGTTGTTCTGCTGCGAGAGCATCTGTACTCTTCCAAGAATGGAAACTGCTCCCTCTGGAATTAGACAATTCGCATACTGAGATTATTGCTAGTGATAACTAACAATGGGCAATAATGTCCACAAATGAGAATAATTGGAGAAGAATTACAGTGTGATTAGAAATGATAAAGGTCACGGTGTCCAGCTTCAAAAGCAGCTTCCCAGTCATATATCTGCACAAGAACAACAAAACAATAAATTTCACTACGGAAATGCATATGAGCTAATATGGCATCAATTTAATCAGGGTATAACGGAGTTACCCAGATGCCAACTCCAGAAACAAACTTAGCGTGTGACCAATGACTTCTTCACTCTGGAGAAACAAAAGATAGATTGTTTGGAAAATAGGTGACTTTGATGTTTAGAGCAGCACGTTAGAAAAAGGTAAAGAACACAAAATTACCACTGTATAACATTTCAGGTTTGTAGCAATCTTGCCAACAATAACATTCAACAGCACTAGATGATCATGGAGTCCAAGGAGGTCTTTCAATCTGGCATACAACTGCTGCAACAGAATGGTAGTATTAGGAATATACATAGGCCAAAAACGCGTATAACAAAGAAACAAGTTTGCATTTACTTTTGATGAATGCATGGCCTGATCACCAACGTAAGACTTTCGGAAATTCTGGAAGAATGTAAGAATGGCACGATCCAGCCTTTGCTTACTTATTTCACCATATCTCTGCAGAAAGAATGTGTCATTTGATTACTTTACAGATGAGATAAAAATAGTGAATTCATCTGGGAGAAAAGAAAACCCAGCACGTGGACACACGGTTGTTGAAACGTTATCACAATATCCTATACAGCTCACTCTATATTAATATTTGTGCTTATACACACTTACGCACATTAAGCTAAATCTTCCAGCTGTATTCATGATGATTTTCAGATGAAATGCAGATAAACACAAATAGTACCATACATCAAGTGGCAAAACAACATTAGGTCATTCATGGCTTAATCCATTTTTTTACCAAACAATAGAACTATTCAATCCAAAGAGATGATCAACTAATATTTTGTGTTGAATTAAATGAAGTTCTTGAAATTAAGTAATTAACAGATGTAACACCTGTCTATGCAGTCCACTGTCCATAACATTAACTAGCCGCAAAACACGAGCAGAGAGTTCGGCATCGAGCACCTCTTGTGTCTCCACACTGCACCATATGATTAAATTCCAATGTTCATATATTGTTTTGTTTTTTCAAACAAACCTAAACGCAAAGAAACCCCAAGACTGGAATGAAACTTACCTACAACCGCTGCACTGCTTGATTTTAACAATAGCGGCAACAATATGTACAACCCATGACAATTTTGCTTCAATAAGTGCCAGCTCAGAATTGTCAGCAAACTGCACTTGCCCTCTTTCCTGTTACACAATCACTCAGCTCAAAAAAGACACAAAACGCATTCACAAAACAGCAATAAGCTCAAACATAATAACAGTTGGCTTTACCGTATATGATTGCAGAAGAGGCTCCATTGTGTTTATTATATACATGCCAGTTCTTTCATACTGCATGATAAGACACCCAGATGCATTTCCATTTATTAAGATACAGCATTATCCAACAAAACATGTGAGCAAAACAAGGGTACCGCATGACACGTAAATCCAGAGAAAGGCTGACCTGAAATCTGCATAGGTAAGGAAAGCAATCAAGCTCATCCTGCAGGACTTCAACTTTATCCAAAGGATGATCAGTTGGATCATCGGGGACACTAGCCTAAAAGGAGAAAATAGGAACATATCAACGAATAACTACAAGTTAGCACTGGGAGCCTTCCAGAATGTGCGGTGTTATGTACCTGCACAGAATTGAATCTGGAGATGATAAAACCCTCTGTAATTTTAGGTACAAATTCATCGAGTAGACTTGGTGAATCACCCTTCAAGTATGGAACCGATGCGACTAATCTGGACCACATTCCAAGGAGGTAATACACGCTGCTGCTGGCCCACTGTAAGAAAAAAAATTTCACGTGAATTTTGCAAACTAGATACCATCTTAGCTAATCATTTAAGTTATACGAAAATTATTCATGTCGGAGGATGGCCAGAACTTTAATGAGATTAGTAGTGTCTATAAATGACTTGCCAAGGCATTCGCTAACATAAACTTGCGACAATGTACCTGCCACGACTGGAGAGATTTTAGTGTAAACTCTGCCACCAACTGTATCCAGTCACCGTAACCGTCCATCTTCACAAGCTCCGAAAGCTGCATTTACATACGATCTGAATTTATCAGCCATATAAACCAATACAACATGTCCAAATGATAACCTCCTAGAAAATTACAATGACTCCAAACAGCAAAAAATTTACATGCTAGCAATAACATCTTCTAATATTCCATTACTAAGGAACGTCCAGAGAGAAATCAAGGCAACACAAAGCACCGGAAGATACAAACCAAGAGCTCCAATCCATGATTTTCAACTACCATTTAGACAAGAGAGACAAATATCCTCCGAAGGAAAGAAGAACATGGTTAGCTAACATTAAGTTCTAAAGCAAATATAGCATCAGTATTTACGAATAGTGAAGACTGTCCAACAGTCACATACAGAAAAAGGAACAAGTGTACATTTACCCAAGTACATGGCATCGTAACCTATTCTAGCTATGACACCGTTAAAAAATGCAAACAGTAATGTGTGAATTAGAAAGGAATCTAATTGACACATTTACCTGATAATTCAACCTAAAACGCCCAAGTAGACGGCAGAACACATGGTAATTATCATGATCAGCAAGACCTGATTCAACAAAAGCAATTTGTGTTGAAGAAGATGAGGGGCGGCGATAAGAGAGATATCATACATGTAGTAAGATTAGTGAGGTGTAAAATGTGCGACAAAACACAAGATCAACACGTACTAAACGTAACATGTTAACAGACTGCATAAGTGAGATGCTGTAAATTCAGCCATGAAGAGTTAAAAACTGTAAATGACACAGCTGCATAAAATGGAATACCTTAAGCTCAATTGTTACAGTCAGACATAGAAAATAGTAAATTTACCTTTTCCTGTTTGAAGAATTTCTCTGGTTCCAGTCATCAAATGAGCTAAGAACTTAGAGCGGGTAGCATCATTTGTGAACAGAGAGCGTCTTACAGAAGCCAATCGCACCAAGCACTCAAGTGCCTAAACGTTAAAACAGAGGAACATTAACAAATAGCAAATTCTAAGTCATCTATAACTAAACTACCTATGGTGTCAAAACTCTACATGAATAACTCAGATCTTCACTGACATTACTGCAATTGTATGAAATACCCTCACAATACAGGTAGATAAAATTGAACAGAAAAAATAATCAAATTACTGCAATTGTAAGGTGCCTATACGTCTCTTCTCTTCAAGAACTGAAGGAAAAAATATGGACATACCTCTTTCGAAAGAGGTGACTCTGTACTACCATAATAATCGAAAAATATCTGCAGCGTGGAGGAATCCTCCAATACTGATCTCCAGGATGTTGGTATCTAAAATTATCGGTAACACAAGAAGTTAATGACACCAACGAAGAACGAGAGCCACAAATACATAGGCACTACGCATTGATAAACAGGATGAAGATAACACTACATTAAATGTTCTACCTGAACTGTACCAAACTCTTCTGTGCTTTCGTCAATTGAAGTTCCAACAAAATCAAATGATACACACCTCAGTGCAAGGGAAAGCGCCAATTCTTGTAAACGACCACTGGCTGGTTAAAAGACAAATGTCTGACTCATCACTATTGAACTAACAGAAAAAGTAGAAAATGGCATTGCCATACCGATGCCTAGGCCAACGATAGACCACAACAAAGATAGCGACGTACTTCACGATTGCAAAAAATTCTAATAGCATATATTTTCAAGATGGCAGTTACAAGTTTTCAAAGTTGGTATCCATCCATTCATTTACAGCCAACAAATTTCACACGTACGCAAAGTTCCAATATCATATATTTTAAGATGACGAACTCAACAGCTAGAATTTCCTAAAGTGGTATCCATTCATCTAGAGCCAAAAAAATTCACACGTACACAATCGACCAACCAGGTTGTTGACATCAGTGTATTACAAGATGAAGTTCATAATATTACCATCATTTTTCAGATAGCTTAATGAAGTCAAAGCTATTCGGAATATTTGAAATAAGGATTGATCTCTAAAGTTGCAGGCAACCCTCCGGTGATGTGTAGAAGGCAGTCCTGGATTCGGCTACAAAATTGAGCAAAAGATAGATGAAATGTCAATAAGCATTTCACAAAAATTAAATAAATGAACAATATCTTCGTGACGCAATAAATATTTAAAATAACGAGCGCTGTAAACATACATAATTCTGCCATCTAACGACAACTGCGAACTTAAACATTTAAGACGTGCTTTTAATGACGCAATTCAAAGATAGCAACAACAAACAATATATGTATATACAACACAACACACTCTTATTGTATTGTATCTGTAACAGACTGATACTCTAGATCAAAAAGATGAGGCAACTCAAAGCTAAGTAGCTAACTCTGAAGCAATGAGCAAACCATGCCAAGAAACGCAAACTTAACAGTTATTCCAGCCTTTGTTACGATATTTATATAACGTGAAAAATCGACCACAATACATCACTAACCTGATTCATCTCCTGCACAAGTTGATCCAGAATTCTTAAGCCAATAGCATAGTGATCCGAGGAACCCTATTCAAACAATATATATGAAAGAAACATATTCAGCAAGCTCCTGCTAAAAAAAACAATATGAACTTCTACAAAAGTATCATCTACATGGGCTTCTGCAATAAATGTCGGGAAAGCGCTAAGAAACGATGGAAGCAAAAAAATAATATTCCCAAGAAGATGCACCACCTGTTCCAAGAAGTTTGTTGATTCATTAACCACATCCCTGAATCTATCATCATCTAACCATCCAAACTTTGTGAGCCGGCAAAGCAGTTGAATGAGCGAAGAAATAACAAATGATTGCATCTTCGGTCCTCTTGTAGCCAGATAGTTCACAATATAAGCCCCTAAATACAACCAACAGAACACCAGAAACAAGTAAGATATTAAAGGCCAGAAAGAGATATTTCTAGTCATTAGGTTAAGAGAACTGCATAAGAAATTTACTGATATCAAGGCGGAGATTCAGCGGAAGGGTATGATCTGTCACTTGCTTCAACAAACTCGAGCTAGCGAGCATTAAGGAATAAGGTTTTGATGAATTGTCGAGAATGTATTGACATTGCGATATGTAATTTGTATTCACGGAAAAGCATCTCAGACTATTTTCAGCGAGAGCCCTCTCAGTTGAATCCTGTGAATTGTATAATCTCTCGCACATTGCCTCAAGCTGCGCCAAGCTCTCCATAGGTAACGAAGCAGAATCTGACCAAAAAGGTAGAAAAGCATATATACCACTACCGTTTTAACAAGAATATTTCAACAAGATTTCAGTTTATTACAAAGTTCCTGGTTTATGAAATGTTAAGTGCCAACAAAAGAAGGGAATGAATCATTACAACGACATTATCCCAGAGAGCCTTCATTATTTATCAGTCAAATTTTTCTAGAACTGAGTTAAAAACTTAACATCACAATTTATCAAACAAGCTGCAGCAGAAACTTCAAATGACATTTCCACAACAAACCCAGCCCACAATTCTTAAAAAAAAAATGAAACATTAATATCAAAACAGTGACAAAAGTGCAGTATCAGTTAGCGACAACAATATTAGTGAGCTACCAGTATATATTATTTAGATGTCATACAATCGAGAGGGCAAGAGAGGGAGTACATAAGTAGTAATAGAAAGAAAAAACAAGTAATAGCCTAATGGCAGAGTTAAGTTCCTAACTCTGCATGATGGAAAATGTATTGAAGCTGTGTATCACCTTACTCCAGCTCACTACCCGGGTTGATTTCTGTTTAAAAGGTCAAAAATAAAACTTCAGTTGTCAAACCACCTACGTAAATACTCACACTAGTCATACAAAACGCTTGACTTACACAAGGGTGAAATCTACAACTCTATATGAGACACAAGCCACACATTATCAAATGCCGCTATAAGTTTGGTACATCAGACAATATAAGCTAATTCCAGTATAAATGGACAAGAAACAAAATACTTGGAAGATATAGAGCGCAGAGTTTACAGTATCAATCCGCCACAACTACATCTTATCATTTTTCGTGAAAGCGCACGGAGAGTGAGTTGATGAAACAATAAACGAGTTAAGTGGAAATATCTATGTAACGCTAACTCATCTTAGGCATTCGATACTGTACAAGGACAAACATATCCACTCGACGAACTCAGAAAACGGCTACAGTACAGAAATGAGCACAAAGGAAAACCTAGATTTCGTATTTCCATCATATCCTAATCATCTTGCGAAAACAAACAGCGAGAAGATTAATCATCGATCTACACAACTTCACGATTCACACGATTGGGAACAATGAACCATCGAGCAAAGAAAACTTGGAAAACAAAGATGTGAGAAACAAACTTTGCCTCACCAGAGATTGAGCAGGTAGCCACTCCGATTTGTTGTTCGGCAAGTTATTCCGGCGAACTGAAATCTCGATCAGCAAAGCGTCGATGGTAACATAGACGAAGAGGAAGAAGAAGAGACGTGCAGTCTGATCAGGCGATGACAGCGTTTATGCCGAAGAGCATTTGCCGATTGTATAACTTCCTTTCGGTTTATAGATGCTCTCTCACCTCTATCTCGCTCGAGTGTTTCAATATGGCCGATTCTTTAATGGGCCTAGTAGGCCCATATTTATATCTGGCTTAAAACAAATAAGGGCTGGGGCCGAAACGTAGTGCTGAATATAAGATATAAATACAAAAAGATGCAGCCCCAACAGGTTTAGTCGACTTCCCACTTTTAAGCAAACTCTCTTTCTGCTTCGCTTCCCTCTTTCATTGAGCTGCCGCCGCCGTTTCCTCCCGAACTTATTGAACTTCCCTCGTCTTCGCCGTCTCTTTCGGACTGCGATAACTTCGGAGGAGAAACTTCCGGCAGGCTAATCTAGGCGACGGCGAGCTCGATTTTTTGGTAAGAAAGTTGGTTGGTGTTCTTTTTTGTTTTTGAGTTATGCGAAAAACCAGATTGTTCGATTGGGTTTTTGAGATCGATTAAAAAGTATCTTCCACTGTATTTTCGCTTGAACATGTAAACTGAAAAGCCAGAATCTGGGTTTTTTTCCTGCGTCTCTTGTTTATGTTGATGATGTCAACTAGGTTAACTATAACTAGGTTTAAGAGGTATACCTTGAGTTCTTAATTGTTTGTCGACTTGTTTCTGTTGCGACTTCCGTTTACAAATTTTAGAGGATTTTGTGAGACGTGTTTCTTCAGGCGTAGATTTCGTTGTTCTTCGTTTCTTTTCCGTATGAAGCTCGTTTCTTTTTGGTTTATTTGACAATGGTTTTGTGAGTAACTTTGGCCTTGTGGATTACCTGGATTTTTGACGCTGTTCTTTGTGTTTTGATTGCTTGGTTCGCTGGTCTTTATTCTAATCAAGCGGTCCTTCATGGACCAAAATTATATAGTTCAAATGAGAATCTTGGATCTCCTTCCAAGTAGAACTAAAGTGAAAAAAATTATATTTCTATAGCGATGGCTTTAAGAGTTGATTTTTAGCTTTTCTATCTACTTTCTAATCAAAGCTTTTACTGATGTTGGAAATTTAGCTTTGTAAATGCCTGCTTCTAGGTATCTTTACCTGTGTATATTGCTGGCTAAGAAGTTTGCGACATTGCTCGAATCATTGTGACAGGAATAAACGTTGGTGCTAACATTTGGAGTAGGGTTGATTTGGATCTCCGAGACATTTTTCATCATGCAGAGGTGGGGGATTAACTCTGCTATTAAGCTACTTACATATTCCGATGAGCTTTTGGATGGGAAACCGCTCTATGCTTCTTCGAATTGTATTCCTGTGAAGGCTTTAAACCGTGAACCTGCCGGTCATGCCTTCCACTCTGCTGCTCTCAAACTGCGTGGATGTGCAAAGAAAGCCGCCGACAATAAAGAAGATACCTCCGATAAGAAAGGCGCTAACGAGAAGGATAAGGAATACATTCCGTCCTATGACTCGTACAACAATAACAACAAAGGAAAGAAGAAGTCAAAGTCGGGGAAGCGACAACATGATCACTATGCCTTGTTGGGTTTGGCCAATTTAAGGTATCTTGCAACAGAGGATCAGATTAGAAAAAGCTACCGCGAAGCTGCTTTGAAGCATCACCCTGATAAACTTGCTAGCCTCCTTCTCGCTGAGGAGACGGAAGAAGCGAAACAAGCCAAGAAGGATGCGATAGAATCTCACTTCAAGTTGATTCAAGAAGCATACGAGATTTTGATGGACCCAACTAAAAGAAGAATCTTTGACTCTACCGATGAGTTTGATGACGAAGTCCCAGCCGACTGTGCACCGCAAGACTTCTTCAAGGTTTTTGGTCCAGCATTTAAGAGAAACGCAAGGTGGTCCGTTAATCCGCGTGTGCCAGATTTGGGAGATGAAAACACACCGATTAGGGATGTTGATAGCTACTACAATTTTTGGTACGCTTTCAAAAGCTGGAGAGAGTTTCCTGAGGAAGAGGAGCATGATCTTGAGCAAGCAGATTCCCGTGAGGAAAAGAGGTGGATGGAGAAAGAGAATGCTAAAAGCACTCAGAAGGCTAGGAAGGAGGAGTATGCTCGGATTAGAACTCTTGTTGACAATGCATATAAGAAAGACCCAAGAATATTGAAAAGAAAGGAGGACGAGAAGGCGAAGAAGCAGCAGAAGAAAGACGCCAAAGTTATGGCCAAGAAGAAGCTGGAAGAAGAAGCTGCTGCAGCTATTGAAGAAGAGAAGAGGCGAAAAGAAGAAGAAGCCAAACGTGCTGCAGAGGCTGCTCAGCAGCAAAAGAGAGCCAAAGAAAAAGAGAAGAAGCTTCTGCGCAAAGAACGAAGTCGGCTCAGAACTCTCTCCGCGCCTGTTCTGTCCCAGCGTCTGCTTGGCATCTCTATTGACTATGTCGAAGATCTGTGCATGTCACTTAACACCGAGCAGTTGCGGAGTCTATGCGACAAGATGGAAAACAAGGAAGGACTGAAGTTGGCAAAGGTGCTCAAGAATGGGAACAACAGTAACGATGATGAACCAGAGAGTAAAGATGATGAACCAGAGAGTAAGGAAGAAGTTGTTCAAGTAGCTGCTGAGCAGAGCAAGGAAGAAGTTGTTCAAGAAGCTCCTAAGCAGAATGGTCATGTAGGATCCAATGGGTTTTCCATGGTAGATAGTGCTACTCAGAAGAAAGAGAAAGCATGGAGCAAGGAAGAAATTGACATGCTGAAAAAAGGAATGACCAAGTTCCCAAAAGGAAAATCACGAAGATGGGAAGTCATATCGGAGTACATTGGTACAGGCAGATCTGTGGAAGAGATTCTCAAGGCAACTAAAACTGTAGTTCTCCAGAAACCCGACTCAGCCAAAGCATTCGATTCTTTTCTGGAGAAGAGAAAACCGGCTGCTTCAATCGCCTCTCCTCTCTCTACACGAGAGGAACTCGGAGAACCTATTATACCGACCAAACCTCTTGAAGACAACAACTCAACCAAAACAGAAACCAAAGAACAGTCCTCTGTTAAGAGCGAAGAGATCAACAACAACGACAACTCTGAACCAGTAGCTGCTGCTGGTTCAGACCCAGACGGTTGGTCTGCTGTGCAAGAGCGAGCTCTGGTTCAGGCTTTGAAGACGTTCCCAAAGGATACAAACCAGAGATGGGAGAGAGTAGCAACAGCTGTTCCAGGGAAAACGATGAGCCAATGCAAGAAGAAGTTTGCTGGCCTGAAGGACATTATCAGAAGCAAGAAACCTACCGCCTAATTTTCCGAGCCCTCGAGCTGCATGGTCTGGAAATTTTGTTTTGACAGAGAAGAGCCTAGACTCAATTTTTGTTCCGATTCATATCTTTCATATACATCATCATGCTACTATCCTACATTTGATGTTCCTCCTTACATAGAGTGTTTGACAAGCGAGTCTATTCTTATTTATCTATTGTGTTCTTATTTTTATTTACATTCTCCCTTTCTTGATCTGATTTTATGTATTGACTGGCCAGAGTCTGGTTTTTCTTTTTATATTCCTAAACTAGTGAATCGAAACTGAACAAATCAAAGTGATAGAAACAGACAAATTGAAACAAGTTGGTTTGACAATCCAAAAAATCAAATCGTATATAATAAATTTGTATCATAGTCGTAAAAGAATCCAGTTCTACAAAATCAACCATTTCATCCTCCTGATGAATCGATATTTTTAATGGTACAAAGGCCAACAAAGTGTCAAGTGTGATGAAAAGACTCAAAAGAAACGATGTTCTCACATTGGCAGATTTTGAAAGAGACTAGGCAAACCCGAAAGAGGGGTTATCTGATCAGCGAGCAGTGGACTGGAGAATTTTCACGGGCTCGTTAGGGTAGTTCCGCCATTTGACAGACAGGAGGCATGTTGGTCCAAGCGCAAGACCCAACTCCTGAGGACGCCCCAACACTCATCTGCATATAGTCATCTCCCATGTCATCACCGAGAAGAACCGCGAGTGCGTCGCTCACGCTACCAGTCTCTTTCACAATCCCTAAACCATGGTCGAGCCAGCTCGATGCAAGCCAAACATCAGGCCGTGTTACATCCAAGACGGGTTTCCGCTCTTTCTCTCTCTGTCCTGCATAATTTTATACAGCTAGGTGAGTTTCTCGATCAGGCTCGAAACCTCAGCTATAAGAAACCAGTTGAAGCAAGCGATGATTTCTCAACATGTAAAGACAGGTTACCAAACAGAATTCTTAGCAAACAAATATTAAATCCAAATCAACAAGCTACTTCAATCGCAAAGGTGGACAGTGACTCACTTGGTGGGACTCCATCTGCAACGTGTTGTGTGGACATTGAAATCTCTGAATGGACCAAACTCTTAAAAGAATCGTCAAACTCCTCTGATTTAATCTGGGATACGCTAACCTCGCCAGCATCTGATGGAGTCGTTGAAGCGCAAGTCTTGTACAAACTGTTATCTGTACTATTATTTCTGATCTTGGCCTCCAGAAGCAACATATCAAGCAGACCGGTATCACGGTTTGAAAAACAATCCGACTCCTCTCTCCCCGTTGGTGGTGAAGACTGAATGTAAGCATCAAGGATATCTGAGTGTGGAGGAGGTGCCGGTTTCTTCCGCTGATCAAATGTTGCTTCTGAATATTGGAATGAAGGGAGCTCCAGCTTCACTGCCCCAAACGAGGGGCTCGAAGTGGGAACAAGGCCATCCGTAAGGGTATGGCCATCTGGAATCATAACAGGTGAATGTTGGTTTCCATAAGGAAGATGATCAACACCACGAGGACCTGAGAAACTGCAAACTTTGGAAATCTTATGTGGAGCTGTGTTATGGAAATGTTCGATTGAGGGAAGTTCGTCTTTTGTGGTACTGCTGCACCCAGGATACAACGACTCAGATCCCCGAAGTCGCTTCGAGGAAGGCATTATCGGTGACATCAAGTGTTCATATCGAGGAGAACTTGCACCATATCCCAGAATCTTGCATGCAGGTGGCATGTCGGTAACAATGTTAAGACTGTCAAAGAAGACATTAGATTCACAGCTCCCGAGCTGCAAGTAACCTTGATGTCTTCTATCTCCTCCAAAAATTCTGCCATTGGTATACTCTTGACTCCACTCCAGAACTTCAACACACGTTTCAGGGGGATAAAGTGGTAAACCAGCTCGTTGTCGCCTCTTGATGCGAGTGTTCCAATAGTTCTTAATCTCATTATCTGTTCGGCCAGGTAGCTGGAGGGAAAGAAAATCTCCAAAAAATCAGACGAAACATTTTAAAAACAAGGGACCATTTGCTTACACACACCAAAAAAAAAGAAACACTCACATGTGCAGCCATACGCGCCCATCTATTGCCCATCTTGGCATGCAGTTCAACAATGAGCTGTTCCTCTTCTAGGCTAAATGCTCCTTTCTTCAAGTTTGGCCTCAGATGATTAGCCCACCTTAGGCGGCAGCTTTTACCACAGCGGAACAGGCCCGTGTGTTTCTGCACAGCGTTCCAGTTACCTTCGCCATGCTTCTTCACATAGTCAATAAGAATGTTGTCTTCAGCTGAACTCCATGGCCCTTTCTTCAGATCACTGCCTTCCCATCTGTTTCTGCAGTCACTTCCATTATCAGTAAATGGTGACTCGCTATGGTTACTCTCAGCGCTCGTGTAACTCATCTCTTTCTAGTTTAACCAAACCAATCCCGCAGCACGCTTTAGCAGCCTTTTAGACATCAAACTCCCACCTAAACATTGTTTTTGACCAACCAAAATTAATCAGCACAGCAAATCCACAATACTATACAACTAAATGAGACGAAAGAGCAAATCGCGTTTGATATCACCAAAATCCGAAATTCAGCTCGAGTTAGGAAAATCCGTAACAAACACAGATTTTAAAAGAGACGAAAAAGGCACCTGAAACAAACCCTAAATGAGGATACCTCAATACAAACAGAGAAAACAGAACAAGAAGGATTAGTCTACTACGAAGAAGATGTATAGCAAATTTGATGCAAAATCGTAGAAAGAGATAAAGAAAACACACATAAATATCTAGCTAAAATTCAAGCTCTTCAAATACCCTAAAGACTAATCATAGATCCATGAAAAAAAAAATCGAGATAGAAACGGAAGGATAATCTAGGGAGAAGAACAAAAACAAATTAGGCGGAAAAGCTCCTCCGATTTTCTCTGCGAGTTAGGAAGAAGATAGAAAGAAGAAATTACCAAAAGCTTGATTGAGATCCTAGCTTGGGCTGCTCAACATCGAGTGGAAATGGAAGGAGGAAGAAGCAAAGCTCTTTCTCTTCATTTTACTCTTTTTCTACTTTCTATTTACTTTTTTCCAGGAAATTATGGAACGTTTTTTTTTCCTAAACCGATGAAATATTTTGTAAATACTGTAATTATCAAAATACAATTAGACAGAGCTTTTAGTTTAGTGGTGGGGTACTGTAATAGATTTTGGATGGTGTTTTAAAACTTTTACTAAGCAATTTAAACCTGGCTTCCACTATAGTGTGATCTAAATTGACGTATAGAATTATAAAAATTATAATGGAAATACCAAGCAAGATAATCTATGGAACATGAACAGTAAGATAATTTATTACTTCATTAATAGCACCAATGTGAGTGCTATGTTTTGTCAACAAATTGTTAAAGGGATTAAGATATAATTACATGATTGCTTTGGAATCACATATACATGATACATCTGATTCCCGGATTCGTTAACAGCTAATACTTTCTAATTAAAAAACATTTAAGTGTTACCAATGCAAAAAGAATACTCCTATTGTAAAAGGAGTAACATTTAGTAAGTGTTAACGGAGGAGACTAGACAAATGATGAGAATGATTCTCCTCATCAATTTGGATCATCAAAATCGAGTATTCTTCGTTATGAAGTGCTTTCAAAGGAAATGTGATTGGAAATTTAATTCTCTCCAAAAAAAAGTTCAAAAAAAGAAAATATATAATTCTCTCTGGCCGTTTTAAACCATATACTGTATTACCTAAAAAATGTGATTAACTTAATACACTAGTACTAGTAGGATCAAACTTAACCAAAACAAACCGACCAAAAACATATTTTGGTTAAACTTGGATTATGAATCACATAGTTAAAAAGTGAACACGGAAATTGACATATTGAAGAATAATTGAAGTGAAAAAGGTTGTTTACTTGTAAGAAAGAAATAGAGGGCGTAATTAATACTATAAATTAATTAATAAGTCCCTTTTTCCTCTTTTTTGCAGGCTTTTTGTGGGCAGGAGCTTTGCTTGCGCAACACAACCTGCTCACTCTCTTATCTCGTTTGATATTACGTATGCTTATACATATAAATACTCACGTATTCTCGTGAATGAAGACAAACTTGGCCTACGAGAACTCGACATGGTCACATAGACAAGAAAAAAGGATAAGGAAGAAGATATATATAGATGATGCGATTGTAGACATCCATAACAGATTCTGAATAGTGGATGAATCTATACAGTCTTTTAATTTTATTTGAACATGAATTCAATTTTGAAAAAAAAAACATGAATTCAATTCAGACAGATTTCTTATTTGTTCACATTACGGCAGTTAAGAAAATCTTACACATCGCCCTTCTCACTCAGTGCCACAAGTTAAGAACATTTTCCTTTCCATAATCCACCTAATTAACCTAGATAAGCTATATAATACAGTTATTTTGCTGGCGTGGCAAATCTCAAACTGACCAACTCTAACGCCAATGCGGCAGCTAAAAGTCTAGCGGTCAAAGAGTTTGTCAACAAACCGAACAAGCAATTAAAATATAAAAGCTGCTCAAATTTTCTTAATCATCTTCAAATCTACCCCCACCAAACTACCAATCGTCTGGGCATTGCCAAAGATTACTCGTCTCACCTTAAATATGATTAAATTCGAATATATACATTTTAAAAGATGTGATGTCTACCTACGCAGATTCAACTATGAGGGTTAAACAATTAAATTCTTCGACGGACAGTACTTGTCAACAAAAAAGAGAAATAATTATTTACAGAAATTGGCTAATTAACATTGCCAAGCTGGGCCAATTCAAAAACAAGACTGTCAAAGCTTAAATACAGAGCAATTAGAACAACAAAAAATTAGAGCAACAAGCTTATGGCAAATTTCGGATATAATAACCATTGTTTTGCTCTTGATCTTGTCCGGGATGGGTCGTACGTACACTCTGTTTCTAGAAAAACTTTCGAGAGTGTAGATGGTTGTATATCTAATCATGCATAATGATTTCCGTCTGATTAATGGCGTCTTCTTATACTAAGCCTTACACGTTTATTTGAAATTTTTATTTTTTTAGTTTTCAGATTACTGGTGAAGAATTTGTATGCCGAGTTATTGGCGTGTGAGCTTCTTAAGTAGGTTTGAATCTGATGTCAAAAAAAAAAAAAGTAGGCTTGAATCCAACACCATATTTTCTTTTCTTTTTTTAGTAGTAGCGCTTAGTAATAATATTATATCCGACGTTTGTGATCTATCAAGGTATTCGATAACGGCAAAAAAACGTTTATATAATGACAACTGCATTCAACAAAATATATATAAATGATAATTATTAATTAAAAACAATAAGATATATAAAATAAGAAAGAAAAAAAACACATACCCATGTCATCTACTTTTTTTTTTTTTTGTGCGAAACCCATGTCATCTACTTTAGTTCTAGAAAGGAAAACTCAAAAACATGTTTACAATCAGTGATCACATTAATAATATTTAGACAAATGCTTATAAAATAACTTGAAAACTATTGCAAAAAAGGTTTGAAAGTGGTGATCACCTTCTTGAATTGGTCGAGAAACGACAAAGACGACACCGTTCCGTCGTTCCCTGCGAGAACTCTGTATTTATCCTTTCTCGTGAAGTTAGTACACTCAAACCCTAACGTAGCTGCCAAGATTCTCTGTACATAGTTGGCCACGTCATATGGGCTTTTCCCTGACGAACATGTGGCATCCACTTCGAGCTGGTTCAAGAACGTCACCTCGTAAATCGGTCTCGGGTTCATGAAAAAGAAAATGGGATCAAAACCCTTCCAGCCTCTGGCGGTAGTCGCATGAAAGAATCCGACTCTATAGTTCATTGCCACGGGAACGATCTTATCCGTTAATTCCGCGAAAAGCGCGCTAAATCTCAGCAGAAACGGCTCGCGACAAGTGGTTCCCTCAGGATATACCACTAAGTCTCCGTTAGATAACTCTTTCTTGATAATATCGGCGTCTACATGTCGAACTCGAGTTAACCGGAAGGTTGGAATGGGAGATAGAATTTCGGATAACCGAGAAACGGAATAGGTAACGGCTGGGATGCTACGGCCGAGCACATAGGATAAAATGACCGGATCCATTACGGTTCTGTGAGTGCATACAAATAGTACGCCTAGGTTTCCCGCTGCCGCTTGTGTCGGAGGCTTTCCTTTTACGATGAACCGAATGTTGAATATCCGTGAAACATAAGGTATGGCCCATAATGGGAGCATGAACCCGATGAAGAGCCGAATCACGGCTAGGACTATTCCAAAAGGGATCCAAAGAAGGATGAGCAGTGCAGTGGCTGGTGTTGGCAGCTTCACCAGACGTCCATCGTGGAAGATAACCGGTAGCGGCTGCACATGCAACCGCTGGTTATGACTGTTGTAGTTCGATGGAACCGGTGCATGAATTTGCTCCTGTATATACACATAATATATACGTTAGTTATTGCTCATGTGTATTCCAATTCAAAGAATGAGCATAACTTTTGCTTAAATTATATTAAAATTCACTCAATCTCTAACGTTTTTCTTTTCTTAGTAGTACTCACTTCACATAACGACAAAAAAGTTGGAGAACCAAAGATAGCCGGTCGTCCAAGACCTAGTTGAGGTCTCTGGTCCACAAACAAATCAGCCACGCTATTGAAAACGGATCGATCGACATCGGTTTCGTGGATCAAACCGGTGGCATAACCGAAACGGTTCACAATAAGCTCTGTGCCGATAACCTCGTCGGCTCTAAGATGGTCTTTAGCGAATCTCTCCACCATAACTCGTGGTATTCTTGTCACAACGACTCTCTTCTCACACGAACCAAACGCTCTCCAAGCGTCCATGCTGACATCATCCATGTAAAATTTAGGAAGAACAGCTCGAGCCACTGATTCGATCTCTGATTCGCGCAAACCGGCCGTTGCAACGAAAATCATCAACTTGAGGCTACCATTTCTGTAGCCCAAAACGTCAAGGAGTGCTATGATAGGCCAGAGAAACAGCAGGATTGCGAAACGGATTAGACCCGATGCCTCGAAAGCCACGAGCATGAAGTACGCAAAGGATTTTGGGTTTTTCAATAGTGTTCCTTCAAGTTCCGACACGACCGAATGCGATGCTGCCGTTGATGACTCCATCACCGGTTGATTGTTTTTCTTTTGCTGTGAGTTTTTGGTTTGTACTAATATGAAAATCTCGGATCATATATATATTTTATTAGGTTTGGCGTAACTTGTATCTAGCTAATGCAATATAACACGGCAGTTTATCAGTTTCGCAACCACTTTGTTTTTTTTCTTTTAATTTGGTCATATTGAACGCATTAATTTATTTTCGTTGAATAATATTCCTGAATTTTCATTAAAATAAGTTTTAATATTCCTGAAGTCAAATATGTTTCTGTACGTAGAATATGAGCAAGCATACTGGACGTCACGTGTTTTTTGTTTCTTTTGTTACAATATAACGGAATAAATCGTTGGCTTAACTTTCACCAACTTGCATCCGAATTTTGGTCGGGCTGCACCAATATTAGGTCACGTGTACACCTAAATAGGTCACTGGCCTTATGTAAGTGTTTTATATATTTCATGGCTTTGAAGGCGTGATCACATATGTGCACACGTGTACGTATGTGGAAACCGATCGACAGATTTCACATCCCGTCATTACGTTACGTTTTTCTGATTGATTTAATTTGATCGGTCCTATGTTAACAGATTTTGACAAATCTAACATCCCGTCAAAACACGATGATTGCTTGCGTCTCAATTTGGACCCAAAATTAGGTTTCACTCGGGCTTTTTGTCATCTTTATGATGGACTTTCTTAATTTTAATGGTTGGCTTAATTTCTTCTATATGGCGATATTTCGCAGTCTTTGTCTGTCACACTAATCGGGGTGCTTTTAGTGTTTATAGCATTTCTATCAAATAAAAATTCGAAAGAGTCTTTCAATAATAAATTCGAATGAGTTTTTTATTGGTGAGATGCCTTTTTAAATTTTTTTATGAAGATGATAGATCTACTAAAAAAATTCTAGAAGGTGGATTTATGAGCGAGGCTATAAAAAATGACACCGACAGGTAGACAGGGTTCACATCTAACATTGCATACTAATGGGAAAAAAAATCAAAGTTTTAGAGTTAAAATATAATGCCAGACTTATATGATTGCATGCATGATTAAGACAAACGTTATAAAAGGCTCTCGAAAGTCGAAATTCCCATCTCTAAACGAGACCGACTCGTTAATCCCAATTCCTCAACTTTCCTCTTTTGTGTCTCTCGTTTTCTTAAATACCTAAATGTTAGTAGCAGTCATAGTCTGCATCTTTTCATCTGGTAATCAAGTTTCATTACTATGACGATCTTATTGTATGATCATATATACACATATTACAGGAATATACCGACAGTTATCATTACAATTTTCTTATGGTTTTATAAAATACACACAATCAGTTTTTTCGAAAGCCCTTTACAAACCGACTTAGAAAATCGTTTTATTCAGAAGTCAACATTATCAAATTTTTATAAGGTTATCTATTACACCTTTCGATTATAGTTGTTGTTGCACATCTAAGTTTTATTACTTATCAAAATTTCCACACAAAATAAGAAATAAAATTAACTGAAAATTTTGGGGGCGCACTTAGAAGTATCTACAGTAGTATGTTAATGTTATTGGCATTTGGGTCGTAATCGCCGCTTTTATTTGATGTTTGAATTAATTTCCTGTATCGCGCTCCAATTCGTAAGTGGCAAACAAAGAAAGGGACAATTATACTTATAATAATCACAACTGTGGATTGATATGAAACAAATGATCAATGGACACTGAACTTACGTTAATATAATTTATAAATCTATCCAGACAAATTTAGATATAGGGGAGGATGGTTCATCACCTCTATACCTAAACCTAATCCTAACACAAATTTGGCAACACTAATAATTTTAAAATATCGTTTCAACATTAAGTGCCCTGATGCTGGCATCTAGATGTGAGCTTGAATAGTTTCGACTCCAATTTGATTCCAATACAACTCAGTTTTTATTTACTTATGATAAGGCTACATCCAAATGTTATGGCTTATGAGATATATAGTAATTAGCTATACTGACGACTAGAACACTATATATATACGAAATACCTTTAACAACAACAAAAATAGTACATTTACAAAAGAAAATGGAACAAAAACTTCTTCAAATCATTATAAAGAAGCTTCTTCCTATCTTTCAATCAATCACACCAGATTTAACTCTATGCCCGGAGCATTTTGCTAAAACTAGTTATGGATTTTACGACACTAACGATTTCTCATTTTTTAATAAATAAAAAATGTGTATTAGTTTCAATTAGTAATGTAGAATTGATGATATATAGTATCTCTCGGTTTTATAATTAAGGTAAAGAAAAATCTGGATTGGCTTCAATAAATTCAATGTACAACAAGTTGATGATGGAGGAATGACCTTTTGTAAGAGTACTGTACCTTTCGTTTGTGTCACCATGCAAGATGGATGCATTTGCTTCTCAACCAATAATTTATCATTTCCGTAAAGCCAATAAAGATTATAGACTATGTAGCATTTGCGTCTCTCAACGAATAATTTATCATTTCCGTAAAGCCTATAAATCTATATTGATAAGTTGATAACAGTCGAGGAATACAGAAAAATGATGAGTTTAGCCAAACAATTTACAATGACTTTTGAAGAAAAATTAAAAGGCGCTTTAGGCCATAAAATAGTATAAGGGCTTAATTTACCCAAAATTAGCAAATTAGCATGAAAATGTAGGCCACGACGCAGACCCCCATAATATGCTAACCAATTTTATATTAAGATTTAAGAGTCGTCACGTATCGGATATTTAAGAAAATCAAAGTACTCGTACTTAATGATCCATACTCACATATGTCCGCATTATCACCCACAAGGTCTCCGTACGTACCCAACCTAATAAAAAAAGTATTGTATTACACTATTACTTGTGGAATAATCTACGATTCATTTATTTATAAACATACCAAGATTCATACGTAAACATTAAATTTTAGAGGATTTCTGAACGGTATCATGAAATATAGATACTATATAATATTAATCCAAATGAAAATAATCAATAGTATAATTATCGGGTCGGGTACGGTTGGCCCATATACCGCGGGTAAGTGGGTAACCATCAGTATCTATCCATACAAAGGCATGTTAATTACTGTTACACAATTATTTCTGCGAGAGAATGATTTTAATTATTATATCATTTATGAAGTTTTACCTTGTCAACAAAACACGAGACTCATATTCAATTGTAAGTAAAAAAGGATTAAGGTACAAAAGTGATTGATGTTTATCTCAAAAACTCTTTTGTTTATTCTTTCAAGAACTTTTAGTGGTGGGGCTTATAAAAACCAAAGCAATTAGTCTCGAGCTATCGAAAGATTACAAAAAAAAATATACATAAACCAAACAGAGGAAACGCAAAAGAAAACAATGGCAGGTCATGGATCATCTTGTGGAGCATGCAAGTTCCTAAGGAGAAAATGCAACAGCGATTGCGTCTTCTCGCTTTACTTCAGCTATGAGCAAGCCTCATCCCATTTTGCAGCGGTCCACAAAGTCTTTGGCGCAAGCAATGTCTCGAAGCATTTGCTTCATTTGCCTCTACATCAGAGAAGCGCCGCTGCGATCACCATCTCCTACGAGGCTCTCTCTCGCATGTGTGATCCTGTTTATGGCTGCGTTGCTCACATCTTTGCTCTTCAGCAACAGGTCTTTCGAAATTTTGTCATAAAGAAAGAAAAAAAAAAAGGAAAATCTCTGAATATTTTGGTTTTACCCTTTTCGGAAACAACTTTATCATTTTATTTTAAATTTTGCTAAAATATTAATCATGTATTCATGTGGTTTCGTGGGTTTTGTTTCTTTTAAGGTCGTGGCTTTGCAAGAGGAGATTGAGTTTCTTGGGTCGCAGATGGCGAATTTCTCCTACTCTAGTCAAAGCAGAACACAGCCTAACAACATACCGGAGTTCATGAATCAGATGACAATGGACACGACCGGTTTCGTCGACGAGAGTCTTTTAAACAACGACGATGGAAGAAACTGCGTTGAAGGGGTTTTCACTAATCCGGAGGAATTGCTCGTGAATCATCCATGGCTTCAGAACATGGACTATCATTACTACGCACCACAACATTAGACGTTCACTAAAAATGATCGATCGATGGGGAGCATGGTTTTTTGCAATGATAATCGGATTTTTTTTAGTTTGTTTCCGATATCGGTCTTTATATTTAGGTCGCCTTATCGGGTTACATATGCAATTTGACAAGGGTTACGTAGATCTCCAACTAAAGTTGGACTATTTTAAGAATATTGTATTTAGGTAATCATGCCACTATTTAAGTCATTTGTATGAAACTAGTTAGTGTCTTTTGTCTCTCTATATGTAAAATGTTTGTGTATCATTCGTCTAATTAATGTGATAAATCACCTATGATTAATTGTGTTTTGTTTTGTTCTTACTTCTTACCGTCTCTCGTGTTGTATTTGTGACAAAAACAAAAAAGGTGTGGTGATCGCTCTCATTCACTATTTAGAAAACTTAATGATGGATTTTTTGTGATGGTTTGATTTTGTAGCTATAGCATTGCTGCAAATTTTTAACACACTGTATTGCGGGGAACCAATGATTATTAACCATGGGAATGCTTGATACTTTCTCGGTTACTGGGATCTAAAATATCTTAGAAGCCCAGTGGGTCATCTATTCAATATCTTAGGAGCCCAGCCCAAACTCCTCTATATTAATTCATTTTCCATATATTCGGCCCCCCTAACAACACTTACATTTTGCAAATTTATATCATGAAGGTAAAGATTGCAATGTAAATGTCTCCTCCAAAAACAGTCACATGAGAAAAAAAAAACACAGGACGAGGACAGTGACGAAAGGTAATTGAGTTGAAGAATATACTATCCATAAAAAAAAAATATTAGCCGTGTCCTGTTTTTTTTTTTTTCCTCTATTCGAATAATGTGAACATTTCTTCACATATTAAAATCACTTAGCAATTAAAATCATAAAAAATAAAATACGAAAATGAAAAAATAAATTGAGAAAAAAAGAAATTCATGCTCTGGCGTTTTATATATCACACAGAATTTTATAATAATCTGATGTTTTCTAATCTATTTTTTTTTTGCTTTGTAATTAAGTCACTTCAGTTTGGATACTTTGTACTCCAATTTTGCTTTGCTTTTTTTTTTCTTTTAACATGGAGACAAATTGTAGGTTGAATATCTTGACATACGAGTCCATAAAAATAATCTAAATTATAGGCAAAAACCTCCAATTTTCATCCGTATAATACTCGTAAAACAATCACACAATAATATATTTAATGGCAGCACGCCACGTATCCAGTGTCTTATTAGCTAGATCAAATAAATATGAAAAATAAATTAATTTTGTTGGTCCACTGTATTCATCACATCTACAGCCACATATATCCGAAGATGGTGTATGTGTTTAGGACACTAGGTAGATCAATTAAAATACTAACGATAAATTAATTTGTTGGTCCACTGTATTTGTCACCATGTATCCGAAGATGGTGTAAGTGTTAAATCTCTATAAAAATAACATACTGGATACAATTAAACCATAACTTTTGTCATATTATTAGGGGTTATTGAAAAACATCGACTCTACCAACTTATTAAATTTTGTAGACTCGTGGAAAACTTGGGTTGCGCTTGGCATTAAGTTTAGCTACCATCGAATCAAAAGCTCGCCAACTAATTATTCATATCTAAATATTTAACATATAGTATATAGATATATAGAGTGAACGCATAAGAGTAACTAAAGTAAAATAGAACTTTCCCCATCAAAGTCTCTCTCTCTTTACTTATGGTTAGCTTTCTCACATTCAATGCTTTAACCCTATACTCACACACATATTTGTATATGCGTCTCTCTTTATATATGTGTACGTGCGTGTAAATCTACATATTTCTCTCCCACACCTCGAAAAAAAAAAAACTCTCTGAACTTCATCTACTATAATATACGAATCGTATAAAAATATTCTTGTATTTCTATGCGTCCAAATGCGTATGTGATGGAGAGAGGAAAATGCTTGATGTCGATGAAGCTTAGACCGGTGGTGACGAGGCAACCTTTGGACGCGACTTTGTTCTGGCCGTTTGGGGAAGAGAGAGCGTTTTCTGCGGCTGAGGAGTATGGCGGTGGAGGCGGTTGCATGTGGCCACCAAGGTCTTATTCGTGCAGTTTTTGCGGTAGAGAGTTCAAGTCGGCGCAAGCACTAGGCGGTCACATGAACGTTCATCGAAGAGACCGAGCTCGTCTTAAGCAACAATCATTATCATCTTCATCAACTGACCAAGCGACGCCTACTGATTATGATCATCAACAACATCACGAAGTTCTTGATGTAGGATCAAAGATTATTGTCCAAAAAGAATCAAGAAAGCCCAATGGAACTAAGAGGGAGATAAGTGATGTTGATAACAATAAAATTTTAGAAAGTTCTTTGAAAAGATTTGAACATTACAATGATGAAGTCAAGACTGAGTTATCGGTTGGTCTGCTGAGTTCTGAGTTGGATCCTCGGAAGAAGCAATTAATCAGCGGATTTTCGTCCTCGAAGAAGCCAAAAACGGATGTTTCAAGATTGCCAATGATGTTAGAGTTGGTCATTGGAGTCTCCAAGATCAACGGTCATCATGAGGAGTTGGATCTTGAGCTAAGGCTAGGAGCTGATCCGCCAAAGGTTAACTAGCCTAATTAGTTATAATGATAAATAAATAGTTAATGTGATTGCCAAAAAGAAGAAGTTAAATTGTCTCTACTCTCAAGTGTGAAAAAGTAGCTTCTGTAGTGTTGGCTTTGATATAGTAATATTTTATCTTATGGGAAGTCAACGCGTATTGTCTTTGCAAAGACTCGAATACATTTATATAGAAAATAATAAAAATCCAAATAATAAAATCACTGATGAAATTTGCCTTAACATCCCATGTGAACTCCTAATAGTATTAAGAGAAATCAAAGACAAAAATTATCATATAATACTACGGTGAAATTAGAAAGAGGAACCTAGCTAAGTTTTTATTATTCAATCTAACAACAATAATCTTAAGAGCTAATGTATCTATTTTATTAATGGGTTTTACTTGTAACTAACTAACGGGAAAGCAATTAATGTACTATAAGCTTAGGGATGGCCACATGACCTCAAATCTAAACTAACATTTTTACTTTTATAGCTATATCGGTGGTTGGCACATGGAAAAAATAGTATAATTCTTTTTTACTCTTGTATGTTTGAAAATAGTAGGAATTTCGAATTTTATTTTTTAACTAGTTGGCTTTGTAATTATAGATATGAATAATGCCGTGAAACTATTATATGGATGAATCAAAATGCTTAAGTTGCACCCCCCAAAAAAAAGAGTAAATAAAACTACTCCACGAGACAAATACTGAACAGTAGATGTATATATTTTCATTAATCCTATTGGTAACAGGAAAATGCACTATCAAAATATTAATGACCGAATTAAATAGAACTGCAATGAGCATATGACGGAACAGATGATTATTGTTTGGTTCGCAGATGTGAGCATATCACACACAGTACTGTGTGTATATATATTTATATACGTAAACTATAATTGTGTTTGTGTGTATATATATGTTCTGACTATGGCGACTACGAGGAGAAGGGTAAAATCTATTGATCGAAGTGAAAGTGGTCTTTTCACAATTTGCAGCTCCTAATAGAAACATATGCTAACGTTTGTATATTGTACATTTAGATTACCTTCGTTTTTTTTGTTCTTCTTGTCAAATTGCATCTATACCTTTAGTTGGAGATCACTCTAATAAAAATTGCTTTAAATTTAGAAAAAAGGATTAACTCAACAGCATAACCGTATACAATGTGTAACCTTTTCTACTTTGTGTACGTTACAACTTTCAAGTTTTCTGTATAGTATAGAGAGAGAAAGAGAACTAGATCTATAAATAAAACTAAAGAAGAAAAACAAAAGAGAGAAAGAAAGAATGAAACCGATGGTTATAAAGGAAATATGGTTTTAAATGGGAGAGGCAACAAATTTCAACGTTATCTAAAAGAGGAAACCTCATGAAACATGGCTTTTGACTTAATATTACAAAGTATTATTGACACAAATCTGAACAATATAGTCTACCCAAGATTTTTTTTTTTTAAAAAAAGAACAATTCAGACTCTGCTCTGCAACTGCAAGAAAGGAGAACTTAACTCAAGAAAAAGAAATGTAAAGCGAATATTAAAAAAGGGGATAAAAAGAATTTATGTCATAACTTGTAACCACCAGCTGTAACATCATTTCCTCTTTTGGAAATTCTGCTCTGAATAATTCAATGTGCTATTCTCATTCTCAGTTCCATTCTTTGGTTTGCTAATTGCTATCACTTATTTTTCTAGAGTTTTGAGGAAAAATTGGTGGTTTTTTTTATTTTATTTTATATATTTATAGGCAAACTTTACTTTTAGGATTTAAAACACTGATGAAGAAATCCAGTTTATAAGATATTTCTGTTTTATAGTAATCCTTTTATTCAGTTTCCCCGACACCAAAATTATTTCGTTTGTGTTCATTGTTGGCTGCATGCATGTAATCATGATTCTAAACCAATGTTGTAGATAGGCATCAATACTAAGATTTCAACAAAGCCTGGAAAAACAATCGAAGAAATATCCAAAATTTACAAGTGTTGGTACTAGTTAAAGAAATGACTTCCGTTGAACCGTTGAGGACAAATGATTGCAATTTATCTGCTAAGATCTAAAAGTACTCAATATACGATGATTAAATGAAAAAAACTTAGATGGAGTATTAGTTTAAAGAATTGCATACATATTAGTAGTATAAATCTTATAAGAAATCTAAGATAAAAAAAAAAACTTAATATAGAGAGGAATTCCTAGTAATCTGAATAAATTACAAGCATGTTACATGTCATAATCTACATTTTAGAATTTATATTCCAATAGTTCCCTTAAAAGCTAATATAAATATATTTCATAGTACCTCAAAGTTATTTTAGTGTATGTTGGTATAACACCTAAATACACAAACAAGTAAAGTGAAGACGCTATATTCTCTGTTATCTTGCTTTCCTTTTCAAGAAACTCAACTTGAAGTTGCAACATCATTACACATCTATTGTGAAGAGGTCTTATGTACGATAGGAAAGTGAAAGGTTTGGAAATAGGTTGGCAAATAGGTGACTTCTTTAGTGTAAAAGAATATAAGAGAGATGGGTTTTAAAGGAGAGCTCAGAATGCACATGCTCATGCTTGCCCCCTCATAATTCGTCAAAATGAATTCCTCTGGTTAACTCTTTTTATGTTTTGTCCATTAGAGTTTCCTAATTTAGTAACATTTTCTTTTCCTCTTATTTCAATGTACTTTCCTTTTTTGGCTATTTGTTCTGTTGCACATGCGCACCTTCACAAACCGTGTGCATCAAGATGCATCCAAAGTCAAACGGGAGAATCACCTTTTTCTTTTTTCCATTGTGATTTATGAGTTACGACATTGAGGTCGTGTCTCCTTAATACTGTAAGGGCCTAATTAATTTTTGTGTACTCAATGGGCCGGTACATAAACGGGCCCAGTATGAGTTGAGGACTAATAGGATCTCTAAATTTCAAATTTTCAATTATGTTTAGTCATTGATTTGGTTATATCATGCAAATATGTCACGAAAAGTGATGAGAAATCAGCGAGTTCAAAATTTGCTTGTAGGAATAGTCATAAGAACACATTAACCAGCGAGTTCTATTTGTTTGAATAAAAACCCCGTAAACATAGTTTACCGCTTTGAAAGAATCTCTTTATAAGAAAATCTATAAACTCGAACAAGAAAATATAACAGCAGCACTAACAGATTTGATCTTCTCCTTCTCAAGTTCAACTTTGAGATCTCACATATCCAATTTTACATTCTTGAACCTTTCCTCAAGTTGTTGGAGCCTTGCTTTCGTACTCTCCAAGAAAACCTTTTGAAGCTTTGACTTTAACCAGTCGAGCTTAAAGCCTGTTTCCAACAACTCAGAGCCAAAACCCCCAAGATTCTGGTGGAAAGAGTTACTGAGAAGATTGAGGCTGATATAGTGGAGCAAAATTCACAGCTTACGAGATGTACATCATACTTTTACCTTTCTAAGCAGTATTTAATTAAGTAAATATGATTTGAATTTGTAAATAGATTTCGGTACTCTGAATTATGATTGATGTGATGCTTCCTTTTCTCTCATTCTAATGAATCAACAATGCCAAAAGCAAGAAGTAACAAAATGAGAATGCAATAAAATAGCACCCCTTCTTGTTGACAAAGTTCAAATTAATAATGTAATGTCTCGTACATGATAGCCTCGAAATGATCAAGTTGTCACCATATTTATTGGTTTTTCTTGGTCTCAGTCGGCTATGTTCAATGCCAACCAAACGTTTTGAAATACTCTACACAAATAATATATTTAGATTTAGAAAATGTGTGCTTTTCTAGTACAAATTAAATTCAATAATATAAGAAAAAAATCATATTAAAACAATTTAACTTCATAATATATATAAGAAAGGAAAAAAAATAGTGAAACAATATCAAAATATATAACTCTTGTTACATTTTGTCTATAAATCTATTCATTAGACTTTTATAATCATAATTTTTTCAATCATTTTTATTGAAGAAAAGTTTACAAACAATAGCTCAAGGCTGAAAAAAACTGTTTGTAATTTTTTCTTCAATAAACATGATTGAAAAAATTGATTAGAAAAGTTTAATGAATAGATTTATAGACAAAATGTAACAACAGTTATATATTTCAATATGTTTCACTATATTTTTTCTTTTCTTATATATGTTATGAAGCTAAACTGTTTTAATGTGATTTTTTATATATTATATACTACAGGTTTAAAGACGTCACAAAAAACTATAAATAGATAAAAGACATACAATATACTTAGAAAAAATTAGATTTAAAAGTAAACTTCTTTCTTCGATATGGCTGGTGCGATTCAGTGTACTTGTCAATGATTTATGTGTCTATTGTAGGCCATGGAGATTTATCATTTCAGTCTTCTAGAGGGAGAATATTTGCTTCCATATGTATTCTCACAATCCCAATTGTGATGCCATGTTTGCTGATACGAGTTGGTGAGATGATGAACGATGCAGAGCCATTAGATGAGGTTATAAATAGGTTTTGTCAATCTTTAAAACTCATCTCTTTCGCGTCATAATCATGCATAACAATTATAAAAAAGAAACCTTTTCCCTTTTCTGCCTTTATATATATATCTCTAGAATTTTTTTAGAGAATTCAACCTTACTTTTGGTCCCAACCTTACTTTTGGTCTCAACCTTACTTTTGGTCTCAATCAACTACGCCCAATGCCGATCAAACATTTTGAGATATTCTACATAAATAACATATGGAAATTTAGGGAGATTATTGAGAGATGCATTTATTTATATAGAGTTGTTTGATTTTAAAAATTAAAAATTTGTTAAATTTGTACCTATTGTGTAGAGTTCTATTTCTTCGAATTTATGGATTGTGCTAGACTGATTTACTTTATCTGCTAGTCATTTCATCAAGCACTATTAATTTTAGTGACTTAGCTTTTTGGTCATTTGGTAAAAGAATTTTTGCAACCTAATTATGAATTACATAATTTAGCATTTATTTTAATTTCAGTATTTGTTATATATTTTAAAATTTATTTTATTTTACAATCTTTTTAATAATAATTATAGTATTTAAATATTTATAATTTTTTTAAGTTTATAAATATTACATAGTATAAAATAAAATTATTTAATATTTTAAAGATTAGTTTGCAAATAGAAATGTTTAATTCCAAATAGAGTAAAATTTAAGTTCATTATATATAGAGTAGAATTTAGGTTTAGAAAGTAAGATAAGATGCTTTTAAACGCCTAAACTTTAACAAATAGTTCAGAGTTTGTTTTAGAGTCCCCAAATTTTCTCCAAATTACAAAATCCTCACAACTAAACTAACCATTGATCAAAGAACCCCCCCAACAATTGTATCCCAACCCTTGTATTTATACTATGATAATGTCAAGCTCTATTTCCTTTAGCCTTCCTCTTCTTCTTGGTATGATGTTTTTCAACTGACGATTCAAACTGCTTTTCGCATAAGAGGACCCTGTAACTTGCGTGAGGTCCTTCAGCAGTTTCACGTAAGGTCGTAGACCACCTCAATGCATTTCCAATCTCTTGAAGCTCACTCATCACATTGATAGTATCCCTTATGTATACACGCCCTCCAGGTCTCAAGATCCGGTCCATCTCCAGCATCACTGTTGTCATGTTGCACCTGGACAAGACCACCACCAAATAAACCTTACAATATTTACTCCAAAATGAGAGAGAGCCGGCAAAACAAAGTGGCCATTACCTTCTTCTTTCGATGGAAAATAGACCCGCGGCATGCAGCAAATCATAGGTTCTTGGGTAAGTATCCAACGGTTCACACCTGAAAAGTCAAATATCTTTGAACAATCCATTATATGGTCCACAGAGAGTGATTTATACAATGTTATTAGAGTTGTGTGATCAAGGGAAAACGTGACAACAGTTAAAGATCATGGCATGTGATAACAATCCTATGAGTGTGTGATATAGTTAGTAAAGGGTCTTTTTACCAATCGTGCATTACTCCTAGTAGTCCACGGTCATATATAACAGGCAATGTATTTGGTCCACTGGCTGGAACAACGTTGAGAACCCAGCAATCCACCTTTAGCTCAGCTAATGCAACTGCAAATCTGCGAAGAAAACACAGGAATATATGACGCAGCCGATTCAGTTTTATCTAATGATAAGAGCATTGCGGGAAGAGTTAGTACCCGCCAAATCCAGCTCTCATGTCCAATACATTTCTGAGTCCTATCTCCTTCCAGTGCAAGGCATCTACATAGTTCGAGATGATCTCTTTCCAGTACTTTGATTCAGCTATGAAGAGCTCTTTTCGTGCTATGTAAGAATCAATTTGTACTGTCTGCAGCCTATCTGGTGGGGTCTGTAGACGGGCTGGCCAAGGAGCAAGATTTGCTCCATATCCATGATCTTCAATCCTAGTGATGCATGCCTTTAGATCTACGTACCTAACTTAGTCACAGAGGAGGACTTAGAATCAGCGAAGGCCACCAACTAAAGTTGAATGCTCAATGTCAAAGATAGGGAACCAAAACAACTTCCTGGTTATTGATTTTTCATTTGGCAGCGAAAAGAAGCGGAAAAAGAAGGTATGCAAAACATACCAAACATTATCTGGGTCATCCTCAGAATTGCACAAAGGAGGCATGATTCCCGCATCACGACTTAGATAACACGTGTTATTTGTAGGCTTCTGCCAAATAGCTATATATCCTTCCTTCTTCACAAGAACCCAGCACAGCCTAGTGGTAAGGTTTAGCATCTCTGAAAAAACAAAAACAAAAGTCCATCTTACTAAATCACATACAAGGATGGTCTTGAAAAAGACACTATATATATTCCTGCAGACAAAAAGATACTTGCTCCAAAATCCAACTGTCTTTTGATAGGCACCAACTCTTACTCATCAGAATTGTAGCAAACTGAAAACCACGTACATAATTATAGACTAATTCGCCAGGGTAGTTGTAGGTAATAGTGTTCTTAAAGTTTCCTCTCAAGATATTTTCAGTCAAAAGAGCTTCGATTGGAATGCATCTATAGCCAAAAACAGATATACATGCTGCTGGAAATGTGACGTAGTAGAAACGGAAGATTAATTAAGCTGAATAGATCATATACCTTCCCACTGTTCCTCCAAAGCCTTTTCATGCTTATACACAGGTTGTGCTGCCCAAACAAAATATCCTCCGGCACGAAGCATCCTATTGACTTCAAGGAGCAAGATTCCATCTTCATATAAAAGAAAATGACAATACAGGAGAATCTGTCAGCAGAAGCTCAGAAACACTTGGTGCTAAGTTAGACCTTTTACTTAAAAGTCAAATGACAAAACAGCCAGCAGAGAACAATATTGGCCAAAGGGCCCACAGAGCGCGATATTTGTTTCCCACAGAATACTTCTTATGCGTGTGAACCAAAAAGGGAAAAAGAACTAGACATGGTGAAAGGAATGAGATTTACTTGTGTAACTTCGTAATAAGTAAAAAAGTGGCATAAACGAAATCACATACCATCACGAGTCCAGTTGATTCTACATCTTGAACAATGAACCAAATCAAAAGCTTGGCTTGGGTACAACAATCGCCTTGTCGTGAATGCCGCCACCATTGCAGGAACACCACGCTCAAGAGCAAACTGTATCTGGTTCTCGTGAACATCTTTTGGAGCTATAGACATAGTCAAGACATCTCGTGACATTAAGTAAGCACCAAAACTTGCCACACCGCATCCAATGTCAAGAACGACTCGTGTACGTTTACCAAAACCGATATCAGGAATCATCTACATATACGACAAATTGTAGTAACTTCAGATTCAAGGGAACACAGGTAAAAAAGAATAACTTCACAATGAACCTCAAAAGTCAATTAACCTGGGAGATCTGATCCAAGTACTTATCAGCCCCGTGTATAAACTGGGTTCCTCCACCAGGAAACTTGAATTTGTCATTCTCTTTGAAAATCCAGTTTTGACCACCTTTGTCTTCAACAAGTCGAGTATGTGGAACATTGTTGAACCACACCTGTAAACAAAATTAGAAACTTCAAGTCACGAAAATGGCCTCTCTGCTTTTGTTCAGAGATGTAAAAAAATCGAACAGAGAAGACCTCATCACGGCTTCTCGGCCACGGAATCGGAGGACGGTATCCGCTGGGAATCGGGACGGTGCAATTCAATCCCATTCCTTCTTTGGGGCAATTCCGCTGGAATCGTTCTCCACGCGTTGTCGAATTGAGCCTTTTGATGGCTTCTACGTTATCCAAACAGGGAATGTGATCCGTCATATTCTCCGGACAAATCTCGAAACTCCTCACACTTACTCTGGCCGTGGTAGGCTCGGTGTCACCGTCGCCACTCTCGGATTCCGTTTGATTCCCCAACGTCGCCGACGACTCAGCGTCGTAATCCCCAATCTGGAACTCATCGGACATTGTTCCGTTCTCATTGACAATCCCAAACACCTTCAGGTCAACCGTACTTGGCGGAGGCGGTGGTGTCAGAGGCGGAGGCGGAATCGGGTGGCTCCGGTAGATCAAGTCGGAGATGTTATAGGTTTTTCCGAAATCAGGAGAGAGAGCAACAATAGGGGTTCGAGAAGGCTCGGTGGAGAAGAATATGAGGCGACGGAAGCCATCCTCAGACCAGTGCTTGCCGAGGAAGAAGCAAGCAACGGAGATCAAAACAAAGGCGGAGATCTTGAAGAAGGTGGAGTTTCTGAGCGGATGGACGCCGACGAAGAGCTTCATCTAGCTTCGGATTCTCAGAAGCATAACACTGATTTTGGTTTGGGTACAAGTTTCTATTATTTTCCCGGGAATTCTCGACTGCGAATGTGGATGTGACTTTGTGAGTAAACCGGTGACGGAAGATCGAAAACCCTTTTAATACTTTTGTGTAACGCAGCCAACAATTTTTTCAAAATTTAATAAATTGGAGGATTTATCTTTATAAAAAGATTTTCATACATGTAAATCATACACTTAAAATATACTGCATTCCATATTTCTCGACTTCTTGGAGGACAAGAGATCTATTAATTTAGCAAATAACAAACGTGCTTAGTCAGCGACAAACATCAATACAATACACTAAAAATAAGGTAGAACAACTCCATCAAATCCGGTTCATGGGCGTCTTCAGGCAAGTTGTCACACGTACAGAGTTGTCATCGTTCCTCCTCATGTCTGAAGCACAGGCGATTCTGTCAGCTCCTGCTCTCATGCTTGGCGGGACATAAGCGGCATTGCCTGTACCAGTTCTAGCCGCAGTCGAATGTAGAAGCTTCTGATGTTAAAGTAAAGGCAGAGATCGTTCTGAGGGCATCTCGATTGTCCAGTAGTCACCTCTCAAGAGGCATAACATGCAGACCATAAGGACCGCACCCGCTCTGCCCAACTGAGACATGGTACTCCTGATGCTTTGTTTCGTCCGCCTTGCTAACTGAAATATCCAAAAGTAAAGATCTCAAAATTCAAAACTTCAAAAAAAATGTTTAAAGCAAGTTATATCTTTTATAAAGACATCAAATGTAGTTGGCGGCTAGGTAATGAAAGCAGATTTCTACTTTCGTGCAAGAAGCTACCAACAAAACATCTAGGTGAGCATTACGGCCACCCGCATATAGAAGAATGTGGCTGACTAACGTGTCCACCCATAGAGAGATCTATAACAATTGACTTTTAAAGCATCAAGTAATCAGGCGACATTAACAAATGCCTAAGAGCTTAGCTGAAGAGAAAGTGGTTCAGAATGAGAGTAAAAATGACGACTTTATGTGTATAGTTAACAGCCAAAAATGGAGAACACAATTTTTGCTCACACTCAGAAGAAGGCTACCAACAAGTAACTGCTATTGGTGACATACTGACCAATCACAGAAAAAAGCAGCTGTATAGCTATAATGTGATCGGCTAATTGGTCACCTATGTTATATACTCTACTCTGATACAGTAATTTAAGAAACTAATACAAAACATATACGTTAATGATCCATAACTAAAACTGGGTTTAATCCTGTTTTTAGTGTTGAAACGAACCATCAACGACATTGCTATAGGTGAGCTTACTGACCATTCACACAAACAGCAGCCACAGGGCTAACATGTGACTGGCTAATTAGCCACCCGAAAACAACAAATCAAATGCTGTAAAAGCAAAACATCGAACACTCACAGGTCAAGACGGTGCATAATAACTAGGAATGCTAACGAACGAAAATGCAAAGGATTTACCAGGAGCCCTAATGAATATCCCTCGGCTGAACGAACGGTGTGGCGGCTACCGGCGAATTCATGGGCGGCGTCTCCGAACTTGAGCCAGCTCAGTCGCTCCCTCGGCTCGTCTGTTGGCTACTCGTTTCTGGAGACGGGCAATGGTCGAGAGTTTGACACTTTTGCCCTCGTAGTTGAATACCGTTCTGGTCCGGCCCGATCACCCGTATGCAGGAGATCAAGGACGTGATCCTCGCCTATATCTCCCCATCGTAAATTGTTTGCGTTCTGCATCGAATCGACTGCCATCTTTCACCTTCAGGTTCCTTGAATTTTAGATATGCCGATTAATCTCTTCGATTGTAACTTAAAAAGGCTGCAACTCAAAGAAGTCGCAAAACTAGGGTTTCAGATTTTGAAAACGGTATCCTTTCTTAATTTAGAGATGTCCTAATGGGCTGATATATACCTGAGACGGCCCGTATTTATAATGGGCTAATATACCCGAGTCGTTAAGATTGATTTATGTTATTAAGCCCAGTTTTAGTGGGATCGCTTTAAAATTGTTACGATCCAAGTTTTTTAAACGAACACTAATTACCAACTCAAATGCAGGGAAAAGAAAAATCCTTTAAACCCTAAAGGAAATCAAAACCTTCGGAGAGTAATTATTATCTCTCTCTCTCTCTCTCTTTTTTCAAATTCAAGCTTCAACACAAAAAATGGCGACTTTGGTACGTCGCGCAGCCTCGCGGCTTATCGGAAACTGCAGCAAAAATCGCTCATTCGTTTACTCATTCCCGGGCCAGTCGTGCGCCGCTCATGGCCGCCTGCGACATCTGACGCCGTCCATTTCTGGTATTAATCCCTTTACCACATCTGCCAAAAAGAGAGTTTCCCCGAACGATCCGCTTCTCCGAGTGATCGAAGCCGAGATTGGATTCGCCGATCAAGCTGATGATTACGATCGAGTAAACCATAACTTTCCTTCTTCCTACCCATTTTCATCTTCTTTTATAATGGGAATTGTGATTCCTGTGTCGATCATATTCTGTCATAGCTAAGGGTTTCGTGAAGCTCTGTTCTAATGTCAATCTGTTTCTGCTTTTTGCCTGAATAAAGGTTGAAGAAACTCCAAATGGTTTCCCTTTCAAAATGGAAGACAAACCAGGATCGAAGATCGTGACATTGACTAGAGATTACGAAGGAGAGTGTGTTATAGTTGAAGTACACATGACTAATCTTGTGACAGGCGATAAAGAAGATGACGAAGATGACGATGAGGAAGAAAATGAAGAGGATGAACAACATGAGGATAAGCCAGAGAAGCCGAAGCAATCCAATGTGCCTCTCTTAGTAACTCTTTCCAAGAAGACAGGACCAAGTTTGGAATTCAGATGTACTGCTTTTCCAGACAAGATTGCAATCAAGGACATGTGGGTTACATTCCCTGATGATCCTTCCAAGGATGAACTTGCCTATGAAGGCCCTTCCTTCCGGTAATAGCCCAAAAAACTTTTGTAACCTTTATATATTTTACTAGAATCAAAGTCATGATCTTTTGCAAGAAGTTTCTTATATTACTAACGTGGTTTTCTTCTGCAGGGCTTTGGATGAAAAGCTAAGGAAGGCTTTCCATAGGTACATCGAGATTAGAGGGATAGAGCCGAGCATGATCAACTTCTTGCACGAGTATATGATCAACAAAGATAGTAAAGAGCACTTACTGTGGCTGAAAACGCTCAAGAACTTTGTCAAGTCTTGAGAAATAGAAAACACCTTTTAATTTATTTTAGATGCTCTGTCTTTCTTCAAATTTTGTACTTGAAGCGTAATTCAGTTCTTGTTGGATCTATTTATATATAAAAAAACAAAGAAAAGAGTATTATTGTGAAGTCAAATCACTAACACGTTATGAAAAGTATGAGCATCACTACACCAATTAAAAGTAACTTGGACAATTTATGTCCAGTGTTTCAGTGAACCTATTCTGTCTGCGACTGAACAGCCAATAACCATCTTAACCATGAAACTGAGAGCTGTATCTCCCAAAATCTGACAAAACAAAGGGGTGCTCGCTTCAGATCAACGGCCTAGATGGCTAGAATATTACTACAAGATAAGAATAATCTGCGACCATGGTTGAAGGAAAGCATGCCATTACTTGGCAACATGATGGCTGCTTGGTTTGCTTCTAGATTGTGTAGCGGCCTGTGACTCAAAGTTCACTGTAGTTACGCCAGACAGCCCGAAATTCTTCACGGAATGTGTTCAAGCGTGCCTTCAGGTTTGGAGTTCTCACGCTTGCGTGAAGAACAATCACTATGGAGACAAAACCTCATGTCAAAAACCCAAAAAATAACTCCAATAAAGGACACATCTACGATCAAACAAGTGCAATGACTTACCGACGAGGGAAGTGAGAAGTGCATAGAGGACCCACAACAAACCGCAGGAAGAAAACCACATGACAAGGCTGGCTATATAACATAAGGAAATCAACACACTAATCAGCTTTGACACTAATTTTGCATCAATTACATAACAAGGGATAGTGACTATTCAAGAACCTGTTAGGAAGATAACAACGAATACCCAACGTGGTTTCCCACAGACGTATACTGTCTTTCTTGCTGCTGATCTTCCACGGATAACAGGCCTGCAAGTACTCACATCATATATAATGTTACTTAGAAACCCACCTCTATTACATCTTCCATGGAACATAACTTGAAAAAAAAACTCACATGTGGGGAGGCCTCATTTTTGCAGCCATATGCGGGGAGAAGTGCCTAATAGTCCTTATAAACTTCTCATTAAAAGTAGCTGCAAAACTGGAAAAGTCAACAATTATCCCCCATAAAGTTTGAACACCCAATAGATTCTGCAAGGGACACAACCACATTCTACAATACTTGTGGATAAGTGCTATGCAAAAAGAAACTAAACAATATATCATCAAACTGCCAAAGCGGGAATGAAACAGACCACCTTGAAACACTCACATCTCAAGAACCAAAACCATATAACTAATCGACTACAATACTGAAGGTCCAGTAAAAAGAACAAACATTGAAGACAAAGGAGCCTAACATCTTCCAATTTATGCAAATGCAAATGGAACAAGCCACCTTAGAACACTCAGATTTCAGAAACCAAAATCATGTAACGCATCAAATCCAACACTGCGAATTCCTTCAAAACTAACCAGTGAATTCAAATGGAACAAGCCACCATGAAATACTCAGATCTTCAAAAAACCACAGATCATATAAACTATCCAAAACCAATACTGAAATTCCAGCTCAAGAGCAACCATTGTATTATAAAGTAGCTTAACATCTTTCGAATTCATGCAACCCTACGCCAACTTCAAGATATCTGAAGCCTCAATCGTATTGCAAAGCAGAAAGATATAAAACTGGAAACAAAAAGAAGCCACCGGAGATTATACCTGTCGTTAAGGAACGCTATGCTCAAGGCTGTAAAAGCAGCACCCACAATAGCCAATGGTCTTGTGATAAGCGCAAGACCTGAGTCAATAAAAACTTATGTTAAGCAACTTCACAAGATCGTAATTAAAACCCCAAATATCCCAAAATACAGCTAAAATCATGAAATTTGTGTAAGCCTTTTCCACTTACCCAGAACGAAAATCACCAGGATGAAGTAATTCGTTCTATAGCTGCAGCATAATGAAACATGAGATCAAAATCATAAATAAACACCTTGAAAGGGAAGAGAGATGCAGGACAATAATCGAGATAGAGAGAAAGTAATACTAGTAGAGATTGCATTTGAGACGGCTCTTCCATTTAGAGAAAGAGCGAGGGAATGCGAATCTAGAGAAGAACTCGCCGAACGAACGAGGAGGCGTCGACCATTCAACTTCTCTCAGCGCCTCGATCACATCCTCAGCAGCTACGTTGTCCCAATCCATATCTCTCGCTTCGTCTCTTCCTCTTTCTTAAAAGAATTGAGCCACAAGATGAATCGATATTAGCTCCGGAAACGAAGAGAGAATCTCCGATGAGTTTTTCTGATTCGAGCTTAGGATTTGGATTCCTGAATGTTTTGTTTTTGCCTAAGAGTCAAAATCAAAAACAGCGTGCCCACCTACGCGCATCTCTGATGACGTGGCATACGGAAAAAAACAAAAAAAAAACTGTAAAAAGTGTCTGAGCCCGGGTTCGAACCGGGGACCTCTAGTGTGTGAGACTAGCGTGATAACCGACTACACCACCCAGACGTTTTGTTGAACATATTGATTCTAAATTTAAATAGTTGTGGAAAATCTTGGTGCTCTTTCTTTCTCCATCTAATTGCCGAAAGTGACTAAACAAGACAACGAAGAGTGTAGCAGAATGTAGAGAACAGAATGTTTGCTGTTTCGTTTGTACCTCGTACCACACCGTGCCGTTTGAGCTCTGCGTTTCTCTGCCACCTCTCGATTCCTGTCGCACTTCGGCTCCACCATCACTACCAGCAGCCACACCTTGCATCTCTCTCTTGTCAGGTTTCTCTCTCTCTTTTCCGAGAATCTCGGAGCAATTTTGTTTCCGGTATCTTTGATATCCTCATTTTTCCCGTTTCAGATTCGTTCGTTAAGGAAGCAGATCGACATGGCAGCTCGAGGTTTGTTGATTTCCTTTATTCTCTACCCTCATACGAGGAAATGGGTATGTATGCTACAGTTATTGGATCGAGTTCACTGGTTTTTGGTGACAGGTGACTATGGAGCGGTGAAGCAAAAAGTAGGAGGAGATTCGTACGAAGAAGCGTTGGCTGCTTTGTCTTCTTTGATCACGAAGCGAAGTCGTGCTGATAAGAGCAACAAAGGGGATCGGTTCGAGCTAGTCTTTGATTATCTTAAGGTTTCTCTTGCGATTGGATTCTCTTACATATATTTTTTAAAATTTTCTTCTTCTTTTATTGCACTTTGGTTTACTTTCTTGGTTGATATTACGATTTTCGTAATCCATTTGCAGCTTCTTGACCTGGAAGAAGACATTTCTAAGATGAAAGTTATCCATGTCGCTGGAACCAAAGGCAAGGTACAAGAACTTTAATCTCTGGAGGTGCTGAATGATGATACTAATTCATTTTTTGGGGGGGTCAAGATATAAAGTAGGAGTTGATTTTGGTGGTTTCTGCTTGAATTCGTGAAAAATCTATCGTACAAGACTATCTTAGTGTGACCGTTATGTCCTTTTGACTGCTTTGCCAGAAGCCTAAGGTTTTGCTCTGTATAGAATTGAATTACGTTACTGGACTGAGTCCCCTGAACCCAGGAATGGAGCTCGGCTTGTAAAACTTAACGTTCAGGTGCGAGAAGGACAATTGTTTGATCCTTTACATGCATATGGCTTCATTTTATGGAGTGTCAGTTTTCGCAAAGTTTTCATTAATGGGATAGTCAATGTGGGATGATGCCTCTTATCGATTATCTCTTCTAGATCATGATAGCACCTAGGAAAACCTTATGAAACTAGTTCATTACTTTCCTGGCTGATACTATTTGATTCAAATCTTCAATGAACTTGTTTAATGAAAAGTGGTTCATTGTTCGCACGGTTGAATACTATCTGATCCAACAACTAACACTGTTCTTTTTTCTTTTTATGTGGCCTGAAGGGATCCACATGTGCCTTTACTGAGTCTATTTTACGAAATTATGGCTTCCGAACTGGACTCTTCACTTCCCCTCACCTCATTGATGTCCGGGAAAGATTTCGCTTAGACGGGTAAGTTATTCCAAGTTTGTTGAAAATTTTGAGAAAAAAATGTACCTTTGCTCACCTGATTGTTAACATTACTTCGTTAGCATAATCCTTTTGCTGACATGCATTCTTCTTTACTGAAAATTGCTCATTTTCGCATTAGCTGATGTGTTCTATTGCTGCAGTGTGGACATAAGTGAGGAGAAATTTTTGGGTTATTTCTGGTGGTGTTATAACAGGCTTAAGGTATGTTTGCAACAAAAGGATGATTCAGAATCTCTTGTTTTCAACTCATTCCCTGTATTTTCGATTTCTCTATTGTCTAGTAGTAAGTAGTTATCATCACCGTCGATTTTCATTGGTATTATTTTCCTTGAGAGGGTAGTGATGTTGAAGAGCACGTGTGTAGTGTCCCTCTTGTTGGAATAACCTTTGGTGTTGCCATCTGAGAATGTCATGATACGAACTTATATTACTGTGCATAATTGCAAATATAGATAGAATTAACTTTAGTTTGTGCCTCAAAATACAAGGTTCCTGACTATTTGATTTGCAGGAGAGAACTAACGAGGAGATACCAATGCCTACATATTTCCGCTTCCTTGCGTTGCTAGCTTTTAAAATATTTGCTGCAGAAGAGGTTTGATGCCAGTCTTTACCTTTTTAGCATTTTTCTTACTCAGTGACATGATGGATGTGAAAACATAATTTTCTCTTTATTGATACTGCTATTTGCTTCTTTATGCAGGTAGATGCTGCTATATTGGAGGTAGGATTAGGTGGGAAGTTTGATGCCACCAACGCGGTACGTTTGGCCTCTTTTCTCGGCTGAAATGCTATTTTCTCCATATAGGATGTATCGCTTTACCTAACATCCACGGTTACGGTTCATTAAGACAGGAAACCTGAAATCTGACTAAGTTTCTGATCAATTGGCTTAGGGGAAGTACTTATTTGACAACCCTAGATAAGATCGGAACCCAAATCTTTAATTACTCAAACACTAAACTCTATAATAATATCTCAAAAGACACGGATTACTTTTAGGAAGGCTGTAAGTACACTAGTCTTTTCTTGTCACTAAATAAGTTCTCATGGGGATTCACTGCTGACATGTTACAGGTTCAGAAACCTGTGGTATGTGGTATTTCTTCTCTTGGATATGACCACATGGAAATTCTAGGTTTGTAAATTGTCCATAACTCTAGTTATTTCGGCTTTAAATTTTAAATCATGAGATCTATGTTTTCATTAAATGAGCAAGCATAGTTTTGTGTTACATTCCTTTTTTTTTTAATACTGTATCATGATTTCTTTCTTTTCTGTTGGATGCATCACAGGTGATACACTTGGCAAAATTGCTGGTGAGAAGGCTGGAATTTTCAAGGTGGCTATAACTCTTGCATATCTGAATCTAAAATGGTTAATTCCTTTTTGTAACTTAGTAATACTTTGCCTCATCTTCGTTGTTCATATTTCAGCTTGGAGTTCCAGCTTTCACAGTGCCCCAACCTGATGAAGCCATGCGTGTCCTTGAAGAGAAAGCTTCCGAATTAGATGTACGCCCAATTTTAATTATTCAATCATCTAATCATTTAATTTGTCAGACGATGTTTATGTGTTGCTTGGTTGATTGTGGTATTTTAGATGTAGTATTCTTCTATGGTGAATATTGAGAAATCAGTGCGTCCACAAATATGAACTTTTGTAGAGAAGCTTTTAACATCGTATTGACAGGTGAATCTCGAAGTGGTGCAACCACTAACTGCGAGGCAGTTAAGCGGTCAGAAACTTGGGCTTGATGGGGAGCACCAATATCTCAATGCTCGTCTAGCAGTTTCGCTTGCCTCTACCTGGCTTCAGCAAATTGGTAAACTTGAAGTTCCCAGTCTGACTCAGACGGTAAACTGCTCTTTCCTATCTTTGTTTACTTCTCAGCTTGTATCTAGGCCATTCTCTCATTTTTTCCACATTCTTTTATGGACACCAGAGTATTCTGCCTGAGCAATTTATCAAAGGTTTGGCTACAGCGAGTTTACAAGGACGAGCACAGGTTGTCCCTGATCAGTTTATCGAATCTCAGACTTCAGGAGATCTAGTGTTTTATCTGGATGGAGCTCACAGTCCAGAAAGCATGGAAGCATGCGCCAAATGGTTTTCGTTTGCGGTTAAGGGAGACAACCAGTCAGAGAGTTCAGAACATTTGGTTAATGGCTCCTCAGGATCCTCCTCACATGATCAATTCTCAGGAGAAGAAAGCTGCCAACAGGTTAGGGGACGAGGGGTTTCTTGTTCTGTCTTGGATTTATAAATTATATAAGAGATTCAATGATTTCACAGTAAAAGGATTGGGTTAAGAGTATCTTCTTCTGTCTATACCCTTTTTTTCTCTCTCTGCGGTTGTCCAAGCTTTAAAAGTTTCTGAACTAGCATCTGGCTGCTTTGCAGATATTACTGTTCAATTGCATGTCAGTTCGGGACCCAGATCTGCTGCTTCCACATCTAAGGAATACATGCGCAAACTATGGTAATTTCTTGAGCCTTGTGCCTTAGTGTGTAACACATTACCCTTGAGGAAGCAAACTTTCAGATGAAATGTAGAAGCAGAAAAAGTTAGCTGGGTTCATACGGATAATTAGAGAAAGCTGAATAATGGTTGATGTAGGTGTACATTTCAAGAAGGCATTGTTTGTACCAAACATGTCGGTGTATCACAAGGTTGGTACAGCGGCTGATTTGCCAGAGAATGATCCACAGGTTGACTTGTCATGGCAGTTCACACTCCAGAAAGTGTGGGAAGGCCTTGTCCACAGTGAAGGAGGTGGTAAAATAAATTTTTCTGATCATGGAACAAAATAGACACATCCATATCTCAACTTAGTATTTTGTGGTTATTGGGAACGCAGAAGGAGAAGAAGATAGAGGAAAAGATGGTGAAAGAAGTGGGAACAGTGAGGTGTTTACTTCACTACCGATGGCGATAAAATGGCTAAGGGATAGTGTACATGAGAGTAGCTCAGCCACACGTTTCCAGGTATAAGTCAAGCACTTTCTATTGAATATCCATGTCTCATAAATTTTAAGGACTGTATGTGTGTGTGCAGGTTCTTGTAACTGGTTCGTTACATCTTGTGGGCGATGTGCTGAGATTAATCAGAAAATGAAGAGAACAAACACATGACATGTCATCATTCAAATTTCTCAATACACGAACCCGATGTAGCTGCGGTGTAAGAGGAGGATGTCTGTTACTATTCTTATATGTATTATTTTAGTTACACTTTCCACATAGATTTTTGTTTTTGTCTTTTTACGCAAAATGTTCTTTCAACGAACAGATCTATAAAACACTACTAGCTTTGATTGATTTCCTTCAGGTTTAAGAATCAATTGCTAACGCGGTTTCAGTAATCTGTTTCATCACAAAACTAAATCAGAGGAAAAATCAAATTTAATAATTAGATGATATAATATCACACAATATGTGGAAAGCTCTACCAAACCAAACCAAACCTAAATGAAAACAAATCGATTCGATGGCAAAAAAAGAAGAGGAACATGAAGAGTACTAAAGGGAATGATATCCACACAGCAACTGAACACACAAACCGCAGCAGTAAAGACTCATAAGGGCCTCCTCTAAAGCCTTTGCCGGAGCTGTTGGTTCTCTTTACGCAACGCTTTTAACTCCTTCATTTGCTCCGCTTGGTTCTCCAGAATCGAGCTTAACACCTTCGACATTTCCATCTGTTTAAAAAAAAAAGGGGAAAGATAAGTCATTGGTAGAAGACAAGGATGAGATTAGAGCAAGAGCAAAACACTACCTCGTGCATGTGGAACTGTCTGAGGATCTCAATGTGCAGGTTCCTCATGTCGTCATGAATTGAGTTTTGAAAAGAATCCAAAGTTCCTTCGAGTGTTCTTTGAAATAACTGAAGCGTGAAATTGCTACTACCCACCACTTGCTGTTGTTCTGTTTGAGATTGCTTCGACCCTACCATGTTTCCTCCCTGCTACAGACTTGCCCATGTTACAGATATCCAAACGATATTTTCTCTGGACCAAAAATGTTTATTTTGTGAAACTTTTTACTTACATTCATAACCGGAAGAGCTTCTGTTGCAGCCACCGTCTCAGGTCTTAGCAACAGATTGTTTAAAATCTCCTCTCTCGTTTCTGCTCCTGTTTTCTTTATTTTGGGTGAACCAGAGAGAGATACCCCGTCACTAAAGGATGAAGTGGTGCTGATTCTCTCAGCATATGTCGAGAACTTACGAGTAAAACTTGGTGATAGCCTCAACGATTCAATGTTACCCGGAGCTGCCATGCCTTTTGTAAACAACGGGCTTGAAGGTAAGTTATTATCTGTCAGTGCTGAGGATGTCTCAAAGGTTGAAGAGAAGTCTCTGATCCGTGGGAACTCTGAGCCAACGTTTGCGAGGTTTGTTTGACCAACCGACATGGGGAAATCCCGAGAGCTAGAGAACATTGATCCAGATGTACTAGCATTTGTGCTTGAAACCCCGAGACGTGAAGATGGATGCAGGTGGCTATATTTATCAGAAAATTTCTCATTGGCCAATTGGTTAAACTTATCACCACCCCATGCTTCAGGAGGTGTCAAGGCAGAGTCTTCACTTTTGGATGAGGCTGTGGGCGTAGTAGCTCCAAATGGCGAAAAAGCAGCCCTCGTGTCGTCCTGTGTATATAGTGGAAACACGTTTGAAACCATATGAGAGAAAGAACAAGATACTGAGAGCAATTTAAATCAAGCCCAGCCAGTTAAATAAACAGAGACTTTGGAGAGACATAATGAAGTTATGATAACGACTGATAGAAATAATAGTAGCAGATGCTTGATGAAGAAACACAAACCTGTTTCGAAGCAGAGCTTGATTTCCAGTCAAATATCGTATGTTCCTTGTTTCCATCATCTCCGAATGGGAATCCCTTGCTGGACGAAGGAAACAGCAAAGAGGAAGGCTTTTTGTCAACAACTAAATGATCCTTACTATTGAATCCTTCACTATCAGCCCACTTCTCAACAGATGATACGTCATTAATAGGGGAAAATACACCCATATCATCATTGAAACTGTCGCTGGCACGAAGTGCTTGTAGTCTGCCCAGTGGCCCACCAGGCCGTAGATGAGTTCTGTTTGGTGTTTGTTCTGCAAATGACACATTCACCGTACTCGTGGCAACTCCACGAGAACCTGGTGCCAAAGCGGACTGTGAATCTGAGGATGTCGTTGAGGGAAGTGGATCAGGAATGATAACTGAATCTTCCACAGTACCACCAAGAAGAGCCATCTCAGCAGTGTAGTTTTTCTCGTCCACAATAACTGGTTTTGATGTTTGCCATGATAAACTTGTTACAGCCTGATCAATAAAAGCAAAAGCTTTGTTAGCTTGTGCAATCCAAAAATTATATCCCAGATACAGAGTCCGTTGACCCCAACAATATATACAAAAAGAAAGTTTTTTCGGTGCTACTGTCGGAGATTTCAAACACATGAAACGGATGGCAAACCAAGATAAGGACAAAAAATCAACTAATAGTATCAAGTCCAAAATGTTCAATCCATGGAACTAGAGTCATTAGGTAAGACAGGCAAAAGATATTGCACTAAAGTAAGAAATTTATGGACCTCTGAACTACTGAAAGCGTGCAAGACAGTGACAGGCTGCGGTTTTCCACGAACGTCGTAAAACACTACTCTACCATTACCGGTTCCAGCTGCCAGAATGTAACCATTATCCCCAAACGCCAAAGATGAGAAAGGCGCCTCATAAGAGATGCAGGACGAAGATCTTCTGGATCCAGAGTCGTAAGTATAAAGCTTCTTGTCCATCCCAACACTAGCAATTATCTGTTAACAGTAGATTGTAGATTACTTAGAAATTACAATTATCTGCTAACAGTAGATTGTAAACTCTATCTCAAAGAGCATTAGGTAAGCCTATCAAAGTTGAGGGTGTACATGCACATGTACATATATACTGGTCAGGATTTGAGATCAGATTCATCTGACTTCTTTGCGTTATGAGTAGCAAGAATCATTGATAAGGATTCAGTTACCTTTTCGTTTGATGGAGAGAAGCATACACCAGCAGCGGGTGCAGAATGCTGCTTCAACCAGGAGATCTGTGGAAATGAAAGCAAATCCTCACAGATACCAGATATTCAAGTATAAACACATTATATAGCCCGTCTGCAGCAACAATTTCTTGGCTTCCCCAAAATAGTAATTCATGAAATCTTTTAAACATTAACAGAAGGCAAGGGGCAATGGAAAATACACATACTTTTCCACATGACATGCAATAAATGAAAAAAAAAAAAGCAAACCTTTGGGTTCCGACCAGTAGTGTCCCACAGATGCACAGTGCCATCATCACCTGCAGTGAGTAGAAGGTGCCGACTGGAACGTGAATACTCAAGCACCCTCAATACCTGGTCTTGAATCGATTAGAAAGCCAATTAGTTTGATGGCCGAGTCCCTGAGCTATGGATAGAAGTATACATGTAGAAAATGAACAACCTGGCCATTTGGATCTTTGAGTTCGCTAGGCCTTGCTCCAAATGCAAGGCTGTGGACTATCAGATCCCCACCAACACTGATAGAAGCCAAATTGTCATCTTTGCAATTGTACATCACGCCCGTTATTGTACTTGTATGACCCCTTAACTTCTTAATACAAAGCTTTCTTTGTAGATCCCATATCTTTACAATTTGACCAGTTCCTCCAGAACACATGTACCTGGACCCTTTTTTGCTGAAGCTAATAGCCGACAAGCATTCCTGAATTCATCATGACACAAGCAAATGTGCATAAAAATAATATCATTCACAATGGAAGTAGGCAATCATGCTAGAGAAAATGCAAAGACTTTGGAAGATGGCCAAAAGAATGATGCGTTTTGTAATCTCTTTTCTCGGCTTATGTTTGTGCTTATGAATGAGCCTAACCGTGACTTTTCACAATAGCGGTGAAGCATATTATGCGATAAATCTTGAATTGCATCATAATGAGGACAATGGAATCAGATGTGAGTTATGATTACGCACACAATTATTTTCAGCCTCATTGGTTCGTAGGGTCCAGAATAGTCTATGGTCCATGCTTTCTAGATACAACAGTTAACATTTTCGAAAGGAATCTAAAAACATCTCCTTCTTCCTCCATTTATCTAAGATATATCTATTTCTAAGAGAAAAAAGGCCGTGACTTGTTAATGAATAAGATACGAGGCAGGAGAAAGAACAGTGGAGTGAAAAACTGATATAGAAAGGAGTTAACCTCGGCACTATCACCACCGTCCTTCCCGGTAACCGGAACTGTTCCTAAGCGATTCCCATCTTTCCGCCACAGGGATATCTTCTTATCATCTCCCGTACTCGCCACAACTAAATCTGCATCCCAGAAAACATAACCTCAACACATGGAAGAAGAAATCTTCTCCTTCCACCAAAACCAAATCACAGAAACATTAACCAAGCAACCTGTTCGTCATTTCATTTAGCAGATGCTGACTATTCCCAAATACGATCACTAAAGTGCACACCAATTCAACACTGAACTCAATCTGAAGAGCAGATCACGGAATCTCTAGATTCATTCAACAAAAGCTCGACTACATAACCTCAGATCAAAAGTGGAAATGGCAAATCACTACTTCAGTTACTTTCCTAGTCGCTCACCAACCAAGCAAACCTATAAAGGAGAACCCAAACAAATGCGACTAATTGGAGATTTGCTTACTCGTATGATTCCATTTGACGGAGTTGACAGCACAACCATGCGTCGGAGTATAACTCAAAACGCAGGGATCACCGGAATCGGCAGAAACGTCGAAAAGCTTAACCGTATCTCCGCCGCTCGCCGCCAGAAGGCGCCACGAAGGCTCCACCAAGTTAGACATCATCACTGGCTTCCCAGTCAGCCCGTCTAAACATTTTAAATACAAACTATGGATCTTTTATATTTATATTAATAAAATATAATAAAAAAATAATAATTGTATTAATCAAAATAAATCAAACTATAAACTTTTGATATTTTAAAATGTAAAATAAATTATTAATTTATTATAAAAATAATAATAATGCGTAACTAATTTGTTATTAAAAAAATTGGTATAATACTTTATTCAAGTACCTCATTTTTGTAAATTATATCAATAAAATTTACTAAATCTAAAAATATATTAAAAATATCAATCATTTTTACAAAAAAAACTATATAAAACATTTTTTTTAATTTTTATTGATGCAAAATTATTGATAATCATTATAAAATACATAATTTCCAAACCTTTTTTTAAGCATAAAAGTACAAAACCATTTAACTTTTATTAAGATATTAGTGATTAAAAACATGCATAACTTTAAATTGATTATAAAATAAAATTTATGTTGAAAAAAAAAAAATTAAAATCTAGTACAAATCAAAACCGTTAACTATTAACTGTAAATTCATGATCATTTTTAAATTGAATCTACGTTTTTTGATTTCTAATAATATAAATAAATCATTAGACATAAATTTATAACTAATATAAATTGAGTTTTTTAATTAAAAATAAATCTTCTTCAATTTCATTTGTCACAAGTATATTTTAAATAGTGAAAGCATTATGTTTTAATCAATTAAAATATGTGATTGTATAAAATCTTTTTAAGATTGTTCTTCATGAGTATAGATTGCTCAAATTTTTAAAAAGTTTAAGCTTATTGAGTACTTTCATCCGATCAGATTATTATAGATATTGAAATTTAGTCTTTTAGTGTTATATTTTCTTTATTCCTAACTATGACAATAAGTAACTTAAAGGCCAGTTTAGTCTTTTCAAAACTTATGCAATTTAGAAAAATTTAAATACATTTTTTTCACTTCAAAATCAATATTTTTCTTACAAAATTGATAAAATTACATTATCATTAACCATCTCAATTTTTCTCTTGTTCTATCTTTTTACTTTTCTTTTTTTATATTTTTCTTTAAATATTTTAAGCAAAATGTAAATGTAAAAACCAACCATAATAGATATTGTAATTTAGCCATTTGGTTTTCTCTTTTATTCCTAACTCATCACTATGATGTACGGGTTTTTCCACTTTTTATGATTCTTTAGCCTTCATCAAGTCACTTTGACCCCAATATCTAGGAGTAAGCTAATTCAAAACAGATTAAACACGAATTTATCTCCCGTTAAAATCAAATATACTGACTTTACCCACAAAAATTATGATGGGGTTCACAACCCAATACTTCTATGATCTCTCCCTTACAGATAAGTAAGTATAGGAACCTTCAATGGGTTAAACACTTAAACTCGTATAATTTTTGCATAAGATGAAATTTAAACAATATACATAAAACATATAAGATGTTAAATCTTGTTAGCTCAACAATTGGATAAGATAAAAATACTCATAGCTATGTTTTTTTTTTGTCAACATGTGAAAGTCATTTCTGTTCATTTGATGTCGGTATGTTTGTGGTTTGGGTGGAATATCAAATCTATCAGCCGAAATAAATTTGCAAGTGATTTTGATTCTTATATATTATTAATATAAATAAAGTATAGGGCGAATCTTAATAGATTTGGAGAAGATAAAATGTAATCAAAATTAAAGAGGCGATAGACGTGGAATATGCCTCACTATTTCAGCTTGTTTTGCAACCTCTCGTTTTTCTTAGGAATAAATCAATTTATCAGATCTTTGATATGATTATGGTAGTAGCTTAGCTTCACTTGACCGTCAAAACCTGCAGATATATAATTGGCTGAGATTGGAATTTCCGGTAAAAAGATACATGTTTTATACATCCTTTACAGCTTAAGAGAGACGAAATGTCAATAAAAAGGAGAGACAAAAATATCAATATCTGGTAGGATCTATTATGAAGAAATGAAATGTGGTATATATCATAAAAAGTCTACTAAGAATAAATGGGAAATAGATTCCATATCTTATGAGAAAATTTATTAATTTTCTGTAAATTAATCTCCACAAAAGGTCGCTCTTAATTTTTAATTTGACATCCCTCTATGGAAAAGCCTTTATTATCCATTTTGATATGCTCAAATGTGATTTGATTTATGTATTGGGATTTTAGATTGACCATTTTCTTATGTTTTTATTCATAGAGCATTCTACTTTTTTTGTAAACCACATTAACGGCATAACATTTGTCTCCCTATCCAACATTATCCATATAATTTATTCGTTTTCTTGTTTTTTAACCAAAAAGTCGAACAACAACCCATCTCCTACATAATAGTATGAAATAATTTTTAAGAAATCAGAGTTTAATATTCGAGATTTGAGGATGTCAATGAATAACCCTTTAGTCCATACTTGAAACTTAAAGCTATTAGTAGAAGAAAAAAGCCACACCTTCAAGAAAAAAGTCGATTTAAGGCACATGCATGATCGAATTATTATCTAATTTTAAGAAAGTGAAGGAGATAGAGATTGTAGTGTATGTATATGCCGAAGAATCAATAATAACCACGAGTTTTTGTTTTTTTCATTGTTTAAAGTGAAGAAAAGAAGCAGGTAAAGAACTTATCCAAATGACAAAACAGAGAGTGAATGAATTGTAGAGAAGAGTACAAAAGTAGAAAAAGCAAAGTTTATCCACAGCATCTAAGAGAAAAGACACGTGGCAGAGTGAACAGAGCTGAATACGGCGGCAGAGCCACGTGGGGATCACGTGAACCCATCTCCTCCTCATCAGAAGTTGGTTATATAACAGACCGTTGGGGAGTTAGGGCAAAACCAAAAAACCAAAGTCATCATCATCAACAACTATCATTATCCATTTCTCTTCCTTGTTCTCTCACTCAACATTCTTATCTCTCTCACGCACTCTACTCTTTCTCTCAAGAAAAAGCTCATCGTAATATATTTTTATTTCAAATTAATAGCTACATCAATGGACATGAAGAAAACCAAAGCTGCTTCCTCGCCTTCGTCGTCTTCTTCATTTGATCATCTGTTTGGTCCGAAAGGATCAGCCTCTGCTTCTTCTGCTTCTTCCTGTTCAACTATACTCGACTCCATTTTCCCTCCTCCGGTAATCTATATATACTTTATATATATGTGTTGTGTATATATGTATATGTATAGGTTGAGTGTTAGTATGTGGATATAATTAACATGTATGGATTTCGATGATCCTTCATTCAATGAACATATAAAATAGCGGCCGTGTTGCAAATTTAGTGGAATTTTAGCTGAAAAAATGGAGCTTTACATATCAAAAACAAGTCGAATAAACTTCAACTATGATGCATATACTTTGTCTTGATTTTTTCTTGGAAATGGATAGCCTTTTGTAATAGATAAGGCTTTTTAAACAGAATTTTCCTTACTAGCTACACGACAAGTAAGCATAGAAACTATCACATTCATGCATGGATCTTCTTACATATGGGTGCATATACATACATGTGTGTGGTCTGTTGGTTTTTCATTTTTTTTATTAAGCTTGTAAGTTAATTTGAAGCCATTTGATAATGTAGATAACAAGGAAGAAGGGAAATCACACTAATCATGAAGTTCAAAGCAGCAACTCCCAAATTACTGGTAATAAATACTGTAAAATAAATTTCATTTTCCAAAAATATATATTACTACTACTAGGAAGGAGAATAATATTTCTAAGTTTCCGTTTGGGGTAAAATGCATCAAACGATTGTTGGAAGTCCCAATTATTAGATCAATCTCAGGCCATTTGTCTAATGTGTTTATTTTTTTGGTCTGAATCCAATGTGTGTTCAAAATTCCATTTTTATTTAGAGAAATTTCTTAATCATCGAGATTTCATACTACTATCTGGTTGATCACACATTTTTATCGAGATTTAACACTTCCTGAAACTAACACTTTCCCATCTACCAAAACATACAGTAGTACATACTATCTGAGGGGCTTTGATTAAATAAATAAAAAATTGGGTAAAAAACTCTAAATTTGTTGGTTTTCAACTACTTGTTTTACAAAAGTATCATTTTAGAAAAGTATATACCCCTTGTTATTTTCTCTTTTCTAAATTTGTTAGTTTATTTTTCAAAAATATCATTTTAGAAAAGTATAATTCTCTTTTCTTCATAACGAATGTATTGATGATTTATGGGTTTCTTTTTCTGTTTTGTTTCTCTTTGGCTGTGTGTTCCAAAGATGAGAAAAGCAGCCATGAAAAGAGAGAAGCTTCCTATTTCAGCTCCTCCATTTACTACGGAGGCCAGCAACACTATTCACCTCCACGAACCGATGGCTCCTCCACTTCTCCATCTCATCAACCCAAAGAAACTGATGATCGCACTGACACAACCGCCTCTGCTTCCAGAGGAAATTGGTGGAAAGGTATTTTATTATACTTTAATAGCTTACCATAATCTCCATTACTTAATCACTCCCAATTCATCAATAATAGATTGTTTCCTTATTGCAGGTTCTTTGTATTACTAAGATCAACTTAACTTAGTCCACTTGAGGCCATATATATCGATCGACTGCTTTCATATCCGTAACTTTGCTGTGTGATCTTTGGGGTTTTGTTTATAAGTTTTTCATCTTTCTTTTGTCATCCTACATGTTGAGGATTAATTAGTAGTTAGCAGAGGGCGGTTAATGGACATCATCTACGATCGTTGTACCACACATACCGAGTAAATAAACAAGTCATATATTTTCATGATCAATCGTCGTTTTCCGATCTAAACATTTATTGAAACCAAACCATAATACACCTGTGAACATGTGACAATTTAGACTGGTTCTCAAGGACGCATCTATTGCTCTCTGTCTTCTCCTTCAAGGCAGAGTATAAGCTGCAAGAAAACAAGTAAAAACGCTTGATAAGAATAACTGCAACTGTAAGGAAACGACTAGTAAATATCAGGCTTATCAGCGATGATATTACTATTACGGTATTACCTCCACATCTGTAACCGATGGGACGATCAGCGATGTTGCAGCGTTTAGGAATGGTCATTGAGATCTCTGGCTTTGCTCCAGAGCTTCTAGCTGTAGAAGAGAGCATGACAGCGCAAAGACACTTCGGGTTCTTACCCATTTGTTTCACTCGAACACAGCAAGTTGGGGACACTTTAGCAGACTTGTCTTGTGCAGCCATTGCACAAGGAGCCAGCTTTATGGCTTCTCTATCCGGAGGGTTTCTCCCGCATTCTCCAGCTCCATCGACCGTGGCTTTAAGGCTGTAGATGCACAAAACTAGGAACAACATGCGAGATAAAACGTGGGTTCCCATTCTTGAAGAAGACCTGATAAGCATATGCTACTTGTGGAACCTGAGATTTATAGCAATCGAAATGGCAGGAGGATTTGGCAGGATCAAATAAAATCCACATAGAAGTAGTGGAAGAAGCACTAAAGGAACATAGTAATTACTTCACCTAATCAGTCGCATTAAGTGCCTCAAAGTGCACAGTTAAATTAATCTAAAGTAAGGTCAGGCTGCCCTTAGTCTCTAAGCTAATCATTTGAAACCCTTGAGAAAGCAAAGAGGTGTCTTTACATGACAAACCAATAGCACAAAGCAAAGCAAAAGCTTCAAAAGTATAAATGGGTCCTTCAGATCAAAAACACATCTGTTGTGTTGCGCTTCAATGTCAGTTTACTTTTCTTCAGTCCTCAAAGCTATCGATGCAAATAACTTAGCTGAAGCAGCTCCAAAGATACGTGGGATAGTATTAAAGAGGAACTCAGCTTAGTCAAAAAACTCGAAACTAGAAACAACTAAGAAGCTTTAATCCAAATCAGCAACATAGAAAGGTTTGATGTTTGATTCCAAGTGGGGTAAGAAAGTTCTTTGTACACTACTAGCTCTGCTTTATCAATATCTGAGAGATCAAACCAAACAAGCATCAAGAATCCAGCATAATCCAATACCCATTTCCTCGGATCGAATATGTGTGAATCCACCAGTTAATTATTCCTGATAACAGACAGAGCCTAACTCCCATCTAACAGAGAATATTATCAAACTCACAAAACTGAAGAAATCAAAGATTTACAAGAACCATATCTCGGAATCTGCATAAGAATCATTTCTCAATCATATCATCAACATCCGAACAACGCGGAATGACCACGCTTCGCGTACAAAACATGTTCCTATTTGCATCAACCATGCAATTTCAAACCATGTTCTAACGAGTGAAAGCATAGAGCATAAGAGAAACATAGATGAAAAGTGCAGAAGGGACCAGGATCAGGAGCGGCACGACGGCTGCATAAGTGTGGCCACTCGCACCACAACCAAAAGTCCCGAGCTTGATCTGAACAACGTTGATCAAAGCCAACATAAGGAACCCACATCCGCAAACAGAGCCCAAACCGGAGATCACCATCCCGAATCTGAGAGCCGTCTTGTTGACGTAGTACACCACTGGATCGATCCGAGTGGAGAAGTGAAACGAAGCGGCTATGTTGAGCCTCATGGCTTGTTTAAGACCTAGTGCGATGAGACTGGAGAACAGGAAGGAAGCGAAGGAGTAGACATGGAAGGCGACGAGATTCTCCGCCATACGAGCCGTCGGGTTGCAATTCGGGTCGGTTACGAGGCTGTTTGATGGGTCGGTAGGGTTCCAAGCTAATCCGATGAAAACGGCGAGCGTGAAGAGAGAGTTCACGTTAACGATTCCGTCGAGAGCTGTGATGTGAATACTCGTCGTCATTTTCGCCGGCAGATTCGATTCGGCGACTAACAGATTCGGCGAGAGGTTAATGAGACAGAAAAAAAAGAAAAACTGGGATTTTCCAAAAAAAAAAAAAAAAAAAAGGAACGCCGTTGCCGGGGATCGAACCCGGGTCACCCGCGTGACAGGCGGGAATACTTACCACTATACTACAACGACTTTGATGTTAACGTGTTGCATTAGCTAAAATAATAATATTTTTACGGTTATTAATTGACTTTGTTGGTGTTGTTTACCAACCAGAACAAATTTGATGTGAAGATAGAATAAATAAGTACTTTTGCTTCAGCTATATTATTGCCAAAAAAATTCAAAAACACATCGTGCACTTTCTTATAACCGCAAACTAACATACGTACATACATCACATCATCAAAATTTACCCAACACAAGTTGACAACTATCCTCTGTCTTAAATTAGTGCTGAAATACTGAAAATGTCTAATGACGTGTTATTTAGTTCTTAACAGCGGTAAGCTTGATTTATTTCAATTTTCAAGGGACGCGGGATAGTGGCTCAGTCTAAAAGTGTAGTGTGTTTTCGGAGAAACCAGACCAGACCTAAACGATCGGATCGGTCACCGGGTCAATATTTAATTATAGGTCGGCCAAATCCGATACAATGACAAAACCAAACCGAATCGGTACGCTGCGTTTTTGCTGTCGCTTATAAAAAAAAGGTCACTTCAAAAAAAGCGGGAGTGAGCGCAAGAAGCAGCTGCCGCCGTCATGGATTCATCGCCGAACACAAACAAAGCGTTAACGGCGACGCGTTTCTCCGAGCTCAAACCTCCGATCTCCCGCGATGTCATCGCTGCGCTTGAACGGTCCGGTTTCGAGTTCTGCACTCCGGTTCAGGCCGCGACGATCCCTTTACTCTGTAGCTACAAGGATGTTGCCGTGGATGCTGCCACCGGTTCTGGAAAAACCCTAGCTTTCCTGCTCCCGCTCGTAGAGATTCTCCGTAGATCCACGTCATACCCTCCGAAGCCTCACCAGGTAGGACAATTGGCAGAATATGCCGACTAAGCTAGAAATTAGGATTTTTATGCATTTAGAGACTCAAGAATAGCTTATGCCTCTTATAAGACTTATTTAAATTCAAGTGAATCTTCTGAAAATGCTTGCTTTACCTATGTTTTTCCAGGGATGTAAAAGGGTCCCTTTTTAAAAAAAACAAACTCAATCTTCGGTTTTTCGATTGTGACTCGTGGAGTTCAATTTCATGTTTTTAGGTTTGATGCATAATCTTGAGATGGAATTTACAGGTAATGGGAGTAATTATATCGCCAACGAGAGAGCTATCAACGCAGATATATAACGTGGCACAGCCATTTGTTTCGGCTTTGCCAAATGTGAACTCTGTGTTGCTTGTTGGAGGCCGAGAGGTGAAAGCTGACATGAAGACCATCGAAGAGGAAGGAGGCAATCTCTTGATCGGCACGCCTGGAAGGCTCTCCGATATAATGGAACGAATGGAGATTCTAGATTTCAGAAATCTTGAGGTAGTTTTCTTCAATCGGGGATTATTATAGTTCAAGATGGATGTTATTACTTAAGAAAATTTAGCGTGTTACTTGGTAACCGAGTGATTCTTTCTGCAAGTGTAGATTCTTATCTTAGATGAGGCAGATAGGCTTTTGGAGATGGGATTCCAGAAGCAGGTGAATAGCATTATATCTCGCCTGCCAAAGCAACGGAGGACTGGCCTCTTCTCAGCTACACAAACAGAAGGCGTTGAAGAGCTGGCCAAGGCCGGGCTTAGGAACCCTGTGAGACTTGGAGTTCTGGCTGAGTCGAAGTCCGAATTGACAAACTCGAAAACGCCTTCTGGTCTGCATCTTGAGGTATTGTAAGGTCAATATATAAATATGTAAATGTTTCGAGATACTAAGTCTTCCTCTTATGTCTGCATACTGTGACTTTATATCGATATTCTAATCTTTACAATTCCTACTTGATGCATTTCCTAGAGGTTCATCTCTTCTTGTCTCTGCAGTATTTGGAATGCGAAGCAGACAAGAAATCATCACAACTAGTGGATCTCCTAATCGAGAACAAAAATAATAAGCTTATAGTGTAAGTTTAAAACATTTCACACAGACTCGTAAAAATTAAGCATCCTCATAGATATTCTAATAAGCATCTCTGCAGATACTTCATGACCTGTGCTTCTGTTGATTACTGGGGACTCGTACTTTCAAAAATCCCTGCCCTGAAGTCCATATCTTTAATTCCTATCCATGGCGATATGAAGCAGGTAAGCTATCCTTGATATATTTCAGTTTTCCGTGTCATCTCATTGCCCTTTGTTATTAAAGGTTTTGATGAAATATACTTTACACATCAGAATGTAAGAGACAAGGCATTAGCTTGGTTTACTGAAGCATCAAGCGGTGTCCTTTTGTGCACAGATGTCGCTGCACGTGGACTTGATATTCCAGGCATTGATTACGTTGTTCAGGTAGATTCAGTAATGTCTACTTCCATCATTATCTCAACATTGCTGCAAACATAAGGATTCACAGTTTGGAATTTGTCATGCAGTATGATCCCCCACAAGACCCAAATATGTTCAACCATAGGGTCGGCAGAACTGCAAGATTGGGAAGACAAGGGAGGGCCATCGTTTTTTTACTGCCCAAGGTTTAAGCTTTGAGCAATTTTATGCTCTCTTTCTCCATTGTTACATTTCAGAGCAAGAAAAGCTGAAAATTTCGCTTGCGTGTGTGTAGGAAGAAGACTACGTAGAGTTTATGCGCAGAAGAGGCGTCTCTTGCCAAGAGAGAAAATGCTCTGAGGAAGCATCCGATGTCATCCCGATTGTAAGAAAGCGTCCATGCATCTCTCTCCCTCTCTCTGTATCTCTCTCTCGGTCTCTGTTGGTAGCAGTATTTAGTAATTGCTTGCTACAATGTATTCAGATACGTTCACTTGCCATGAAGGACCGAGCAGTACTGGAGAAGGGATTAAAGGCATTTGTTTCCTTTGTCCGTGCTTATAAGGAGCATCACTGCTCTTACATTTTCAAGTTCGTGAGACTCGATCATTTTTTTTCCTCAAGTTTATAAAATATTTAACTTTTGTAATTCAAAAGTTTCTCTGTTTTTCCTAACTCGCAGCTGGAGAGGCCTTGAAACCGGAAAATTAGCCATGGGATATGGCCTCTTGTATCTTCCTTCAATGTCGGAAATTCAACAAGGAAGACTTTCCAGTAAGGGTTTCACACCCATTACAGGCGTTAACTTTGATGACATCAAATTCAAGTAGGCTTCTCTACCAAAATCGTTAAAAAACAAAAATTTACGATATCTATCTATCTGTCCTCTGTTTTGTTAGTTTCCTAGCACCAAAAGATCAAAACTTTATACATTTTGGTAAAGTGTTTTCATGAATCATATGGTCTCTGAGACGACGGGTAGCCATTTTCTCTAAATCCGAATGTTTTTGAATAAACGTAGGGACAAAGCACGGGAGAAACAAAGACAGCAAAACTTACAAGCAAGGAAAGAGAAACAACAAGAAGAGAAAGGAAAGAGAGGCAAGAAAAACTCGAAAAAGGCGGCTGCTACTTGTGCTACCGCTGATTCTTACAAAGCGCCGAGAAAGAGAAAGATAACAGGAAAGCAGAGACAAACCATCCAAACAGCTGTAGATGAAGAAGAGATGGCTCGTGAGTCTCGGTTATTGAAAAAACAGAGGAAAGGGTTGATTACAGAAGATGAATTTGATAGACTTACAGGAGCTGATGACATTTAAAGATCATAAGAAGCAATAAACCTTTCAGGCTTGGATTAGAGTAGCGACTATGCTTTAGTGTTTTTATAATAGAGAATACTCTCATGTGTTTGTTAGTTAAAAGGCAAAATGGCCATTATTGTGGCATAGGTTTTGATTCTGATTTCAGACAACAGTTAGCAAATATTATCGATGTTGCCGGGATCGAACCCGTGGTCATCCGGTGACAGGCGGAAATACTCACCACTATACTACAAAGACTTTCATGTCACATACTGCATATACTAAACTCATATTAAATGCTAATAATTCTAATCGTTAACAATTGACTTTGTTAGTGTTGTTACCAACCAGAACGAATTTGATGAGAATGTTCTGTTACGACTACTTCCCACTTTTGCCTGTCTTTATTTTGATTTTGGTTTGCAAATGTGGACACTTTATCATTATAGAGAAGATAGAATAAGAAAAAAAACTTACAAGTAGATGAATCAGACAAATCAATCCATGACTGCATCAATTACACATTCTATCGAGTTTCTGTAAGCTCTTTAAGAAACAATGTACTTTGGAGGACCCTTTTGATGGACTGATGTTGAATCCCTCTTCTTCTCTTCTTCACCTTCTTTGCCAATCTGGTTTATCACTGCAGCATCTTGATCCTCTGCTTTTAGTTTTGATTCCATGCCAAGATAGTTGTTCAAGACCCTTCTCACTCCGAATCCTCGAGAAGGAAGACCTTTCTCATTGACTTTGATGGTGTTCTTGCTTGAATAAGAAGGTGTCCTCACTCCTTTTCTGGGACTAATCATTGGAGCAGCCAAAGGAGAGAAACCGGGTGTCGTTGAGAAGCTTGTTCTGTAAGGAGTCCCTGATGCAGGTACTAGATAAGGGATTGGTACTATTTTCTTGTGAGCTATAACGCTGGAAGCAGCTGGATTTGACAACGGATTGTTATCATCATCTGACTGTTTTGTTAAGTCGTCCACGTAGAGTAAATCATCGATTCTTGCCATGATGTTTGATGCCAAGCTCTCTAGTGCCCTCGAGTAGCTCTCTAGGATTGATTTCCCAATATCCTGATTTTTTTCAAAAACACAACCATAAGTAAGAACAAACAAAGCCAAACTTGTAATGTTAATGTATTCAGAGAAAAATGGGGTTTTGGAACCTTGTTCCACTGAATCTTGCTGATGTCTAGAGAAGTCTGCGTTAGAGATGGAAACCGCTGCTTCAAGCAACGTAAGAGAGTTTCGGATCTCTCCACAAGCAAACCCCTTTTGTCACCCGCAGCCATTAGATCTTTGACCATTTCCCATGATAACTTTGGAGTAGCAGAGCTTGAACTGTTGACTCCAAGTTTTGTGTGGACTCTTCTACGCCAAACATATATGGAAGCTTCCACGCGGTTTGCGATGTCAAGAGCAGTATGCTCCGAGGACAGGTCGAGGCAATCGAGAAGACACTCTGCAGAAAACTTGTCAGATGTTATGTACCTGTAGATAACATCCCCAAGGCAGGATCTACCGTTCTGCGCCAAGAGTTTCAATGTCAGAACCAAACATTTGTTTCTCAGGATGTTTTGAGTTATAGATGTAAAACCTTTGGAAGTGTCTCAAGGTATGATTCGGGAACATCCATTTCGGCTAAAGAGACGCTGTTAATGGCCATTGCAGCTTTAAGTATCTGCGTCGTACATTCCCTCTTGTGATTCAGTTCTGTTCTTGCTTCTTCAGTTAAGCCATTAGGTGCTAAACGAGGAACAGGCAGCCACCATTTCTCCTCTTGGCGCTGAATCTTTCTGCGGAAAGAAGCTGAGCCATCGTTCTCGGAAGCTACGATCCCTTGATCAACGTACCAGAACTCGGTTTTCTTGAAACTCGCCAGTATATCCTATTTGTAAAAAAAGGAAATCAAATCTTAGATCAACAGGTTTCAATCAGTTGAGAGGATTATTGTGAGAAAAAAAGGTCGAGTGAGACTCACAAGAAGCATGTTGTCTAGTTTACGAAGAGCTGGGATGTTGATGAAAAGATCAAATCTTGGTTGGCAAGTCATGACCTGAAGATTCACAAATTGATTCACTTTGCATATTGAATTAAAACTCCAGTAATTTGCAGTTGCAACAATTTATAAATCAAGAACTGTTGCAACAGTTTGAACTTACGTCAAACTTTTTGCCGTCTGGGTAAGTTTGCGTTGAAGGTGTTAACTCAACGATGTGATCACTGACACTGAGAAGCCACTCCATTTCCCTCCTCCACATCTCCTTCTTCTCGCTTGAAAGCGGCTCTAATCTCCATAGTTGCCCAAAAATCGTAGCTAAAAAGAATAAACGTTTCAACACTTTCAAGAGAGAGTTTTGTGATGTTCGGTTCAAATTTTTTTTGTTTTCTAGTGTTTACCACAGAGATTGGTGATGGCGTTGGAGATGGCTAAAGCGGTGCACACGCCTTTCCCGGAGCCTGACATATCTTCACCAAGCAATAACTTGGCAAACCTCTCCTTCATCATATCTACGTCTAATTCAAAATCAGATTTTTAGATCAATTTTTCAACTTGAATTATGAAATTTGAAAATTCTGTCCTACACTAAAAGGGCCGTGACAAAAAAAAAAAAAAAAAAAAAAAAAGGAAAACAGATCACTAACCTTCAACGTTCACCTCCTTTCCTTTAAACCCAGAATCAGTGAGAAGGGCAGATTTCTTAAGGTCTGATTTGACACTTTCTTTCGAATTCTTACGAAATGAGGCTTTCCTTATCGGCCAGCCGAGAATCTGCGGCGGTGGCGGAGAAGACGAAGCGGCGCCTGAGGAACTCTCGTAGCTCGATCCACTAGTGCTTCTGCTCTCCTTTGACTCTGTTACCGTTTCGTCTACCAATGGAGTCAAACCGCTTCTCTTCTTCTCAATTCCTGTGCAGCTCTTCACTAAATTCTCCATTTTCAAGACTAACTCGAGCTTAGGAAAAAAAAACTGAATTTTCTTTGAAAGACCCAAAAGAATTTAGGAGACGGCGGCTATAAAGGTAAGAACATGTCTTTTGAATGACCCAAAATGATTTCAAAAATTCAGCCGATAAAAAGTTATGTTCTCTGTTTCACGTCTTCTGTCACGAGTAGAGAGAGAGGCAGAGAGAGAGTGGTAATAATAATATATTTTGACTTTTTTTCAAACATTAAATGATCTTTTTGGCGGACAAATCTCTCGTATGGTGAGATGTTACGGTTCTGCCCCCACCCCCATTACGTTAATCAAGAATTTTTAGAGTAGTTACGTATTGCATTTGGTGCGGTTTAGTAGAGTTACCTAATTATTTAATTATGAGGCAATTATTAGATGTATTAAATGAGACAGGTGAAATGTCAAAAACTGACAAGTTAACTGAAGTCTTTTATCTCATGTTAACATAATCATTTTTAAAATTATGCTCTTTAAACATGTGATATTGCAAAATGGTTGGAATAAATATATATAGGTTTTTTTTAAGAATAACTTAATATAAGTGACAGTGTAAGTAAATGTTTTAAGTATGACTGATAAATTATGATTTTTCAGGGGTCTGGGATTAGTATGTGATATTCAATTTAAGATTTATCAAATCAATGGAAAACGAAAACAAATAGTTACAACACCTTTATGGAGTAATGAAGATTACTAAATGCAGAGTAAGAAAAAAAAACAAATGTAATAGTAGTAATAATACTACAAAAACAGAAAAGAAAAAAAAGTGGCGACATTCTTCTTGAAGAGTACCAAAATTTAATGACATATTAGTATAGGCCGCCAATATTTAGGAGTTCTATTTCTTTCTCTTGTCAGAAAGTGATGCAAAAGGTAACCGAGTGACATTTTCGTAAATATGAATGTTTGTAATATGCAATATAGTAAGTCATCTATGGATTCGATTCAAAAGCACTGGTGATGGTCCCATCGATATTCGTTTAAGTTCGTAGCCGTTTAAGGCCTCCCTCATTTCGGCGAAGCTTAATGACTTATGTGTATGACTTTGAGCGAATGAACGTCTTTTATTTAAAAGAGTAATATCCGTTTATTTTGTCTGATTCAAACTAGGGATTATTTTATACTCTTAACTATTGTTAATAAGTGATAATTTTAAGATATTTTGAAATTGTTCAATCACTATTGGTTTATCATTACAGTAGTTGAAAGTACTGTCTAATGAGAAAACATAATGTAGCTACAACCTAGTAAACACTAATTATTCCTTAATATAGTGTAAGAATTCTTTTTTTTTTGCAACAAAATTAAATTTTACCTAAATATAAATAAAAAGAACTATTTTGAGTCAACGACTCAATATATTGGTGTACTTTCAGTAATAACAAAAAAAAAAAATTAGACAGAAAATAAATTCTTCGTATACCAAAATAGTTGAAAATATTTTAAGTATGATTGATCATTGTTTTATGAGCAAAGTTAAAAACATTCCCGTTGTTTGATCCAAAAACGTCACAAAACGTTGATAAACTTTTTTCATAATTTGTTCCATCATGTCCATCACATCACATCTAACAATTCCAAAATTTGAACTTCAATAGAGAGCGATGGTATTCAATTCATTATTAAAAATAAAAATAAAGTAAAAGGTATTATGAAGTTTGGAGACCGTCTAAAATTCGAATTGTTATTAACAGCATTTTATACAGAAATTCAAATGGCTTGTGTGAGTGAGAGATATCTACAGTAGGTGTGGTACTTTTGTTAAAGCGAAAACAAAAGTTTTTGACTTTTTCTTCACAGCACTTTCATAAACTTTATTTTTTTCCCAAATGTTATACTTATATATATTTTGTTTTCAACGTATCGATTTGCATTATATTTTTGTATTATGTGTTCCACGTCCCGCCTTCTACATTTGCAATGGGTTTCAATTCAAAACCTTGGTTGTCTTTGTACATTTTTCTGTGGTAAATACTGTCTTCCTAGTTGCTTTCATGATTGAAAATTTGCTTTTCATTTATTTTTTCGTTGTGGTAAGTATAGTTTTTTAAATCTTGTAATAAGTTTGAATTATGTACCCCGAAGTTGTAATTTTTTTGAAATGTTTTTATCGTGTGTTTGGAAAATCATTACAACAGATTTTGGATCTGTTGTGAACCGGGTTGGTTAACGTAAACCGTCCCGATTTGAGATTGTCTAATTTATTGGGAAGGTTTGTTGTGTGTGTGTGTGTGTAATTTGTCAAGAAACTGGGATGGGATGAATAAAGAACAAGACAGAGGATTTAATTAGAGCAATCGTAGGATTCGTCGCTTTCCCAAGGAAAAAAACACGAGAAACGTGCAGCTACAGCTCGTCTCCTTTATCCAAACCATTTGATTTTCCAGGAAAAGGGAGGAAAATTTATTCTGAGGAGGTTCCTTGGTTCCTTTCATCTCTCTACAAGGCTAACGCTTACAAGCGTTAACTATTCGCCGCAGATCCGAAACCATACTCGCTCTCTTGCATCTTAAGCAAAGGTAAATTCTCCTTCTCTCTCTCTCTCCCTGCAATCGATTGGCATAATCCTAAGGAAATAGATTGGAGTTTTCGAGGAATCGGATCGCAGAATTTTCTATATACAAGTTCGGTTTGATTGGTAGGAGTTGATTCCTTAGATTCTCATTCTCGTCTGAATTTCCGCGTCATAGATGTTCTGGTGCCAGTGGAGATTGAACATTTATTTTGATACGCGAAACTGGTTTTGTTGAACTGTTCTAAGTAAAAGTAAAGGTTTGAAGGGTTTTTTTTTGGTTTGACGTTGCTTCACTCTCGAACTGGTAAAGGGGTTTTTGAGTATATCTGCAGGTTTTAGCTCTCGGTGTGAGTTTACTCTTGCTCGCATTTGATGATTCTTCCATTGTCTTGTGCGTTCAGGTGTATTTTTCCGATCAATTTTGGGGGATCCACAAGAAGATCGACATACTGCTTCTTACAGTGTGTTTATGATTGTTAAAACAGCGCGATTGGTAATTGATGTGGCCTCTTTGCTTTCTGCTTAACAAGCTTTTGAAAGTTGAAGAGAGGAATCAAGGGAGATCAGAAGGACATGGAGATTCGGCGTCTCCAAAATACTGCCAATTTGATCCCTTTGTTAGTGATGGAAACTACGAAGATGCCGTGTTGCCATCCTCGTCCCACATGGAAGTAAGACCGACTTTTCCCTTTGGATATTCTTTTGCGTTTGTATCCCTATGTTTGGCCTCGATCTAGTGGGCATACAAAATTTGCTGCAACTCATCTTCCTCTTCACCACATTGCTGGTCTTTCTTAGGTCCCTCATGTACATCAGTTAGCTTCATGGGATTGCGGTCTCGCTTGTGTTCTCATGGTTCTCAGAGCAAGTGGCATCACAAGCTGCACTATCGAGGATTTGGCTGAGATGTGCTCCACAAATAGGTCTGCTTATAGCCTTGTCTGTTTCTTAGAGATGAAAACCATTTGGCAGGGAATGACATCTCAGTTAGATATTTATCAAAAAAATTTGACATTTTTGCAGCATTTGGACTGTGGATCTCGCATATTTACTGCAAAAGTTCTGTGTGGAATTTTCCTATTTCACAATAACATTCGGAGCAAATCCAAATTACTCCATAGAGGAATTTTACAAGGTATCTAAACTGCAGATGCCAAAGACTCTAAATTTCTTGTTTGATAGCTTCTCGTGCACCATGTGATGCTGTCTCCTTTATCAAGTATGTTACTGAAATGTTGACTCTTTTCTGAACTTGGGTTCTTCTAAGTAGCAAATTTTCTGAAATCGTGATGCAGGAGCAGCTCCCTGAAGATCTGGTGCGTGTGGATTTGCTCTTCAGAAAAGCACATGAATCTGGCGTTATTATACAGGTAAACCCGTTGTCCAAATGTTTCTACGAAAATTTCTGGCTTTGATTTTTGTTCCATTAGTGTTGCTTGAAATACGTGGCCAATTGTTCTACCCAAAGATGTTACTATGACTTGAGTTTTTGGTATAGACGCTTCTCATTAAATCAGTACATTCTTTTAGCATTTCTGCGGAAAGTCACGTGTCATCAAACCTTCCCTTGTGTAATCTGTTTATTATTTGGAAATCAAATTCAATCAACCTCTTCGTTTTTGCAGTGCAGATCAGTTAGTATCCATGAGATTTCTTGTTTGCTTTTGTCGGGGAACTATGTTGCCATTGCATTAGTCGACCAAGACAAGCTAAGGTCAGTTCTCTTTTTATTTTTTTTGTCATGTATGCCCTCTCTCCATCAACAAATTGTATATGTGTGCGACTTCTTTCATCATGTTCTCAAAACTTGCCATCTGACATATCTTATTTCAAATGTTTACTATTTTTTTTGCAGCAAGTCTTGGTTGGAGGAAGTGATTGTCGCTGGTCTTCACAACAGCAATTCCAGCTACACCGGTGAGAAATGTCCACCTGGCTTAGACTCTGTTTCTTCTCTTCCAAAATAGGAACCCTAGTTTCCTCTTGATTCATTTTCTTTTATCGATTATCTCATATAATCGTTTTGATTGACCTTCTTCTTAAGTCGGGCTTGGGGGCACTCATTGGAATTCCCTGTTTGTTAGTAAAGGGTAGATTTGCTAACTTTTCTTTCATCTATTTGTTTCCATCATGTTTCCAATAGGTCACTATATCGTGATATGTGGCTACGATGCTGTCAGAGATGAGTTTGAGATTAGAGATCCTGCCAGTTCCAAGTAATTTCTTGTTATCTCTCGTTGCTTCAATTCTTAGAGATCAGTGCCCTCCAGTAAATTTCCCTGTAATGGTAGTTATATATGGCTGCCACGTTCATCTACTAGCACAGAATGTTGAAATTGTTTTAGGAATGAGTTGGATTTCTAAACAAGAAGGAAAAATATGGTCCATTGTGTTAGTGTATTGGTTTATTTACCCTACCAGACGTGGGAAGAGAGACATTCGTGAGTGTGGTATAAAACTCAGAAGCAAGAAAGAACACTTATATGGGTCATCTTACTTGGTACGTGGCAGTGCCATTACTGGATACAAATAAGAATTTTGCAGAAAAAATTCTTTGCAGGAGACACGAAAGGATCTCGTCAAAATGCCTGGAGAATGCCCGGAAATCGTTTGGTACAGACGAAGATCTTCTCCTGGTAATCTAAGAAACATGAATTGTTAGTTTTGACTTGTGCAATGGTCCTGTGTGTTCATGTATTGTTTTTAATGTATTATGCAGATTAACTTGGAGAATACAGGAATACAAGGATAGTTCGCATCAAAACATTCTGGAGCATAATGAATCCTGAGTTGTTCTCTCCCAGAAGAAGAAGAAGATAAGCTGAAAAGTAGGCATATGTAAATACTTCTTCACATATACGTACATTTATGTGGAAGTTGCCAAGAGAAAGAAATACATATATGTACTAAGCAGTTATAATCATTCCCTTACAAAATTGTAAATCTCATGAGGTCAAAATTTGTAAATCAAAGTTTTAAAATAATTTCGAGTAATTTTATTAAATTGTCTAACTCTTTTTTATTTTAATGATTTCATCAACATTCAAACTTCCCCAAACGGAAAATCACGACAACAATTTTACATGTAAAATTCCTTTCAAATGTAACCGTGTGAGGCTTTTAGGCAAAACATAAAAAAAAAAAGTATAAATTTTGAGGAAGGGCTAGTTGCTGACTCATAGCTTCTTGACAATTTCTTCACAGGCTCGGTCATAATAAGTCATTCTCTGTATGCATTTAACAGCTTCATCAAACCTCTGGCTTTCAAAGGCTTCGACAAAAGAGTCGGAAGACTGCTTCAGTTTATCTTGCACCTTGAGATAAACAACAAAGTCTCATTTATTCAAACGAGTGCCCAAAGCCGCAGATTTAAAGGTGTTTCAGAAAAGCTAAAGAAAATAACGAGGGACACGAGCATCTGAAGAAAGCCGGAGATGAATCAGGATTTTTCAAGGTACCTGTGATCGGATCTGGTTCAGCGCATTTGAATCATTTGCTTCTGCTATGGCCTCTCTGAGTTCCATAATCTGGCATCATTTTCAGTGAGAAATTCAAGTGAATGTGTTTGTTTATTGCAGAAAAAGCTGCAGGAACTTAAAAACGGCATCGAGATTAATCTCAATGAGTAGATCCAGTTACCTCCATTAACAATTCTGGATCTGTTAGCGTTTCTTCTTCATTGATATGTATGCCATTAAGCTTCATCTACAACACAGAACCAGCATCTTCAGCATGAATCACACTAAAAAAGAATGAACCGGTAAATGTAAAAGGAGCCTTACGATATACATTGCTCTTGATAGCCGCTTGGTTAACGTCCGCAATGCTTCAGTCACCTTTGCAGACTGTTCAGCTGCATAATCTCTTTCTTTCTGTTCACAGTTACCAAAACTTGTTAGAAAAATGTTTAGTGAAGAAGAGATACGCGGAAGAAAGTCACAACCTTGGATTTGTTGTGAACTAAATCTGGATGTAGCTTCTTTTGCCAGTCTTTGTACTTGCTTTCAAGGCTTCCAGCATCTAACTCATACTTATTCTCCCTATCAAGACAAGTTATTGAATTCAAAACCAATACAAATTGCTATTCGATTTCAACTAATCATCCCAACAGCTTTTTGTTCTTAAACCCTAAAATGTAACAAAGGAAGCGTTTGATACTCTACTTACAGGCCAAAAATCTGAAAATAATCGACGGAATCATCAACAGGTTGAATGCTGCGGCACGAGTCGCAGAACAAAAACGCAGACGAGAAACCGCAGTTCCAGCACACGGAGCTTCTCCTGTCCGAGCAAAACGCTCTCCCGGAAAATCGGAGCCAATTAACGGAAATCGCCAGGGGTTTAGCTGAAGAAGGAGGTTTCAGAGAATCGCGAGTGAAGTGAGATTGTGAATTAATCGCGATCGTTGCGAGTGGATTGCGCCGGAAATCTGAAGAATAGGTTCGTCTTGTTAAAAGAGTGGAGATTGAGGCCACCAGCTTCTTTGTTCTGTTCATCGGTGACGGGAAAGAGACAGACAGAGTTCAGGCTCTGGAGATATCGTCGTGTTCCATTTTGACTTACTAGTCGAACCAAACCGGTTAGGACAAAACTCTTTTACCGGTTTCAATCGCACAATGCCGTGGAATTGGATTCGAATATTGTAAACCGATTTTAGATTCGGACCAAAAGAAGGAATTTGTTTCCTTTTCCTCTCATCGTCTCTCTCGTCAGTCGTCAGGTTACGCTAGAACCCTATACAACTCAAAACCCTCTATACACATCCACAGATTCAGGGAAAGCGACATTGGTGACGGACGAATATCTGCTTCCTTCATTGGTTCTTGGAGAAATATGGAGGATCGTGTTTTCTCTTCGGTTCACTCCACGGTGTTCAAGGAATCCGAATCGTTGGAAGGGAAGTGCGATAAAATCGAAGGTTACGATTTCAACCAGGGAGTAAATTACCCTAAGCTTCTCCGATCCATGCTCACCACCGGATTTCAAGCCTCGAATCTCGGCGAAGCTATTGACGCCGTCAATCAAATGGTTTTGTTTATTCCCTTCGAGAAATCAAAGTTCCTTTTTTTTTCTTTCTTCCCGATGTCATCAACCTTGGTTTAGGATGAATCAGTAACGTGGGTTTGAATCGTATTGAAGCTAGACTGGAGATTAGCTGATGAAACTCCAGTAGCTGAAGACTCTAGTGAAGAGGAGAAGGACCCATCGTACAGGGACTCTGTGAGGTGTAAAATCTTTCTGGGTTTCACTTCGAACCTTGTCTCATCTGGTGTCAGAGATACAATTCGATATCTTGTTCAGCATCATATGGTTAGTGGTTTGAGTAATTACCCTGTTTACGTATGTTAAAATCATCGAGTTTCATATATTTGATTCTGATTGCTTGTGCACTCCGCAGGTTGATGTCATAGTCACCACAACTGGTGGCGTGGAGGAAGATCTCATAAAATGCCTTGCACCCACATTCAAAGGTGATTTCTCTCTTCCCGGAGCTTATCTGCGGTCAAAGGGACTGAACCGCATTGGGAACTTGCTGGTTCCAAACGATAACTACTGCAAGTTCGAGGATTGGATCATTCCCATCTTTGACGAGATGTTGAAGGAACAGAAAGAAGAGGTATTGCCCATTTTGTTTAGTGAATCTTCTGTGAAAATGAGCCTTGTATTGTAGTAGTTATTCAAAATGATTCTGTTTTAACGAGTGGAGATAGATTGTGTTTCCTCTTCCTGCATCATAACTTTGTTGATGAATCCTTCTTTCTCTCTGGTTTTTCCTTGTTGAATCTGTAGAATGTGTTGTGGACGCCTTCTAAACTGTTAGCGCGGTTAGGAAAAGAAATAAACAACGAGAGCTCATACCTTTATTGGGCATACAAGGTAACGAAATTTTTACCCTTTTCGAGTATTTTTCCGGCCTACTGTTTGAAACTCCAGGATTGAGATTTTCCCGTCTGTTGTGGTGTTTTGTAGATGAATATTCCCGTATTCTGCCCGGGGTTAACAGATGGCTCTCTCGGCGATATGCTCTACTTTCACTCCTTTCGTACCTCTGGCCTCATCATCGATGTTGTGCAAGGTACTCCTTTCACTCAAACGTGTTATTGTTAGTTGATAGATACAAGTTTAGGAGAGAATAGCATTTTGGGGTATTCTGGTTTTGGTTTGTGGCATTGGGTCGAGAGTTAGAAAAGTCTTTTGTTAAGAAAGCTCTCTTTTATGGTGTATTGAGTAAAAAAGTTTATATCGTTTTGTATCTTATCACAATGTTTCCTGTTTAATGCTGGATTAGTGGAAGATTGTGATCCTTTGAACCTGATAAATGCTTTATGAACAGATATCAGAGCTATGAACGGTGAAGCTGTCCATGCAAGTCCAAGAAAGACAGGGATGATCATTCTTGGAGGGGGCTTGCCTAAGCACCACATATGTAATGCCAATATGATGCGTAACGGTGCGGATTACGCTGTGTTCATCAACACCGGGCAAGAATTTGATGGGAGCGACTCGGGTGCACGCCCTGATGAAGCAGTGTCTTGGGGTAAAATCAGGGGATCCGCTAAATCCGTCAAGGTCTGATCTACTTTGTTTTCACATCCTTTCTCATTTTTTCACTCAGTGGCTTTTTGAGTACGTATTCTGATGATGGGTCATTCTTGCAGGTACACTGTGATGCTACCATAGCATTCCCTTTGTTGGTTGCGGAAACATTTGCCTCCAAGAGAGAACAAACTCGTGAGCCTAAGACCTAAGCACACGGTTGCATAGTTTTTGAAATGATTCAGATTGTATTTGATTAAATACAGAGTCTTTGTGGTCAATGATCCTTAGCCTTCTTTAAACAGTTTTCGGTATCAACACTAATTATTGTGGTTCTGTGATACGTTTATGCCCAAAGTCAAAACTTGTCATCTTTCGCTGAATAGCAACTTCTTGCGGCATATAAATGTAGAAGTCTAATATACTTAATTTATCTGCTAAAATTCTCAATGTTCAATGCTTAATCTTGCGACATATAAATGTAGAAGTTTTCATACATCACTTTTATTTTCACCATTCTACTCTATTCTTCATTCGGCTAATATTTGTACTGTACCGTGACTAACAAAGCCAGAAACAAATAAATAAATGAGCCACTAAAATGATTTATGAAAAGTGGTTTTTCGTTTGTTTCTAAAAAAAAGAAAGCAAGGACGAAACTGGGATAGAGATCTTATAACGCACCATCTCATGCGCCATTATCTGATCAAAGTCACTTCACCACAATAAACAGGACTACGACAAATGGGACAATCCTGACTTTGTGTAAGCCAAGAAAAAATGCAACTCATGTGGAAACTATGTTTGCATTTGGATAAACAAACCACGACTTTGCCATCATCAACCTTCTTCAAATCCTCAAGACATATTGGACAACACAGTTCTACATCCACAACTACGTCTTTAATCATGAACGTCTCCATCTGCCGCGGACGCATTATTGGTGGTTGCGGTGGTGGCAGCGGCGGAGATGTTTGCGGTCTCCGGAATCTAAGATTAGTTTCATGGGAATCATTTTTGATGGTTGCATACCGTATGGCAACGATGCCATACAAAACGAACAGGATGATCATAAGAGTGAAGTCTTCATGTAGATGATGATGATGATGATGATGATGAGTATTGTTTTCCGTGAATGCGGCGGGAGATGGTGACGGCGGAAGAGAACGCATGATCGTGTGAGTGAGCGAGTGAGCGAGTGAGCTTCTTAAATGCTAGAGATTAGTTAATTTTTATGTATATATAAACACAAACTAATTAGGGTAGGTTTTGCAAGATCTCATTAGCAAGAAAATAGGAAACTATATTGCAACAAAATAGGAAGACTTTGATAAGTATTGCACAGAATAATATATCCATTTGAGCGTGTATGTGTTTAGTGTAGGATAAAACTTATACCAACCCGTCTGAAGATTAAATTATGACACAATGAACCCATGTATCGAAAACCCATAATAGACTGAAAAACAATCGAGGCCCAAGCCATAAACTTTGTTAGTTCAGGCCTGGTTCAAAGTTACAATGGTCAAATTTTGGAGTTATGCGAGGATCGTCGTAGTATATACCATAGTGAAATTTGGAATTGCAGAAACAGACAACAACGTCATATTCCTTGGAGATTCATTTAGGAAATCTTCTTAGGCCTCATTAGTCCACCAGTCATCATCAATACGTGTGTCAGTTTTTAAGTGGCTATTCATGATCACTAAAATCATGTTATTTTTTTCTAAAATCATGTTCTATTATTTGAATAACTTAAATACTCTCTTTAATTACGTCACCTCATTGCACAATATACATAAATTAAATGCTATTTGTTCGTATTACCATTATTTTACAGTGTGACAATATGTCACGCCTTTGACAGTTGCTCTCGCGAGATTTTGTTCCTTTGACGGTACCATTATTGGGTTTTTCAAAGCTATGTTCAACTTTTTGTTCAAGTAATATTTGTTTGTTTTGGGTTTAAGAGATAAAGTTTGTGTGATTTTTTTTTGGATTATTTTTTCAACAAGTTTCATATGAATTGAAGTTGTACTTAACTTTTTATTTTGGAAACTTTGGCTAAATTGTACTTAACTTAAATATTATATTATTTCTTTCTAAACTTTCTAAAAATGTAAATTGTCCATTGTTTTTTTCCTTTCTTTGCTACCAACTTTTAATTTATTTTACTACTCTCTCAGTTACTTAACAATTTACTTTAAAAATGAGAAGAAAAAAAAACAAATTGATTTAACACACAATTTCTCTCATATGTGCATCATATAACATAATCATTTTTCGAAGTAAAAAAACGAAACTGAAAATGTATTTTGTAATAAAAAAAAAAGTGGAATCACATTTCTGAAACATATAAACATAAATAACGTGGACCAATCCATCACATAGATGGTCAAGTGTTAGCGTTACAAAGAATTAATTATTCCAAAACAGTAATTAACTTCAATTATTTTAAAAGAAAGATATTTTAAGACAAATCCGTCATCGTCATGGTCGAACATAATCCCGTGTTATTATTTCCACGTGGCGCCAGAACTGCGCGTGAGTTGTTCTACTCGTGTTTCACGTGATTGAACATTTTATTTATTTAATATCCTATTCGATCGTTTATTTTCGGATTCATTGGTTAATTATTTTCCACTGTAATACCAGCAATCATCAAGTGTTAACGTACATAAACAATATAATGTTGCTGTGATTTCAAAAGATATTTTTTCAAGACTATCCTACGTGACGCATCAGCACAATGAGACTCCCGCGCATATAGTTTGAGACGAAAGTCCAGCAAACTATTTTGATTTTTAGCATTATATATAACACCAGCTCGATATTATCTTTGAAATCAATAACACCAACTCGCTAAAATATACATTGTAAAATTGTAAATTGAGTCTCTAACATACACCAACTCGCTAAAATATACTCAAATCTTTGACAAAATTTATCTTTCCTTGACCTAATGGCTAACTGTTTTTACTTTTTACATATCATATGCGAGTCCCTAAATTTATGTTTGACCCTAAGATTTGATGAATATTCGTTCAAATATATATTGAGAATCCCAGTTCTCTTTAAGGTATTTGATGCCTTCAAGATTAAGAAGGTATACATATATCTGACCCGAGCCTTTGATACGAGGACCGGGGTTACCTATCGGGCTGACTGCATGATTTGATCCAAGAGAGAGTGGCCTGACCCGAACTTATTTTGCTACTTTGTACGTCTGACCACTTAGCTTTTATATCCAATTTATACCCACCAGCGTACGGGTTACGTGGGCTTGTTTCAAATTATTGTAGCACGGATCCAAAAAATCACAACACGTAAGATTAAAGGGTTCGATATTTTTCATTAAATTCGTATATCTCTTTTAATCATTCATGTCGTATATGGATGGGGATACCCACTACCCACATGTATTCTAGCGTGCTGATATATACGGTCACCTAACGAAATCAAATCGAACATTAAAATAATATTTTTTTTTTTTTGGAATGCTAATTTCAAATATGGTGACATGAAAAGTGAATCTGACTATCGTATGAATGTAGAAAACCCACGTAAAATACTCTCATGTTGTATTTGTATCAGTAGGCAAGTTTTACAAAATTACCGAATAACAGATACTTAATAGTTTTGTCAACCGAAAAATTATCAGCAAAGAGTTCACCAGAATGTGAGACGTCTTTTATTATTATTTTTTTAAAATGAATGTAGACGCCTTTGATCTAAATCTTAAATAATCACGCATCTATAAATTTACGCACAACGATGACACACAATCTCATCCCACCTTTTCATTACATTTTCTTATTGTCTATTCATATTAAAGACAAATATAAAATAAAAAGTAGTAACAAAAAATGGCTCCGATCGGACTCACCGACGTCGCTGTTACAGATTTCGTAGTACACCAACGTAACGGAGTAAAAGGTCTCGTCGACGTTATATCTCCAAAGACGTTGCCGTCATGTTACATCCAACTCCCGGAGAAACGAGTCACCCCTGAGAAACTCATCATAGAGACAACAACTACCGGGAAAGGCGGTATGTTAGCACCGGTGATTCCGGTAATTGACGTTTCTGACTGGAAAAACCCAAATGTTGCGGAGGAGATATGCGAGGCGGCTACAACGCTAGGGTTTTTCCAGATAGTGAACCATGAAGTGTCGGTGGATGAGCAAAACGAACTGAGAGCTGCAGGTCGAGGGTTTTTCTGTTTGCCGGTGGAGGAGAAGAAACGGTATTGGGACGAGAGCTCGGTGTCGGACTCAGCTTGGTACATGACAAGTTTCATTCCCCACAAGGAGGCTAAGTTGGAGTGGAGGGACGCGCTCAAGTTTGAGTATAATTACGACCAAGAGAACTTCGCTGCCACGTGGCCTACTGTGTGCAGGTATGACGCTCTCAATTTTTTTGTATTTTTCTGTCACATTCTTTTGTTCTTTGCGTGGTGTAGTTTTGGGTACTCGTGCTATTTTAGTTTATAACCAAATTTAGAAAAGAAACCATGTAGTCAGTTTAAGATAAATTTATTCTTCAAAAATATCTATCAGTGAAAACAATTTCACGTGTAAAGTCTACATGATTGAAAAAGTTTAACTTACATATAACATATATATTCCTCATAAGAAAACAATAGTTGCGCATGAATAATTTAATATTTCCCTTGTACAGTGGAAGACTATCGCAAAGAAATAAATAAATGTAGGTATATCTATAATATATTAATATTTAAGAAAAACGTACGTACGTGCTGTGTTCAACACAATGCAAAGAAGGAAAATTAGTAGTTTGTATAATAGATGAAGGTTTTATAACAAATAACAAGAATTTGTGGCAGGGACGAGGTTGTCAATTATTCTCATAGGATGAAGCGGATAGGTAAGAAGATTTTTCAAATACTAATGAAGAATCTAAACGCAAGAATGGAAGAAAAAACCCTAATGGGGTCTTTGAGGATGAACATCAACTATTATCCCGAGTGTCCCGAACCGAAACTTGCCGTAGGAACCGGTCATCACTGCGACATGAACACCCTCACACTTCTTCTCCAAGACGACATCATAGGTACCCTTTATGCTCGATACGGTGACAAGTGGCTCCATGTCCCTCCAGTTAGGGGAGCCATTGTGGTTAACATTGGAGACATGCTACAGGTCTTGAGCAACGATCGGTACAAGAGCGTGGAGCATCTGGTTATGGCTAACCGGTTTCTTAGCCGGATTTCCTTTGCGTATTATTGCGGACCGAGTTATGACTCCGTTATCGAGCCGTTACGTGAGGTGCTGAAGCATGGCGAAAAGCCATTGTACAAGCCCACAAAGTATTCGGACTACATGAAATATTACTTTGGAAAGCCCCATACCGGTAGCAAAACTATCGAATCGATCAAGCTCCCATGAATAATACATCAGGAAGCCTAATCAAGATGCCAAGATTTAAGTTCAAAGTCCATGTCATTGTTCAATTTCTATTTTTTTTTTAATTATGTATTTCAGCAAATAATAACGGTATGCTGCTCTGTTCCCGGTTTGTAGGATCAGAGTATTTCACTTCACTTTATTTTCATTTTGCATATGCTTCCAAGTTTGTAGGAGTTGAACTCCATATATCTATTATCAAAGTTTCATTCATCGATATTCGTCTTTTTTTTTCTTCTTCGCATCCGTTCATTATTATTAATCTTATATTATTATAAACCCCCTTGTAAGTGTCACTTAACTAGAAGTACCATGGAGATTTCACGTTAAATAACTCAAAATGACCCTACACCCTATTGGTGGTTCTTACCTTTTTGTTTTTTGTAAACTATTTGATAATTTGGTTCTTATCAATAAACTATTTATTTAGCGTTAAAAAAAAAAACTAAAAATGACCGAATCAAACCCTGTTCGTTGACCCTACACCCTGAGAACCGGTACAAGCCGGAGAGGGAATTTTCTTGTGACAACAAATTGAAATATCTCATCCATGTTAAGCTCTTCCGGTTTAGAACCATCATGCATCTTCCAATCAAACCGATACAAGAGATTAGCGATAATCTCCTCGAGCAACGCGATACCATAAGCCATACCGGGGCAGTTCCTACGACCAAACCCAAATGGAGCGTACCCTTGGTTTCCCATGAAATCAATGTTCTTTTCCATGAATCTTTCAGGGATAAACTCATCCGGTTTCTCCCAGTCCTTGGGATCACGTTGCACCGCAAAGAGATTCACCAATACTTTGGTATATGGAGGGATATCGTAGCCGCCTACTTTAATCCACTTCGATGATGTCTGACGTGGAACTATACCCGGAGGATGCAGCCTCAACGTCTCCTTAATGATACATCTCAAATAATGCATTTGATCTATTTCGGTATTGGTTATCTTAGATTTGGTCCCAACTACACGTTGTACTTCTTCTTGCGCTTTCTTCAAAACTTTAGGATGTTTGATGAGTTCGGAGAATAGCCACTCAAGCTCCAATGCTACGGATTCTACAGCCGCGACGAATGTGCCCTACAATTGAATCAAGAACTATTCAACACCGAACATAGCTCTACATATATATACATGAAAGTATCTAAAGACGTATAAAAGTACTGAATCTATATGCTACACCAACCTCCATGATAGCTTTGACGTCGTAGTCAAGTTTATCATTGTCTCGTAGACGAAGAAGAACGTCCACGTAGCTCTCTTTCTCTCTTTCATTAATGATTTTTTCCATAATACCGTCCAACTCCGAGTAGGTGCTCTTTAGAAGAGTTGTGAATCCCGTGAGTCTATCGATCCAGGCGAGACTCGAGAACAAATCCGCAACACAGAAAGATCCCATGAGCTTCTTGAACTTGACATCCCAATCCAGAAAGTTCTTCGTGGTACTCTCTTCCCTTTGGTAGCTACCCGTGTACGACCTATGAAAGACATTGCTCACCACGGTGTTGAACGTATCCGTTATATCGATATCTTCTCCTTTTACGTTTGAAACATCAATGGTCTTCAACATACTTGAGATCTCTTCATCTCTCATCGTCTGAAACCGGTTCACGGCGTTTTTGTTCAAGAGATGAAGCGCGCCGACCTTTCTTAACTGCTTCCAATGATCTCCATAGGGATGATAGACCATGTCTTGGCCATTCCCTTTTAGAGGATCAAGGCTAGAGATTGTGGGTCGGTTCGAGAACTCAACATCGTGATTCTTTGTGATCTCTTCAAGAGCAGCAGCGGATGAGACCACGAGGTATCGAGTTGCTCCAAAGTTTACGAACATGAAAGGTCCGTACTTGAGGGATAGGTCGTAGAGTGACTTGTGGGGTAAGTTACCAATCTGGTGGAGGTTTCCGATGAATGGAAGCTTTTTAGGGGATGGGGGAAGGTTTAGCTTTCTTGATTTGATAGTTTTCTTGATAAGTGCGAAGATGAAAAGTGGGAACAATGCAAAAAGAGTTAGATGGAAAGGCTTTGAGTTAAAGATGATTTGCTCCATGATTATTCTCTTATTAAGTTCTGTGATCACTTGCTTCGATCGAAGCCTTCTATTTATAGCAGATAAAGGGTTATTGGTTTGCTGTTCTACAGTCAAAATGCTCAAGCTTGACATAAATCTCGTCAATATACAAACAAAAAAACGTAAAACCCCCCCGGGACCAAGAACGTTGCAGATCACATAGCGGGTCCTTTTGTTTGTTGGACCGTTCAAACTTTCTGACACGGTCGTCAATCTTTTTCCTTATTATCTGAACGTATTAATTTTCTCACCATTTCTTTAAACTTAGTTTCAAAGAAAATGCATAGAAAATGTTGGCTAAAATAAGTTAAAAGCTTAGAAAAAATGGGCAAGCTCCTCAATAAATATCTGATATCGATATACAAAACAAAAACCCAAAATTTACATTACAGAGCGCAAAGATGGAGTAGTTTCGTTTGTTGAAACGACCAAACTTTCAAACACTGGCAATCTTTTTATTCATCTTAATTAACATATTATACTTCTCAATAATACTTTATTTATATAAAAACAGAGATTAAAATGAAAAGCATAGAAAATGTTTGTGTTAATGAAGTATGCTAAAAGCATACAAATAATCCATTTTAATTTTTTTGGGATAGAATCCGTTATTTTAACTTATTAGCGGAAAAGTTGATGATGGAATTAATTTCAAGTGAAAGTTAAATAAGTCAATGGAAAATTTATAATGGAAAATGTTTATGTTATTTTCTTCCAACTGAGAAAAAATGAGGATTAAATGACTTTTCTTCCAAAGGAAAAAATTAATGAATTTTCTTCCCTCAAGATGTTCTTCATAAATTACAAACTGCCGTCAAAGTCTTCTTCTTACTAGGACAGCGAACGATAGGTCCCATAGCTGATATGCATTTATCAGATAAAAAGATCTGACTCGGTACAATATCTCAGCACCAAAAATATATACTACCGTTAATTGGTAGATGACAATAAATGTGGTGGTATATTAAAAACAGACACTAAATAAACATGTATGGTGGTATTTGAAAAAAATTATACAGTAAAAGGGTAACTTTTTCCTATTAAATAATAATGAATGAAAAAACGTATATTACACGTTTTTATCTTGTGGCTTGATGCTTGAATATTGAGCCATTGACGACGTGATTGAGTTACGTATTGACATTTTTATTACCAGTCAATTATTACAAAGAAAACTATTTTGTCAGATACAAAAGATATCAAAAATATATTTATATCATAGCTGAAATTTTCTAGTTTTAACTAATACTATTTACCATTAGTTTATTAATTTTAATATCTTTGAAGTTAATATTATAATAAAATACGAGTAGAACTTATAAATATAATATATATAATTCGCCATAATACATATAACTATTTCAATGTAATCAAATAAACTTTTTGTGATTTACCAAAATATTCATGATTATGATTCCTTTTAAAAAAAATCGTTAAAATAAAATAAAATGCAAGATGTGGGGGGGAAAACAAAATGGGTGAAAAGAAAAACCTAAAAATACAAGGGAAAGTGAAATTGTCTTTGTCAATGGGCTCATCACATGCATGCACAGTGGCGTGCCAAATAGTTCAACAGAGTGGCAACTGGCAAGCGAATGACATGATTTTCAACCCTTACGTTTTTTCTTTACTAATATTTAAAACTCACAAAGGATCAACTTTTATCTTATAACCGTTAAAATTCCAAGCCAGCTCTAATTTCTGAGTATACTCAAATCAATTAAATACGATTCAAGCTTCCAGTCATCAAAAGAGTTCCATACCCACCTTCCTCGTAATGGGACAGTACAATTGGGTTCTACAGTGGGCCAGTCAAAAGAAAAATAGTTCACACAAAACTCATTATTCAGACTTCAGAGACTCGTATCCTTTTTTTTTGTCAATATTGGATTTCTAACATTTTTTTGTTTCCTAGTTAAGCTGATTCACTTAAATTCGAGGCTGTGATTTTTGTCTTTGGTCGTGACTCATGAGCCGTGAGGCGATTGTGAACACGATCGTGGTGTGAACATAATGCGTCGAAGTAATAGTGTTGAACAAGATAAATGGAATGAGATTCAGTTTCCGTTTCGGTATAATTGACCCTTTATTCTATCAGTTAGGGTGTCGTTAACCGGGTTTAAAGGTATTTTTAGTTTAGGTGAATCGGTTTTATTAGTCAATAAAAGACTCGTTTGTGTTATTGACCGAATACACATATTATTGACGGATCACTCGATTATACCTCAAATTAAACAATGCATTTCTAAACAACCCGTCAAAGAAGTTAACCCTTTTTCTGATTTTCTCATCCTACTCAAGACTGATATTATTTATTACTAGTTTGTATGTATCACACCATTTTGAAAAATCAATGACTTTAAAGTATTGAGTCATAAAAAGTGAATTGGTGAAATGACCATTATTCTAATTATAATTACCAGAATACCATCTATTTTGGAAAAAAAGTGAGGTGAATGATGGGATGATCTGTTTCGTGGAATCTATGGAAGTAAAGTCATTCTAGAGTCAACGTTTTTCTGAGATGGACATTGCAGTCAATGAAACACGTGCCATGGCACTGACTTGTCCGCTTCCGGTTGTCGTCCCACGTAGTCTATGATTGTGGGCCTGTGGCCATTGTGGGCTTGGGCTGGGATTGACCTGACCTAAATGAGACTATGTTCAACGACCGCTGTTTTAAAATTTCCCTCCTTCACATGTCTAGATATTAAATTCGATTTTAGTTTAATATTTAAGTCGATTATAAACATATAAAAAATCGATTTTAGTTTAATATTACAGCAATCTAGAAATCTATTTCACATGTCTAGATATTAAATTCGATTTTAGTTTAATATTTAAGTCGATTACATTTAAAAAAATAGGGCAGACTAACTAACGAGAGTATCTATAAAATATATGTTTGTTTACAACGAAACGGCCTTATTCTTGCGGTAATTGGAACTCATGCTGAACAATTCCGTCAACAAAAATGTAAAAGTGCAGGGAAATTAAACATTGGTCGTGTGACATCTGACAGTGACAGCCATGTTATAAATAGAATAACATGTTTACGTAATTACTAAAAAGATGATATTTGATCAACCAGATGATCCAAAGATCGATATGCCGAACCGTTTTCTTTAACCGATCTTACTACCTTCTCCTTAAGAAGTTCCACCCTCTCTCGGATTGCTTCTCCTTCAGTTTCTAACAATAATATCTTTATCGCTCTCTCGATCTCGTTCCTCTCGATCCGACCCTCCAGGTGCAGCCCCACCATCCAAATCTCACTGACGAACCTTGCATTGAGCATTTGGTCCCATATAAAAGGCGAACAGATCATCGGGACGCCTTCACATATACTCTCAACCGTCGAGTTCCAACCGCTGTGTGTCAAAAAACCTCCAATGGCTCGATGCTTTAGAACGTCTTCTTGCGGGGCCCATCTCACAATCTTTCCCTTTTCGATGAACTCTTCCGGGATTGCCTCGATCCATTCCTTGCCATTGACCAGACCAACCCGTACGACCCACAAGAAAGGCTGGTCGCTGTTTCTTAGACCCCAAGCAATCTCCACTAACTCTGTTTCGCTAATGGTTGCAACGCTCCCAAAACTCACGTAAATCACGGATTTGTCTTCTTGCTTGTCTAACCAGGAGATGCAAGTCTCGTCCGGTTTATGTAAGCTACTAGACTTAGCCGGAAAGCGGGTAGGAGAAGGTCCTATCGCAAAGACCGGGACTTGAAACTCCTGACGTGTCTGAGTCAGTGAGGCTTGGTCCAACTCTTCGCAGGACATGAATATGAGACCTGAAGATGCCTTTACCGATTCGTTAATCATACTCAAGTACGCATCTAGTAGCTCCGTTTCTTCTTCAAGAATCCGGAAAACATCTTTCTGTCGAAGCGGCGGAAACTCATGAACTGGATCATCTTGTTCTGAATCTGTATGAAAAATTGGGAAAATATTCGTGTGTAAACTCATGCGTGATAAATAATGTTTTCAACTGACCGTTGTAATACTTAACAAAACTGTTATTTTAAGATGTCTAGAAAAGATTGGACCATGAAAGTCAGCAATATTGGTAATCATAAAAGACAGTTGTTGGCAAAGAGTGAAAAGTACATAATACCTTGTAGCGGAAGATATCTTTCACGCCGGAGCTGAGAAAGAACAAATTGGTTCCGAAAGAAGGAGACTTTAGTCGTATTAAGGACCAATCTTGGGAGATTCAGACTCTTGGTAAGGGGTTGTGTGAAGACCCAATTAGAATCATCGATCAAACAGCTTATCCTCTGTTTTTCTTCCTCTGTTTCTGAATCTGCAGATTGCAACAGTTTAGCCAAGCAGTCACGAAACGGAGACTCACATCTTCGGTTTAGAAGCGTTATGAGAAGTGTGACATCGCGAGTTCTTGAATCTGCTTCAGACAAGCCATCTGGGATCTGCAAGAATGTGAAGAAAGGATGGCTTGAAGCTTTTGGCGCGTTGAAGCGCGTGTGGATCACGGTGATGGAAAAACCTCTTGAGTGGAGGATTTTTCCAAGCTGAATCATGGGATTGATGCAGCCTTGAAACGGTAGTGGGAACAAAATCACTCGTCGGGCAATACTCTTCTCCATTGAAGCCTCTCTCTCTCTCTCTCTCTCTCTCTCTCTCTCTCTCTCTCTCTGTTTTTCTTTCTTTCAGTGAATGGTACTAATTAATTATTTCCCTTGAGAAGATATCATATATCCTAAGCAGATGGATCGTGGCGATGGATTTATGATACCCTGAGAAGGTAAAACGTGGCGGTGAAGATGACCTGATTGCGAGGCAACCACGTGTATACCTTAGGAAGACAAGTGCTCGGTTTTAGCTGTAATCTATAAACATAATAGGACAATTCAATTCTGTTATCAAACTGCTGTTTCATGTGCTCTGCTCTGTCTCTTGCTTACGTATGTTTTGTTGTATAGTAAATTTGCATTTTCCACTGCAATTTCGGGAGAAGAATTTTTATTCCAACAATGCCAAACACAAATGAACAACATCCATAATACAAACAATTTATAACTTCAAAACACACACAGAAAAAAAACACTGCAGATAGTATATAGCTAGAAAGATAATATATGATCAACCAAATGATCTAAAGATCGATATGCCGAACCGTTTTCTTTAACCGATCTTCCTACTTTCTCCTTAAGAAGCTCCATCCTCTCTCGGATTGCTTCTCCTTCAGTTTCTAACAATAATCTCCTTATCGCTCTCTCGATCTCATTCCTCTCGATCCGATTCTCTAGATGTAGACCGACCATCCATATCTCACTGACGAACCTTGCATTGAGCATTTGGTCCCAGAAAAATGGCAAACAGATCATAGGGACGCCTTCACAAACACTCTCGACCGTTGAGTTCCAACCATTATGTGTCAAGAATCCTCCGACGGCTCGATGCTTCAGAACGTCTTGTTGCGGGGCCCATTTCACTATTTTCCCCTTCTCATTAAGCCTCTCCATGAGTTCTTCCGGGATTGTCTCGATCCATTTCGTGCCATTGGCCGAACCAACACGTACGACCCACAATAACGGTTGGTCGCTGTTTCTTAGGCCCCAAGCAATCTCCATTAGCTCTGTTTCGCTGATGCTCACAAGGCTCCCGAAACTAACGTAAATCACGGATTTGTCTTCTTGTTTGTCTAGCCATGGAATGCAAGTCTCGTCTGGTGTTAGTAAGCTACTAGAGGAAGCCGGAAAGCGGGTATGAGAAGGTCCTATCGCAAAGACCGGGACTTGAAACTCTTGACGTGTTTGAGTCAATGAGTCTTGGTCCAACTCTTCACAGGACATGAATATGAGACCTGAAGATGCTTTTACCGTATTGTAAATCATACTCAGGTATGCATCAAGTATTTCCGTTTCTTCATAAAGAAACTTGGAAACATCTTTCTTTCAAAGCGGCGGAATCTTGAGTGGAATCATCTTATTCTGAGTCTATACAAAAAAATAAAAGATAATGTTTTCCAATGAATAATAAACCAAAATCTTGTTTTTATATATTTCTAATAAAGATCGGACCAAAATATCTAAGTTTTAGATAACTAGTTACCAAAAAAGACAGTTTTAGGTGAAGGGTTATAATACCTTGTAACTGAAGATATCTTTCATGACGAAGCTGCGGAAGAACAAAATGCCCTCTAAAGAAGGAGACTTTAGTTGCGATAAAGGCCAGTCTTGGGAGATTCAAACTCTGGGCGAGGGGTTGTGTGAAGATCCATCCAGAATCATCGATCAAACAGCTAATCCTGGGTTTCTCCTCCTCTGTTTTTGAATCTGCAGTTTGCAACAGTTTAGTCAAGCAGTCACGAAACGAAGACTCACAGCTTCGGTTGAGAAGCGTTAGGAGAAGCGTGACATCGCGAGTTCTTGACTCTGTTTCAGACAAGCCATCTGGGATCTGCAAGAAGGTGAACAGAGGATGTCTTGAAGCGTTTGGGGCGTTGAAGCGCGTGTGGATCACGGTGATGGAGAAACCTTTTGAGTGAAGGATCTTGGCGAGCTGGATCATGGGGTTGATGCAGCCTTGTATTGGAAGTGGAAACAGAATCACACGTAGGCCATTACTCTTCTCCATTGAAGCTTTCTCCTTCTTTCTTTTTTCAAACAAAATGCTAATCAAAGTCAATGCTACTGTTATTTCCCTTCTGCGTTAGATTATCTCTATAACATACCAGACTAATTTACTATTAATTCATCATTTGAGTAGTGGAGACAATATTCTAATCTTCTTGACGTGATAATAAAGAAAGACCAGATCCATTTGCCCTCTTGCGTAGCTAGAAAGACGTAATGGTCTAATTTTATTTGATTTTAATATATGGAAACTGATAACAAAGAAAGACAAGATCCGTTGAACTTGGAAGTTGCAGAAGAAATAAAGAAGATAAAACAGAGTACTAGAGATGCGAAGCACAAAGGAAGAGTTTCCTGATTACAAAAAACAATTTAACGGTTGAAAAATTGAAACAGAAAAACAACAACAACATATATAAAACTAGAAAGATGATATATGATCAACCAAACGATCTAAAGATCGATAAGCCGAACCGTTTTCTATAACCGATCCTCCAACTTTCTCCTTAAGAAGTTCCATCCTTTCTCGGATTGCTTCTCCTTCAGTTTCTAACAGTAATCTCCTTATCGCTCTCTCGATTTCATTCCTCTCGATCCGATACTCCAGATGCAGCCCGACCATCCATATCTCACTGACGAATCTTGCATTGAGCATTTGGTCCCAGAAAAATGGCAAACAGATCATAGGGACGCCTTCACAAACACTCTCGACCGTCGAGTTCCAACCATTATGCGTCAAGAATCCTCCGATGGCTCGATGCTTCAGAACGTCTTGTTGCGGGGCCCATTTCACTATCTTCCCCTTTTCATTAAGCCTTCCGATGAGATCTTCCGGGATTGTCTCGATCCACTTCGTGCCATTGACCGAACCAACACGTACGACCCACAAGAAAGGTTGGTTGCTGTTTCTTAGACCCCAAGCAATCTCCATTAGCTCTGTTTCGCTGATGGTTACGCCGCTTCCGAAACTAACGTAAATCACTGATTTGTCTTCTTGTTTGTCTAGCCATGGAATGCAAGTCTCGTCCGGCGTGAGCAAGCTACTAGACGAGCCCGGGAAGTAGGTATGAGAAGGTCCAATCGCAAAGATGGGGACTTGAAAATCTTGGCGGGCCTGACTCAGTGAGTCTTGGTCCAACTCTTCACAGGACACGAATATAAGACCTGCAGACGCCTTGGTCGTTTCCAAGATCTTCTCCGAGTACGAGTCAAGTACCTCCGTTTCTGCATCGAGAATCCGTGAAAGATCCTTCCTTCGGAGCGGTGGAAACTCCTCTACTGAATCATCTTGTTCGGAAACTGTAATAATAATAAAAAAAAATCATTCCTGGAAATATATTTCAGAACTCTTTATAATGTATATGGCGGCGAATTGGTTGATAACTACCATAATTTTACTGGCGTATATAACCAAAAATATTGATGTAGCCTCATATGTGAATAAATGCTACTTTTGATAGATAATGTTTTCATATGGCAAGCAGAATTTGTTTTTCTTAACTATTTCTAGAAACGATCGGACCAGAAAAGTCAACAATATGGTAACACATTTCATATAAAACATGTTTTCGTAAAGTGAGAAGTGAAGACCCGAAAAGGTTCAGAAAAAGAAAAAAAAAAGAAGAAGTAAATGATACCTTGTAATGGAAGATACCTTTCACGCTGGAGTTGAGGAATAAGAAAGTGGTTCCGGAAAAAGGAGACTTTATAGGTATTAAGGACCAATCTCGGGAGATTCAAACTCTGAGCAAGGGGTTGTGTGAAGATCCATCCGGAATCATCGATCAAACAGCTAATCCTCTGTTTATCCTCCTCTGTTTCTGAATCTGCAGATCGCAACAGTTTAGTCAAACAGTCACGAAACGCAGGCTCACAGCTTCGGTTGAGAAGCGTTAGGCGTAGTGTGACATCAAGAGTTGATGTCTCTGCTTCAGACAAGCCATCTTGGATCTGTAAGAAGGTGAAGAGAGGATGGTTTGAAGCTTTTGGAGCGTTGAAGCGCGTGTGGATCACGGTGATGGAGAAACCTTTTGAGTGAAGGATCTTGGCGAGCTGTATCATGGGATTGATGCAGCCTTGTAGTGGAAGTGGAAACAGAATCACTCTTAGGCCGTTACTCTTCGTCATTGAAGCTTTCTCTTTCTGTTTTCAATTCAAATGCAAATCTACTCTTAATTTCAGTCAATGCTACATTTGAGATAAGATGTCTACTTGACATAAGATATACTCATATTTTTCTTTGGTGGATGCTCTTCTCCATGTGCTAGATATAGAAAGATTAAAAGAAATTAATTTTAGTTTATTTGGTTTTATACTTTACGAGGCCATGTGCCAAAAAGAAGAGAAGTCGCCATACCAAAAAAAAATAAAAAAATAAGAGAAGTCGCTATTACGACACCGTTTTCGTAATTGGGTTTTCCACTTGATCTAAGTCCAAATATGGTTTAATTGGATTTTTGTCATTTTAAAAAAATTCATGTAGTAACATTAAAATAATACTATACTACAAACTAGATAACTAAATTCATCTTCAGCTATTACAATTTTTGTATTGCAACCAAACTTCTAGTGGAAACAAACTTCCCTTTTAAATTCAAGAAATACATGTCCATCTTTTTATAAGGAAACGATTTGTTGCGTGCTTGCTTGTACAGAAGACTTTATATAATTTAAAAATGAGGTGTAAGGAATAAAAGAAGAAAACCGGCCAAATATACAATATATATATAGTTAGTTTTTTCTTCATGAAGTATATAGATACCATATACTCTTAAATGGTAACAAAAAATCAAATTAGTTAGTTTTTCTTCATGAAGTAAGATAAAAATTCCCTCCTTATAACAAGTGAGTTATCAAAAAAAAAAAAAAAAAAAAATTCTTCCTTATATCATGAATCATTTGTTCAGTATATGCAGCTACATGCATTGTATCGCATGTCTTTCTTGGAATATGAACTGGATTACATTAAATCAAAAATCAAAAGGTGAACATAATATTTCCTTTTATGACTACTAGTATATTGATGTGGTACGTTTTCTACTTGTTAGTAAGATATTTGATGTTCTTAGAGTTTATTAACACATTTTACTCTACAATTTAATTAATATCAAACTTTGTGCAAAAAGAAAAGACCAAATTTATTGAATACTATATTTATTGAAACTAAAAGTACTTTTCAATTAGTATTTACTTTTATTAATACAATTAATTATTTGACCAAAAGTTTAAAAAAGTCAAAGAGCAAATCAACCATTTGTGGTTGATGTCAGTTTCAAGACTAATAAGATCAAAATAGTATCTTATTACTACTTTATTTTCTCACAGCTTGGAATGTGAGATTCTGTCCTGATTATGTTGAAGTGTTTTTCCGAGAATCTTGTGAATATTTACATCCACGGCGCTTTGGTGATTTATTTTTTGAGAACTAGTTGAGAGAGTCATTGTTTAAAGCTCATGTCACTGTCAGTTTTCCGATTTTCCATTTACATGGATCTACAAGGAATTGTAAGTTCCATATATTTGACATTTAAATTATAGGTACATAATGTTTATGTTTACTTATCTTATTTTTTGTTCGTTTTGTAGGATATCTACGATCAGGGGCGGATTCAGAAATATTTTTTGTGTAGGGCATAAATAAAAACTTAGTAAAGTAAAAGGTAAAAAATAAAAAAAATATAATGTATTTTGATTTTGAGTTTTAGAAAACTAGAATTATCTAAAAAATTACATTTTCATTTATTTCTAAATCTTTCTACATATATGAAAGATATAAAAAAAAAAAAAGAAATGATTTACATTATAATAAAAAATCTTTATATAAAAGTTTTAGAATTTATAAGCTGAAACCAAATCTATTTTTATTAATTTATTAGAATATATAATGTATGAAAAATAAATTAAGCAATAAATAAATTTAATAAAAAATATGAAAGAAAGAAAAATGTCAACTAATCAAAAGAAAGAATATAAAAAATTGTAAAAAGAAAAGATGGCTAAAAAAATTGAATATACAAAAAAACAAAACAAAAAATAGATAAATATATGTATATAAATATATAAAATAAACAAACTATAGGCACCGAGCTCTTCACTTGAAGAACAAAACAATGACCAACTCAACCAACGAATCAACAATTATAATAAGGTATACAGACTTGTTTAAAATCAGTATGGGGCACGTGTCCTACCTTCTTATACTATAGATCCGCCACTGTCTACGATCCCACTCTTCCAGAGATGGAAGAGTTTTGGGAGAAGTACCGCCACTATAATCATTTTGATCCATTATAATATCTCAACCATTAGAAAAAGGAAAATCCATTTTGATGTGAGTTTAGCCTCTCTTATAATCTCTCTTCTTCAGATATCTAGCGCAACTGTATAAAATAGTCATCTCTCACCAGTAGAGGTGGGAGATAGTAAGGTCGATTAAAAAATATGGATTTTTTATGACTAATTTATATTTCGGATAACATGTATTACTAATTATCATGTCACAATTACATTATCGTTATCATACCATTTTACAAACCAGTAAGATTATAACAAATCAGAAGGTTTTATTAAACAGCATGATCAATATTTATGTAGACGCCAGTATTAGAACGATGAAATATGATCAACCAAGTTTTCTAAAGATCGAAAAGCCAAACCGTTTTCTTTAACCGATCTTCCAACTTTCTCCTTAAGAAGTTCCATCCTCTCTCGGATTGCTTCTCCTTCAGTTTCTAACAGTAATCTCCTTATCGCTCTCTCGATCTCATTCCTCTCGATCCGATACTCTAGATGCAGCCCAACCATCCATATCTCACTGACGAATCTTGCATTGAGCATTTGGTCCCAGAAAAATGGCAAACAGATCATTGGGACGCCTTCACAAACACTCTCAACCGTCGAGTTCCAACCATTATGCGTCAAGAATCCTCCGACGGCTCGATGCTTCAGAACGTCTTGTTGCGGGGCCCATTTCACTATTTTTCCATTCTCGTTAAGCCTCTCCATGAGTTCTTCCGGGATTGTCTCGATCCATTTCGTGCCATTGACCGAACCAACACGTACGACCCACAAGAACGGTTGGTCGCTGTTTCTTAGACCCCAAGCAATCTCCATTAGCTCTGTTTCGCTGATAGTTGCGATGCTTCCGAAACTAACGTAAATCACGGATTTGTCTTCTTGTTTGTCTAGCCATGGAATGCAAGTCTCATCGGGCGAGAGCAAGCTACTAGACGAGCCCGGGAAGCGGGTATGAGAAGGTCCAATCGCAAAGATGGGGACTTGAAAATCTTGGCGGGCCTGACTCAGTGAGTCTTGGTCCAACTCTTCACACGACAAGAATATGAGACCTGAAGACGCCTTGGTCGTTTCCAAGATCATTATCGAGTACGAGTCTAGTACCTTCCTTTCTTCATTGAGAAGCCGTAAAAGATCTTTCTTTCGAAGCGGTGGAAACTCCTCTACTGGATCATCTTGTTCTGAATCTGTAAAAGGAAAATCAAAAATACCATTCTTGGAAGAATATACTTCGGAACCACAACAAGGGAATTATATTTATAAAATCTCAAAACCCTATACATATGGTGACCAAAAGTTTGTTAACTCTTTAGAAATTCGTAAAACTAACATAGTATAGAACCAAAAATATTGATGCAACCTCATATTTGAATAAATGCTGCGTTTGATAGATAATGTTTTAACATGACTAACAAAAATTGTTTTTCTTAGATAGTCCTAGAAAACATCAGACAAGGGAAGTGAACAATATAGGAAAACATTGGTAATCATATGAAACAGTCTTTTGTAAAGTGAGAAGTGAAGTTTTTTTTTGCACGACGATACCTTGTAACTGAAGATACCTTTCACGCCGGAGTTGAGGAAGAACAAAGTGGTTCCGGAAGAAGGAGACTTTATAGGTATTAAGGACCAATCTCGGAAGATTCAAACTCTGAGCGAGGGGTTGCGTAAAGATCCATCCAGAATCATCGATCAAACAGCTAATCCTCTGTTTTTCTTCCTCTGTTTCTGAATCTGCAGATCGCAACAGTTTAGTCAAACAGTCACGAAACGCAGGCTCACAGCGTCGGTTGAGAAGCGCCAGGCGAAGTGTAACATCGCTAGTTCTTGTCTCTGCTTCAGACAAGCCATCTGGGATCTGTAAGAAGGTGAAGAGAGGATGCCTTGAAGCTTTTGGAGCGTTGAAGCGCGTGTGGATCACAGTGATGGAGAAACCTTTTGAGTGGAGGATCTTGGCGAGCTGTATCATGGGATTGATGCAGCCTTGTAGTGGAAGTGGAAACAGGATCACTCTTCGGCCGTTACTCTTCGCCATTGAAGCTTTCTCAATCCAAATGCAAATCTCCTGTTAATTTCAGTCAATGCTAGGAAATTTGAGATGAGATGAGATCAGGAGAAGACAAAACTCTCCTCTTCTCGATGTTGTAGTAATAAAGAAAGAACAAAAAGAACTAGTGGTCTAATTTATTAATTTTAAATGATCTGGTTTTATGATTGAATTATTGATATTGACCTGCCCGTTGTACCAGTGGGTAACTAAGTTGCTGCCTTGTGCCGCAAAATGTGGTGGCATAAAATACTCAACCATATGATAAGGAAGGATAAACTAAGCAAAAAGCTGCAAAAACAGAGCAAAGAGTGTTTTCAAAAAAAGGATCACAAGAATCACAATATATACATAATTCAATATACAAAGCTAGAATGATAATATACGATCAACAAGATCATTGAGAGATCGAGAGGACGATCCTCCTCGTTGAACCGATCTTCTCACTTCATCTCGCAATGCGTTAATTCTCTCTCGGATATCTTCTCCTTCAGGTTCAACCATTAGTCTTCTCACCGCTCTCTCGATTTCTCTTCTCTCTATGCGACCTTCCAAGTGAATACCGATCCTCCATACGTCGCTGATGAACCTCGCGTTTAGCAGTTGGTCCCATACAAAAGGCAAGCTGATCATAGGAACCCCTTCGCATATACTCTCTAGCGTCGAGTTCCATCCATTGTGTGTCAGAAACCCTCCAGTGGCTCTATGCGCGAGAACATCTAGCTGCGGAGCCCATTTCACTATCTTCCCTTTTCCATCAAGACTTTCCATAAACCCTTGTGGTAACGATTCGATCCAGTCTCTGCCGTGGACCGAACCAGGTCGGACAACCCACAAGAAAGCTAGGTTGGTGTCTCTTAGTCCAAAAGCAATTTCCAACAAATCAGACTCGCTGATGCTCACAATGCTCCCTAAGCTCACGTAGATTACTGATCTCGTTTCGCGGTTATCTAGCCATGGAATGCAACTCTGGTCCGGTTCGAACAAGCTGCTGGACGACGCTGGTACGTCATGGATGTGAGATGGGCCTATGGGGAATATAGGAAAGTTGAAGATTTTGTTGGACTCAGGAATTGAATCTTGGTCAAGCTCTTCGCATGACATGACTATGAGCCCTGGAGCTCGCTTCATCGTTTCGAGTATCTTAAGCAAGTAAGAATCGAGCGGCTCAACCTGCCCGCTCTTTCCCATAATTCGCAAAAGATCTTTCTTTCGAAGCGGTGGAAACTCCGGAACTACATCCTCTGCTTCGGAATCTGAAACAAACCTGCGAAAGTTCAAGAAACACGGACACGAACTTTTTCCTTTGAATCTGTTGACTGATTCTTTGGATGAGGGTAATATCGTAATTTTCACAAAGTTATTGACTTTAGTCAAATGTTCCTCTTTCAAAAGCTTCTAGGGTTTTCTAGGTTTGTTCAATCAGTTGAATAAGAATTTGACTTTATGGTTGCTCAAAATCTATTTTAGTTGTTTCGTTGACACTCATGGTTTTCAATAATGATCTAGTATGAGTCGAAGCGTTCGTACCTGGAAACGGAAGAAACCCTTCACGGCGAAGCTGGGGAACAAGCAAATGTCCGAGAAAGAAAGTGAATTTATATGCACAGAGGACAAACCTCGGAAGATTAAATCCATCCGCCACGGATTGTGTGAAAACCCACCCAGAATCATCGATCAAACAGCTAACTTTCGCTTCCTCTGTTCCTGAATCTGAATCAGGTTTGATGAGTTTAGCCAAACACTCTCGTAATGGGTTCTCGCAATTGTTGTTGAGAAGCGTGAGTTGAAGCAACACATCCCGAGATTGTATCTGGGTTTGGGACAAACCGTCGGGGATCTGTAAGAAAGTGAAGAGAGGATGGTCTGAAGGTTTGGGCGCGTTGAAGCGCGTGTGGATGATGGAGATTGAGAAGCCTCTTGAGAATAGTATCTTCGCTAGCTGAAGCATAGGGTTTATGCAGCCTTGTAGTGGTAGAGGAAAGAGGATCACTCGGAGACCATTTCTCTTCTCCATTCAAAATGTTCTTCCTTCTTCCTCTCTGTGCAATTGATTCTTTGCAGAAGCAAAAATGTGATGATTGATATGTTCCCTTTTAGATGACGTTTGTGGATAATGGAGACAATACAATAAGAAAAGTAGTTTATCCACTGGCCTACGACCAAAGACATTCACGATGAGTACTGACAAGTGTATACATGATTATGACGCGGATGTTGCTTTTTGTGCTGAGTTTATTGCTTTAGAATATGAACAAAATTTCGTTTACATCATGACTTTACAGCTTACAATACATAGCTTTTAGTACATTGTAAATAAAAAAAGTTTTAACACAAATAAGAGACTTCCACAATCAAAATAATGCATTGAGGATGTTTTGTATTTTAGGTTTATTTTAGAAAGAAAAACATAATCAAGTTTATTTTTTGCATTTTAGAGAAATGTTGAGGTATTTCCCAATGTTGTTACAACGATAGAATATGATTAGCTAGAGTTTCTATGGATTGAAAAGACGAGCCCCCGTGTTTAACCGATCTTCCAACCTCTTCTTTCAAAACCTTCATCCTCTCACGAATCCTTTCTCCTTCACTTTCCACCATCAACATCCTCACAGCTTTCTCGATCTCCTCTCTCTCGATCCGCCCCTCCATGTGAATCCCGACCTTCCAAACATCGCTCACAAATCTTGAATTCAGCATCTGATCCCAACCTCCGGGCAAACAGATCATAGGAACCCCTTCGCATATACTCTCCAGCGTCGAGTTCCAACCATTGTGTGTCAGAAACCCTCCAGTGGCTCGATGTGCAAGAACCTCCTGTTGTGGGGCCCATTTCACTATCTTTCCTTTCTCTTCTAGGCTTCTGACGAGCCCTTCAGGGAGCGGTTCGATCCACTGTGCGCCTAGGACCAAACCGGGCCTTACCACCCACAAGAAAGGCTGCTTGCTATTGCTTAAACCACAAGCAATCTCCAAGAACTCTGATTCCGTTATGTTCACAACGCTTCCTAGACTCACGTAGATAACGGATTCATCGTCTTGTTGATCTAGCCAGGGAATGCAAGTCTCGTCTTGTGTGAATAAGCTACTTGACGAAGCAGAGAAGTAGCTGTGAAACGGACCAATCGCAAAGATGGGAACCTTGAAAATTTCGTTAGCAAGAGTCAGCGAATCTTTCTCCAGCTCTTCACAGGACATGAATATTATCCCTGAAGATCTCATTGTCGTTTCGACTGTCGCTTGTAAGAATGAATCGAGTTTCTCTCCGCCTTCCCCGAAAACCCTTGAAAGATCTCTCTTTTGAAGCGGCGGGAACTCAAGAACAGAGTCCTCTGCTTCCGAATCTAACACGCAAAGGTTCAGGAAACATCTTAAGAATTTTGATACCCACAATTAAAAACAAACGGTTTAACCCGGACGCGGTTATCTTAATTCACTACATATTACCGAGCAAAAACCGGTTACTCGGTCCTAAATCCGAAAAGAAAAGAAAGGAAACGATTTTTACAGAGGACTGATTACCTGAAACTTGAAGGTATCCTTTGGTTCGGAGAAGAGGGAGAATTGGATAAGCATTAAAGAAAGTGGCTTTAAAAGTAGAGAGAACAATCCTCGGAAGATTAAAACTCTCTGAAACAGATTGTGTGAAGAGCCATCCACAATCATCGACCAAACAGCTAATCCTCTCTGACTCTTGCGATTGCAGCAATAGCTTTCGCAAGCAATCACGAAACGGGGACTCGGCGTTGCAGTTGATTTGTGCGAGCAGAGACATAACATTAGAAGTAGGCTCGTCGTTGATCTGGGATTCAGACAAGCCATCTGAAATCTCTAAGAAGGTGAAGAGAGGGTGGCTTGAAGATCTTGGCGCGTTGAAGCGCGTGTGGATCACAGTGATGGAGAAACCTCTTGAGTGAAGGATGTTTGCGAGCTGAAGCATAGGGTTTATGCAGCCTTGTAGTGGTAGAGGGAAGAGAATCACTCGTAGACCATTTCTCTTCTCCATTGAAACTGAAGAAGCTCCTCTCTTTTTTTTTCCTGTTGGGTTTTCTGAAAAGACCTAATTTCTATGTACTTTATCCAGTCGTTGTTTATTTAGATATGGAGAATCTATAATGGAGACAAAACCTTTATAGTTATATGTGTGTTTGGTTTTAGACCCATTCAACTTTCCACCAGTTTTTGTTGACTTTCTGGATTATAATACTTCTGTGTGGTCGCAATCAGAGTTATTGCGATTTGATATGTTTCATATAAATTATTTTTACGCTTGTAATGTTTTTTTATGCGTTCTTAAATCTTGATCCATATTGACATCTATGGATCAAGAAGATATCAATATGACAATATGGATCAAAAGTTAACAAAGCAAAGCAACTGTTTAAAAAATAAATAAATAAATAAAAATTATGAGGTATAGAGCTTGAGAACTATTTATCCATGATCCAGATATTACACTTGGTTAACTTGAGAACTATTTGGTCCATGATCCATATTACACTTGGTTAACAAAACAACTATTGAAGAAAAAATTATGAGATAGAACTTCAAAAGTTCTTTCATTGTCGGCAATATATCTAATTATGCGTGATGCCCAGACCATATGCTAAAACTCTAGTTAACATTTTTTTTGTTCTTTTGGTAACCTAGTGTTAAAATGGTCATGGTCATGGTCATGGTTTGTGTTCTTTAGTTTTAAATTAAAGTGCTCTAAATTGATTAGCTTCATTTTTGCCGTAAAAAGAACATATTATTTCTTCTTTCGCATGTTATTCTCAGTTATGGAGCAAAACATTTTGACACGTGTCATGTGTTAATCCACGTATTTTTATGGAACTTTGACTTGGCAATAGAAGATGCGAATAGTACGGAGGGAAATGCCAATGCAATAATCTTCTTCATCTTCCTCTTCCTCTTCTTTCTTCTCCAATTGTCACTATTCTCTCAAGCTCCCAACAATGGCGACGGAGCTTAACCCTAAGAATTTCCCTGTTCTCTCTTACGTCTTGGGTCGTCTCCCTTCCTTCACCGCCAGATCCTCTTCCACACCCACCTCCTCTTCCGATGTCGATCGACCACCGTCCAAATCCGACCCCTCTTCATCATCAAGCCACTCGATCGAGATCGTGACTCAGATGCCTCACTTGGCTCATCCCGATGTCATCGCTTCCATGACAAACGCAATCGCCGACGTCTCACAGACCCGATCCGTTCTTCGAACCCTAGGACCCAGGCCCGATCACGAGACCGTCGACAAAGCCCGTGCCAGGCTCGCCGAGATCGATGCTTCCTTATCGGAATCTTTCGAGGAGATCGCTCTCTCTCCCAACGACGTCGATGTGGCGGAGAAAGAGCAGAAGAGGAGGGAAGCTGTGGATCAAGAGAAGACCTGGTATAACTCGATCCTCAAGCTTAACGAGCTTCACGAATCGTACGAGAAGCTTTTGAAAGAAGCGGAGGAGAGGCTCGTGAGGATCTACGAGTCCGCCGAGAAGACTGCGGCGGCTGTGGCGGAGGATGAAGCTAAGGAGGTTGAAGTCAATGAAGAGGTTGTGAGTATATTGCAGCAAGCCTCCGCGAATCCATTGGATCGTGTTGATTTGTCTGGTAGGAAATTGAGATTTCTCCCTGAAGCATTTGGTCGGATTCAAGGTCTCCTTGTCCTTAACCTCTACAACAATCAGCTTGAGGTCAGTTTTTTTAAAAATCCAAGTCTCTGGTCAAATCATATATTGGATTCTGATAGGTTCTATGTCAAAGATGTAAACTTTGATCTGAAATGTTGAGTCTTTATTGTATAAGTAAATTCTTAGGTATTGGAATTGGATTTGTTTTATGTGATGATGTCAACAAAATTGATACTTTGAGATAGATTCAGAAGTGTGTTTACTTGTCTTGATTAAAGGTTATGTTGGTCACAGGCCATTCCTGATTCGATTGCTGGATTGCAAAGCCTTCTTGAACTTGACTTGTCCACGAATTTTCTGGAGTCGTTACCGGATTCGATTGGTTTATTGTCCAAACTAAAGATTTTGAATGTCTCTTGTAACAAACTCACAACTTTACCAGATTCCATCTGCCATTGTGGGTAAGTTTATTCTTCAAAGTTCGGTTTTTTTTTATTCCTCTGTTTTGTTAAGCTCTCTGTTTCTTTCTTACTGTTTTTTTTTTTTCGATTTCCAGGTCTCTGGTTGTCTTGGACGCGAGCTACAACAATCTCACCTACTTACCAACCAACATAGGATTCGAGCTAGTGAATCTTGAGAAGCTCTTGATCCATCTTAACAAAATCAGATCCTTACCAACTTCCGTCGGCGAAATGAGATCCTTACGCTACCTCGATGCACACTTCAACGAACTCAACGGTCTCCCAAATTCTTTCGGGATGCTCACAAACCTCGAGTACCTTAACCTGAGCAGTAACTTCAGCGATCTCCAAGATCTCCCTGCTTCATTCGGCGATCTCATAAGCCTCCAAGAACTCGACTTGAGCAACAACCAGATCCATTCTCTTCCAGACGCTTTTGGCACGCTCGTGAACCTGACCAAACTGAGTTTGGACCAAAACCCGCTCGTGGTCCCTCCAGAGGAAGTCGTGAAGCAAGGCGTGGATGCGGTTAAGATGTATATGGGTAAGAGATGGGTCAGTATGTTGGAAGAGGAAGAGAAGATGGCGAATATGAAGGATGAAATGGATCAGACAAACACCGATTGGCTCACTCGAACCACCTCGAAACTGAAAACTTATGTGACCGAGGTCTCTGAGTATCTTGGCTCAAATTCACCAAGAGATCCTTTCCTTGACCAGCAGCTATGAGATGAATCCTAGCTTCGTTTACCAGTTTTGGATGATGTCTGAAGAAACAGTTTCCAAAGAAACCGTCTTCAGTCTTGAGTTTTCCCTCAGCTGCTGCTGCTCTGTTTCGGTATATAGATTTGGCTTTTTTATTGGTATTTCGGTTTTGTCGGTATCGGTCTCAAAACATTTGACTTGATTTATTTGTCCAAGTAATTTTTTTTTCCAATGTTTTTTTGTCGGCAACAATATTTGTTCTGTAACAATTTTGAGAGATTGAAACAGAGTTCCACGCCAAGAGGTGTTTCATTTTCACTTTGATGAATTGCAACAATAATTGGTATATTTTTAATGTGTTTTTTCCTTGGGTAAAACAAAAGTCAAAATGTTTTATATGCAAGTAGATCTGAGATCTGAATACTGCTGATGCAAAAGTTCGCATTGAAAACAAAATAAAACGAAGCCATATAACTTTACTCACTGCATCGTACAGTATCTTTTTCAATTTATAAGATTAATTTCTTAAGCTGTTAGCTTATTGAAAATGTATGGAAGAACATGACTGCGAGAGAATCAAATTTCAAAGCAAGTTTCTGTGTAGGCTTTCGAAGGGGTTGAAAACGACGATTTCAATCTAATTTAATAGTAGACCCAATAATACTATATCAAATATCAAGTAAATGCATCATGTATTATATGTACGATGCAAAATATGAATATTGTAGAGAACGACAAGAATATTTGATTTGATATTCCAGAAAGAGAAGAAAAAAAAGATATATAGAATCATATTACAATAAAAAAATATATGAACGTGCGATACACTTAGTTTTACAATTTCTTTGTTCATACTCTTTACCGTATTTATTCAATCTATAGTCCTAACCAGTCACCTCCTTAAATATAAGATATATAAATAATAATTATATTGCTGATAAATTACAATTTGCAAGTCCATACAAATATTTGCAAACATATATTACAACTGAATGTCTCTCTATTTTGTAGAAAAGTATTTTCGACAACAAAGAATTGTCAATGATTCTATTCGTGAAACAAAATAGAATACAATTCGCTCTTAAATGAGAGAAAAAAAAACTCTAAAATCTCAATGATATAAATATCACTAATCATCCATTAAATAAAACAGTTGAAGATTGCGCCGGCTTTTTAATGCTAATTCCAAAATCTAAGTTTTGGGTTAGTGCCAAAAATGTTTTTCTATAGTTAGAATTTTTTTTTTTTTTTTTTTGGACAAAACTATGGATATCTAAATACGAAATGGCCATATTGAAATCGAGAGATAACGCTATACGTATATCCTATGGTTTTCTACTTTCAGATTTCTATGTCATTGATTTTGGTAGCAATTTTCGCTTTGTGGAAAACGATAGTCTTAAAGTGGGATGTACATATACACCAAAGTGTTCCTCCTTAGTCGTTAATAGATTCGGTTCACATATAATGACTTCCGTTCTGCATGCCACTAATTGATACATCACGATTCACAACTAGTCAAAAGTCTATCTCATCATTTTTATAATGTTTCTATAATTTACAAATAGCTTCGTCAATCAGAAACAGAGTTTAAAAAAAATATTCTCCAATAGGACTAAAAACTCAGGAAACTAAAATATTAGTTAGAGACTAATAATTTTTAAAACAAAATGCTAACTTTCTCTTTCATAATTATAGAAAGCCACTTGGCTTCTTTTTTACTAATTGCCTAACGATTTAGGCTATGTTGATTTCCTGATTTGTTATGTCCAAAATCCAACTTAATGTTTTTCAATTGAGCGACGATCTTGTTAAATTATTTTCATAGTACACCAACTTATCAAGAGTACAGCTTGATGCACCCGTGCTATGAGCCTATGAGTAATATCTTTAATAGAAATTTTAATGATACTATTTTGGGTTAATTTGTGAACCATATTACACTATAAAATAAAGTATATAACCATACTAATTTCATAATTAATTCAATAACCAAAAATTCTAAAATTTGTCTATTTTGCCCTTTAAACAAAATTTATAAATACATAATTATAGTATATTATATCGATTTATATTACCATACTATACTATATATAAAATATTTGTTTTTTATGAATTATGTAGAAGAGAGGAGAAAATAGAAAGGGACGATGGATGGTAGGGGAGAAGACGGAAGGGAAGGAGAAGGGATAAAAATGAAGGAAGAGGAATAAACGAAAAGAGAAAATACAAGAAAAGAGGAAAGAACAAAAAAAGAGGAGAAAAAAAAATAGAAGAGAGATAGTTTTATATATATTGTAGAATATATACAAAATACTATAGTCATTGATTTTTATGGTTATTTTGTATATTTTTTAGTTTTATATGGTTATATGACCTAATTTCTCTACTATTTTTGATCAAAACTATTTTATTACTTTTTTTTTGTTAAAGGGGAAAAAACTATATTATTACTATATATGGAATTGTAACTTTCGAAATATTTTTTTTGATTACGACTTTAGGAGAGGGATGCCACGAAACTGTGAAAGCCAATGTACTTGCTCGATTCAGAATCGTTTGGAACACCATTTTATTTATTGGTTCCAAAATCTAACGTTCATGCACAATTTAACTTAAATGGTATCTTAAAAAAGGGGGAAACTTTTTTTTTATAGAGCTTCATCGTATATCAATTTTTGCTTCTGTTAATTATGCGGATAAATAAAATAACAATCGGGTTTCTGTTAGTACAACAAGAGACGGAATTACACTTAAAAGTGTTCAATCTCACTTTTTGTTTAATTTTAGTTCGGAATACTTTTATATTTATTGAATTTTGTTTTAAGTTTCGATTCGATTAATTAGGAGAGATTTTTTACCTTTTTCAGCTATATTGGTTTGAACTACAATTTTTGGATATAGTAAGAAATATGAACTTGTTGACCAAAAACGCCAAAATACTTTCGGTAAGATTCAAACGGGTCAAACTGAAATACCTCTGCTTGTAATATAACTTGGTGCACAATTCTTCAGTCCAAAAACGAAATTTAATTCAACAATATGATATTTAAGAAACGAGCACATTGAACTCTGTTAGAGGTTGACATGGTCAAAATTTTACTAGCAATTAGAAAATTTGATGGAGTAAAAACGAAAATAGATATTGCAGTTAAGCATATCTTCTTCCCATGTCTTGGTGTGTATATATATAAATACAGACGTAAGCAGAGTGAGAGAGCGTGCAGACACGACAAACACAAAAAGGCCTCCGCACGTTCCGGTCGGTTGGTGACAACGACTAATGTTTCGTTTCTGATTCAAATCTCTTTTAAGTTTTCATCAATCCAAAAGTTCCTCAGATAGACTCCCTCTCTTCACTCAGCTTACTTTCTCCGATCAACATCCCTTCTTTTCTTTTTTCTTTTTTGGCTAGATATGAGGAAACTTTGTCCGAATTATAACCTAGAAGACGGTTTAGAAACCGTACTCGAGGTTCCCATGCCTGAGGAGTTGTTTTCCGTGTCTAAGACAAAACCGGGATGGAATCAAATGAAGTCGTACTGGTCAAAACCCACGGCGACTGCAACCGCGACCGCCACAAACATGACGAGACTTTTCGGTGGCCGTAACGCCGAGATCCAGCTTCTTCTTGGAGTTGTTGGAGCTCCTCTGATCCCTCTCCCTGTTCAGCCTGACCACCACAACGATTACGAGAATCCCATCCATAAAGACATCAAAGACCAACCTCTCGTAATTACATCTTCCTTCTCTGTTTTATACACTTTCACGTTGGCATTTGTAAAACTTTCATTTTAAAACCACCTAGCAATTGATTGAATGGTCGAAATCTTTTAGGGCATCGATTGTTAGTTTGCGTTTCTTTTTGCAAATATGAGGAAAAAAAAATCTTGTATGGGTTTAAAATTTACAAAAGTGTTTTACTATTAAAAAAGTTTTATTTTAAATGATATTTCAGTAAAACAATCCATCCTGTCTCGGTTTGATTTTCGGGATTCCAAGGATGATCCTATCTTTTATTACCGGATTCTGCCATTATGAAGACGTCTTTTTTTTTTTATAAATATCTAATTTCTTGCATTGGACGAAAAAAACGTAGGAAATGTCGATGGCGCAGTACATAGTGAAACAGTACATAGCGGCAGTAGGAGGAGATCGGGCTTTGAACGCGATAGAGAGTATGTACGCGATGGGTAAAGTGAGGATGACGGCATCAGAGTTTTGCACAGGAGAAGGAAGCTTGAACAGCAAAATGGTGAAGGCAAGGAGTATAAAGAGTGGAGGAGGAGAAGTAGGAGGCTTTGTGCTGTGGCAGAAGGGAATAGAGCTGTGGTGTCTTGAGCTCGTCGTCTCAGGCTGCAAAATCAGTGCCGGTAGTGACGCTAAAGTGGCTTGGAGACAAACTCCATGGCATCCTTCTCATGCCTCTCGTGGTCCTCCTAGACCATTGCGCCGTTTCCTCCAGGTAATCCTTTTTTTCTTTCTTTCTTTTCCCTTGTTTATTATTACAAGTGTCGGTTACTTATATATATATATATATATATATATCTTTATAAGAAAACTCATTAATTAATTGTAGGTATTAACAGTTCTTTCCGTTGATATTAACTCTGCGTTGAGTATAACATTCTGCATTGACAATTTTTTTTTGTAAAACTAACAAAATCCTGAAAACGTTATATATCAAGAAGATTATGATGGAATTGGGATAACTCACTCTTGAGTCTTGACAGACAAAAATATATGAACATTTATTTTTTTTAATCTAGTACATAAATACTATTCTTACGTTCGATATTTTTGGTTTGATTTTTGCATTGTGTTTCTTCAAGAAGTATAGGGTTTTGTTAACGGCAATATATGTATTTTTCTACAAAGAAATTATAGGTTATTAGAGAAATGTTAGGAAATAATATTATTTGGAAGTTTTAATGTAGATATTTTTCTTGTGGTTATACTACAATTCTAGTTTCTACTTGATTCATGAGAAGACAAGGATCCTTTATGTCTCATAAAGCATATGCATCCACTGATCATTATGACATTTGAATGATTGAGATTTTCCACTTGAAATTCAATGATACATTCTTCATATATTACTTCATCCTGATTTTTATGATTCCTAGTTGTTAAAGCTTTCTTTTCCTTGATTGTTGGCAAAAAGATCTTTCAATCCTCATCAAACTTCCTCTTGGTTTCAAATTAACTCATCATTTTTACTTTTCCACATTTATTTCTAAAATTGGAAAATAAACTATTGATTTTATATTAAAACTGAATTGATATTTTACAATGTAAACTTATGTATGACTTTTGAGATGTGGCCATAAACTAAAGTGTGATGTGTCTCATGGAACTGCACTTACTTTGTCATATGTACCAAGGTTGTTGGAGCTTGAAAGTTGGAACCTTCTATGGTCCACCACTACTAACACAACAACCTAGATATTACTAAATACTATAGATTATCTCGAAATAGATATTTTTTGTTAACAGAGTAGACTTTTTTCCATTAACAAAGTATACTTACTTGTCGTTGATATTAACGTCTTGTTTAATTGACATGATAATTTAAATCTAAACGTACCGTTGACTAGTTTCAAGTCTTTTTGTTTTTACTTATTTGAAACGTTATTATGGGAAATCATAACAAAAGTAACTGACATAAAATTTCTGAAACAATGAAAAAAAAACAGGGCCTTGATCCAAAATCAACAGCTAATCTGTTTGCAAGATCTGTATGCATGGGAGAGAAGAAGATAAACGACGAAGACTGTTTCATACTCAAACTCGAAGCGGAGCCATCGACGCTTAAGGCGAGAAGTAGTAGCAATGTAGAGATCATACGGCACACTGTGTGGGGATGTTTCAGCCAGAGAACAGGTCTTCTGATTCAACTCGAAGACTCTCACCTTCTAAGAATCAAAGCTCAAGACGATAACAGCATCTTCTGGGAGACAACGATGGAGTCTCTGATCCAAGACTACAGGATCATCGATGGTGTCCAGGTCGCACACGCTGGCAAAAGCTCGGTTTCTCTGTTTCGGTTCGGCGAGAACTCGGATAATCACTCGAGGACTCGGATGGAAGAGACTTGGGAGATTGAGGAAATGGATTTTAACATCAAAGGTTTGTCTATGGATTGTTTCTTGCCGCCTTCTGATCTCAAGAAGGATGAAGATGATGAAGAAGAAGAAGTCGAATGTGGGTTAGCTGCGAATAACGAGAAGCTGCCTATGAAGATCCGGAGCGCTTCTTTGAGGATTAGCTCATCTAAGATCCTAGCCATTGTCGAAGAAGAGGATGAATCAGATGTGACTGAAGAGCTTCAGGAGACGTAAAAGCGTGTCCCGAGTTTCGGTTCTTGTACATAATTCAATCTATTGCAACACCGAAACCATAGGGATTCTGAAACAGAGGAGTTTTTTTCTTTCTATTTTTGGTTTCCTCTGTAAATCAATGAAAACCTTGGGATGCAAATGCAATGTCAAGTGATCAGATTTCTCATGAATGCGATTAGATGAGAGAAGAGACTTCACAACACTGCATTTGCATTAAGCTTTAGAGTCACTAGAGCTATATACATTATCCGCAACCACGAAACAAAATTTACATTTACAAGACAGAAATAAAAACCACAAATCGCATTACGTGCCCTTCTAGGGTCTTGATCTTCCACTCTAAACTTCCATTAAACTTAAAATGTGGAAAAGGGCATTTGACAGAGAGACCTCTAATGGCTTTAACCCTTTTCTTCTTCTTTTTTACCTTCTGAATCTCTTCCTCTTATGGAGAAGAAGTCTGTTTTGCTATGTGGAGGGAACATTGAAATGGAAGAGCCATGAGATCACAAAGGCGAAGACCATACAGGCTAAAAGGAAGTTCAAGAACCGGTGACCTTGCCAGAAGCTTCTAGATTGCGCCAACCGCGGACCGGAGGTTCTCAGAGCTTGATTCACTGTGCCATTTGCTTCGTTCCGAGTTTCCTCAGACTCTGCCTCCACAGTTCCAACAACATTACCCGCAATCGACCCACACACTTCACAGATTCTGCAGCAACCAAACCATGAAATCACAATCACAATGAAAAACCTAACCTTTTGTGTCTCATCTGAAAACAAATGGCCTCAAAACTGAAACTTATATGGATCTAACATTTACCAGAAACCCTGAAAAAAAGTAAACTTTCCTAAACTATGGAAACATAGCCCCACTATCTTAAAGCTTAGATTTTTATTTTCTCCTAATGGTGATGAAAGTCAGAAACCATCATTGTTAAATTTAGAGATACTCGGAAAAGTTTAAACTTTGGGGGGGATTTTCATTTCCTACTTGTTTCCTTTGATCTTGAACCAAGTCTCAGCACAGTGTTTGTGAGCAGCAGCGAGATCGTCTTTGCAAGAACAGCCTAGCTCAATCGGAACACCAGATTCCAGATTCGCTGCATCCAAGCTCATGTGACAAATCCTGCAGTCCTTGTCAGGTTGCGACAAATGTACGGCTTTCTCAGGCATCCCGAGCTCCAGATCTACTTCCACCGAACACATGGACGCATTGGATCTCCTCTCCTCATCCTTCACTATCTCCTCCTCGACTACACCGGAGCTCCGACGAGGCTCCCCGTTGTCGGTGATGAGCTCTTTTCCACCGTCCGCGTCGCCGTTACCGCCACTTGAGCCGTGGATTGCTTTAACAGAGACAAGGGTGTCGAGGTGTGGCTGTACGGACTCCATTTTGGCTGAGACCCTGATGACGAATCCTCATGTACAAAATAAATAATGGGGTTCGAGTGTTAAATGGGACTTGAGATGAGAAAGATGATCAAATGCTTATTTCAGCTACTTGAGTATTAAAAACGAAAGAGGAGAGAGAGAGAGAGAGAAGAAGAGACGTAAATTACATGTATGCCACTGTGGGTTTTGGAGTTATGTGAGAAGAGCAAAATTTAGCAACCGTGAATCTCTCAAGCCATATTTCTTTTTAAACTTACCCCTCTTTCTCTCTTCACCTGGGTCCCCCCTGTGATGTTTATTGCTATACTATCTACTAATAAATCTCATATCTATTATGCTTAATCTTTTAACTCTCTCTGAAACGCTGCAACAAAATGGAAAAATGTTTTTATTTAGCAGTCCTCGCGGTAAAGTCCTGGTTCAAAATCATAATGAGAGAATGATCATAGACAAGCAAGCTTTGCACCAGTTTTTATGAACTCTCTCAGCAAAGTTGTTTTTTTATTCCGCATTACCTGAAACATTTTCCATGATCAAACGTTAATTAAGCTAACCGTGATTAGACGATTCAGCAAGTCAAAGGGCTCCTTCGCTTCATTGATACACATACGTCTCTGAACTCTTTGATTTTTCAATAAAAGTCAAGACAAATAGAAACTGAATATTTTGAATGCTAATATTAAGGGAAATACACATATACTAACGCACCAAAATCATGAAACTGAAAAGAAAAGAAAAAAAAAGAGTATTTTTACTTAAAAACAGGAGAGAGAGAGAGAGAGAGAGGTGATGTTGCAGCTTTAGCCCAAGATCTCTCCTTTTGCAGCTTCTCATCATCCTTCTCCAAATCCAGCTTCTTTCTCTTTCCTGGGGTTTCTCCGTTTCCAGCATTTTCCTTGTGTTGTTCTCTTCGTGACCTAATCCCCTCTTAGCCATCGACGGAGTAACATCATCATCACGCGTCAAAATCTGTGTCCGAGCAATCTCCTGTCCAGATCGATTTCCACCAATCCAAACCCCAAAATTTCGGAAGGGTTTTAGATTTATCCCAAATTGCTTCGATCAGATCGGCCCAGGAAAGAATAAGAGAGAAGAAGGAAGCGATGAAGATGGCGATGAATGGCCGGTTTTTCACAATCGGGCTCGTCACGTCTTGGTACTCATCCAACATCGGAGTTCTGCTGCTGAACAAGTACTTGCTCAGCAATTACGGCTTCAAGTACCCGATCTTCCTCACCATGTGCCACATGACGGCGTGTTCGCTTCTCAGCTACATCGCCATTGCTTGGTTGAAGATGGTTCCGATGCAGACGATCCGATCCCGGGTCCAGTTCTTTAAGATCTCAGCTCTAAGCCTCGTCTTCTGTGTGTCGGTGGTCTTCGGAAACATCTCCCTCCGCTTTCTCCCCGTTTCCTTCAACCAAGCCATTGGCGCCACGACGCCGTTTTTCACAGCCGTCTTCGCTTACCTCATGACCCTCAAGAGAGAGGCTTGGTTGACTTACTTCACTCTCGTCCCCGTCGTCACTGGTGTTGTTATTGCCAGCGGGGTAACTTTCACTTCCTCAAACCCTAAACTCGATTCCTTAAGTCTGCATTTCGATGTTCTGATCCAATTCGAAGGTTTTTGATGAGATTGAGATGATTATATGCATTGTTACTACACCTTGTGAATTCTGATGCTTTATTTTAAAATTTCCCTCATTCTCTCTTCGCCATATGAAATTTCTATTACTAGTTCTATGTGTGCCGTCTTCTTATATATATCTGTGTTTGATTCCCGGTATGGTTTTTCTTGAATTCTGTGTTTCGTCAGGGTGAGCCAAGCTTTCACCTGTTTGGATTCCTTATGTGCATCGCAGCCACAGCAGCAAGAGCTCTTAAATCAGTGCTTCAAGGAATTCTGCTTTCTTCTGAAGGGTAAGAAATGGCTGCATTGTGTCACGGTGGCCTTGTTATAGTTCTATATTGCCAAATGTTGGAATATGTTAAAGACTGTTGCTGAAAAGGATCTAAAATTTTTATTGAAGGGAAAAGCTCAACTCCATGAATCTCCTCCTTTACATGGCTCCAATAGCTGTCGTTTTCCTTCTGCCCGCTACTCTTATCATGGAGAAAAATGTTGTCGGCATTACTATCGCGCTTGCAAGAGATGATTTCAGAATCGTTTGGTATCTGCTATTCAATTCAGCGCTCGCCTACTTCGTGAACTTGACAAATTTCTTAGTCACGAAACACACTAGCGCCCTCACTCTGCAGGTAACATACAATTCATTACATTCCTAATGTGCATTCTCGTTTATGGTATGTGGGTTTTGGTTGGAACAAAGTCAGTCCAAGTAAGCGTATGATAATGCTCGATGTTCCATGCATTTTCCACATGATTTTTGAGATGTGATGCAATTTGACTCATGAATCCTCTTTGGGCTTGCTCTGTGACAGGTGCTAGGAAACGCCAAAGGAGCAGTAGCAGTGGTGGTCTCTATTCTAATATTCAAGAATCCGGTTTCAGTGACCGGAATGCTCGGTTACTCCCTAACTGTCTGTGGAGTTATCCTCTACAGCGAAGCCAAGAAACGGAGCAAATAAGAACACCAAACACACCATTCTTCTTCTTCATTTTATATATATATATATATATATATGTTTTATATTTTTGTCCCCTATGGAAACACAGGCAAGTAGTCTCTTTTGCTGTTACCAAAATCTTACACAGCATATATCTCTGACTCTTGTCTTAACGAAAAGCTGGTCCAAAAGCATGGATTTTTTTAGAAGAAATGCGAGAAGCAAAAGCAACAGAGAGATGAGTGAGTACCAAAGGGCAAGGATTTAGAGGAGACTAACTATTATTAAGAGTAACTTTTTCTTGTTTCCGTCATAGGTTGTTTTGTTCTATAGCTTTTGTTTCTTCGATTCAATATTTACAACACAGGATTAATTAATTGAAAGAGAAAAAGTTTCCCTATTTCTATTATAAAAATAAAATAATCCCATCCCCTTTTCGTTTTGATGTTGTTCTTCGAGAATCCAATATTATTTGATGCTATCTCAAGGTGAGAGGTTCCCTTGGTTGTTCAGAACACAGAGCTGTGTTGTGGCAGAGAATCAGAATTGGAAGTGATAACAGTTGCAGAAGAAAGAGCTAAAAGAGAGAAGGAGACAAGAGAGAGAGTTAATATTTTTTTTTACTTAAGAGAGAACAGTCTTGTCTTTGTCTTAGTCTTGTCAAATCACTCGCTTCGTTTTCTTTTTCTGGAAACGGTAGCCATTATCATATCAAGCTGTAGATCCGACTTCACTGCAGCACATCTCATTTTCATGATCCAATCCACACATTACTAAGTAGGCCAACCCAAATACTATTATATTTCTGAAACTTTCAGTATCATTGACCAAAATGCTTAAAAGCCTCTCTCTCTCTCTCTCTAGGACTTTTAATCACCCGGTTAAAACATGGGAACTTAGGACACTGAGTACGGTTTGAAATTGGCATCCTTTATTTTTTGTAAGAGGAATACTCTTCCCCAAAATCCCAAGACCGAAACAACAGTTGAGTTAAATGTGATGGAGAAGAGTCCACGTACTCTTGGCCCCCAAACTTGTAATGTGACAATAACTCTCGACAGGGAAAAAGCAAGAGTACATTTCAGGAGAGAGAGGAAAACGCCAAATGGCAAATGGGGTTGGAGAGAGAGAGATGAATGTAGAGGAAACGAAAAGGGAAGAGATGTTGTTGGTGTTAATTGGTTTAATGATACCTACTTTCAAGTCAGACAAAGAAGAAAAAAGTTGGGAGCTTGGAGATTGTGACAATTGAATTCTATAAACTCTTTCAAGTACTCGAGTGGGCTTTTCATGGAGAAACAGGAGGAGAAAAAGATATTGAAAAGGTAGGTCTCTTTTGCAGGAGAGGATGATGGTGATGAGGACGAGGTTGTACACACACGACGTGTCTACGCTTTTATCCTAAAGACATTCATTATTTCATTCTATTAACCAATGGACTCACTGTGACACTCATTATTCATTATATAATTTTATACTTCAAATATTTGAATTATTTGATTGATATTTTCTTTTTCCCACATTCACAGGTCAAATAATAGTATAGAGTTAGATGCTGCAACTGTGATTATGCTATCTTGACATATCTAGTGACTCTCTGCAGCTCTAACTCTGCTAATTTCAAAGATTCTAATGTGGGCCACAGTTTCTTGGGTACTGATTTGTCAGCAATTTTGGATTTTATAGTCTGCTTTGAAATTGATTTGTTTCTTTCCCAAGAGTTGGTTTGGTATGCCCATATTCTTATGGAACTCCATTCCTCATTTCTCCTACAACCGGATAATGGTCAAAAGAAAAATCTTGTTTCTGTTTCCAAAGGAGGTTCCAAAAGAAAAAAAAAACTTTTTACCTTAAAATGTGTAAAAAGCGGAACCTCTTAAACCTTTTGGAATTGGTTATTTTTTAAAAATATTTTCACTCTTTTTTTTTTGTCAAACTTTTGAAAATATTATAAAGTCGATCATGTTATTTACGCATACAATAATTTCGAGGATAATGGTCTTAGTAACGTTATGCAGATGAAATCATGGCAAGGGCTAGTAGACAAAATAAATTCGTTTTATTATTTGAAAACGTCATTTTCTATTGTTAGTAATAAGATGGACTATACATGAGATAACACAGGCAAAGGCCACATGGAATGTTCTCCTTTATGTGTCCCTTGCTGGTGAGATTTTAATTATTTATCTCTCTATTACCAATTTCTTTCGACATGTAATTAACAAACGGGCAACTTATTCAACCATTTCATTTTCTATGATAGTAAGTCCAAACATAACAATATAAAATGTAAATGACAACAAATATTATTTTACGCGTAGCTCGTGATGCAAATGTACTGTTTGGGATAATATTAAGTTAAGAGTCATGTGACATATGCGTTTGCCTCTATATGGTGGTGACTTCCTCTTTTATGGAATTCTTGCAAATTCTTGAATAAAGTTTTGGTTGGTGTTTTTCTCTTATGATTTAATAGTTTCATTTTCTAGTTTTTATATGATTTTATTATTAACAGTATAGGATCCAGTATTGTCATGTAAATTCCAATCGACAAATAGGATAGATAACTGATCTAGCAATAAAACAAAACTATTACATCGTAAAAAAAATTGCTTCTTTTGATTTTGGTTCATCAATCATCCAAAGTACACCGATGACTCTAAATGTATAAACCAAACTTGTTCTACTTTATTGTTGTATGTACTAATTGCTGCAAACGTAGTATTTTTCATTTTCAACATCTAGTTAATATAGGTGTGGGCAACACAAGTGGTTGTTACGAAGAAGGAACAAGATCAGCTGTCGAAAAACCACAAAATGAATAATAAAACAATAAATAAAATTTGAGAATGTTGGAACTTGGAAATGCTGAGTTGTAAAGTCATGGCAAGATATATCATTAATTCAAATATTAAAAGTAGTCAAAGTATATCATCTTATTATTAATTGTATACCCAATTGGTTGTATCAATCAAAAACTGACTTTGCGAGTGAATGATCTGCCATCTTCTTCAGTTTGGAAATGAGTTCTCTACTTGCACGTTACGACTTCATTGCTTTCTTGGTAACAAAAATACAACACTCCATAACAAAAATAAAAAGTAACTCAATTTTCTTAACATTTACACACACACACAAATAAAGTAACTAAAATCGCGTTTTCCCAAAATCACCTAGAAAGAGTCTCTCTACAAAAACTATGAGTTAAATTTTAGAATTAGACATTTCTTGGTTTTTACATAAAGACACACGAGTAGTGTTGTTACTTGGAAAGTTTTCGAAAGTCTGGAACCTATCGAGATAATCGAACCGTATATAAGGTTTCATATGGAATTAAATTACCAGATAAACAATTACGTAAAGTGAGGTATGTGTGGATGGATCATGAGTTGTGTCAGAGCATTGTCTTATGTCAAATTTGATTTGGAACCTTCTTTTGAGGACCCAAAACCAAAATAAAAAAGGCTTCTGAATATTTGATGCTCTAAAATATAAAAGACTGGAGTCCACTTTACCATTATTATATTTAGAAAATCGCACAAAGCTAAAATCAGTGTCATTGATTATTCTCTTAACAATAATAAACTCAATATTAAAATGTTTTGCAAGCACATAATGTTTCAGTGTTATGAGTTTCAATGTACATAAAAAGACAATAGGCACCATTTCTTTTTAATATACTTATGCAAATTAAATAAACTCAGTTATCAGATCCCCAATACTCGCCCTTTATTACACCAAGACATTTCACTTTCCTCATAATTTCCACAAAATTAAAAATACAAAAAGAAAGGATTTGTGTTTCCTCGCACTCGTGCATCTACAATACTTAACTCCAAAAATCGGTATTTTTATAATTTTCGTCCTACCTGCCATTGTTGCCTTGCCTCCTCTCTTTTCTATGACTAAGAGTAAATTAATTGAGGACCAAAATGGTATACAACCAAACTAAAACGGCCAAAAATGTTATAAAACAAAACTACAAGGATCTAAAGAAATATTTTTAAACAATGCTGGAAGCGGAGGCACGGTGGGACCAAGCGAGCCATCTCGAAATCACCGCCGTGGCTTGTCGTTGTCTCGGCTCTCCTCCCCACCTCCTCCGTCTCTCAATGCTCGTCAACTCCGACACGCTTCTCCCGTTAATTACGTCTCTGCCATCCTCCGCCGCAGCTAGTTTCCGGCAATCACTGAGAATCATCTCTGACCGTAGGTAAAGAAGATCCGACGGCCTCACCTCGCTCCATCTCTGGTCTCGATTCCCGCCGGAGATTATTATCCGGTGCTCGAATCTCGCCTCGAAGCTCTCCCGATTCGGAACCAATAACAATCCGTCTTTCCTCTGTGGACGGTCTAAACATCCTACGGTAACGGCTTCCGTTTTCTCCTCGCCGCCGTTGGTTCTCAAAGAACTATCGAGCGATCGCCTGAACGAAATCGGATTCGATTTAGAAGACGAAGATGTTCTGGTCTCGTTGAGTCGACTCGCTCGTTCCCCAGCCGATGAATGCCGACCGGAGATCCGACTCACGGAATCGAACCGAGTCGAACCGGTATTACTGTTACTGTTTGATTCTTCTTGGCGGTTAGAGAAACGGAGCTCGAACCAGGAGTTACAATCACCGATCAAGAGGATATCTTCCGGGTCGACCCGGTAACGGCAGAGCGGGCAAGTGGAGTGAGCGTCGAGCCACGTGTCAACACACTCCACGTGGAAGGCGTGTTTGCATTTCGGCAATAATCTCAAAACTTCCGTCGGTTCGAACCGAGCGAGACAAACGGCGCACTCTAGCCCGTCCTTGTGACCGCTCAGTGCACCAAACCGGAAAACCGGTAACGATTCGATCACAGACCGGTCTATACCGGAGTTTTTCCTCCCTCCTCCTCCACCGCCATATCCTCCTCCGTACCTAGAGATTGCGAAACGCTGCGGGTGATTGACGTAAACGCTGCCGTTTCTTCGTTTGCAGTGTTTGACGTAGAGGAGGAGCAAGAAAGTGAGCGAGAAAATAGCCGTGAGGACAGCGATGACGACGGCGATTCCTGGCATGAAAGGGGAAGTGATGTTATGCCGTTGCGGTGGAGGAAGTGGCGGAAGAGGCGGCTGAGTGACAGGGTTCATAATAAAAACCGACGTGGTATTGTAACGATCTTTGTCTGCGAGTGAGACATTGAGGAAGAGAGAGAGAAGAGTGAAGAGAACTGGCAAGGAAGACGAAGAATCAGCCATGGCGAAATGTAAATGCTTCTGGTTGGAAGAGAAGGTCTTTCGACTTAAAAAATGGTTTTTATTTGTTTCCTTTTTTTAAGTGCCTGAAAATAAGGGAGACACTTTTCTGAGTGTGAGATAGAGAGATAGAGAGATAGAGAGATATTTTAAAGGGAAAAAAAAAACAAAGTGAATAAGGACAAAGAGGATGCATTAAAAACATGACTCCTTTCATCTTTCACGCCTTAATTTGATTTTAAGACTAACCAATATATTTTCTTTTTATTTTAACTCTGTTTATCATTTAATTGAATAAATTGACATTCAATAGGGACAATGATGGAGTACTATTTAATTAATTTTATAAAGGCTAGGAACTAGCGAGGGTTGATTTCATGCAGTGCAATTGCAGTGACTGCATGTGTTTTAACTACCTACTTTTAATAAAGATACAAATTTTATAAGTAAATAGAATTTTAAAACAGTTTCAACTTAATTTCAAATGTCTAATTTCACTGAATACTGCAGTTTTGGAGTTTTTCACACACAAATTAATCCAATGGCTAGCACCCAGCCGACGAAGCCTCTATTACAAATTTACAGTTATATCTTAGTCAACATATCATCATGGTCGCGAAGTGTTGATATCTTCTTAATTTTAACTTTTAACTAAACTTCTGAAATTAGTATGCCTCTTGTATATATAATAAAATATTAATATTCTAGTCACGATGCACGTAATGTTTAGAGAGTGCAATCACATTTAAACCGTTCATATAAAATCTCCATTTGTTGTTTGTAGAATCTCAACTTTTCTCACACTTTCAAGTCCCTTCTTTACTTTCTTTTGTAAAAGTCATCTATCATCTATACCTTAATATAATACAATATTATAACAATCTTTTGAAGGTGAGATTTCCAGTTTAATGTGTACCAACCAGCTTTGAAACAAACTTGTGACGTATATTTTGTTCTTGATCGGTTGCATGATTGTTATTTATCAAACTATATTCCTTTCTCAAGCTTGAGATGCTTATCTCATATAAAAACTCTTGAGACTGTTTCCAGTTGTCCAAATTCCAATTTTAAATGCATAATCGAAAACATTTAGCTTTATTCCTATTTATTATGTCTCTTTTCATATTTGCGGTTTCCATAAAACTCTTCAAGAGTTCTTTACATCTCCTCTTAAAGCATGTAAAAGACCACAAATATAGTTTTGATCTTAATTTTTCCATGTAATCACTTTTTGCCGTTTTACGTCAAATCACCCCGCGTTTGCGCCATTTGAAGGCAATCAATTCTCATTAGAAGGCAGTTTGTTCCCTAGTGACGAGGAGCAAGTGATATAATATACTTTGGGAGCTGGAGCTATAGCTAGCTGCTGCTGCACCATCATTATTTCAAAAATTTTATGTAATCTTTTGGACCAGTTTCCATTATTTTTGTATCTGGATTTATACGCTACGGCCCATTAAAAGCAAATGTTATTTATTATTTGGTCGGCACCATTCAAAGCAAATCTTATTGCTATTAATTTTGGGTTATCGTGGTCACCCTCCCCTACCGATAATAGTATATACGTTTATACTCAAGTCACCTAAATATTCGATTGGAACAATAATCACCTTCATATTTCTTTCCTATGCAGTATTGAGCTTGATTATATAAATGGGGGAAGAAAAAAAAAGAAGACTGGCCCTATTTATATAATTTTGGGCTGGGCCAAGAGTTATAGAAAATAATTTATAATATATGGTCCCGATTTTCTTAATCAGCTCATAAATAGAGTCAGACAAGAACCGGTTTAGTTGATAGATCCATAGCTCGTGACCCATATAATGAGGCCCAGCCCACTATTCTCAAATACTTTTCAACTCCGTATATTGCGGCGCAAACGCAAAAACCAGAGTAAGCGAGGAAAAATCGCGATCGGCTTCTGCAGCCATCACCCGTCACAGTGTGACCACTCAATCGCTGTCGCGTTTCTATCGGATTCCCGGTAACGCTTTCCGTTTCTGTTTCTGCCGCGTCCCGGTTACCGCCGGTGAGGTCTTCAACCATTATTGTAATTCTTCAATCCTTCGATTGCTCGTATTAGGGTTTCCTGCTTACTCCTCCATTTTCGCATTCGGTAGTTGGGATTTCGAGGTCGGGGGGAACTCGTGGGTCGCAAAATCATACTTTCACCTAAAACACGTTTCATGCAATTGCGTCTGCGTTTTCGGATTGAGTTAGTCATCCATAGACTTATAAGAGCTCTAGAATCATCAATTGAGAATTGTTGATGTAATCAGTTTTCGAGCTTTAACACTTTATATGATTTGTGTTGAATTTCTAGAATTCTTCAGGTTTAAGGTTTTATGCAAATCTAAGACTGTTTATAAAATGGATGTTGTGTGTGTTCTCAATGTCTATATCTCTCTCTGCTCTTTTGTTGACACTTATAACGATTGAAGAAATGTACACTTGTTTATGTAATGTAATCGACTTATTGTTAGGAGTTAGAGAAAGCAAATTGCAAAAACAAAATGAGGCCAAAAGCAGTGTGGGAGCCTGAATACCACAGAGTATTTCTTGATCTGTGCGTGGAGCAGACGTTGGTAGGGAACAAACCAGGGACACATTTCTCGAAAGAAGGTTGGAGGAATATACTCAAGTCGTTTCAGGAGCAGACAGGCGCCATGTACGACAGGATGCAGCTTAAGAACCATTGGGATACAATGAGCAGGCAGTGGAAGATATGGTGCAGACTTGTTCAGTCTAGTTATATGAACTGGGATCCTGATACCAACACTTTTGGTGCCGGTGACGAAGAATGGGCACACTATTTACAGGTTACCATATCAATCCCGTTGTTCAAATTATCCTTTTTTTGGTGTTTTTAGAGGCTATAAAGGTTATTGCTTTCTTTTTTTATGTCACAGGAGAATCCTGATGCAGGGCAGTATCGGTTGAGTGTTCCGCAAGATCTCGAGAAGCTGGAGATTATCTTTGCGGGTTGTAATGTAGAGGTCAAAGATGATGAAGTTTCGGGTGTAAGGAAGAGGGGGAGAAGTTTTCAAGATGTAGAAGAAGAAGAAGATGAAGATAACCGAAGCATGTGTAGTTCGTCTAACCCTCAAACGAAAGGATATTGGTCTCCGTCTACGCATGAGCTGTTTCTTGATTTGTTGGTCCAAGAGACTTTGAAAGGAAACAGACCCGACACACATTTCAACAAGGAAGGGTGGAAGACGATTCTTGAGACGATCAATGAAAAAACAGGCCTTGGCTATACAAGAGCGCAGCTGAAAAACCATTGGGACTGCACGAGGAAAACTTGGAAGATATGGTGTCAGCTCGTAGGAACAAACATCATGAAATGGGATCCGGAAACTGGTAGTTTCGGTGCGACAGAAGAGGAATGGCGAATCTATATTCGGGTATGCTAAATTGCTAATGCTAGTGTCTTGGATTTTCATTTTGAGCAAGAACAAAAAAAACGAAAGAAGAGATGTTTTGTCTTTGGTTTTATAATCACAGGAAAACCCAAGAGCAGGACAGTTCCGCCACAAGGAAGTTCCTCATGCTGATAAACTCTCCGTCATCTTCAGTGGAGTTATAGAACCTGGAGAGACATACACTCCTCCTTCTCGCAAGAAACCCCTCCGCGATCGTTCTGAGTCACCGCATTTGCAGCAATATGAAGCGAATTGGATAGACAACAAAGCCGCTCAACAGCTGGATGTTGTCAAGTTTATGAGCAGCGACGGGATGTTGCAGGAGAGTCCGGTATGCGTGGAGATAGAATCGGCGAAGCGCAAGTACTGTATTGGAGAATGCATAGAAAGCCTCGACGCGATGAAAGAGGTGGAAGAAGGGAGTGATCTCTACTTGTTTGCGTTGGATCAGTTTCTGAAGAGAGAGTACAGAGAGATCTTCTTAGAGCTGAAGAAGCCCAGTTTGAGGATAGCGTGGCTGCAGAGACTTCAATCTGCTGCGCGTTCTATTACTACAAGTTAGCTTCTCTTAAACTCTACTTTTGTCCGATTTGATTGAATCTATGGAGAAAATGGACAGATGATCATGTTGATGAACTAAAACCTCTTTGGAAATGGAACCAATTTGAACTATTCCATCTTTTTTCACCATAATACTTTTAACCATAATGGCCCTTGGTTAATATAATTATACATATAGTTGACGCGCCATTTTTATTTTATTAAATCTAATTTAGTCAAACCCCACTTCTCAGCAAATATCTCCAACCATAGAATTTAACTTTTCACTCATTCGGAGAAGAGATGCTTTAATTTTTTTTTTGTATTCTATACATATTTCCATATATAGTGTGGATTGTGCTTTATTAATTTAACCCCAAAAAAGTGACAGCGTTTGTAAAAATGAAAAATTGGTGATACTTTCATTTGATAAAACAAACTAAAAGGGAAATTGCATTCTCGTAAATAAAGCAAAACATTAAACAAGTTTATAATCTTCCATATATATATATACATTTCACATTCTTGTGGACGATTATGATTCGTTTTCGTTGCCGGAGGAAATTCAAAATGAAGGAAGGAATCCACCGACACTACAGTGTGAAGTGAAAGAGGCTTTTGAATAAATAAAAATAAAGTAAAAATAAAGCGAGTCACGACAAAAAACTATACCAAAGTGAGGAAAAAAAGGGATTGGTCGCATCCCAATTATTAATAAACCACTTTTAGGTTTTAGGGGCAGCAGACCCACTCGCAAAAAGAAAAACTTTTCCCACGTTATTACAAAAATCAAAAATATATGAAAATTCGCGCCAGGTAGGGGTCGAACCTACGGCCTTCTGCTTAGGAAACAGACGCTCTATCCACTGAGCTACAGGCGCTTACATGACAGATGTTGTGAGATACTACTAATTATATTAATAAAGTTGACCTCGATGCTCTTTCTTCATCCCACTTTTCTCCTTAAACTTTTTTTTTAAAGTTGATCAGATTTTTGTATTTTTGTTTCTATGGCCGTCGGCGGCTTATGATGTTTTTAAAAATAGTTCTTATAAAAAGTTAAATTCTCCTTTAAAAAATTTATGCGTAACACATAAAAAGACAAAAGAATATAGTGACGTTATGTTTTGTTGTAGATGTTATCTCGAATAACCTTTAATTAAGCGATATATATATATATATAACAAGTTTACAGCAATCACGTTGATTTATTTGTACATTTAACTAAACTTTTTTTTGTTTCTCTTGTTTGGATTTTGTTAAGATGTAAGTTAACTTTATTATAGTTTTGACAATAACCAGCGCGTGGTAGCACGATGATCTCGACTTTCGGACGAAAAGCATAAAATTTGCTACAAAGTTCAAAATCGATTCCACCTTTGCAAATATCTCGCGTGGCTCGTTTAGTAATTTTGGGTGTAAGACTTGCTCATTATCGAAATTATAATTGTTAAAAGAATTAAAAATTGTTTGACAAAGCCGACGTGCAACATGCAAAACTATCATTAAATACGAATAACTTTATGTGTTGTCGAATTGTTTTGAAACATTACATAAAATCTACCTAACAAAAAAAAAATTGTGAATTCTAGTGGTCATCAAAATTTTGGAAGGATGTGGAATGTTGGCCTTGTAAGGAATTATTTATTGTTAATTTGATTATTAGAGTCAATTTATAGGTTGTTCTAAAGAATAAAATGAAGTCAAGTAGGAGAGTGGAGTGGTTCCATTGGCTAAACTTTACACACACACACACTCTCTCTCTCTCTCTCTTTTTCTTTTCGACCATTCTCTCTCTTTGTCCATCTCTATAATACAAACCACAGAAACCTTCTTCTTCTTGCCTATTTGCTTCACCATCTCTCTTTCTCTCTCACACACATCTCTCCTCTCCAATTTCTGCAGTCTTTCCTACTGTTTCTCTCTGTCAACCCACTTTTGCAGATTCTTAAGGATTCTTCAAAGTTTAAGTCTTTTCCAGGATTCTTCAATTTATGCTTAAATCTTTCATCAAATCAGGTTCTTTGATTACCTCACTACACTATTCGTTATTTTGATCCCTCTTTCGATTTTTATTTTACCATTCGATTCCTATAAGAAGCTTCCTTCAGTCTTTCACTAAACCCACAAAACCAAGTTTCAAGCTTCCAAAAATTAGAAAAAAAATAATGCTAAGTACTTTATAGGTGAAACTTTTCTCTCGTATGCCTTTGAACGATGGAGACTCTGCATCCACTTCTCTCTCACGTGCCCACTTCTGACCACCGGTTCGTAGTTCAAGAGATGATGAGCTTGCAAAGCTCGAGCTGGACTAAAGAAGAGAACAAGAAGTTCGAGCGAGCACTCGCTGTGTACACTGATGACACGCCTGACCGCTGGTACAAAGTTGCTGCTATGATCCCTGGCAAAACCATCTCGGATGTCATGAGGCAATACTCCAAGCTTGAAGAAGACCTCTTCGACATCGAAGCAGGACTTGTCCCGCTCCCGGGTTACCCTTCGGCTACTCCATGTGGCTTCGATCAGCTCGTGGGTCCTCGTGACTTTGATTTGTATCACAAACAGCCTAATGGATCCAGAGGATTTGATCAAGAGCGGAGGAAAGGAGTTCCCTGGACGGAGGAAGAACACAGGTGAAGAATCTCTGAGATCATATGTATACTAGTTTCTTGCTACACAAGTCACACTTTTTGGTCTCTTGAGATGCAAGTTACTCCTCTGTTTTGTTCGTTTACCTTTTTATTCTCTGCAGACGATTCTTGTTAGGCCTGCTCAAGCATGGGAAAGGAGACTGGAGAAACATATCGAGGAACTTTGTGGGATCGAAAACACCAACTCAGGTTGCAAGCCATGCCCAGAAATACTATCAGAGACAGCTCTCTGGCGCAAAAGACAAACGCAGACCTAGCATTCACGACATCACCACCGTCAATATTCTCAACAAAAATCCCAACCGTCCGTCGTCTTATCATGACTGCTTCCTCCAACAACCGGTGGAGCCGAAACCAGGGCTCACCGACAAGGATAATGCAGAGGAGGGAGTGATGTTTCTTGGTCAGAATCTTTCCTCGGTCTTGTATCCGTACGATCCTGCCGTTAAGTTCGCTGGTGCAAATGTTTATGGCGACGGAGCTTACTGTATCACCAGATCCCGAAACTCAGCGTTCTAATGAGGCGAGAAAAGGTTGAATTTTGAAATTGTAACTGTTGCTTTTAATTAACAAAAATCCCCAGAGTTATGTTACATGATTAGATGAATGTGACTGTGAATATGGAATAAACATAGACTAGCTATTATATATGTTCATGATCTTTTTGCCACAACGATAATGGTGAAGAGGACCATTTGGTGAGTTTAAATTATGGCTTAACTTGCAACTTTAACGGTCAGTCATTTTCTATGAATTTTTCGTCTCTAACCCAAAACATATGATTTATTCTTTAACAATTTGGGTGACGAGTTCTATCACTTATTCAGGTTTTGATAACATGATCTTGTCATTTTTTCCGTATTTACATACAGAGATACTTTGTTTTTTCCAAAGGTAAAATTAAACCTGGTGATTACTTCTTTGCATTTCTTGTAGATCGCAAAAATTAGAGACGAAATCTGCTTTATAATTTTAAATAATTAAATCGATAAGATTTTTTTCCTTCAAACAAGAGAAGCCTTTTTCAAGCTACCAAAACCTACATCTAAATTAAGCAGATATTTCATGGCATTCAAGAGATTGATTCTACTTTGTGTATATGCTTTGTTTGAGACGTTTATATATAAGTCTAGTTTCCCATTTTGTGAATATTGTTTTTCTCTAGTAGTCCCTAATATAACCTCTACATGAAGAGTATATACATTAAGCTTCTTTTAACCTTAATCGATACTTATTTGGACTCTTTTGGCAATTGCGGTATTGTAAAGCACAGAAGACATTCCTTAACACTCTGGTAAAGTTACATCAAACGTCGAAATGCGAAGATATGAGATTCACCTGAAATTAGTTGGTCAAAAAACTAATATGTGTTTACCAGTAAATTTTTAATAAAGAATAAATAAAAGTAAGGGTTGTGTATATTGTATGAGTGGCAAAGCTGACCACTATGTCGTTAAGTGTATATTAGAAGCTGAGTCTGCATTCCACTTTCGGCACAAAGAATCACATTCTTTTTCACATATTATTACACACCAACCCTTTGCTCCCTGAAAATTGTTAAGATTATAAATACTAAAGGTGTCTTTAGATATAGCAGTTTAGTTAGTACAAGTGAAGCATTTGTATAAGCTCCGATGTTCAAAATGTATTTTAGTTGATAATATATAATGTTCACCTTTTTGTGAAAATAAAGAGAAACTTATTATTTTTATTTGGAATCTTTTAATTTCCAATCAAAACATTTGAGAATAAATATTGGTAAGCCATGTCCATGTAATAAGCCGAAACTTTAAATATTTAAGCAATGTCCATGTTGAGTAATTGTGAATAAATGACAGTGAGGAGATTTCGACACATTAAGCTGAAACTTTGTATCATCTTAAACCCCCTAAAAAGGGCAAAAGCCCTAACCAACTTGAAAGATAAAACGAAAAGACTCTTTAACACACTCTCTCGAGTCAGAACAACTGAGAAAACCAACACTCGGAATATCAAACTAAACTCGTTCGTCCAAACCCCAGACTTGTCCCTTCTTTTGGGGGAAGAGAACACACAACAGCCGCCTTCATCGCGGGGCAATGATGACTAAGTAAAATCACGACAAAACCTCATCAGTTCAGCGTTTTTAACTGGTGGCAGGTATGGCCACAGGCTTTGAGTCCTCCGCTTTTTCATGTTCCTTGTTCAGCAACTGCAACATAGCATCCCAGGATTACGTCACAAACAGACAAACTTCAACCACAAAGTCAGCATCAAAAGGCCAGCACATTTAAGATATACCGAGCCTCCCATCTAAACCATTGGTATTATGTTTCCTATTCTCGTAAGCACATAAGAGAGCGAGAGAGTTAAGATCTAAACCTTGTTGTTGATCAAGTTGTGGAGCGCGATTACACTTCGGATGAGGGATGATAGATAGATAACCAGCATCATGTCATTTGTTTTCACTGCACATATGAAATGTATTAAGACATACTGAAGCAATTGTTTCAAGAAAGCAGCCCAGTATAGATAAATAAATAAAATTTGACGGCAGAACCTCACCTGAGAAGGCCTTGACCAACTCGTTCACATTCAGGTTAGGAAGCAAGTTGAAAACGTCCTACGGATTTTAAGAATTATATTTCATTAGATGAAATTCCACCAATAGTAGAGACAGTGGCTAGAAAATTGCAAAGAGCACACAGATATGTCCAGAATTTTCTGAACCATAATTTGTAGAACCAGAACACTTATGAAAGAATGTAAGTTCTAACCTGCAGATGATATAAAATCTCATGGTTTAGAGGGAGCTTTCCTTCGATTACAAGGTCAAGGTAGCTCCGGATCTCCCTGAGACGTGCATCCAGCCCCTTCAACGCAGTAAGTTTGGCAGTGACCTGGTGCAATTCAAAGACACATGATACCAGTCCTCAAGGAACGGTAGTGCAACGCTCAAGTATTGTAAAGACAAGAACCTCAGTCGCCAGGGTACTGATTGTTGTGTCTTTCACATCCCTGAGCAAATGTTCCACGCCTGCACAAGAAGATAATGAAGCAGGCAAGTGTCAGAAGACCTTCCTCAAAAACAATCACAAAAGACATTTTTTAGAGACCAAACCGAGGTGATCAAATCATTAAAGGATTTGTTTTCACGTTTTGGACATACCGATTTCCTCGACTTCATGAGCAGCAATTTCTGTAGACACGTGAACAAAGACTTTCTGGCTTTTCTGAGTAGCATTCTGAAGAGACAAGGAAGTAAGAAAAATAAGTATTTAGTCATGCTGATTAAATAAAAGGATACAGCTGCACAAAATGGAACAAGATTCGGAAGGGTATGTATCATACCTCCTTGACCTCCTCCACTGCATAGTAAGCTTTTGTGGGGATTCCAAGTTCCTTAGGCTGGACATCAATAATGACCAACACTGGATTTGGAACATAGCTGCAGCACCAGAAGCAAAACAAAGCTTCATTGTAAATATAACAGAAACTAATAGAAAATATAAGGAGGGAAAGAAAAACGGGTTTCTGGCCTACAAATTGCTATCTGAATGGTTAAGATAAAAGGCCAACATATGAACGATGAAGCTGGAAACTAACCCATTGAACAATGCATGAACGTCCAAATCATTCTCTCGAAGTTTAGGGCCTGTGCTGTACCAGCCTACAACATGCTCCTTGGCTGGAAAGCAAATATAGTTTTTCTTAGAAACAAGGTTTCGACATTTTAATATACGGTCAAGGCATCAGCTTCCTGAGAAATACCATTAATTCTCTTGAACATGTGGAACATTGACTCATGGTAGTTGTGATCCAGGAACCAGATACTTGGGTCTTTGTCATCCTCCTCGAAGGGCACTACACATCAATCAAACAAGTCATATGTAAGCAACAGCTATTTATTAAAGAGGTCTTTAGTGACAGTGTCAAGAGATAAGCAACTGCGCATACCAAAATACAGCTAAACCTCCGACGAATCAACCAAATTTAGATTTTTTCTTTAGTCCAAGTTTACGAAACAAACACTTATAGCGCACAATTCCGCAACAGAAGTTTACCAAACAGCTACAAAAACCCTAAATTGCTGCTCTATCTATCCATCCCGCTATAACCCAAATACGAACAAACCCTCGAAAACGAAAAAGAGCGAAAGTAAATTCAAGTAAGAAGATCCAAATTCCAGTATAACAAAGACCTTAACAGAATCTGAGATCTGAAAAGACGAAGCGGCCAAATCGAAGACAGTTGAGATTGAAAGGAAAAGTTAAGGCGGACCTGCGTAGCTGTTGGTGACGTCAACGGTGCCACGAGAGCTGCTGCCGAGCAGAACGCCGACGACGCGCTTGCGCGAGTCCTTAGCGACGCGGTTGTAATGGTCGACGATGCTAAGCAAGACGAGTGGATGAACAACCACCTTCTCGATCGTCCTTGCTGATATCTGTTGCGTCTTAATCACATCCATGTTCGGAGAATGAAATTCGATTTCTCCGGGGAAGATTATAAAACAGTGAGCTTCCGATCTCGTTTTCTTAAATGGAGCTTCAACTTTGCTTCTTCTCCAGGAAAACCCCTCTTAAGTCTGAAACTCATTTTGCTCTTTTTTTCTGGCCTCGGACATGTAAAACAGTAATGGGCTTGTAACTTTTTAAAGCCCAATGGACTGCTAACGCCCATATCTTGAGCCACTTTTCAAGGTAGAGGTTCCACAAAATTAGGGGTTAGAAAAAAACCGAACCGAATAAAAATAATCAAATAACCGAACCAATGTTTGTGTTAAAAGCCAAATGCATTCATTAGTATTTGGGAAATTAAGCATATTTTTTCCATCAAGGGTTTTTCACCATTTAAAAGGAAGAAAATGATAGAAAAGAAAGAGAGTGAAGAACCACATTCGAGAAACCCATGACACACTTGTATCTTTATTTTTCAAATTAAATTAAAAATAATTATAAATGAACTTATATTAAAAAAATTAATATTAATTTGAAAACTTTACGACGAGAGGGAGAGAGAGAGAGAGGAAGCAAATAATTGGTCGGTTAAGTACATGAACAAGCAATGAGTAAAAAGAAGAAGATCAATAACAAGGATTGTAACAACAATAATTAATTAATGGCTTAATCTACGACTATACTTAGGGTTAATGTTGTTACAAGTAACAAGTTTTTCTCATCCCAATCGCATGATAGGACTCATAATCTCACCCCCACTCTTAAAGTCCTACACAAACCTAGTTACTTTTTTTTTCCCATTAATATTACAATGGCCGCGCCGATGCTAATTTTACCACATCGTCTTAGTTCTTAACGTATAAACTCTAAATATTGGGTCACATGTCTTCATTTTTTCCGCATCTCGTTAATATGAACGCCATTTAAAAAAAGCTTAATCGAAGATCCAATGGCGAATGCTCCATCTCAGCTCCACATGATGAGTATGTGGAAAACGCGTTTGTGTTTGCCTGCTCTCGTATGTATTCGTTGTGCCTCGCAGGCGCAACAGTAACGTTTGCTCTCACTCTCTCAACCTTCGATAGTGGAAAGAGTTGCAACGTCTCTATCACCTTCTCCTCTTCTTCACACGCTTCATAAATACCTAAAAGAGAAGAAGAAATACACATTTTTAGTATACGTACATATATAAAGTGTAACATGAGATCAGAAAAAAAAAATGTAAAGAGAGCTTTATTAACCTTTAGGTGGTGGTTGATGATGACGTGGGTTGTGTCGATGAGGAAGAGAGAGATTTGTGTCTTGACGATGATCAAAATCGACGGTGGAGATTCTACGGCGCTTTTGTCTTTCCCTAGCTTTATGATTTTGGAACCAATAGAACACGTTCTTGCTCTCGATCTTACCGTGGAAACTCAGCTCAGTAGAGATCTTCTGAATCTGGTCGGTGCTCGGTGTTCGTAGCCCCGCCTTGAACAGATCCGTCAGAAGCTTCACTTGCTCCACCGTTGGATTCCACCGTCCACACTTCGTCCCCGTTCCTCCTCCTTCGTTATTGTTATTGCGTAAGCCTCTAGCTTTGACGGAGAATCCTCCCAACGACATTATTGGATTTATATGTATGCTCTAGTAGCTTCAAGAACAGAGTTCTTACTGTTTGGTTTTAAATATGTTTTTATATGTATGAGATGAGGTGTGTTGAGTGAGACGATGGACTTAGTTATGTGAATGGACCAGGGTTTGAATTTATATAGATGATTAGATGGTGTTACTCTTTTTGAAATTTGTAATAGTCAAAAAGAAGGTAGTAAGGAGAATAATAAAATAAATGTGTCTGTGTTTTGAGTTTTGTGTCGTTTAACTAGTGTTGTGTAGGATAGAGGTAGAAGAAATCAAACAAAATCAGTGCGTTGTTTATTACGAAATGCATGCTTTTGTTTTTGGGATTTGGGAGAGACTGAATTTTTTTCTGAGACTTGATCGTTTCTTTATCCTATTTAATTAGTGTATTGTGCTACTTACATATGTACATGTGTTGGTATGTTTTGGCCTGTGGGGTTAAGTAAAGTTTGATTTCTTATGTCGCAAATTTAAGCTAGAGAAAATATTAGTGTACTAATCAATTAGCGTGCGATAATTCTAAAACTAGCCGCATAAATAAATTTGATAATTATAGTATTATATATATTAACATGTGGAATGGACGATGATTTAACGGGAATTATTCCACAAAAGCTGTGACACTTAACAAAGTAGCCTGGTCGACAGATAGTGAATAGAAAATTGAGTGAAGCCCCTATCTAAAATGTACATATATATCAAAATCAATAACTCAACCTGCCTTTAATATTATAGTGTCCTTATATATATACATTCATATCAGGCATTGCTGTATGTATTTTAATCTTTAATTTCAGATCAAAGTTATTAGAACTATGCACTCAGAAGTTAGTTTTTTCTTCTTACGGTAAGCTGTCTACTCCTAGTTAACATTTATAGTAGTATAATGCTACGTTCGTACAGTATACATACTAGGTTTGCTTCCTCTTAAAAATCTGAAAAGTGAAATCAATCGAAGTGAGAGTTGTAGTGACTAAGAAAAAGAAAATTTGATTTAAGATGTGTTATGACGAAGAGATTTAACTAGACATATATCTATATATCGTTGTGAATATTGTGTACGTGAGGCATATTAGTGGTGATGATTTTGAGGCAGACATGCACGAGACGCTAAGCGAAGACTAAAGATCCAAAGAATAAAATGACAATTCGAATAAACCAAACATTGTTTTTATAAACAAGAGTCTCTCGGCTACACAACATACCAATACGTACAAACGTTATATATTAAATTACAAATTTGAAAGCTTTAAAAGAATGACGATCGATTCGGCCTCAAAGTCAAAGTTCTCGTTGGCTTTTGTTATTTGGTCTCATGCACAAATTAACTTTTAACTTTAAATAAATAAAAATATACATTGAACTTGCATAATATTTAACCATTTCTCAAACGGTAACATTATATTACCATAATACATGTAACACACCTGATTTATAAACAAATTTTTTATTTCTCTCTCTCTCTATATATATATATCATTTGAAGATACGTGGATATATCTACTGTATTCTTTGTTTTTTTAAATAAAATTAGCGGTATAATTTGTATATGTGATATGGTAGGTGTGCAGTCCGAGACGAAGAGTGATATTTTTCTGTTAATATTACAGCAAATTAAACATTTTATAAGCTAATGTTTTTGGTTGGAATGAGATACAATGTGTTCTTATCCTAGTCAAAAAAGTGGAAGGTGGTCTCACATTGTAATGCCCACTTACATGCAATTCCCAATGATGTTCCATGCACCATTAATCATATTAATCGATTACCTAGTAAACAAATATTTGTACATTTTTATTAAGATTATGTATAACATAATATATGAGAAGTAAAGAGCTTCATGCGACATCAATTTGGCTACTAGTTCTTGGCGATGTGTGTTTTATAGCTCTAACTCCTATGTCAATGTCGTTATATTTACTTTCTTTTGATCATGAAAAGTTTCAAAACACCAAATCTTTTTAAAATAAAGAAAACTACATGGCAGCTAATTAGTGGTCTAACTAAATTTGATTTCATATTGGTGGCAAGCAAGAAAAATGCGAACATGTAGTGGTGTCCTTTTTCCCTTTATCTTTTTCTGTATATTCAATCTATGTGATAAGCTAATTTTCTCTTAAGAATAAATGACCTAAATCATCCAGCTAATATATTATATGAAAATACCATTTCAGTATCAGTTTAATTAAGTAGCTTGATTTTTTCAAATTTTTTTTTTTGGTTGCTAATCGTAATGTTTATCCGGAATGAACCGGTCAGATTGGATCTGTTGGTTTTGTGATCCCAATTGAATACCCAAATTTAAATAGAAAATAAAATAACCTTAAATTACTCATCTCTAAATGCATACAACAACCAAACGGACGTTGCCAAAAGCGAATCAATACATTTATAAACGTCTGTTTCGAGTTTGTATCATTTACCTACAGCTATTACCTAAATAATTAATTGATAAAAATGTAGTACATATTAACATTTGCAGTAAGTAATTAATACTATATTATTATTTGTTAAAAAAGAAACGAAAACTCAGGAAACAAGGGCATGAAATTGTGGCACGCTTGAAATGTAGAGACGGAGACCCCTACGCCTTACGAAGCTTTGGGAAACTTTCCTTTTTTGATCTTCCTGCTTCCTTCCACGTTTGTCGCCGATCCATCCAACATATTTATATATCACTCCACTTATTTACAACTTTCTAATCTCATAGTTTTTGTTTTTAACTAATCTCTTAGTTCGCCATTCACTATGAATATGCTTTTGTAACTGGAATATATACTAAGATCAAAATTGCTATATGAATTTCAAATATTGATCGACGTCAATTTCGTATACTGGATATAATGAATGTATATGTCTTTACCTGTTGAGTTAGTTAGGAGTTTTTTGAGTTTATTTCTTAACAATATTTTGTTTAGTTACCTAGTAGCGATAATTAAAAACTTAATCACTCACCAATCACCATACGATATAGTATGAATTATATACCCAATATCCTTCTTTTATTTTAATAAATGGGAAAAAGTTGTTCTTTATAATCGATTGTATCATCGTACCAAAGTACTCCAGTATACTGAACTGGACTGTGTCAGTTACACCACCACACGTGTTAAATTTTGTGGATTTATAAACACCACACTTTTTGATTGCCAAATATTAAAACGGGACACGGTTCAGCAAGAGTAAAACAACAAGACGTTTCATGTGAGAACACAATAACGACAAGGCAGTTTTTCATGAATTTCCTTTTCTGTTTCTCTGTCCATTTCTCCGTTTGATAAATCTCCTAGTATGGGAAGCTCACCTGCTGAAGAAATTAATCAAGCTTTGGCCGGTGATCTTCATCCAATTATTCTGACCCTACGATGGGATCGACTTTCAGGGATCGGACGGCGGAGTTCCATTCACTGTCCCAAACGTTGAAGAAGATCGGAGCGATCCCGTCCGTTCATCAAGTTGAAGATGATCTGGCAACGTCCAAACGGTCGCCGCCGGGATCTTCAAAATCCGAATTCAACAAGAAGGCTTCCATGATCGGTCTACGCATCCACGAAACGTCTCAGAAGATCGCGAGGCTCGCTAAATGTACGGTTAGATCTATTGTCGCCGTCTTCTTATCTATTGTTTTCCGCTGGAATCATGATTTCGTTCTGGGTTTGTTTAGCAGCTGAGAAAAATGCGAAAATGTAGGGTGTTTGATCCGGTTAATGGAATTAGGCTTTTGTGATTTTGTTGGATTTTAACGAGATTAAGACATAGATTTCGATAACTGCTGTCTTGTACAAAAAAGGAGAAACGCAATCTCTGCTTTTAGGCATTAAGGTTGCAGCAAGAAATGATGATCAGTATACGCAAAGTTCTTTGTTGCTTGCTGTGGAAGTCATTTTGTTTTAAATGTACTGAAAGAAACTTGCATATGGTCTTGAAAGTTGAATCGGTTCTAGAGGCATTGTCGTGATTGCAACAGAAGGCAGCCTTATTTCTTCTGACATGGCTAGTTTTTGTTTACCTGCAACTTTTGTGGATGATGATGAATCACAGTGGCAAAACAATCGTCGATTTTCAATGACCGGACCGTGGAGATACAGGAGTTGACTGTGTTGATCAGGAACGATATCACGGGGCTGAACATGGCTCTCTCGGATCTGCAAACCCTTCAGAACATGGAGATCGCTGATGGGAATTATTCACAGGACAAAGTTGGTCACTACACAGCTGTCTGTGATGACTTGAAAACCAGACTTATGGCAGCTACAAAGCAACTTCAAGATGTTCTAACTACGAGATCAGAGGTTGGATTTGTAGATTTCTTCAACTTCCTATCGATTTGTATCTGCCTAATTGTCCGACATTAGAGAGTATTTATTCTATCTATTGAGAAATGTCTCGTCTTCCTGCAGAACATGAAGGCTCACGAAAACCGGAAACAACTCTTTTCCACAAAAAACGCAGCAGTTGATAGTCCACCTCTGAATAACGCAAAATCTGCACCTGAGCCTCCTCCTTGGTCAAGTTCCTCGAATCCTTCCGGGAATATACAGCAACCACTGTGAGTTTTGTTCAAAAGCTATTTCATAAGTAACAGTTTCTCTCATCTAATTAGGTTTTTGTCTTCTGTAACCGACCAGATTGCCGCCATTAAACAGTGGTAGTGGAGCTACTTTAGGTAGCCAGCTCAGGTATGTCCTAATTTCCATGACTGGCAACTTTTGATTGTATTCGTATTCCGTTATGCTTTAAGGTGAAATCATGCACAAACATTTGATGTTTTGCAAAATAGACGCAGATCCGCGATCGAGAATGCTCCTTCGCAGCAAATGGAGATGTCCATGTTGCAGCAAACGGTACCAAGGCAGGAGAATTATAGTCAAAGCCGAGCTGTTGCACTTCACAGTGTTGAGTCGACAATAACAGAGCTCAGTGGAATATTCACGCATCTAGCGACAATGGTCACACAACAGGGGGAGCTAGCTATCAGGTTCTTTATCCTTTTAACCCAAAACCTGACATATTCTGATTTTCAGGGAACAGTTTAGTTAACACCTGTGGTTTTGTGAAACAGAATCGATGACAATATGGACGAGTCGTTAGTTAATGTAGAGGGAGCACGCAGCGCTCTTCTGCAGCATCTCACTCGAATTTCTTCAAATAGATGGCTCATGATCAAGATCTTCGCTATTATCATCTTGTTCCTCATTGTTTTCCTCTTCTTTGTGGCTTGAAACGAAACCGTTATATCTCTTCATCCCGGTGTATCATCCAGAGCAAAAAAACCTCAACTATACACATGTTAAGCTTGCCGGCTTTGAGGGCTCCTTTGATTTTCTTTGTGTATCTAGAGTGTCTAGGAGTGTTTCAATTTTTCAGCAAGATTCAATTGTATTTTACCAAGACAGTTATGATGATATAAAAATTTAGTTTTCGCTACCGTACAGAGCAGATCAAAAACAAGTTTTATTGGGAATCACACAGTAATAAGGTTCATACTAAACAATCATACAGAGAACAGTAATCAACGTATACGAGGTTGGGACTTTGGTGAACAAACTCACTGAGGGCATCAACCAAATGCTCAGAAGTTAGTAACCATCTATATACCTCAGTGTTTCTTGGAGTTGAATATACTAACTCGGTGCTTCAGTCTCTCTCACTCGGAGCCGGGTGGTTTATGCAGCAGCAGTATCAAACCTCCGCATCATGTCGCAATGCGGCGTCTCACGGACGTACCCCCATTGCTTCCTCTGAAGCTCATACCGACAATTCTGACCCAGTATGGACAAGTAATCTCTATCAACTTGCGCTTCAACGCTCTGTCTCTCGGGGCTGTTTATTGGGTATTCCTGCTCGAACTTGGCTGATCTCACAAAGTAATTGACGCCCCTGTGCGTCGTGAACTTGTGCTCGTACTGGTACGATGCAGACAGCGAGTAGATTGGTTGAGGGGAAGGCAGGAAGTTGAGAAGCAGTATGAACACAACAGGAAGCAGCTGTAGGAGCACACGAGGATTGAATCCTGTATCGGAGGCTTGATTAGCTGCTCTGTTTCCTGCGCTGAAATTGAACGATCGGAACTGAGTCGTGGCAGGAGCCATTCCTCCGCCGAAGAAGCTCCTGAAAATCTCGTCAGCGTCGAACTCATCGTCGTAGAACCCGTTGAACCCGTTGTTTCTTCTCGCGGATCGGCGCGGTTGATAAGCAGGCTCATCGGAACCACTGACGTCGTACTTCCTCCTAGTTTCTTCGTTGCTTAGGCACTGAAACGCCTTGGAGACGGATTTGAAAGCTTCTTCTGAACCAGGGGCCTTGTTCTTATCGGGATGAACCTTCAAGGACAGTTTCCGATATGCCTTCCTCATATCTTCGACCGAACAGCTATTCCCCAATCCAAGAATCTCATAGTAATCCTTCTTCGATTTTATCTCCCTCACGATCGCTCGTTGCTCTTCCGTGAACGACATGGACGAAGAAGACGATGACGATCCCGCCGCGGCTGAGGAAGATCCACGCTGACGAAGAGAAGGTCGATCCGACGGCTTATGCGACTCGCTGGCGGCAGATCCAGGCGAATCCTCCGCCACTGGTTCACCCGACTGCTTATTCAGATCCGAAACGAGATCATCGATCGGGAGATTCGGATCAAGACGACGAGCTTTCTCCAGAAATTTTAAAGCGCGAGATCGATCCCCTGCCTCGATTGCATCCTTGCCGATTTTCAGGCATTTCAGCGCGTCATCTTTGTTACCATCCATGTTCGACGGGCAACCAAAGTTTCCCGATGAGACTATCGGGGAAACGAAACTCCTGAGGGATTAGGGTTTCTCGCACTGAACGGAGCTCATCTGAGAGATTTGACGATTTTCCAAGCGAGCGACGATTGAAAAATATCGCTGCTGGAGTCCTCTTCCACAGAACTTTGTCACGCCTCTCTGGAAGACAAGCACGAGAAAATGCGTGACGTTTTCGTTATCAGCAAAAGAATATCGTGTGGTCAGATAAGTAAAACTACAAGGTGTTATTATTTTGTTTCCATGGTAAAGAACACGCATGCCGTTTCGATATTAAGAAGGGGAACGTCTGCCGTTCTTATTTACAACGTCAGCAGAAGAATGCGTGTCGTTTGAGATATCAAGAAGGGGACTTTATGTCAGAAAAATTGATGAAAAAACTACAAGACGTTATTCTTGGAATGAGCTCCTCCAACGGATAAATGAAAGATCCTGTGTCCTCCAGCGATAAGAACCACGAGGAGTCATCTAAAATCGTAGAAGTGTTGGAAAGACAAAAGAAAGATACAAATCTTTTACATTCTAAAGTTTTGAATGGGATCAGTGTTTTGATCGGAGAACCTAAAGGTCTCTACTTTGTCGGAGTTTGTTGGTTGTCTTCTTAGGACATGAATCTCGCTGCTAGTTTTCGCGGCAATTTCGGCGTCTTGTCGCAATGCAGCTCATGTTGCAGTCTTCAGTTTCAGCCCTTTGTGGCTACTTCCAGTCTCGATTTTGGGAAAACAGGGACATCTCGAAGAAAGAAGGATCTAAAGCTGTTCCCAGTTCAAAGGTTTCATATCGTTCATCTTTTTCGATTTTTTTTTTTTTGGTATGTCCGGTACTTGAATATTTATCTGGTGCCTTTGAACCTGGGGTTTGCAGAAAGAGAGAGAATTTATGTAGAGTGACGGATACACAAACGGAACCAGATGCGAATAACGATGAGGTATTCACTTTGGCATCTATGCGGCTTCTCCTAGAGATTATGGATTCGGTTGTGGATGTTTTCCTTAATTCACTAGATGTATCTTAGGTGACTGGGTTTTTTTCTTTGCAGGAAAATGGTGAGGAAGACAAAGAGGCTTTAGCTGATGATCCTCCTTCACAAATTCCTACTGAGTTGATTCCACAGTCAACAGTTGTGAATGAAGCGCCGGGCAATGAGGAGGAAAACAAAGTTCAGTTGAGCTCTCAGGTATTGTTTTTTACTTGGAAGTTATGCATCAGTGGCATAAATGATGTTCTATTGTATACGTTTCGCCTTACGTTTTAGAATTGTTGTTTCCTGACTAGTAGCTTCAAAAGTGATTGAACCTAAGATTGATTTTTAAATTTTAATTGAATGGGTTGCTTAACTTCAGATTACTCGTTCATATAGTTTCTTGGTTTTGTTTCTGAATGTATTGTACTTTGTTGCATTTTGGAATAGGACGGTGATAAATTAGAAGTTAGCGCCGGTTCTCCTCTTCCTGGTGTGAAAGTAAGTATTATCAACAATGTTACTTCCTAGTGCTTTCTGTTTATTATCTTTCACATAGAATGTTGTTGCCAACACAGCCGTTACAGTTGGATGATTCCATGAGACTCCCCAAAGAAACCATTGATATTCTCAAGGACCAAGTATTTGGGTTTGACACCTTCTTCGTTACAAGCCAAGAACCATATGAGGTGAGTCAGTGAGAGACTCATCTGTTTTTTTCTCTCTTAAGGTTGTTAATTATTAACTATGCTTTCAAACGCGAAATGAAAGATAAACACGAGGTTATATGACAATTCTCTTACTCTGGATCTCTTGACATTTCTGGGACAATGTTGGTAGGGTGGGGTGTTGTTCAAAGGAAATCTAAGAGGCCAGGCTGCTAAAAGCTACGAGAAGATAAAGATAAGATTGGAGGTATCAATTTTGCATTTTTTGGTTATTCCTGCTCAACTAAACTCACATGCTGGGACAAAGATTAATAGTAAATTGCTCATTAATCTGCAGAATAAATTTGGTGATCAGTACAAGCTTTTCCTCCTTACCAATCCAGAGGATGATAAACCTGTGGCTGTTGTTGTTCCTCGAAGGTCCTTGGAGCCCGAGACAACAGGTAATCTTACTATATGGTTCCTTCTTTTGTAAGGATCTGTTTCAGGTTATTAAAGTTCTAGCTGGATACAATTGCAGCTGTTCCTGAATGGTTTGCTGCTGGTTCTTTTGGATTGGTGGCATTGTTTACATTGTTTCTCCGTAATGTGCCCGCCTTGCAATCCGACTTACTGTAAGAACATCTTGAACCAATGTTTTCTCCGGACATGTTATGCTTCCAAATCATCAAACTGAATGAAACTTTTCCTCTCATCCATGAATTTTGGTTGCAGATCGGCATTTGACAACCTCGAGCTGTTGAAAGATGGCTTACCGGGAGCTCTAGTCACCGCTCTTGTCCTTGGAGTTCATGAATTGGGTCACATTATAGTTGCAAATAACCTAGGGATAAAGCTTGGTGTTCCATTCTTTGTTCCAAGTTGGCAGGTGAAGATGCAATGTTCTCTTTAAAACAAAAGAAACCTCCTTTCAGCTGAGAATTTGGTTATGTAGACATCTGATGAACCGTGTTTTAGATGGCAGATAGGCTCTTTCGGTGCTATAACGAGAATCAAAAACATCGTACCCAAGCGAGAAGATCTTTTGAAGGTTGCAGCTGCAGGACCTTTGGCCGGATTTTCTCTGGGTTTGGTTCTGTTTCTTGTAGGATTAATCTTGCCTCCTAGTGACGGCATTGGCGTTGTAGTTGACGCATCAGTGTTTCACGAATCCTTCCTCGCTGGTGGTATTGGTAAGCTTTAGCTTTTTAGTTCACTATGATGAATGTTTGAAGGCTGTGAATCTTGAAGTGTTCATGTTTAAGCATTTTTTTTGCCTTTTATCATCTTTATAGCAAAGCTCCTACTCGGGGATGTACTCAAGGAAGGAACTTCGATATCCGTGAACCCGCTTGTGATCTGGGCATGGGCTGGACTTCTCATCAATGGCATTAACAGCATCCCTGCGGGAGAGCTCGATGGCGGTAAAATCGCTTTCGCCATTTGGGGTAGAAAGGTAACTTCCTTCAGACCCCAACTTGAACATTCCCACCGTTTTTTGAGACACACAATCTTTGAACTCTGCATTCCAAATGGTTCCAGGCCTCGACACGGCTCACGGGTCTCTCCATAGCGCTTCTGGGGCTATCTGCGTTGTTCAGTGACGTGGCATTCTACTGGGTGGTTCTGATATTCTTCCTGCAGCGTGGACCCATCGCGCCGCTGGCTGAAGAAATCACGGTTCCTGACGAGAAGTATGTGTATCTAGGAATCCTTGTTCTCTTCCTCTCCTTGCTTGTGTGTTTGCCTTACCCATTTGCTTTCACCGTTGAAGACGCCATGATGATTGGCTTGTGAGCAGTCTCATCATTACACAGCTCAACAAGAACCATAAGAAATACTAGCTTATAACTTTTAGTTTTGGTCTCTAAGTTACTTTCTACATTTAAACTTGGGGGTTATATTTTTTTTGCTGTTCTAGTTCTTACTCTCTTGGAGGCTTTGTGAGTTTCAGAAAATTAAACGAATAAACAAAATTATCTCAGAACTAAAGCTATTTTTGCTGTGGTTAAATAGTTATTAATTGCGCGTGGAACATAAATATGTATTTGAAAATATGTATACTGCCAATAAAAAATACTTGAAAAGAGACTTCAGTGGTTGAAAAAACAAAAGGGACCAACATTGTTGATGTTAAATTTGTAAGGAAATTACTGTAGTGTACAAAATAATTAAAATGCAATTTTTATTACATATTCAGTTTTCTTCTATAGTAAAGTATTCAAAATGATTAGGAATAATAGAAGGGAAATAATATTATATGCAGTGGAAGGTAAATAATAGAACAAAAAAAAGACATGCTTTTAATGTGGATGGATTTGATTTTGGTTGGTAGCATAGCATCTAATGATCACTTTCCAGTCCTATGATTTTTAATTCGAGAAAAGGTCAAAGTTTATACATTCAAAATATTATACAACTGACTTAGAAACATTGATATCACTATCTGATAAAGAAGTAGTATTGATTTTACGTATAATTTTATTCATATATTGTTATTAATTGAACCAGATAATACAATATTGTGAGGTCTACTACTATTAGTTTGGGAATGAGAGAACCTACCCGTTAAGAAGCTGCGAAGGAAAGGTTCGTGAAAGTGAATTTTAGTGGATTGTTGGGATTAAACTTATCCGAGATCAGGGAGTCACACAACGTGGTTCTTGAACTCGTTGATTATTTCTGCCAGCCAAGTTATCTCTAAACACATGCAACGATTGTTTCTGATTTGGCTTAGAAGATGCATCTGGAGGGACTTTCCACCACTTTGCCCATTCGTTTTATTCGTTACCATTTTACAAATGTTTTGTATATTCAGTATGATTACTTTAGACCAACAACTTGGCGGTTTACCTAACAGTTAAGAGTGTAGCACCGGTTAATTACTCCGGTGAGTGTCACCTTCACAGGCTTATAAAGTCATAGCAATAAATATATATATGTTTTTTTTTAAAAATAATATCTTGATCTATTTTCGAAAGAACCAAAAACAACTCTATACAATAATATCACATCTACAATATCTTTTTTTTTTTGTTAATCTATAATTCACACAAGCATACTTTTGAATGATGACATAGTGACAGATGACAACACAAATAAAAGATAAATCCCTACTATAGATTTAAACCTTGTTATTAATATTATTACAGGCCTAATATCAGATATTATATAATTATAGGCAAAGCTAAGTCTTGTTTCTGGGCAAAGGGTAAATGCTGTCTTTTCCCTTATACATTCTAAAAGAAAAGGAACAGGTCCGAAAGCTTCCCCAGCCAGCCATCCACTTCGTCTACAGTACCTAAGCGAGAGAGTGCATGCACGTGACTTGGTGGAAAGATGAGGAAATACAGGTGAGGGGTATTACAGTAAAATCACAATTAGTCACATGGTCATGCCACGCGCATCGTTATAAATTACTTGCCATCCCCGCAGTCATACATATCTATTGGCCATTCGACTAGAGAATATTGACCAACTAATTTACTCTTTTAGCCATCGCCTCTGAATCTTCCCTCCGATCTTTCCATCTTTTCAATTTCCCGGCCGCCGGATCCCACCACCCACCACCGTGTTCTCTGCCGTTACGATGTCTTCCTCGATGAATGTGGCGGCGATGAAACCTCTGAGTTTCTCTCGCCGGCTCGTCCCTGCTCTTGCTTCTCGCGGACTCTCTTCTTCTGTGACCGTTGCTGGATATTCCGGTAGAAGCTCGGCTTACACGCCTTCTTTCCGCTCGATTAAATGCGTCTCTCTCTCGCCGGAAGCTTCCATAGGTGAAGCAATGCTCTTCGTTTTTCTTTTCTTTTTGGTTTGGGTTGTTTGATTTCCCGATAAAATGCGGGAAAATGGTTTGACCAAATTCGGTCGAACCTTTAGCAGTATTCAAATGAAAAACTCAATTCTCTGTCTAAGCTTCTCAATACCTACGGACTCCAACGGTTATATTCTTCAGGACACTTCGAATCTGTCAGTTTTTTTTTAGGAATTTTGATTGGTTTTGTTCGTGATTCGGAATCTGCTTTTTGATACATGTTCTCAATCGGAATCGGAGTTGAAGTAGTGTGACTGATACATGTTCTCAATTTGTTCTTGCAGTAACTGATACAAAAAAGTTCGCCGATGCTTCTAAGAGCACCAACCTTATACCAATTTACCGCTGCATATTCTCCGATCAGCTCACTCCTGTTCTTGCTTACCGTTGTCTGGTCAAAGAAGATGACCGTGAAGCTCCGAGCTTTCTTTTTGAGTCCGTAGAGCCAGGTTCTCAGATGTCAAGCGTTGTAAGAGAATCTTCCTTTCGAGAAAAATCCTTTTTTTATCTGTTAATCATCTTCATTTCCTGATTGTTGTGATTGATCTTAAATAGGGTCGTTATAGCGTTGTTGGGGCTCAACCTGCAATGGAGATCGTGGCTAAGGAGAATAAAGTTATCGTAATGGATCACAAAAATGAAAGCATGACTGAGGAATACGTTGAAGATCCAATGGAGATCCCAAGACAAATCTCCGAGTCGTGGAACCCTGATCCTCAACTAGTTCAGGACCTTCCAGATGCGTTTTGTGGTAAGGATTCATCCATCTTGGTTGTTTATAACGAGACACTTTCTAGAATTAGGTTACCTAAAGGAATTAAGCCACTGCACGCACATGTTATTTCTGAAGAGCGACAAATAAAGTAGAGAGCTTTCTATTTCCACTTTCTTGTGCTGATCTTTATCTGATCATTTTGCCCCTGATGTGAGATAGTTTGTTTATCTTCCTTTTTAAAGCAGTAGTGCCCAATACGCGCCTTTAAGCTCTTTAATATCCCTTTTATGGCGCTATCGAATACGAGAAATGAAGACTTTACTTTCCTTTATGCTTTATCTTTTTCCTAAAGTTTTTTTTCTTCATCATGATAGGTGGGTGGGTTGGTTTTTTCTCGTACGACACTGTTCGCTATGTCGAAAAAAGGAAACTTCCATTTTCCAAGGCCCCTGAGGATGATAGGAACTTGCCAGACATGCATCTTGGTCTCTATGACGATGTGATTGTATTTGATCACGTGGAGAAGGTAAACTTTTGTTACCATCCGTGTTGTTTGATTAGACGGTGAAATCTCCAATTTTGGTAACCAGAGGTTCCTTTGATTTTACAGAAAGCATATGTTATCCACTGGATTAGACTAGATGGGAGCATTCCCTATGAGAAGGCATACAGTAATGGAATGCAACATTTGGAGAACTTGGTGGCCAAGTTACACGATATTGAGCCGTAAGTATCTCACTTGACTTAATTTACTTTGTGAGCTTCTTTTGGTTACTATCCTTAAAAGCTGGGTCTTTTTTCCCTGCGAATCTCTCTCCACAGGCCAAAGCTGGCTGCAGGTAACGTGAATCTTCAGACGCGACAATTTGGGCCAGCTTTGGAAAACTCAAACGTGACATGCGAAGAGTACAAGGACGCTGTGGTCAAGGCTAAAGAACATATACTTGCAGGAGACATATTCCAGATCGTGTTGAGTCAGCGTTTTGAGAGGAGAACATTTGCAGACCCGTTTGAAGTTTATAGAGCTCTAAGAGTTGTGAATCCAAGTCCGTATATGGGATATTTGCAGGTTGCTAACGGAGAGAGCTTTTACTTTTGCATCATTGCTCACTTGAGTTTCTTCATGTGAATAGACTATTGATGCTGTTTGTCCTCTTCATCAGGCTAGAGGATGTATTATGGTAGCATCAAGTCCAGAAATTCTCACCAAAGTAAAGCAGGTAAAAACTCTCTTAATCTAAAAGTTGCAGAATTTGATGCAATTGCAATGAAAAACCTAACCTTTACATCATATTTTGAGGCAGAACAAGATAGTGAATCGGCCATTAGCAGGGACCAGCAAGAGAGGGAAGACTGAAGTTGAGGATAAGAGATTAGAGAAGGAGCTGCTAGAGAATGAAAAGCAATGTGCTGAGCACATAATGTTGGTCGATCTCGGCCGTAACGATGTAGGAAAGGTTGCGAAATACGGTTCAGTTAAAGTAGAGAAGCTCATGAACATCGAACGTTATTCCCATGTTATGCATATAAGCTCAACGGTAAGTGTTGATTCAATGAATCATTTCGGATCCAAAAAAATTAATGCCTCGATTTATGTTTCCTAATATTGAAGTTTAAAAACGCAGGTGACAGGAGAGCTACAGGATGATCTAACTTGCTGGGACACATTACGTGCTGCATTACCAGTGGGAACAGTCAGTGGTGCGCCAAAGGTTAAAGCCATGGAACTAATCGACGAGCTTGAGCCAACACGGCGTGGACCATACAGTGGCGGTTTTGGTGGAGTCTCCTTCACTGGTGACATGGACATTGCTTTATCCCTTAGGACGATTGTTTTCCCGACAGCAAGCCAGTACAATACAATGTACTCTTACAAGGATTCTAACAAACGCCGTGAGTGGGTGGCTTATCTTCAAGCTGGAGCAGGTGTTGTAGCTGATAGTGACCCGGAAGACGAGCACCGTGAGTGTCAGAACAAAGCCGCTGGTCTGGCTCGAGCCATCGACTTGGCTGAATCCGCATTCGTCAAGAAATGAGTGTAGTGTGCCCCAAAGAATTAGAGTCTGTTTCGATTATGGAATCATGTGTATAACAAAAATACTTACAAGCAGAACAATCTTCTTCCTTTTTTTCTTGATTTTGTGGGATTTTCATTTAGACTCCATTAATGAAGCTCTGAACTTTAACCCAAAAGAGGAAAGAGACACAAAGACAATAGTTTTCTCACAATAGCTATTACAGTTGTACAGATTGTGGCAAACACGCGCGTAGTATTGATCCGAGAAACTAGCGTTTGTGATCGTAATCGACGATCTCGGAATCGGTGACGGATCTAGAGTGCTGCACGATGCACCGTCCGATGGAATTGATCCAGTCTTCTTTCTCCTTCTCCGAATCGGCGATGAAGTACAGCGTCTCTCCTCCCAGCGAAATCTCGAACGCGTTCTGTTTGTTGAGGATGTCCTCTGCTCCCTTGACGGTCAGGCACGACGCGACGGGGACGACGCCGCGAGGGTGTGACACGCGCGTGACGTCGGAGTCCTTGAACCAGAAGAGTTTCCCCTGTTTCAGCACGAACCATCGGCGTCTCCAAGTCTTGATGTACTCTCCCTGTTTCGTCAGCCACCCGGTTCGTTCCGGGTTAGACCAGAACTCGATGCCTCCGTAGTCGTCGTCGGAATTGTTGATCTGGCCGCCGGTTACAGCTCGCCACAGGCTGGCCATATCCGCTAAAACTAGAGAATTTAATATTCAGCGATGGAATAGAAAATTCCGACTCGAGAGCAAGAATTATTGCGAAAGATCTGTTGGATTTTCTTTATCTAGCCTAAAAATGTTTTGATTTTGCATTTCTTTCCCAAGTTCAGTATATTTACAAAAACACCCCCTCCTTTGTCTTCATTTTGCCAATTGTAAGCTGTAACTTTTTAATTTACTAATATGTCTACTGAAATGACTCCCTTGCTAAGGAAAAAGAAAAACAAAAAGTCAATGAAGAAACAAAAAATTGATGCGTTGGTGTTTTCATTTCTTCTTCTCCAATCGCAAGGAGCTTAGAAACTTCTTCTGATTCTCTCCGATTATGTCTTCTAAGAAAGTGAAATCGACAGACGACGCGAGTAGCAGCCATGGCGGCGGAAGCGGCGGAGAAAGCGTGATCGCCGATCATGGCCGCGGCAGAAGCACTTGCGGTTACTGCAAATCCCCATCGCGCTCCAGTATCTCTCACGGTTCGTTTATATTGTGTTGACTCTTTTCCATTTTTTTGTTAGCTGGTCATGGAGTAGGGTTGTTGAATCCAACGATTTGAATATAATCTTATGAATTCTCACGAATCGATGGTTTTGTGTCTTTGATGAGTGTGTGATTGAAAAAAATATGGGTTTCATGACAATAATCTGGAAAGCAAAGAAAAAGAAAAAGAGTAGATTTTTCAATGTTGGTTATGTTATGATCAGAAAGTCCCAATTTTTTTGAATGTGTGCATCGGCAATGCAGGTTTATCAGCAGAGACTCTTACCGTTAGTGACTACCAAGGTCTGTTGCTGTTTATTCTTCTTCTTCTTTATTATCTTCTATTGAGTTAGAGATGTTGTAGCTTATGCTTTTCTATCGCGCAGCTCTTATTGACCGAGGCTGGAGACGATCTGGTTGTTATCTTTACAAACATGAGATGGATAAAACTTGCTGCCCTCCTTATACCATCCGTTTGAAAGCTAGTGACTTTGTTCCTTCTAAAGAGCAGCAGCGAGTTTCTAGGAGACTAGAAAGGTGCTTACTGATTCACTCTTCTCCTTTCTTTATCTTTGGATCAATAGATGAAAAGTCTTTATCTTTGGTTTTTCTGTTTCCGCCTTCGAAACATCTTGTCGCATATGGCTCTGATGTGTACTCTATTTATGCGTATTCCGTCTTCAATATCATCAAAATTCTTTAAAGCAGTCGCGTATTGAATAGGGTCCTGACTTTCCTCATATTGTTATGTCAAAGGTTCTTGGATGGCAAACTAGATGTGCAGCCCAGTGAAGGTACAGAACATAAAGTTGCAACAAGTGAAGAAAAGAATAAAGTTGAACCACTTATGGATGAGTTGTCTAAAATAATTGATCAAGCTGTGCAAAGGTGCATACAGAGTGGGGAGTTCCCTGCTAAGATGCAGATACCCAAAGCTTCAGTGAAGAAGGTTTTCTGTGCTGGAAAGAAGAAACTTGCTGAAAGAACAGAACAGCTCTTATATACCAGCAACATTGCGTTTCTTATAGCAGCTGCATATAAACGCGTACAGACATCTGACAGAGGGGAGATAAATAATGCAGAAGAAAACAGATTATCACCTGAAATTATTTCTGAGATGTTGTTAACTGCGATGAGTAAGGTGGAGGAAACTCCTGGTATATATATTAAAGTCTGTAAGGGCCATATAAACTTTCTCTCAGCTTCCAAAGATAGAGATGTTGTTCCTCATGATAACATCTCGAGAGGAGCCAATTCAACAGGTGAAGGCGAAACCGTTCAAGAAAACCACAGGACAAGGAAGCTAAAGCTGGAGATGCGTCTGAAAAGGTCTAGTTTTGATCCTGAAGAACATGAGTTATACAAACGGTATCAGCTGAGAGTGCACAATGACAAGCCGGGGCACGTGGTAGAAAGTTCATACAGGAGGTTTTTGGTGGACTCTCCTTTAATATATGTTAAGCCTTCAGGTGATGAAAAGGCTCCGCCTTGTGGCTTCGGATCTTTCCACCAACAATATAGAGTTGATGGCCGTCTGATCGCTGTCGGGGTTGTGGATATTCTTCCTAGATGTTTGTCGAGTGTATACCTATTCTGGGATCCAGACTATGCATTCTTATCTCTCGGGAAATATTCAGCAATGCAAGAAATTAATTGGGTCAGAGAAAACCAAGTCCTTTGCCCTACTCTTCAGTATTACTATCTTGGCTATTATATACATTCGTGCAGCAAGATGACATATAAAGCAGCCTATCGTCCTTCTGAGCTTCTATGCCCTCTCCGTTTCCAGTAAGTTACCACCAAACCCCAGACCTATTTTTGTTAGTCTATGCCTTAGCTCATCAAATATCTCTCATATGAAGAAATGTGTGGTATAAGTCACTGAGTTCTGATGCTTGTAAATTGCGATATTTATGTCCTTTGCTTCGAAGTTAGTGAGACTGGTAAATGTTTGTTTTTTAACACCCGGAGTTGCGTTTTCAGGTGGGTTCCATTTGAAGCAGCGAGGTCGCTGCTCGATAAAAAGCCATATGTCATCTTGTCCGATATTACCGATTCACAAAAACAATGTTCTTCACTACCTCATGCTTCCGAAACTCTCGCGGAACCTAGGACAAGTGAACATGAGGACATGGAACAAGGGGAGACAAATGATCATTTTATGGGATGCAGTGATGATGAGGATGAGGATGAGGATGAGGATGAGGATGAGGATGATGATGATGATGAGGAAATGGAATCAGAAGACTCTCATAATGAGTCAGACCCTGGATCCGAAGATAGCGACATTAACAATATCCTTATCGGTCTATATGGATCCCAATATAGATACAAGGTACATCAAACTCCCTTTCGTTTTAGATCATTGTTAAAGCTGATTGGGTGTCATCACTGTTTACCAATTCCAAAATCACATCCTGACGAGAACCCAAAAAAATGGATTTGGAAGGATCTACGGCAAATGATGAATCCTGTAGGCCGGAAGCAACTGGAACCGATGTTAAGAAGCTACCGCAAGGTCGTGGACGACGAGCTTTCGGAGAGAATGGTATATGAAATCAGGTAAAGCTTAAACTAACTCCATTGAGCTTAGTACCATTACAATTTATCAGATAAACTAAAAACAAAAATATTGTTTGTAACAACAATCTGAGTTCCTGTCATGTTTCAGTTGTTGTATGTAATGAGACTTTTACATGCTGTCTCTCTCTTTGTGTTGTTACAGCTATTTGTTACTTGTTATGTGATCACAGTTCCTGGTTTCCTTAGATTATCATTTTGAAAGAAGAATAATCTGTCAAAAGTAAGTTCAAATCTTTGGTGTATATTGATTGTTCAAAGGTTGATATATTTTGATAGAATATTACTGTATATGACAATAAAAGATTGATATATTTTGAAGAAATTTGTACAAATACATTATCTAACTATTTAAAAAGAAGAAGAAAATACCACACTATTATCCAACTATCAGATATATATATATATATATATCGAAATTAGGAATAAGAAAAAGGGAATAATGGAAGAAGTGGATGGAGGGGGGAGAGAAGCGCACGTGGGGAGGTCTGACATTGAAAGAGAAAGCAAAGGCCCACACGAGTGGAAAGAGGCAGCACAGCAGCAGATTTCAGACTTTGGGAAGTGTAAGAAGAATAAATGTGTATATCTTTTCTTTTTTCACATTCTCTGAAGATTTTGCAGAACCTTTTTTACCATTCATCTCTCACACGTGTGCCTTCCTCTCTCTCTCTCTCCTCGTCTTCCGTAAACTGTTTTGACCCTTTGACCGCTACTTCCCCTACCATCACCTCTTCTCTTCACTACACTACACATTCAATTGTTTTGTTTTTTTTTTATTTCTTTTCATATACTATATTCATATATATATATATCCATTTTTTTCTTTCAAAAAACATTATACTTATGTTTTCTCTATTTTTTCTGCCAAATATCAATGTCAATATGTAATCTTATTTGTTTCTTACAGTTTTGTAGTTTATTTAAAAGGAATCTTCATGAAAAAAAAGGAATCTTCAAAGTTCGTGAAACTACTAATTTACTCAGCATAAATGAATTAACAATATTATACAAAATAGGCTTGCTTTTAAAGAGACTAAAATTCAATTTCCAAGTTAAAAGGTCTGTGGTAAAAGACAACTACAGTATGTCTTGGGAAATATAACAAGGAAATAATAATTGGGAGGGTAAATGACAAATAAAATTGCGGATATGAGACGCAGTGGTATGATTTAACGTTAACTAGGGAGAAATGAGATGTAAACAATGGACTTATGTGAAGGGGTTACAATCAAGTACAGATTATGAGAGTGATGACTAAAATGCAAAACGATATAGACAAATAAGAGCAAGAGAGAGGCGTCTCAATCTTTTGGACAGAAGCTGAAAACTGTCACTTCACACGTGGATTTTTAAGATATGGTATGTCGTGTGTCTCGTGATTTGTCAAATCACACCCCTTCTTCCCACTCATCTATTATCACTTTCAATGTTTGGTGTCTTAAACTTATATTATTTATTCATCACAATGTCTTAGCTTCAATATTTTTTTCCCCTTCTCAACAAATTAAATCAATTTCTACAACATGTTATATCGATGAATATGTTGGATACAGACGGATAACTGTAATGTGAAATTCTTACTATACAAATCGGCGATGTCGATTCATGGCCTCAATCAATAGAATATATCATAACCAATTATCTATTTATGAGGCATTTTCAGCTTAAGTTTAATTACTAGAAGTAAAGGCCGTTTCAGCTTTTAATTTATACTCCCTCCGTTCCAGAAAGTTTGATGTTTTAAGAAAAATAATTTGTTCCACAAAATTTGATTTTTTGGATTATATATAATCTATTTCTTTTTTCGAGAACATTTTATTCTTGAAAAGAGAAAATATATATTAAAATAACTAATATAAAAAAATATTAAAATGAAAAAGTAATTGAAAAAAATAATTAATGATTGCTTTCTTAAAACTTGTAAAAAATCTAAAAAATCATAGGAACGGAGGGAGTACTAGTTAACGATCTTTTAAATTCGTTATCCTCTGCTTTAATGGTATGGATTTCTTCGAGTATATTTTACTTTTGCAGTTTGAAATCTAAACGTGCTCTAAAGCGTCATTACCATTGCTGATGCTATAGCTAATTAACATTAATCCCAAAGACACAGGTTAATTAATGCGACAAATTATTAGTATTGTTCTAATTTTTAAAACGATCTTACCCACTAACAAAGTATTTTATATGCTGTTTAATTTGATGAACATTATAATCATAACAGCTAATGGGCATGAAGACGTGTCAAATATTCAGAAAATTATAATAGCGATACGAGTAATAATAGAATAGGCACATATTGGATCATGATGACTTCGCTTTCATCACATGTTAATGAGAATATTTTTATGTAAATAATGTTTCATCTTTGTATGCCACTATGGGTCCTTGGGTGGTAAACATTTCTTCTCATTGTTTGAGATAAATAAAAACATATATATATATATATAACTCCACTAGATTTATACATATTTACGAGCAAAACTGAATTGATTAATTCATCTATTATATTTAACAGATGACGAAACACAGTACAAACGAGAGGATACTGAATCACCAACATTTATTCTAATGGTATCTCCCCTAGGATAAAAAGTTTGGGAATATGAGTGTTCTATATAGCTAAAGAAGAATAAAAGAAATACTATAAATATTCAAGAAGCAACGCTGAAAAGAACACTAATTTATAAGCCACTATCATTTCAATATTATATTAAATTTTGTTATAACAATTGGTGAGAAGAACTATTTCTGCTTTTAGTAATCGCCTTTTAGTGTTTGCTTTGTTGAGGAAGGAAATAAACATGAGGATGGGGATTTAGGGTGGTCAACAAAAACATAGACATTGAATCATAGGAATTTTTTAAAATCCCCCTTTTGTTTACTACATTTGTATATGTCAGTCATATTTAATTATGAGGCACTTGCCTCTAGTTTTCACTGTGTTTAATATTTCTGCACTGTGTTATTCGTATATCCTAGGATTTTATCATATGCCAAATAACCCAAAAAATCATGTTACGTAGAAAAGTGTTTTCCATTTTTTGGTTATGGTTTCTATTTATATATTGAAATATCAATGAGCCTAATTAATAATAGCAAAATGGATCTTTAGGTACGCAAAGAAATGTTTGTAATGAGATAATGAGAAACATGTGTATATGTATATATTATGTCGGAAGATGCTTCTAAATTATTTATATCACATACTATTTTTACAACTTCTAACAAAGGTTAATGGTGTTTGTATTTAATTAGATTCTTGCATGATGTACGTGGTAAAAGAGGCGTGAATAAGATTAGTTCATTTTTAACAATCAAAGTTCTAAGTTTTTGTAAATAATCAGTAGTGTTTAACGTTAACTAAGATGTTCACTTCATAGTTTTTATAGTAAATGCATGTGTTATAAATGATTGAAGATGTGATCTCAGGTGGGACTCACTGAGATTCCATAGCGTATAAGAAAGAGAAGATAAAAGGAAAATTAAACGAAGAAGTAAGAGGGGCAAGTGATGCTAATCACTACTTCCATAGCTCCTCCTTTGCTTTTTACTCTTCTCTATGCTCTTTTTTCCATTGACCCATTTTCCTCTTCTGCTTGGGTGTATAAACTAATTCAACCATTTTTGTTTTGAATTATAAACTAATCCATTATTTTCTTAGTGGAAGAGAAAGGTTAATGTGTAATAGTGATACAAAGAAAAAAGCAATATTTGATACAATCCAAATTAAGGGGGTGATTAATTAAAGAAACCCCCAAATCCAACCATATTGATTAAGACTAAGTCCCAAAAAATCCTACAATCCTTCAATTCAAATGTATATATCAACCCACCTTTCTATATCATGTCCTTAAAAAGTATAACGCGTAAAAGTCACATGTAAGTACATCAAAAATCATCATGAAGTACTGAACATAATTAGTATTATCACTAATAAATTATGAAGAGGACTAACTTTATTCGAGAAAAAGAATGATATCTTTTAAAGAAAAGAGATGATGGGAAACTCATGAAATGGGGACTTTGGGTGAGGGAAAGAGAGAGACATGTGAAGTGTTCATAGGCAAATTGTGGACCAACAATGCACATGCTACTCTTCTTTCATCAACCTTTTTCTTAGTTTTGTGCGAAAGATAATGTTTTGGGTCTCTAATGTTTTACGAGTAGTTTTCCATAACTATATATATCTGATTTTGAGAAAACCTCATGATGCTAATGTATAGTACAATATATTTTATACGAATATTCGTTGAATTGTAAAATTCTTCAGTCATTGATACGCCACTCATTTTGGACACGCCACTCGTTTTTGGACGAGGATGAAACAGTTGCGAACTCCTAAAAGACATCAAAATGGGTTAAAAAACCCAAACTCCTATTTTCTATCCTCTTTGATTAGGATTTGTTTTAAATCTACTGAAGTCCCTTTTTTGTTGTTGGACCGTTAGTGAGTAAATGATCCAATTCCAAATAAATAAGTATATGTAACATAAGATAGGTTAAGATTCGCGACATTGGGCATTTTGGATACTCATTTTCGCCAATTATGATTTTGCTTGCAACGTCGAATATCGATAGTATGCTACTGTCAAGTGGCTTTTCCTCTCAAGCAGACTAAGTTTTATTTATTTATAATGTGTGGTGTTTTTTTATATGACAAATAAATTAACTACACCGACGATCGACGTTTTAGAATTGGTTTGATTCCATGCCCCATTAAAACTCATGACTTTTCAATCTAAATGTATAATCAAATCGATAAGACCAAAATCGGAAACTAAAATTCAATATGACAGGTGCTTGGATGTGTAATATCTGCAACCAAACAAAAGTCATGGGCCAATTTGTTGAAGAAGTACAATTTGTTTTAAACAAGTATACCATTGGAAACAGATATTTTAAATTCTACAGTAGAAAAATACATAATGAAAATGCAGAAGAATAAGAAAATCTAAAATATCAAAGTCTATTAAAAAAAAC